GTTTTTATTCGTTTTCTTCCTTTTATTTACAGTTTGTTTTTCAACTGGCTTTGTGTTCTTATTCTTCATTTTTTATCTTTTTATTTTTCCACTTCTTTATTATTCACATATTCTTCAATTCTTTTCTTTTTTGTTTTGTTTTTTTGTTCGTTTTTTCTGTCTTCGTCTTCCAACTTTTGTCTTTCCTTATTTTTATTCAAGTTTTCCTTCTTATTTCAACTTGTACTTCATCATTTTCTAGTATCAGTCTTTTTCTTTTTTGCAACATCTTATTTATCAGTTTCGTCTTCCTCTTTATTTTAATTTTTATTTTTTTCTCGTCTTCTCATATTTCTTTTTCTTCATCTCCTCATATCTTTTTGCTATTTTTTTTTCAGTTGTAGTTCTTTCATCTTCTTTATTTTATTTGTGTAACATCTTAATTTTCTGGTTTTCTTTGTCTTTATCTTCTCGTACTTTACTTTCGTCTTATTTATCCTCCGATTTTCTTCTTTCAAATTTTCCTTATTATGTTCTTCTTCTTCATTATATGTGTTTTTTTTTTATCTAAATCCATCTTTTCGGGTATTATACTTTGCTTCTTCAATCTATGATTGAATCCAAGTTATAAATATAGTTTCACCAACACACACAATCAATAACCCACGAAATATATATTCAATTAACACGTCGATATCCACTTGCTTTCCATTTCGGTGTACCTAAGTGTTTCTTCTTTGATAGCTTTCTCAAAATTCTTGTTACATAGCTGAAACGAAAGGGTCAACAAAGATGATCTCAGTTCGTTGGTGGACATGGTTATTTGGCGTCTGCAACTTGCTTTCCAGATCTTCAATTTCTTCGAGTAATGCCTCCTTCTCACCAGTCACCAGTATCAAAATTTGACTTTTTTGGAGTTGTCATCCTCATCAACTGTTTTATTATATCTATTCTTCGTCAATATCAAATTTTGGCAGCAATAAAGAGTGGTTAAGACTAACTCTTTGTTGATTCAATTTTTTCGTGTATTTGTTGCTCTGAAATAATCAGTTTTAGTTTACTTCCAACATAATGACAAACATCAGTTTCGGCTCTTATAAGCTCTTCCTGCAAAGCATATGGTAAATGATCTTTGAATGATAGCCAACTTGAAAACCGAAAGACAAAAAAAAAAGAAAATGGGCTGTGGTGGAAGAGAAAACGAATCTGGTCACTCAAATCATTCACATCTCTTCGAATATCTCATTTATCACTCGTTTGTTTCCCATGGATTTAGCCTGTTCACCAAATCTAAGGGTTCTCATTGTTCTTTTTGTGTTTCTGAGTTACAAAAAAAAACTCTATTAGTAAATATAGGCCGAAGAAACTGTTTGATAAGTAACCAACTAAACTTTGTTACCAGTTACCAAGTTCTTCGGACAGAAGTAATCATTGTGTTCAAGTCTGTCGCGATTTTCCGACAATCATCACCAATCTGAACATGCAATCAACGATCAATGTTTAGTGCAATAGCGTTGGGGCCGAGCGCCTCCTGATTAGTGATTACCCCGCTGCCAAGAGGAATTTACAGCCAAAAATCAAGGTCTTCTCAAAGAAGAAAAAAACTAAGAGATCGACATATGGAATTCACAATATTGAATTGAAACAAAAAGAGATAAAATGAATGAGATCCACCAAAGTCAGGCTACGTTACATGTGTTCTCGTGAGACAACCCATAAAAGAAATCACCATTCTCGTGAATGGTTTATTTGAACTTTTTTAAGTCGACTTCTATTCTTAATTAACAAAATCAAAATAACTAATACTGTATACCTAAAAATTCTGAAAACGGAGGCTTGAGGGATTAGATTTGTTAATCTGGAAGCTTACATCAAATAGAGTTTATGATGGAATATGGTTGGTGATAAAACGCATATGTACCACTCAGTAATCCCAGCTCCACATATAGTAACCCTTGAATCCTTGTTGTAAATAAATAAATAAAAAATCACATAAAGGACATTTAGCTAATGCCTCATCGAACAACAAATCTTGGCTAGCTTCCCAAGGAAAAAAATAACTTTACAATATAATTACCGTTACAGATAAAGAAGTTGTTTGTAACTGATCAATGAGACTGACCAGTGAGCTACTTCCCATCGATCAAGAGATTCTGGCTGATGAACACTCAGTACCTGCTGCACAAAATTCTTCAAAATCTATTTTTCTATATTGAAGAGCACTTAGCTATATAGATAATCCAGAAAAGAAAAAGTCAAATCCTGTGTTTCAAACATTAGTTTGTGAAATTTAAGGTTCTTACTTGTGCTAAGAATTCAGGTATATGCCAATCATTCATTGCGTCTGATGCCATTTTCTTCAAAGCCTAACAAAGAAAGTTCCAAACAATTGTTGGAATTAATTGAGTTTAGTCCTAAGTTAGCATATGTGTGTATCAAACGGTGTTAGTAAAGTTGCAACTCTTGGTTAGATTGGTTCACACACAAGAGGAAGAGACACAACTCTTCGATGTGTTTTGTCTTAGTATATAACCATGATGTAACACGTGATGTAACTGTTATCAAGTTTCAGATCAATAAAGAGAGTTCTATTTCGTTACATTCTTCTTCTTCATAAGAGAAGAGACAAACTCTTGTCTCTTGTCTCTATTCTTCTCTTACTCTGTTTTGTAATCATAATTTCAACAACAATGTCATGATTTTGACGGGAATCAAATCAACAATATTCTCAAATAAAACCTCAAAGCTTGCAACTCAAGACAACGGAAGCCCCTTGAATGTGACCTAAGTTACAAAATCCGTGAAACAATTTATCAGAAAAAGAGATAAATTCAAGTTTCCAGTGAGGATTACATAGAATTGGAAGCTCTTTCATCAAAAACTGCTCTTCTCGTTTTCTGACTTTGAAAGGCTCTCTCTCTCTCTCTCTGCACCATAACATATGTCGTCTCTCTCCATCATAAACGAATATTAAAAATCCTTTAAGAGCCGCTTAGTCGAATTAGGGCTTCATGAGATCCTAGTTTTTTAAATAAAGGGAAGATGTACATACCCACCAATCCTTGGCTAGAACTGTTTTTAGTTGGTACCATCTTTGAGCTTCTTGTTTCCATTAGCTAGCAAACCTTAATCTACTGTGACGAAGGTTAAAGAAGAAGATGTTAGATCGGAATCCTTCAATAAAATTTACAGAAAAAAATGAATAATCAGTTAATCACCATAATAGCAAATAACAATAAGATCAAACTAAAAACGAAAAACCTACATGAGAAAAGATGATATATGGAGTCGAAGAAAGTATCTCACCTCTAGGTTGAAGAATCGTGGATTGTTTAGATTTTCATTATTGCTATCTATTTATATAAGACATAATCGGTTAAGAAACCTAGGTTTTCCTTTTTTTCCTTTCCAATTATTTTAGTTTTTACATAATTGTGGCGCGTAATATGGTAGTTAGGATTATTATCATCATAGAATATTTTTAATTAGAAATATAAGTCGTGAAATTTTTTAAAAAAAGAAATAATGAATATTTAGAAATAGAATTTTCATTAAGGTTAACTGGGTAATCAACCAGCTGAAAATCAATGTGGTGGCTCGAAACGAAATAATCACTTCGCAAATAATATATTAGATCTCCTTATTAGATTAAGGATTTTAAAATATTTTCCAAAATATTTCTGGTCTATTGATTTCTGATTTAGATTTCAAAATTAACCTAGATTTTAATAGATTCAAAGTGTATTTTTGATTTTTTTTTTCAAAAATACAAAGAATCAAATTCAAGGTAAAACTTTGGTATTTCAAAATCCACTATTCTAATTATAAAGATTTCTAAATTTTATATAGTTGAGATGATTTAGGAAACTTTGGTATTTCAAAATCCAATATTCCAATTTTGAAGATTTCCAAATTTTATATAATTAAGATAATTTAGGAAACTTTGTTATTTCAAAATCCACTATTCTAGTTTTAAAGATTTCTAAATTTTATATAGTTGAGATAATTAAGGAAATTTTCTATTGCACATATAAGATCTTTAGAGTATATTCAAACAATAAAAACTACTGAAAATCTTTTAAATATCTAGATGTATGATATTTTCAAATATTATCTTTCCAGTTAAAACATTCATAGAGAATCAGAGATCCTAGGTCTCTATAAATCTGCAATATCAAATTGTCTTGGTGAACAATAGAATTGGAACATGTTTTTTCCAAGATATGCCTTTTTTACCGATTCCATTGCTGAAAGCCGAATTGCAGTTACAGAGAAATTAAATGATGTGGTAAAAGTTTTTGGAGTGAGAGACATTTAAAATTAATCATCGAAAAAAAAAATTGATTTGTTTTTGTTTACACTTTACAGCAAATTGGCCAAATCACCCAATTTTGAGTAGGCGACTGTAGACTCCCACTCACATCTCTTCTCTTCTCTTCTCTTCTCCCGCTCTTCCAAAGCTAATCGGATTCATCATCATCTTCGCCGTCAATTTGATTATTCCTTCAGTCCCAGAATATTCCTGGTAAGATCTGTTTTCCTTTTGCTTTTTTTTTTTTTTTTTTTTTGCTCGGAGACGCGGACGCGAAAATAGATCGTTTCAATCGCTTTCATCTCTCTTTTACTCCGTTTCTATTTGAACGGAACAATGCAGTTCTAAATTTCGAGGTTTAGGTTTTGTTTCCGCAACATTGTTTATTTTTGAATCCTGTGAAATGTGGAAATTATGGAAAAGATGCTGAAACTAGCTTTTACCCTAAAAAAAAAAACTAGTTCGTATTATTGATGGATCAATCGCTTTTGATTTCGTTCATGTTTATGAAATCTCTGAGTGTAAAGTATCTGAAAAAACCTGCATGCATTTGTGGTTTTAGTGTTGAACATGTATTGCGAAGGATATTCATTCAATTGATTCGCAGTTTTTTCTACTTTTTAATGTTGTTTATCAATAATGCTTGTTGTAAGATGTTTTTTAGTTTATATTCTTCTTCTTCTTCAATCTTCTATGTACATGAGTAGGAATGGAGAACAACAAGTCACCAAAGCTTAGGGCTTCTTTTGAGAAGAAACTAGCAGCAACAGAAATGCAGAATAACGGTAGTTACACTGATCCTATAGCGCTGCGGAAGGCTAAGCGGTTTAAGGTTACAGCGGCGAGTGAGTCTGCATCTGATTCTTGCATCAGATCAAGAAGGGTGCAGAGGAACAAGAATCTTCCATCTTCTGAAGCTAAGGTTGAGTTGTTTCCTGGAGAGCACTTGAAATCCTTTAGTGAAAAGCTTTTTGGGGTAAACGAGGGAGCTGAATATCATAGTGTTAACATTCAGGAGCAAATGCCGGAGAACAGAAGCGAGCTAGATATGGCTGAGGCAGTGGAGGTTGAGCCTGTGAGCATTTCCTTGCAAGAAGAAGATGAAACTTTTGTTTCTGCATCAAAAGAAGTTGTCATGGGATCTGTTTGCGGGGAGAGCACCGTTGGGACAAAGCAGGTTCGCGGAACAAGTGTTACTATAGTGAGAGACTGCTCTCCATATACAGGGATCAAGTATTCAAAGAGGGGAAAGACCGTGGAGAAGAAGAAGTCGGATTGTGGAGACCATTTAGGTCAATCTCTTGGTAAAAGCATATCACCAGAAGAGGTTTTGGAGCCATTGGAACTTGACAAGTCAGAGGTTAAAGCTCCAAGGAAAGGGAAAGCAATGCTTCCCAAGGAGATGAATGGTGAAGGATCTAAGACGAAGAATAGTGGTTCAAATGTCGAGCTTCCTCTTTCGCGTCCTAATGGTTCAAGCAGAGGGGATAGTGCTAGGTCCAAAGTCAAGGAAACTCTACGTCTTTTCTATGGAGCTTGCAGAAAGATTTTGCAGGAGGAAGAAGCGAGGCCTACGAAAATAAAAGGTGGCATGTTCAGAGTGGCCGTTGAGGCTTCCAAGATCATCAAGAGCCAAGGGAAATATCTCAACGTTGATACTAGGATTATTGGATCTGTCCCTGGCGTTGAGGTTGGAGATGAGTTTCAATACAGAATTGAGCTGAACTTTCTTGGTATACATAGACAAATCCAAGCCGGTATCGATTCTACAATAGACGAAAACGGAGATAAAGTTGCTACGAGTATTGTATCCTCTGGAGGTTATGATGACGACCTCGATAACTCGGATGTCTTGATCTACACAGGCCAAGGCGGAAATGCGATGATAGGAAAGAAAACTGGTGAACCTAAAGACCAAGAGCTTGTAAGGGGAAACTTGGCGTTGGCTAACAGTAAAGACAAGAAGAACCCTGTGCGGGTCATCAGAGGCAACAAAGTGACGCCTTTAGGATCACCAACGGAATCAAAGAACTATGTTTACGATGGTTTGTATCTGGTGGAAGAGTTCTGGCAAGAAACTGGCTCTCACGGCAAGATGGTCTTCAAGTTCAGACTGCGGCGTATCCCTGGACAACCGGAGCTTTCTTGGAAAGTGCTCAAGATAAGAAAGAAGATATCAAAGTCACGGGAAGGTCTCTGCGATGATGATATCTCGAAAGGGAAAGAGAGGTTTCCTATTTGCGCTGTGAACGAGATCGACGACGAGAAACCGCCTCTGTTCACCTACACGGTTGATATGATATATCCGGATTGGTGCAAGCCAATTCCTCCAAAGGGCTGCGGTTGCAAGAGCCGCTGCTCCGAGTCGAAGTCATGTGCCTGCATTGCAAAGAACGGTGGAGAGTTACCATACAATCACGATGGAGCCATTGTGAACGCAAAGCCCTTGGTTTACGAGTGTGGTCCACTCTGCAAATGCCCGCCTTCTTGCTACCTCCGACCCACACAGCGTGGGATCAAGTTCCAGCTGGAGATCTTCAAGACCGAGTCGAGAGGATGGGGAGTGAGATCCTTAAACTCGATTCCTTGCGGGAGCTTCATCTGTGAGTATGCAGGAGAGCTTCTTGACGAAAACGAAGCTGAGAGACTTGCCGGGAATGATGAGTATCTGTTTGACGTTGGGAAAGATCGTGAGACGAGCGGTTTCACCATAGACGCTGCGAGGAAAGGGAACATTGGGAGGTTTATAAACCACAGCTGCTCGCCGAATCTGTACGCACAGGACGTGATCTACGACCATGATGATGAAACGAGAATCCCTCACGTGATGTTCTTCGCGCAGGACAATATACCTCCGCTTGTGGAGCTCTCCTACTTTTACAACTATACGATCGATCAGGTACGCGACGCTAACGGTAATATCAGGAAGAAGAATTGCTATTGTGGCTCCTCTGAGTGCAGTGGGAGGATGTACTGATAAGCTTCTGTTGCCGGTCGTATTTCAGATTCTGCTTCCTATTCTTTCATTCCTGTTCAGTGAAAGTAATAGTAACTTTTTGAGTGTCTGAGAATACAAACAAGTATTAGTCTTTCTCATTTGGTCAATTGGTGTTTTGTGTTTAGCTGCATTGTTCAACTCTTGTGTAATTTCCCTGAAACTCACCATGAGCTAAGTCTTTCATACTTATTTTTCATAAACGGCGTTGTTGAATTGCAACTACTGTTTGTGTGTGTGTTTGTTCCTTTATCTAGAACGTTACATTTCCAAATCTGTACGTGCACCTAAAACCATACAAAGCCTAGAGAAGGAATGCTTTCTCTGAACCGAATTCATGACCTTACAATCTATCTTCTTCATCCACTTGTATTTTTTGGGATTAATTCCAAAATTGTTTAATGGTGATGTGGATGAATCTTGATCATGTCGACAGGCAAAATATAGGAATGCTGATGTGTCTTATAGTGATCGCTAAGCTCTGTCGTTTGTTTGTTTGTCCCAATCTCATCTCAGATTTGGTTTGATTTGAAAGAAAGACATTATTGTTACTATTCCAGGATTAGCTGAAAAAGGAAGGCATATACTTAATTTTTGTTGTGGGATCCATTATTTGTTACTTTTCATATAACAATTGTGCCCATAGCATGTGTATTTGTATGGGTGGCCATAAAAACTTTGGATAAATGATAAAAGTGAAAGGGAAAGCTATAACATATCCTTTCAGGGGACTGGCTTGGCAAGCCTTATGGTAGTCTCTAATTTTCCATGCCCATTCTTATCATTAGCGACATCTCTACATTTTGAGTTTTTGACTAGCTATCATTTTTATATATATATATTTTGACAAATAGATTAGTACTATAGATATTTGTACAAGATGATAATATCTTCAAAGTAATATCAAAAGATGGCAGTACAATAAACCCTCTTAACTTGTCTTGCTCTGTCTCAAACCACTTCTAAAAGAATTGAAATTTCATTGATGTTATTATTTGTTTTACAAAACTGTTTTTTTTTCTTTTTTTGGGGAACTAAGCTCGCAATGATAATTATAATATTCATACAACTATTGGTTGTTAATTAACCAAACCACCAAATAGATTAAACAAAGCAAAATATATTCATGAAAAGTTTTATGCAATTATATTCATAGACTGAAAACGAGTGAATTTTGTTGGAATCTTGGAGATTAAGTTCTCTTAATGACAGTTGACAGAGGTGATTTCTTTTAATTGAATTTTTCGCCGTTCACCAAGGCTCGGGTCAACAATTGGTAATGGATGGCATATTGGTAAATAACTGGAACTCAGAGGTTTCTTCTGTTGCCCTGGGGATGTGTCTACCTTGGTTTCAAAAGTTCTAAATCGAGCTCGTCTTCTTCTTCTTCTTTGTGAGCAGTTAAAGGAACAGAAACCAGTGGCTTTAATTCGAAAGAAGAGAACCCTAATTTCCAAGAACCCTAAATTTCCCGAGCATTTCTTCTCAACTTTCCCTTCTTCCTCTTCCAAGTTCCATAATTTTATGTAAATGCATCTGAAGAAATCATCTGCAACAGAACGACGATTCATCGGGAAAGAAGCCGCCGGTTATTTCTCTTCCGATTCGGATCCGAGCCCTAACCTTAATCCGATTCATTTCCCTTTCCAATCGCCCCAACTTCAGAGCCCAGATAACTCTCCTCCATGTCGAAGAACAGCCATTGATGCAGACGCTGGTTTCACTAAGTATAATCATCCGCAAGGCCAGAGACACCACCACACGGTTGATATCGCCGATTCATCGTCTCAAATCCCGATCTCGAATCCGCACAAAAGGTCTGCGGTGATTCAACCGTCTCACACGTTGAATATCGCCGGCGGCGTTGACCATTTCCGGCGAGGAGGCGCGCGGGCACGCCTGGGCTCGATTTCTTCCTTCTCCCCGTCGAATCTGTGGTCTATTCTTTCTTCGTATCGGCTAACATTACCGTTCGCGACTGATCGGCTCGTGAGGAAGCTCCTCCGTCATATCCTTCGAGCCCGATTGATTTGTTTCCACCTTCGTTTCTTTCTGCTTCTTGCCGTCCCTCCTCTATACATCTTCTTCCTTGTCATCAATCTTCGCATCTTTCTTCTTTTGGTCTTCTCGATTATCGCTCTTTCCTTCATCCTCTCCATCTCTCTCAAATTCGCTCTTCCTCACTTACCCTCAATCCGCCTGTTCATCGCTCGCTTGCTCACCCTCAAGCTTATCCCTGCCAGATTCTTTTCCTCTCAGCCGAAAACGCTACCAGTTGTTTGGTCAATCGGATCGAAGCCAGTTACCGAGAATAACACCAACTCAGGCTCTTGGGTTCAGAAGTTTGGCACCAATGATCTCTACGAGGGAGAGTTTCATAGAGGCAAGTGTTCAGGAAGTGGAGTTTATTACTATTCCATGAAAGGCAGATATGAAGGGGATTGGATTGATGGGAAATATGATGGTTATGGAGTCGAAACATGGGCTAAAGGAAGTAGATATCGAGGTCAATACAGGCTAGGGCTAAGACATGGAATCGGAGTGTATAGATTCTATACAGGAGATGAATATGCTGGTGAGTGGTCCAATGGGCAGTGCCATGGATGTGGTGAATATACCTCTGAGGATGGAAGTAGATATGTTGGAGAATTCAGGAGGGGTGCCAAACATGGCCTTGGTCATTACCATTTCAGGTGAAAGCACTAATCTTTTATAGTTTCTGCACAGTTTCGTGCTCCTTCTTCATTGGCTTTTAGTACTATGCACAGTTATTTGAGTTTATAGAATATGCTTCTGCTTTGACATGTGAGGGTGTTCTTCTATTCACATGCTATTGATTGTGCACTGACTTATGGTAGTGAGTATAAGGTCCCTGTGTATGTTGCTCTTCTGAGTGTTTTCGATCCTGAGTTCTATTGTAACTGAAGGGTCATGTTGTCTTCTGTGGCCGTTCTTCAATATTGGATCAAAGGATTTCAATTTCGGTTTCTTGCATTTGATGGATAATTGGGTTGTGGTTCTTGCTTGTTGTGGGTCTAGCGAACATCAAAGATCAGTCTTTTCGTTTACTGCCATTAGCACTGATGTTAAGCAATTGAATGAAGCACTGCATAGTCAAGTGTGCTCTAGCTGAATCATGGCTTTAAAACTAACTTGGGAGCCATGCCTTTGTTGCAGAAACGGCGATGCATATGCTGGGGAGTATTTTGCAGACAAGATGCACGGTTTTGGAGTGTATCAATTCGAGAACGGGCACAAGTACGAAGGAGCTTGGCACGAGGGAAGAAGGCAAGGGCTCGGTATGTACACTTTCAGAAATGGTGAGACACAGGCTGGTCACTGGCAAGACGGTGTTCTCAGCTGTGCGAGCGAGCAGACCATACATCCTGGATCATCTATTACCATCAGCCATTCCAAAGTCATTGATGCTGTTGAGGTAAGCGAAACTAGTAGATTTTATCTTCATATATACGTTGTGAAATCTGAGTCTACAGAGTTTTGATGACAAACTTGTTCTCTCTTTTGCATTGGTTCACCAGCGAGCAAGGAAAGCAGCTGAGAAGGCAAGTCAAGTTGTGAAAGTTGAAGAGAGAATCATCAGAGTTGTGATGGCAGCAAACAGAGCTGCGAATGCTGCAAGAGTAGCAGCCGTGAAGGCTGTCCAATCACAAACTTTTCACCGGAATTAGGAACGAAATGCTGAGATCTAATAGGTTTAGCTTCTTTTCTTTTCTTTATTGAGCATGGCTAGTTTTCAACTGTAGATATGAAGTCCTTTGTAAGTGAAAAAAAAAGGAGATCTCTGTGTAAATCAACAAAAAAACTTTTGGGTTCGCTTCATAGATTACAAAGTAATCTAAAACATGTAGCCAAATTCTCCTACTTCATTAAACAAGTAGATATCTGGTAAATCAGTTTTATAACAGAAGAATGGCGAATCTTGAATCTGGTCTTGAAAATTGTGGGTCATGAGTTGAAGTCTAGCTCTCAGTTTGCTCTCTCAGCCTTCTGATGGTACTCCTCACGGTCACAGCACTAGCCGTACTGCCAAAATAACACAGAACCAAAACAGACCATGAGATGTTGTGAATGATGAGATTTAACTGTCAACATGAAAATGGTAAGAAGATGGTTCTTACTTCATAGTGTAGGCACCTCCAGCCTTGACTTTACCACAGTTCTTGCATCCCCAAATTCCAACAGCCTTTCTCTTAACAGCATACTGTTATTCAGAAAAAATGGCAATTAGGAGATAACAGTAAAACAACAACTGAGAAAGTTAACTGTAAAGCTAGGATTGTTGTATACTTTGCCACAGAACTCGCAGAAGTATTTGCTGTGCTGGCTCACTTCCATCTTCTTGATTTGCTTCCTAAGACTGGCACCGTATCTCGTCCCTTTAAACACACAATTTCCACACACGTTCAGACAACAAACCAACATAGACCAATGCGTAGTGGCGCACAAAGCTTATAGAACAATACTTATTCATCAAGAGTAGTTTCGTAAGGATCATGATTCACAAAGCAGAGCACATCTCACAGTAAAGAAGTTACAGTATTTGCATCATAGAGATCGATAACAGAATAATGGACACTCACCATATTTCCCGACAATTCCAGCCTTCTTCGTCCTCTTGGTCTGAAACCAAAAAATACACTTGTGCTCAGCTCAGGAAATGCATTCGAAACAAAAAACAAGTCTCATACAAAACTAATCCTAAGAAGAAAAAAACAAAACAAAAAAACATTTTGAGGAGACGAATGAATCAAAGGAAGTAATTTTCACGGAATCCAAATTGATTACGAGTCTTTACTAACAAAATTCAACCTAAGCACTGTTTCTAAATCAATAGCAAACGTAGCTGATGTTTTAATCTCGAAAAATGCATTAAAAAGATCAAAAATTTATCTGGAAATCCTACCATTGTTACCGGTGGCTTGAGAGATCGACGACGACGGAGGAAACCTTGAAGCGGCAGCAACACCACAGCGAGCTCAAAACCCTTAATAAGGACACCTTCTGTAATGTAAAACCTAACGGATCCGGATTTAACCCGTTTTTAATTGGGCTAAATTACATGGCATTTATAATTGGGTCCAGTAAACCAACTACCTATCCACTTTCATTAGCTGGATCCGAATGTATTGCTTGATTTTGTTGCTATCGTTAACTCTTTTTGTTCTGGTTCGTTTTCGTTTTGGTTAGCATAAAAACTCGACCTTTTGAGCTTCGTTTCATGTTTGCATCATATGTTATGAGATTTTGAATTTTTGATGACTGGTTCAGTGAATATAAATAAATAAATACGTTTTTGAAGTCAATTATTGTATATACGGCATTGGCCGTTGGATCTGGAGAGGTGACCAATCGAACGTCCGAGGTTATATGAGTTTTTTTTACTGACAAACGGCGTCGTGGCGGGTCCCACTGATTTTTGGGTTAGCACAGGTTTTCAAATCTCTCGTTTCGCTTCGCCACCTTCGAGCCAAATCAATGGCGAAGAAATTCCGGAAAATAACAAACATTTAAAACAAAAAAAATGTCCGAGAGAAAATAGGGGAAAAAAAAAAACAAAAAAAATCTGCGTGTAGGAATCCACATTGTTGCTCGAGATTTAGATCTTCTTTCTCTTCGTTGTTATCGTTATCGATTTTGATCATCCACATTGTTCGTAGATCTGAAAGAAGGAAATTAAAAAAATCCCACGGGTTTGGTATTACGATTTGCGCGTTTCGTCTCTGTGATTCGATTGTTCTGGTGGAGGTCAAAGTTGATTCGATTTGGAGCTCCTGCAGTTTTGCATTCCGGATCTAATCTGGGCGAGTCGATTCGTGGTCGTCGGCATTTGAGAAAAAAATCGTTTGGTGGATCTGAAGAAGAGACATTGTGGGTGTTTGAATAATTGCATTCTGGGATTTAGAAGAGATGGATCCAATATCAGCGGTTAGCGAAGAGCTGGCTGAGATCGAAGGACAAATCAATGACTTATTCCGTGCTTTATCGTGAGAGAATCTCTCTCTATTCCTTTTCCATTTCTGATCTCCGATTTTTCGTTTTTTTTTTTGGTTTTCATGTGTTGTATCTTGTCTCTGTTTATTTACACCAGAAATGGATTCCAGAAGCTGGAGAAGATCAAAGATGCTAGTAGGCAAAGTAGGCAGCTTGAAGAACTCACTGACAAAATGCGTGACTGTAAGAGGTATTTAACATTCCTTTCAACTTTGCTTTGCTGTTTTTCCTTCTTGTCTTTGCTTTGATTATCTTACGATATGGTGTTGGCTTTCTTCTTTGCAGCCTTATTAAAGATTTCGACAGGGAAGTGAAAAGCTTGGAAAGTGGAAATGATGCCAACACTAACCGGATGTTGAACGATAGACGACAATCTATGGTAAGGTTTAGTTGACATTATTGAGCTCAAATCCATAATTTCCAGAGTTCTTCTAATGTCAGGCGTTGTGTTTGTGCAGGTTAAGGAACTAAACTCATATGTTGCTCTTAAGAAGAAGTAAGTGACACTTTGCTCAATTCTCTGACTTTAACTCTATTGTTGCTTGTTTATCATGTTTATGGTGAATGATGATAATGAGGATGGTCTTGTACAGATACTCATCAAATCTAGCAAGCAATAACAAGCGAGTAGATCTTTTCGATGGACCTTCAGAAGAACACATGGAAGAGAATGTCTTATTAGCTTCAAGTAAGCCTTCAATATCTTAGCAACCAGCCAACAATGACATGTTTATTGCACATTTCTTCATAGATTTAGTCCTTTGTTATATGTATATACTTACCTAGAGTATTAACTGGGAACTTGATCACTCTCAGACATGTCCAATCAAGAACTCATGGATAAAGGAAACTCCATGATGGATGACACAGATCAAGCCATTGAGAGGGGGAAAAAGGTCACTACTGTTTTCTTTTGTTCGTTTTCTGATTATCTGAATATAGATAGCATTGCCTCCCTAAATTTCCGTCTGATTGTAATTTTCTGACTTTGACAACAGATTGTTCTAGAGACTATAAATGTGGGAACAGATACTTCAGCAGCTCTTAAGGCTCAGGTTTGTCTTTACGCCACAGTCCTTTGTTTCCAAATTATCAGTGCTTCTACCTGAATCTCCTTTGTTCTTTACAACATTCCTTGTTCCGAGAACTAAGATAGTTTACATATTCACTCTTCAGACCGAGCAAATGAGTAGAGTTGTCAATGAACTCGATTCTATTCACTTCTCACTCAAGAAGGCTTCCAAGCTGGTCAAGGAAATTGGTAGGCAGGTCAGTCTCCAAAATCTCCTTCATTTCCTCTTTATACACTTCCTATTTATCTGCAGCTTCCTCTTCTTGTCCATTTTACTTACTTTCTGCTTATTCTTCTTCTCTCAGGTTGCCACGGACAAATGTATTATGGCATTTCTTTTCCTTATCGTCATTGGTGTCATAGCAATCATCATCGTCAAGGTACCTCGCAGCTCCTTTCTTATTCAATTGTGTGTATATAATACATATATGCACACACACAATCGGATACTTGTTTTAGCTCTTTAGATTTCTCTCTTCATCTACAGATACCGACCAAATTTGTAATTTCTCCACTTATTCAGTTATGGAATGTAGTTTTCTCCTCTATGATATGCTAATTTCATCTCTCTTATATGCTCATCTTCAGTATATTTCCTTTCATATGATGTTTGCGTGGTTATAGAGTTCATATTATCATACTTATAACTTGTGCTCTTTTCTTCACTCTTGTGTATAGATTGTGAACCCAAACAACAAAGACATCCGCGACATACCGGGCCTAGCTCCACCAGCCATGAACAGACGTTTACTCTGGAACCAGTACTGATCAAATAATAAATTTCATATCATGCTATTCAAAATACTGGTACATTGCGCAATCTGTTTGTCCCGTAAGCTTCTTGGTCCCTTCCCTTTAAGTCCATGTTGCTGTAGATGAAACCGCCTCACTTGAGAGAGATTAACCAGTTTTTGTTCCCATGGCTCTTGGCTGCTGCGCATTTGAGAAAGTTGCAGGCCTCAATCCTATTCCTTTTCATTTATCTCCCAGAATCAAAAACATCTTTTTGTTCATGTGTTTGTATTAACGATGACTCGTTTTGTGTTATATCATATTGTACGTGTATTTTAAAAATGTCGTCTCTGTTTCAGTTCTGGTAATCATTACGTGTTCCTCTGTTTCTCTGGTTTATGTTGAAAATTGAATGAAACTCATTTGTATGACTAGATGTCTCTCGTTGCTAGTGTCTGGCAAAAAAGGTGTCTTTGGTTAGTTCGAGGAGCCATAAAATCAAAGATGAGTGCTATGGAAAGAACGAATACATTAATGTATGTGATTTACCTCGTGGTAAAACTGCTATTGGTAGCAAATGACTTTACACGATCAAATATTTACCGGATGGAGGCATTGAGAGACTGAAGAAGGAATTGATTTCCTGGATACCTTTTCTCCGATAGCTAAACTTGCTACTGTGAAGTTAATTCTTGGCCTTGCACCGAATATGAAGTGGTCCTTAACTCGAACTTGATGTTTCCAATGTGTTTTTGATTGGCAAGTTAGATGAAGAAATCCATATAAAGTTACCACCAGGATACTCTCAGCTTAAGGGAATCTGTTTCACGAAACGCTGTTTATTGAAGTCTATATTTTTATATTATTAATTGAGAAATACATGAAAAATATATATGACCAAAAAATCAATCTAATTATTATGAGAGAAAGTGTTTGGCAACTAATGAGGGTCAATTTAGTACATTGTAATGTTTGGATACAAGAATAAGAGAAAAATTATTTGGATAGAAGAATAAATGGAAAAAATTGTTTGGATACAAGAATAATAACTTAAAACAAACCGATGGTTTAGAAAACTTCCGTTTTCCAGCTCTTAAAAATCTGCAAAAAAAAAACTTAACATAATCTAACGATAATACCAAATCAATAGAATATGCTTTTTGGATTTTCGGGTTTTTATAGACAAGTTCGGGTTTGGGTGAAAATCTGAGACCTAATTTTATAGAGATATAGAAATTGTTCGGGTTTCTTTGAAAATTTCTGTTCGGGTTGGGTTCGAGTTTTTTTTTTCAGTTTAGGGTTTTCCGGATTTTTTGGATTTCGGGTTTAGATATATTAAAAAGTTTGAGTATTTTAAAATTTTGATTAGGGTATTGGGTCGGGTTCCGGGTGAAAAAGTTTCCAGATTTTTTTTGTTCAGTTCAGGGTTTTCAGGATTTTTTTATTTCGGATTTTCGGGTTTAGACATATTAAAAAAGTTTGGGTTTTTAAATTTTTTATTAGGGTTTTTTGTCGGGTTCGGATTTAGGGTTTAAATTTTCTACACAAAACCACAACGTCACACCGCACAAACGTGCGGGTACTCTACTAGTATAGCCTTAAACAAGCTTCCCCTTAGTCTATATATGGCTTTAAACTCCAGGAGTGTCAAATAGGTAATCAGACTCAACCCAACCCAAACTTTTACGCGTTTGAGATTTGTAAAGGTTGGGTTTAACCTGATCCCTAAAATGTTAATACCTATGGTTAAATGGGTCAAATAGGTACCATAAATATAGACAATGTTTTTTAAAGAAAAAAACATACTATTTAAGGAAAGTTTTCAAATAGCAAATGCATAATAATAAAGTTTGTGGATAAAATCAAAATAATATACCAAATAATAACCAGATTAAACCGCACGATAATAAAATCTTAAAATTGTAAAATCATATAATCTACGAAACACTTGTATATTATTTGGATGTATCCGATTCCTTTAATATATATTATATTTTTAGTGATAAACTTATGAATATCTTACAAATTTATAATTTTTATATTTTTTATGTTAAACATGTGGGTAACCTATTACCCTAATGAGTTTATCCACTAAATCCATAAACTATTAAGGTTGACCCATTAAAATCCATTAATGTATATGGGTAAAAAAACTCAAGATGAATTGAGTTAACCCTAGGTAATTGACCTATTTGATTCCCCTACTTCTAGATAGTGGTTTCTAAAGTTCTCTTATTCTTTGGTTCAGTTTGGATTTGAAGAATGTAATGAAAATCATACATTGTTGAATCAATTCAAGGGCTATTTTCAAAAGTAGTACAAAAATTGAGGTCAAATGCAAAAGTAGTTCACTCTTTTTTTCTTCCTTGTTTATCCTCACCATATTTGTGATAATAACGAAAATGCCATTACTTTCGTCCTTGAAGTCTAACCGTGAAGTCTAATACGAAAATAAAAAGTCCAAAGAAACCTCATCTTCTTCACTTATTCACGAAAATGCCATCACCATCAATTCGTCCAACAACCATTCTCAACTAAAATCAAGCTTTGAATGCATGATTTACTCTTCAAATATATACAAACTCATTATATCATCTCATAAACTTGTATTCTTCAATTTCTTCTCCATTTTCACCCCAAGAACACACATTTTCATCTTTTCAAAGTTTATGTTCTTAGATCTTCCCATTTTTGGTGTGGGAGATCATTATAACGGTTGGGGAAGTTTGCTGAAGCTCTAAATCGAAGTTATAGGCCGTCAACGAAACTTAAGATCACGGCAAGGTAAAATTCCGGTAGATCTGAGTGAATTTCATATTTTTGCAGGTCCTTAGACTTCATAGCGAAGTCTAACAAACTAGTTTTGCAATTGAGTTTTCAAAATTTAGAGAGTAGACTTCACAATGAAGTCTACCCATATTCCTTTGAAAACAAAAAAATATGGCGTAGACTTCAGAATGACTACGAAACAGATTAGTTTTGCAATTGACAGAATAAAAACTTTTTATGAGAAGTCTATCCGTGAAGTCTGCTTCGAAAAAAGACTAGTTTTGCAAACTTTCAGTAGTTTGTTTTATCGTGAAGTCTACCCCTAAAGTCTTCATTTCAAAGTCTAATATTGGGTTAGACTTCATTTTGAAGCCTAATTCTTGATAGACTTCTAGGTGAAGTCTAATAGTCAACGTTTGTCGGAGTAGACTTCACGATGAAGTCTATTTTCTAAATTCAAAAATTCGATCAATTGCAAAACTAATCCTTATGAAGTCTAATTCTTGTTGTAGACTTCACAGTAGACTTCATTCTCTAGTTAGACTTCATTTTTAAGCCTATTCACGATAATGAAGTCTATTTGAAAAAGTCAAAGTTGGTCAATTGCAAAACTAGTCTTTTTTTTTCGGTAGACTTCACGTGTAGACTTCATAAAAAACTCGTAATTTGGAAAGTTGCAAAACTAGTCTATTAGACTTCACAAGGAAGTCTACTAATTAGACTTCCTCGTGAAGTCTACTATTTAATGTTTTATTTGAAAACGCTTTTTGGAAAATATATAACGAATTTTTAAGATTTCTTGAACAATTAGTTGAGTTAGTTTGTTTAGTTGCTTGTGTGTTAGTTTGACATGCTTATTCGTTGTATACAAAGCGAAAACGATTTTCTTGTTTGGTTAGCACATTATACATTACCACGTAGACTTCTTTCTGAAGTCTACCATTTGATGTTTTTTTCAAAAATGCATATTTGGAAAAGTTGTAATAAATTTTCAGATCTTTTTGAACAACTAGTTGTATTATTCTGTTAAGTTGCTTTTGTGTGGATTTTACATGCTTATATTCATTACATATAAAGTGAATAAGGTTTTTTTGTTTGATTAGTACATTAGATCATTACTAAGTAGATTTCTCTGTGAAATCTATTTGTGAAGTCTACTCGTAATATCTAATATCTGTTTGAATTTAGTCAATTTAAGCTAGGTAAAGTGCATCAAATATGCTTCTATTTGGTTTTTTCAGAACAATTGTAAAGTCTACCCTTGAAATCTAATATTTGTTTGAACTTGTATATGTACTTTTAAAAATATTGTGAAATCATCTAGTAAATTCTATTCGTAAATCTAAATCTGTTTCAACTTGTTTTTTTTAGCTAAGTAAAGTGCATCACAAATGTTTATATTTGGTTTTTAAGCTGAAATAGTCTTCTATGAAATTTAAAGAAGTCTTATGGTACAATTTTTTTTAATTGGTTATTTTCTACTATGTCATCTACTAAAAAATTGGTCCAGAGAGACTATTTCATTAATCAACCAAAATATATCTTATACAAACATGAAACATCATACAAAAACAAGTGTTGCAAAACATAAGTCTTATATCACCATCTAGCCGCCAAAGCTTGCTTCAACTTTTCCGGTTAAATTCGATTAAATAGACTTCATCACAAGAGAAGTTTATTTCCAAAGTCTCACAAACCGACTTTATTGTATAATAAATTTGTTAATTTTTCGGTTAGATGAAAAAATTTCCGGTTAAATTCGGTTAAATAGACTTCATCACAAGAAAAGTCTATTTCCAAAGTCTCCCAAACCAACTTTATTGTATCATAAATTTGTTCCAATATATTCCGGTTCCCGCCAATTCCCGCCCAAGATATTTTCATTTCCCGCTTGTTTTGTTTTGAATTACAAACTTCATCGCGAAGTCTACCAATGAAGTCTACCGATGAAGTTTCACTAACCCTAAACCCTAAATCGAATATATTTAAGATCAAAACTTATAGTAAACATTAATTATGTACATATATAATCACAATTTATATTACGAATTACAAATTTATGAGTTATAAATCGTCAAACGAATTGCACACTTTTTTATGTCAAAATTCTCTAAACCCTAATAATGACAATCACAAACCCTATAAATTAAACCTCAAACACTAAGTTTGATGATTGGTTTACTCATAAAACTTATAAATTAATTCATTTTCATAAAATTTCAGTATACATAGATAGGGCTTGTCTTTATTTAAATTATGTATAATTGTTTTTTATCAAAATTGTTTTTTAGAGTAAAACAGACATTATGGCTCTCTTTTCTTCTTCGCATAAATTCCGGTTCCCGCCCAAAATATTTCATTTCCCGCTCGCTTTTTTTAGTAACATACTTCATGTCAAAGTCTAACAATGAAGTCTACTATGAAGTCTGACTTACCCTAAACCCTAAATCGAATTTTTGAGATCAAAGCTATAGAAAACATCAATTATGTATACATAATCACAATTTACATTATAAACTATGAATTCATTAGCTTTAAATCGTTAAACAAACCGCAAACAATTTTTTTATGTCAAAATTCTCTAAACCCTAACAATCAACTCATAAACCCTATACATTGTACCTCAAACACTAAGCTTGATGATTGGTTTACTCATGAAACTTATAAATTGATTAATTTCCATGAAAATTTTATTTTACATAGATAGGATTTGTCTTTATTTAGATTATTTATAATTTTTGAAGCCTAAATATTTTTTTATAGATTTTAAACTTTAAATTTAAGATTTTGTTATTTGGTAGACTTCTTCAGTAGACTTCACACAATATTTTTTGGATTATACCATAATTTGTATTACCGATTTAAATTGATCAATTTATATGCAAATTTATTTTTCATGGATAGTACTTGTCTTTGTTAAAATTATGTGTAAATACCTTGATCAAAATATTTTTAATAGATTTTAAACTTTAAATTTACGATTTTGCTATATAGTAGACTTCGAGTAGACTTCACGCAGTTTATAGGTTACAAACATAATTTCTCTTACTTGAGTTAAATGGATTCATTTTTATGCAATTTTATTTTTCTTGGATGCCAAATGTTCTAATCTTATTTATGTATAATTTTTTTGATCAAAACAATTTCCTATAATTTTATAAATTAAATTTGAGTTGTGATTAGGAATTAGACTTCATATGAAGTCTAATACGCCGTAGACTTCATGAATAGACTTTAAACAGGGTAAAACAGACATTGTGGCTAGCGTTTTTTTCTTTGTTCATAAGGGCTTGGTTTGTAATTTTACATGCCCAGAAGACTAGTTTTGCTCTAAATGCAATATAGGGTCTAGTTTTGCATTTCAAATCAAATTGTGCACTATATTTGACAATTCCCCCTCAAAACTAGTATGTGAAGGCAATATTCTATTGACACAAGTCATCAGCTTCATTGCATTAGCCTTATCTCTCCAGTGTTCATCATGTGAACTCCACATCTTCTCAACCTCTGAAATAAGTAAAAATGTAACTTGCATTTTGTAATTTGTACCCAAGCACTTAGAGCAGACCAAGTACCAAGTTTAGAATGAATATTTTGACCAAAAACAAAAGATGTATATTTTGGATTTCTTATTAGTTGTAACAAATATTCTTTTCTTTCACTTTTTTGGATCTTTTGGGAGGACCATATACACTTGTACAAAACTTGTTCAATGTAGTTCGGATGAAGACAACGATCTGAGGCTTGATTCAAAGAATTGAGAATAGTTTGTTAGTCGGGGCAAATAGTTGTAACAAACGACACAAATGAACTATCTTATTATATAAAGCTGGATGCGCACGACGTGGTTGCGACACATAGGATTTTTATAAAATTCAGGATCGCGACATGTGTCACTTTTAATGTTAAGTCCGTTAAGATCATGACACATGTTTTGAAAAAAAAAATATTTTATTTTAGTTAAATATTAGAAAAACGAAAATTAAGAAAAGAAGAGGAAATTTTAATCTATTATATTTGTGAAATCCTAACAGAAAAAGGATTCCCATTCATCAAAATTATATTATCTTAACACATATTAAATTCAAAATAATGTAATAATAAATTTCTATTAGTACATGAAATAAATTATGTAAACTAAATTTCCTATAACTGCATGGAATATGTTAAGTGAACCCCTATAAAAAGAAATTTAAGGTAGTCTATTTTTTCTCATCCACAAACTCATCAAATCTTTTTAATTATCTTTCTCTAATTAAAAAATCATGTCTTTGAAAGTTCAAAAAAGGTGGAGAATATTTGACTGTAAGTCAATTGGATCGAAATAGATACTATCGCCGTACTATACATGTTATTCGAAAGTGGAAAGCTAGAAATCCTAAAGAAAAAAAATTATTTGTGAGAGTTAAGTTTTTATTACTTGATGGAAATGTTATTAACATATTATATTGATATTTATTATATAAATATGTATATAATCATAGATTAACATTAAATTTTTACATTTGTTTGAATCAGGAAAACACAATTCAAGGACAAATAGAAAAAAAAATAGCAATTTAGAAAAAATGTTACATCCATTAGGAAAATGAAAAAGAAAACATATTCCCAATACGAAAAGGAATAAATCAAAAATCAGAAAAAAACATGACGCAAAAAAAAAAACAATTGTTACACCCATTAAAAAAATGTGAAAAAACATATTCCCATTAAGAAAAGGAAAAAGAAAAAAATATATATAATAAGTTATAGCCTTCATGATTTATATGTGTAATTCTATCTTTTGTTTAAACTTTATCTTTTATTACAAAATAGAAAATCATATATTTTAATGTTCAAGATATCAATAAAGAATATTTAACTTTAGATCAGTTGGGTTGAAATTGAAATTTTTGTTGCACCATTTTTCTATTATATGATCATGTGATAACATGTGTTAACAAAAGAAAATTATAAAAATATAATCACATAAATAGAAAACTAACAAAATAATTGTAAAACAACTAACGAACTATGAATAAGAAAATTTTTATGGTCTGAGGCAAAACAAAATTGAAAAAAAAAACATGATAAATAGAAAATTAACAAAAAAATTATAACATTAAATATATAAATAATTGACCAATATTATAATTTTAAATATATTAATTTTCAATTTTTTGGTAGGTAAAACAGTATTAAGAAAAAGATTTCATCAACTAAAATCTCTTAAATAGAATAATCAAATTTTCATGAATTAATTAGCCTATCAAATTTAGATTAGATACGTATAAGTCTTTCTATATTAGATAAAAGAAAAAGAAAATAAATTAATTCATTTTCATATCATTAATTAAAACAAAATGTTAATTGTAATTAAAATGTAAAAATATTACCAGTTTTATTTTATTTAGAGATTTGTTATCGAATTTGAATATTATTCTACTTACTTTTAAAAGTGACTAGATTTGGTTTAATATTTTCCTATTATTTATTTCAACAATATTAAAACAAACCCGCGTATACGCGGAGCCTAATCTAGTGTTATTATAATAGCATGCTTAAATTGAAGGGTGTAGTTTGATAATTTATAAATGTTTTGTGCTGGTGTGTAAATAAATGGAATGAAGAGGGATTATTTAGTTAAACCAAACGATATCGTATCGAGAGGGATTATTTCGTTTAATCAAACGATACCGTATCGATAAAGCTAGCTCTAGTTAGTTTCCCTAACCAAGTGGGGGCAACAATAAAACTCAATCCGCTTTATAACTTCCTCTTCCCTTCAATGCAAAGTGTGTTTCAGAAGATAGGCAGCAGCAAGCAACAGAGTTTCATAGACGATAAAGCAAAGGAAAACGCGAGAAAACTCAAATGGATTTGCGTTTAGACGGAGGAGGCAGCGTTTGGCAGAAATGCTCAAGACACGACTTCCGTTTCGTCTTCGGTGGCGGCGTTTGTCCTTTCTGCCTCCACGAACAACTCTCCTCTCTCTGCCCCGACTGTTCCCGAAATCTCCCGTGTTCGTGTACCCCACGCTCCTCCGTCTCGGACTCCGCCGGAGAAGGTGACGTTTCGTTTACCGGCGTCGGATCCGTTGGCCGCGTTGACAACCTGATCGAACGCGAGCCGGCGTTTCGGAGATCGAGATCGATGGCGGTTCCGTTTCTCTGGCCTGCTAAACCAGAAACCGGGTCGGATCTCCAGCCGGGTCGTGTACCTTCGCTATGGAGACTATTCAGAGGAATAAGTGGAGAGGCAAAAACGAAGGCTGCTGCGATTATGAGGAGGTCGAGATCCGTCGCTGTCTCTGACGCCGGAGAACTGTTAGATTCGCCGGCGCCGGTGACGAACAAGGGAAATGGTTGGTACTTTCCAAGTCCAATCAAGGTTTTCCGACAGTCAAGAGTCTCCAAGATGATGTTTCAACAAAGATCTCCTTTGTACAGAGGTTGAATTTTAGTTGTTTATTTTGTTCGTTAATAATTCTTTTTCTTTTTGTCGTCAACGTTCGTAAATACTTCTTTCATGATGAAATTGTTAAGTTTATACTACATGAAAATTGGATTATCCTTGATGAATCTTATGAAGTTTCAAATCATTTCCAAAAACCAATATGTTAATTAAGATCTCAAAATTAGTGGCTTCTACAAATTGAGGTTATTTCAAGTGAAAGTTTTCTTCAAAGTTAAAAGACGAAATTGGTGAATGAACTTGTGATGTTGACAACATATTCGAGGTGTATGTTTTCTTCCAAAGGGTTAAATTCTCTAAATTCTTCAAAAGACTATAGTTCATAGGGGTATTTCAAAAATTAACTGCTCGTTATGCTCTTGAATCTTGATACTATAGTTCATTGAACCAATTGAATGGAAACACATAATTTAAATATATACTAGGAGAGAACCCGCGCAATGCGGGTTTATTAAACCAAATATTTTTAATTTAATTATTCAGAACATTAGATTCGAATATATCATTTGTTTTTTACTCGAATATATTAGATTCTGTAAGTTTTGCATTTTGTTTTTTTTCATATAGTTTTAAAATTTAGTTGTTATTTACGTGAAATCTTATATAGACTCATAGTGAATAGTTTCATATGTTTTTTGTTCTTTTATACAATAATTTATCGACTGGAGTTGAGTTCTTCTAATTTTCCTTATACTAACAATCATTATAGATTGATTATTATCCTACAGACTCATAGATAATAATAATTGCAACCCTTTTTAAAAGGAAATGAAATGAGCTAATTAGCCAGTAAGCCCATTTAAAGCTACCATGGAAACGAAGAGGTCCGATAAATAATCAAGCCTATCAAAACGAACACATTACACATAATTTTGATTTAGATTTTTTTTTTTTTTCGAAAACGACGTCGTTTTGGTGTAAGACGAAAAAAAAAGATAAAGCGCAAAACGACGTCGTTTTGGTGTAAGACGAAAAAAAAAAAAATAAAGCGCAAAACGACGTCGTTTTGGTGTTAGGCGAAAAAAAAAAAAAAAAAAAAAAAAAAGAATACATGTCAAAGACTTGAGAGTGTCCAAACCTTATTAGGTATGTAGATTTTGTCCTCGTAATGTTTTATGCTACAAACTCTCAGTTATCGAGTAAAAGGAAAGGTTGATAGCTTTCGCAAATATTTGTATATCTGTAACAAAAAACGAGAAGCAGTAACATGGTTACATGTGCTAAGAAGCCCCACCAAACACGTGAATGAAGCCGTCTCCATTTTTAAAAGATTTGTTCTCTATTTTTAATATGTTTTTTTTTTGGAAAAGAAACAAAATAGAAGAAGAAGGGGGAAATAGGGAAACGTGAGGGAGTGTTGGAGAAGGGAGCCGACAAAGAGTGGCGACAGACATACGCACACGGTTGCACCTTCTCTCCTTTGTCATCATCACCTTTCTCCACTTTTGTTCACAAGAAATCTCTCTCAACCTTTTTATTTTCCTTAAATTGATCTCAGTTTATATTATTTCGATTTATCTTTTGTTTCCTTTCAAGAGCTAAGAATCACAAGATGTTAACAATTTAACAGTCTGTTTAATCTGAAGTCTTAACTATACAGTCTTATATCTTCTTTGCCTCTTGGACTCAAGAATATTTTGTCCATAACTTTTATTTTGTGTCCACTCGCGAATAATCTCTAGAGACTAAACCAAGTGGTTGTATCCCAGTGATATTTGAGGAAGGTAAGTCCTAATACGGATCCGGGTTCAAAACCATTTGGCCATAACGGATTTAATATCCCTTCCGTTGGGGCCCTAGACCCCTTTCGAGTGGATAGTCAGGTTTTCCATTCGGGTAAGATCCTCGGAATAACTGGATACAGCTGGACAAAGCTCAGACCATCAGTTTGGGGGTCCAAACTGGTCGGTGACTGTTCGGTCGACTTCTCGAACCCGGATACCAGAGATACCAAAAAAAAAAAAAAAAAAAACTCTAGAGACTAGAAAGTTTCTTTTATTGTTGACTTCTTATGACTTGGGCCATATCATCCGAATTCACCAAGACCATCTCTTTGATCAAACAATCCATAATTGACAAAAACATATCAACTCTTCATTAGCTCCCCTTTGTAAATTTTAGCACAAGCGCAGCTCATGCATCTTCACCGGTGCCACATTTTCGTTCCAATTCATCATTCATCTTGAAGTTGATCAATGATATAAGACTGCTTATGTATCTCATCATGCGTATTTTTTCGTGATGCATATTTTTAAGGTAATTTGTTAAATGGAAAAAAGAGAGAGAGTAAAGTTAAAGAAATAACACCATAAGTGGCCATTTCTATATTATTTCCAACCTCTTTCAGTTTGTAGACCCTTTAACAAAAAAAAAAAAGACTCTTTCAATTTGTATTCACAATTCAAGATATTTGTCCCTGTTCGTCTTTTCTTCTTCTCTCTGATCCTCAAATATTGAATTGCAAACAAATCTTAGAGTTAAAACATGTTATTCAAAACGAGTTAAGTGAAAATCGCATATATACAATTTGAATCTGTAAAAAACAAACATAAACTACTTGAAAAAATCTAATTTGTTTTTCAAGTGAGAATGTATTCTACACCTATTGTATTTGTACCCACTATATATAGCTTATAAAAGAAGATTTTGAAAATCATAACTGATTCATTACACGAAATAATCTGTTTTAAATATCTTAACGGTTAATGACGTCGTCAAAACAATATGTAAGGTTAATAATTATGGAGGGAAAAAGAAAAAGCTCTAATGGTTAATAGGCTCGTTGGGTTAACGAGCTCTCGTTACCGTTAAAGAATCCTACAAAACGCGCGAGATAGTTTAAAAGGTTATTTAAGTAAACTCACACAATAACAGGATATTACGCAAGCTTGTTTATAAACCCTTCGATTTCTTCCATAAATTTCGAAAAAATTTAAACTCCGCTTTTCCTCTCCCTTCGAATTTCAAATTCTCACATCTCCGGAAACTTTTCCTTGTGGAGAAATTTTTTTGTTTCTCCTCTCTCTAGAAATGGCGTCCGAGAATCTGAATGATAAGATCTCCGTCTTTAAGAAGCTCAAATCCAAATCGGATAATAAGGTAAATGTTAACCCGCTGCTGTTTTTTCTAGATTCATAGATTCAACTGAAGATCTGAAATTCCGGTGATCGGAATCTCGCTGTGTTTGGGTTATGGATTTTTGAGATATTTTGCAGATTTGTTTCGATTGCAACGCGAAGAGCCCAACATGGGCCTCCGTGACCTACGGGATCTTTCTCTGCATCGATTGCTCCGCTGTTCATCGGAGTCTCGGCGTACACATCAGCTTCGTCAGGTAATGATTCATCGATTGATTTCGTCTTCTTCAGATTCGAATTCACTTGATTAATCTCGCTAATTCTTCGATTCTGGGTTTCTGTACGACAAATTGTGATAGAAATTCGATTTGCGGAATTGCTTTCCGTTTCATGCATTCCCCTGGATTTCTTTTGATTTCCATGTTTATGTTTCTGGTAGGTCAACGAATTTAGACTCGTGGAGCCCCGAGCAGCTGAAGACGATGATCTATGGAGGAAACAGCAAGGCGCAAATGTTCTTCAAGCAGCATGGATGGAGCCAAGGAGATAAAACCGAGTCCAAGTACACATCGAGAGCCGCTGAGTTGTATAAACAGAATCTCTCCAAACAAGTCGCTAAGAGCATCGCCGAGGAATCGGATCTACCTCCATCGCCTGATTCTACTAATCAAGCAACACAAGTGAAGCCCAATGGGCTCTCAAGCATCAAAACCAGTGAAGAAGCTCAGCAAGAAAAGCCTCAAGAAGTCCCCGTTTCACCAAGAGTTTCTCGGAGCAGCGTTGTTTCTAAGAAACCTCTTGGTGCCAAGAAGACTGGCAAAACTGGTGGACTTGGCGCCAAGAAGCTAACTGCTAAGGTCAGTAATTGGAAGATCTTGTTAGAAAGCCAGAGGAGGTTCTTTACATTTGGAGAAGTTTACATTTAACAAGTTTTTTTTTGAGAATTTTGCAGTCAAGCGAGACTCTTTATGATCAAAAGCCAGAGGAGGTTCTTGTTGTAACAGCGACTTCTCCATCATCAGCGAGGTCGTCGTTTTCGTCTCGCTTTGATTACGTTGACAGTGTTCAAACGAGAGAGCTCAGCAACAGCCCTAAAGTGTTTGGTCATGTAGCTCCACCGAGATCAACAGGCTTCTTCGATGAGTTCGACATGTACGGAGGCGACTTTCAGAAGAAACCAACCACAAGTTCCTCAAAAGTGAAAACTGAGCTCTTCTTCTTCTTCTTTTGTGCAAGATTCTTTTTGTACTCACCCTCTCTAGCGTTTTGACCAGGTTCAAGAAACAGATGAAGCACGGAAGAAATTCACAAACGCGAAATCAATCTCCTCTGCTCAGTACTTTGGAAATGATAACAGCTACGCGGATCTTGAGGCTAAAACTTCTTTAAAGAAGTTCTCCGTACGTTTCTTCTTGAACTAAATACTTGTTTTCAAAGAAACACTCATCAGTAGTAATTGCAACCAACTCATTTTTGGAAACAGGGTTCAACAGCAATCTCTAGTGCTGATCTGTTTGGAGACGGTGACGGAGATTTTCCTATGGATCTCAACGCCGGTGATCTTATCAACCGCCTCTCTCTCCAGGTCTCACCTCACTTCTTATGATTTCTTTACTGTTAAAGGCTCATTTTTTTCCCAGTACCGATGAACTACGTTATTTTTATGTTATGTTAGGCTCAGCAAGACATGTCGTCGCTGAAGAACATGGCAGAGGAGACAAAGAAGAAGCTCAGCAACTTATGGGTCTAAAAAAGGTTTATGCAAATTCTCTAAAGACCTAACACACATTCATATATTTCTGTAAATAACCTTTTTCTTTTTTTCTTTTACTCCAAACCTTTTGCATAAACTCTGTTTTTTTGTTATACTGAAAATTATCAGTGTTTGTAAAATCGTCATCAAATAAACGTATGTGGTGTGTAGCGATTACTCTTTTCATATGGTGATCGTGATTGGCAAACTATTTCTTTCTACTTTTTTTTTGTCGAACTAGGTAATTGTCCATATGTCCATTAGAAGCCCACCAGTACTTATATATTACACTAAATCTCATTTCACTTCCTGATGTAATGTGAGATTCTTGACAGAAATCTTCTATAAGGATGGATTTATGAGCTAAACTCTTCTATGAAACTGTTTAGATCGTTAAAAGAAGACCCTCCTTCTTCCACGGCGGCTTTAGCCATCTCCGCCAGCTTCACTGCCCGTCTCCGCCTTTCCTCCGCCTCTTCCCCAACCAAAACCTCCCTCACCGCTTTCTCCACTTTCTCTCTGCTAATGAAATCTTCCATAACCTTGACATGCCTTTTGGCTCCCACGCTCACTCCCGTTTTAGAGCACTTGTGTAACCAATTTCTCGTTGTAGAATTGCTCCGCTCCAACCGGCCACGTCACCATCGGTAGCCCCGCAGCCACAATGTGTCAAGAACCCACCGGTTGCTTGGTGGTCAAGTATCAGCACTTGTGGAACCCATCCTCGGATTACCATCCCTTTCCCTTTCGTTCTCTCCTCCATCCCTTCTGGTAACCATTCTTCGTCATCACCTGTTCATAACCAAAAGTTTGTTTCAGATCAAAAACCCTAAAAATACGCTAATGTATTATATTTGTTTCAAACGTTAATTTCAGTACCTGCGTTTTTTCTAACAACCCTAATGAAACTTGCTCCTGAAGCTTCTAACCCTGCAGCGATCTCCATAAGCTGCTCGTTCTTGATGCAAGCCAAGCTCCCAAATGAAATGTAAATGACTGAATTAGGTTTCATGGAGTCAAGCCATTTGAGGCATTCATTCTCATCGATGCTTGCTTTCTTTCCTCTCCCAGCCTTCTCCTTGAATCCTCTGTTTATAACAGAGAGCGGACCAATATGCCACGTTCTCTTCGCTACTCTTGTAGAAATCGACGTAATCAGGTTCAAGATCGTAGAAGCTGTTCACAATAACACCTGAGCTCTTCACTTCTGATTCTGTAACCTCAGTCATAAACTTCCCCATCTCGCTTTCTTCTCCGCGGTCTGCGATCTGTTCTTGAGTTATCACAATGTTGCCAGGGAGATCAGGGATCACAAATGGCTCACAACTGGAACCTACTCTCTTATGTGGTTTATGCACTCTGATGCAATACTCAGAGCATAGAGCGAAGTAGCCCTTGCCGTGGAACACAAGTCTTGGCACATGGAACTTATCAGCAGCTTCAGTAGCCCACGGGAAGAACATGTCAGCGATAAGACAGTCCGGTCTCGTTGTATTAGTACGATTACGTTCTTTTTGTACCAACCACAATTTCCATGTGTCCGAGACGCTTACGGTGGTGAAAGCAGTTATTCGTGTTATTACCGGGATGATTAAGATGGAAAATCCAGAGGATAACGGTGAGAATGCACCGGAGTTGGTGGCGGCAAAGATTGTTAATGTCTCTAACATTGTCGACGAGAAGCTTCTGGTATCTCTCACTTCTGTCAAGACTCTGTCCTTGGCTTTATCACCATTGGAGGTAAAGGTTTGACTTTTGAGTTACTACTTCTTGCCACTACGATCTTCTTCTCTGTACTAATATTGCCTCGTGTAGATTACATTTCCTACAGGTAGTATCTTCTATCAGTTAGTGAATTTGGAGATACATACATGTAAAGCTGAGTGGTGGAATCTACTTGTGCTCATGCTTGATGCTTCTCCTCGATTACAAGTCCTCAAGCTCCTCTATGTAAGCATTTTCAACCAACTTCATCTGTCTGCAATTTTTGTTTCCATGTCTAATTTTAATGTACATTGTGTGTTTTTCCCTCGTTGATGTCTCAGGAGTCTAGCTATGATTATTGGGATCGTTTGGCATGTAAGAAATGGAGTCAACCGAAGAAGGTTCCTGAGTGTTTGTTATCCCATCTCGAGACATTCTTGTGGAGAAGCTACAAACGAGTACTAGAAGAGGAGAAAGCGGTGGCCAAATACATCCTAAGTAACGCAGCTCGTTTAAAGAGGGCCTCTTTCTCCGAAATGCCCTTAGAAGAGAGAAATTCTCAAGAAATGGTGGAGGAATTGGAGAGCGTTGTCAGAGCTTCAAACTCATGCGAGCTTGTGTTTGAATGAAACTTATATGAAAGGAGCAGAGTCTTTCGGGGACAAGAGAGTTGAAGTGGTTATGTTGTTGGAAAGTGTATTCATGTTTGTTCAAATGAAGACTATTAGGAGATGAATCTATGTTGTCACATGTAACTTTTAATGTGGTTTTAGTTCATATCTGTTTTGGATGTTTGAGAATATTTATGTAATTATCAACTTATGGGTCTAAAAAAGGTTTATGTAATTCTCTAAAAGACCCAAATATTTTTGTAAATAACCTTTTTCTTTTTCTTATACACTCCAAATCCCCATTTCCATAAACTCTTTTTTTTTTTTGTTTTACTGAAAATTATCAATGTTTTGTAGCGATTACTCTTTCCTACGGTGATCGTGATTGGCAAACTTTTTCTTTGTAATTTTTTTTTTGCGATTTTGGTAATTGTCTTCGTTACTGATGTGTGATTTCAAGATATTGTTCATGTGTCCATTAGAAGCCCACCAGTACTTATATATTACACTAAATCTCATTTCACTTCCTGATGTAATGTGAGATTCTTGACAGATATCTTCTATAAGGATTTATGAGCTAAACTCTTCTATGAAACTGTTTAGATCATTAAGCTCATGTACTGTCTATCTTCATTGTTGTTTGAGGTGAAGAAATATTGGTTTTCGCATTCTTCTGGTAACCCGAGCTGCGCTCAAGGGAAATCAAAGACCTTGATCTCGAGATCAAAATTCCGGTTCAGAGAAGTATATCATTTCGGTTCTTGATGACTAGTTAATAACTAATGACTTTTTATCGTATCATTATATCATCATCATAGTCATCCTTATCACCATAATCATCATATATCATTTCACATAAATACATAATGTAATAGAAGTATCCACCATCTTCTTCTTTTTTGGCCACGAGAAATGAGTTAAATGACCTAGAATTAGAATCTTGAATCTAACCCCAACAAGAGCTGGCCAAAAATAGAATCTCTAATAAGCATCCTACTGTAGGGATCAAAATACTTTCTTATCCCTCAAACGATTAAACACTAAAAATAAGCAAGTCCCTGACCCTTAAAGGTCATATTGGTTTTTCTCTTTCTTTTTTTGTCGTCCCCTAATTCCTCAACAACAAACCAATCAAAACCCAATAGAAAAAGGTTTCCATTGTAAACTTAAAATTCTGGTTTCTTGTCAATCAAGCAACCCAACCCCTAAGAAGGAACATCCCCCAAAGATTATCATTTGGGAATAGAGCTCTCCAACATTTAGAGTTTTCCTCCTTTTTAATCAATCAAGAAAAAGAAGAAAGATGAGCCTGAACTGCCTCGCTTGCCACATCCTGCAAAGATCAGACTCGGACAGAGACATAGGAAGCCGTAAAGATTCAAGCTTAACAGAAAACTTTGCCATTTCAAGGTATGAAAAACTGGCAAGGAACAGATCACAATTGCCCGTAGTGAGACGGGTCAAAAAGGGACATCGCAGGCTCTACAGCGCGGAGGTCGTTGTCTATGGGGATCTGGACGCGCCCAAGCTTATCAGAAGCAGTGGGCTTAGAAGGGATTGGAGCTTTGAGGATCTAAAGAAACAAAGAGAGATAATGAAAATTGAAGAGACAATCAAGGAATAAGAGAGATCGCTTTCCTTACGTTTCTTCTTATGTTCTTGAACTTGTTCTGTTCCTCTCAAATTATGATAACAAACCCGCGCAATGTAAGGTTTTGAAAAGTTTCCAGATTTTCTGGATACAAACATGACAAAATCTGTGAAGTCTCATATATATACATTCATTTTTTTTAAATCTTTATATTATTAATTGAGAAGTACATTCTAATGTTTGGATACAAGAATTAGAGAAACATCTATTTGGATAGAAGAAAAATGGAAACAAAAGTTGTTTGGATATAAGAATAAGAGAAAAATCTATTTGGATAGAAGAATAAATGGAAAAAATTGTTTGGATACAAGAATAATAACTTAAAATAAACCGATGGTTTAGAAAACTTCCGTTTCTCATCTCTTAAAAATCTGCAAAAAAGAAAACTTAACATAATCTAACGATAATTCCAAATCAATAGAATATGCTTTTTGGATTTTCGGGTTTTTATAGACAAGTTCGGGTTTGGGTGAAAATCTGAGATATAATTTTATAGAGATATATATAGAGATATAGAAATTGTTTGGGTTTTTTTGAAAATTTATGTTCGAGTTAGGTTCAATTTTTTTCTTTCAGTTTAGGGTTTTCCGGATTTTTTAGATTAAAATAAACCAGCACCGAAAACCAACGGTTTAATCAGTAAAGTATGTCTAGACCAATATTTGTTCAATCGATTTTTAAAAGATAATGGGGCAAAACGTAAAATTCGAAGGCCCAAAGTATTATGTGCAGAATTTCTATAAACAGGCTAGATATAATACCATAATCAATAATTTCCACTTTCGCAGATCTTAAAAAAAGTAAACATATGCTTATGCATTTTGTAATAAAATCTGCAAAAAAGAAAAGTTCCAAAAAATACATCACTGATATATGCGAAATTTCCATTATTTAAAAAACACAACTACTATATAATGATGTGAGAAAAACAAATTTGTTAATAATACAAATATGATACAACGATATATGCAAAATTTCCATTATTTCAAAAACACAACTACTATATAATAAGGTAGCCGATGATCAATAAGCCATTAGTCCAATCAGGTTCACAATTCGAGTTTTTTTGGATTCATTTCATGGTTTTTTCAATTTTCTGGATTTTGAATTTTTGGATTTAGACATATTAAAAAGTTTTGGTCTTTAATATTTTTTATTAGGGTTTTTGGGTTGGGTTCGGCTTTCAGGTGAACAAGTTTCGAGTTTTTTGGTTCTGTTCAGGGTTATCATGATTTTTAGGTTTTGGGTTTTCGTGATTTTTTGAATTTAGGGTTTTCTGGTTTAGACATATTAAAAAAGTTTGCGTTTTTTTAAATATATATTTTTTTTGTTTTTAAAATTTTTGATTAGAGTTTTCGGGTCGGATTCGGGTTTAGGTTTTAGATTTTTTACACAAAACCACAATATATACATAATTTCATATTCTGAATAGGCAGCTCATGAAAGTTTCTTGCAAAAAGGTTCATTTTCCTCTCTTAGTTCCACAATGTGTTGAACTAACCATCAACTGGGGTGGTGGCGCAGTTGGCTAGCGCGTAGGTCTCATAGCTCCTGAATGATCCTGAGGTCGAGAGTTCGAGCCTCTCTCACCCCATTCTTTTTTTTTTAATTAGCCCTGTGCATTTGGGACATGTATGATGTATTGATTGTTGCCAAAGGAAAAAAAAGTATGATATATTGACATGAACGGAGGGAAAAGAATAATTTGGGAATTTAGATATATTATCTGAAGTATTATAGTGATAACGGAAACAAGAAGTTTGTAACTAAAAATTATAAATCTTAATTCTTATTAATCGGAAAAATTAAAGAGATTTATGGAAAATATGGAGAATTTCGGAAAATATGAAAAATATTTGGAAAGTTTAAGGAAAAAATTATATAATTTTTTTTTTAAATAGGTAATTTTGCATCCTTTCTTTCTCTCGTAACATTTTGTACTTTAAATTATGTATCACAATAAAATAATGTTTTAAAATGAAAATTGTAACTTCCCATTCTCAAAACAATCAGGAATTTTGAGACGTATGTTAGAGGAAATTGGATTCCCATTCCAAAATAACGGAATTACAAAATGGATCAACATAACCTTGGAAAGTTTAAAAATAACTACAATAACCTTTGTATTTTACAAAGGTGTAAAAAGAATTGTAAAGTTTTCAGAAGACCATGTATTACAAAACTGCCACTCTATCTTCCTAAAACAAAACCAAAATAAAAACCAAGTTATTAAACCAAAATTCAATCTAAACAAAAATTCAAACTTAACCAAATCATAAACCAAAAATTTAACTTAACCTAATTTTGCAATTAAAAAGTCAAATTTAAAATTAAAAATTAAAAACAAAAAACTAATAAATAAAAATTAAAATTATGAAAAAAAAAATTTAAATTAAAAACTGTTGAAATCATACGACGAGCTAAAATTAAAAATTAAAAATTAAATAAATAACTAAAAACTAAAATTAGATAAAATTTAAAATTAAATAAATAAAACAAAAAAACTAAACTCAAAACTAAAAACTAAAATTAAAATTATTAAAAATTTAAAATTAAAATAAAAAAATATTAAAAACTAAAATTTAAAATTTAGTACTAAAAAAGAAAAATATTAAAATTAAAAATTAAAGCAGGTTAAACATTTAAAAGGTTAAATATTTAAAAGTAAAATTTAAAAAGTTAAAATTTTAAAATAAATATTAAAAATCAAAAATCAAAAATAAAATTTAAAAATTAAAAATTAATTAATAAAAATTATTAATTAATGTTTAATATTCATTATTAATTAATAATTAATAAAAATAATTATTAATTAATATTTTTGAAAACATTTACCCAAAAATAATTTTATTAATTTTAAATTTTACCCAAAATTAATAATTAACTCTAATATTATTGTACTATAGATACAAAAGTCTGCGACCATTGTAATTGCTATTAATAAGTTTACACTCAACGAAATAAGTCTACTTATATAGTAATAAACAAATAAAAGTCTACGGCCATTGCAATTGTTTTAAATAAATCTACCCTCAGTAAATTAAGTTTACTAATATTGTAATATATAAACAAAAGTCTACAACCATTACATCTAAGTTTACGTCTGTTGTTATATACAAATAAAAGTTTACGATCATTGCAATTGTTATAAATAACAATGAATAAATCTACCTTGCACCAATAAATCTACAATCAAAGAAAATAAATCTACCACAACATAAACGAAAGATAGCATGTTCCTTAAATCTATAGTCAAATAAACAAATCTACAAGACAATGTATAAATCTACAGTAATGTAAACTAAGTTTACCGTAACGTAAACATAAAAATAAATCTACAGCCAAATCAAATAAGTCTACAAGAAAACTATAAATCTACGGCTACACAACAATAAATCTACAAATTTATTAATAAATCTACAAAATGCCACTTCGACTTTGACATTTTTAAAAAGTCTACTGCAATATGAATTAAGTCTACAAACATAAATCTACAACAATATAAATAAGTCTACAAAATCAGAATAACTCTACAAACTTAGTTAAGTCTACAACAACTAAAAATAAATCTACAAACAAAAGTCTACGAATAATAAGATAAATCTACAAGACGATATAAATCTACAAATTAAAAAATTAGTCTACAGTTTTCATAATAAATCTACAAACAATATAAATCTACAAATTAAAAAATTAGTCTACAGTTTTCATAATAACTCTACGGTCATTGTTTGTAGATTTATTCTTGTAGACTTATTTTCGAAAATGTTTTGTGCAGACTTATTATCCCGGTTCATTAATGGCACTTTCGTAAATACGTTTTTTGTCACCAAAGAAATAAAGATAAAATCGGGAAAAAAAACTGTTTAAGCCACTTGAATTTACAAGAGTTATTGTAGTTATTAACTAACTTTCTAAGGTCATATTCATCAACTTCCCTTTTTATAATTTCTGAGGAATTAGTGTAACTACTTTTTACTATCAATAATAGACATAAAGCTGTCATTTTTTCCTCTATTTTTTTTCTTTTGGTAAGGTTTTATTTCGGTAACTATATCATTTCTTTTCTTTTTCCATTTTTTTTCGAAGTTATAGATCAAACAATTCCTCTTAATCAACCAAAACGTCAAATATCTATTGCGATAAAAAATTCACAATGGATTATATCTCTTGTAAAGTTGTATTCTAAAGTTATATTTTGATCATTTTCATTTTTGAAAGTTTAATTGGGAAAGTTTAATAATTTTAATTGCAAAAAAAACGGATATGAATTCCTTGTTAAATTGGGAACTAACAAATTTACTACCACATATATAGATTTTACATATAAAAGAATATATATTTTCTATATAAGGATAATGCTCTACTATATTTGCATGTAAGACAGAACCTGTCTTCTTATAGTACGTAATATTAAATTTTTCCCTTCCTATTATTACCCTAATCCTTCCATTTTCCATTGGAGAAATGTTTTTTTGTAACAGAAAGAGAAAAGAAAAACGTTCACAGGAGACGAGACGAGTGTTGACGACTCTGACACGTCAGCTCCACGTCACTCCAGTCTGGCAAAAACACGAATTGAAAATAAATAAGACACAAAATTGGGGGAATCCTAATTTCTTCCCATTTCTTCGTTGACAGAATTAGGGCTCACTTCAATTCTCCTTCTCTCTGCATCGTTTTACTCTGAAAGATCTGATCGAAATTAGGCTCTTGTCTCTTCTTGGTGCTTTGATCCGAATTCACAGGTGAAAGACCTGAACTTTTGCCCCATCATACTGTTCTCGGGTTTGCTCTTTAGCCGGTCTGGTAGATATAGATAGTGTCAGAATTGTTCTTCTCGGAGTAGTTTTCTTTAGTGTTTGATCGTCTTTCTGAGCGAAGAATCATAGGCTTTTGGTTCAGGGGGTGTTAAAGTAGCTCAAGAACTTAGGATCTACTTTCTTAGGCTTAGGCACTTCCTGCTGAAAATTTTGATTCCATTTTTGGATTCATTAGTTCGATAATAAGTTGTTTATTTTGTGGATTAGATAATCACTAGAAAGGTTTGAGTTTTAGCTTAGTGAGGATAATTCTTATCTTGGATCATATTTGGTTTTAGTCAATATAAACAGTATTGGGATATTGCGGAAAGATGGATAGGCCAAGACAAAATGATCATTTGGGTGTGAATAAGATTGGCAAGAACATCAGAAAGAGCCCTCTGCACCAACCTAGTTTCTCAGCGAATGCTAATGTCGCCGCCGTCGCTGCAAGGCCTCAAGCGCAGCCTCAGGTTTACAACATAAGCAAGAACGACTTCAGAAGTATTGTTCAGCAGCTGACTGGCTCTCCATCGCGTGAAAGCCTTCCTCGGCCTCCTCAGAACAACCCACCAAAGCCTCAGAATACTCGGCTGCACAGGATTAGACCAGCTCCTCTCACACAGATAAACCGCCCTGCCGTTCCTCTCCCTGCCATGGCTCCTCCTCCACAGCATCATCAACCTCACTTGCTCAGACCGCATCAACCCCAGCCACAAGGCACACATCATCATCAACAACAACAACAACAACCAATGATGGGTCAAGGGGATCAGTATTGGTCTAACACAGCTGAGTCTCCAATCTCCGAGTACATGCGTTATCTTCAAAGCTCATTTGGAGATTCAGCTCCCAGTGGTAACCAAATGCAGCCTGGTCATGACCATCGGCCTTATATGCCAGCTCAGCCTCAACACCAGCCGTATATGCCACCTCAGCCTCAGCCACAGCCACATCAGCCACATATGATGCCTGGATCGCAACATCCGAGAATGGATATGCAGGGACCACTACAACCTAACCAATATCTACCACCACCACCAGGGTTAGTTCCTAGTCCAGTGCCTCATAATCTTCCTTCCCCTCGGTTCAACGGTCCTGTGCCTTTCACGCCTACTCTGCCCTCTCCAAGGTTCAATCAGTTACATGGTGGTTTCCCTTCTCCAAGATATAACGGTTTCGGACCACTACACTCGCCTACATCTCAGTTTCTTCTACCTTCTCCTACCGCTTACCCGAATATGTTCTCTCCGAGATCACCTTACCCGTTACTATCACCGGGAGTTCAGTATCCTCAGCCACTCACCCCAAACTTCTCATTTTCACAGTTAGCTCAATCAGGAAGTCTCAGACCCGGTCCAGGTCAAGGTCCGGGTCCTCCTCAGCCACCTCCATCTCCAGGGCTCATGTTTCCACCATCGCCATCAGGGTTCTTCCCAATCCCAAGTCCAAGATGGGGTGATTACTAGCTTCTCGTAAGATTTATTCAAGATTACTTGTCATCATGTTTTTTCCAAGGCTCCTTAGATTAGTCTGTACCATGAAAGAAGCTTAATCTTCAGAGCCTACAGTAGAATAGACGCAGCAGCATAGATGTGTTAAACTGCAAAAGGAGCTTTTACAGAGTTTTGTGTTTTTCCTGTTTTTTTTTTGGGTTTCTTATAGGTAAAAGGTACAAAGACTTTATTTGGGAATCCTGGGATGTTGATGATGATGATTACTTTTATTTTTGTTTTTCACAAGATTAGCTATCTTTTGCGTAATTTGTACACAGGCTTTAGACAAAAACGTTGTCAATTTATATAATTTTTTGGGTGTTTCTTAAAGCAGTCATCTCTGTATTTCTTTTTACTTTAAAAATTCATGATGAATACTGTACAAGAATAAGTTTCTTCGAAAGAAAGAGTTAACTAGTGATAAATTATTGGACGCTAACATTTAAACGCAGTTTTCGCAGTTTCAGATGCAGAAACATTTGATAAATTCGATTATCAATGAAGCAACACGCGGACAAGAAAGAGCCAACATCATCGATAATGCCATCATCATTCATCATTCATCATGTTCACCATTTACATTATTCGTAGAGAGTAAAGCAAACGACATAAGAAAACATAAAAAAGAGGCAATAAAAACGGACGTCGGAGGGAGACAAGTTCTCTAGCGTAAGACGACTCTTGAGGCCATATAGTCAACGGATGTTGTTCTCTCTACGTCGGACGTTTCTGGTTCTGTCATTGTACTTTGGTTTATCAGAGCCTCTCTGAGTCGTCAGCTCCACCATCCTCCTCTGTCTCTCTGGTGGACGCGGCACCACTTCTCCGTTCACAAACAGCTCAGCTGTAATTGCAAACATTCAGCCAAGACTTATAATCAGCTAAAAAGTTGGCTTATTTGTACTCCAACACACATTAGCCAGAGAAACACTAACCAAGTTCCATCTTTTATACATATGAACAATGCGTCATTAAGGAAACTGTATTGCCTCAAAAGTAGTTTAAGTTTCTGAGATTTTCAAGAGATGCTTACTCTATGAGATAAACTAACTGATTGATTCTGAGTTATGACACAGTAAATCAACGAAATGATCAATCTTGCATAACTTTCTTCAAAGTGCAGAGCAGTGTTGATGCACTTACCTCCGTAATCTTTGTACTCTGGATCAACGTAAGAGTCCGGAAGCACGAACAGAACTCCAGGAATTCCTGAAACTCACAATCAATCACATCATCTTCCTTACTGATTCTAACACATCAAGTCACCAAATTGTGTTTCGAGAAGAGAGATAATGTACCTTCAAGTTTGTTTGACGTCTCCTCATCGATCTCACAGCCAAACCCTAGATACCTCTCGCATGATACATTGTAGATCTTCCTCTTAGCTTCATCCTCACTGATAAACGAAGCAACAGTCACAGTGCGTTATGCTATATACTGAGCTAGTGATGGAAAAATGGAGGAGACGAATTCTAAAATACACTTACCTGCCGACAATTTTGGCTAGGGTTTGAACATAGCAATCGATCATTTGCTGTCTATTGGCGTTTTCGCCGCCGGGCTTGTCCATAACGATAAGCCAATGCTCGTAGTCGCAACCAGGAAACAGCGGCGCCATTTCAGTGGGTGGTCGGTCGCTGAAATTCGATCCGGATTTGAGCGGCGAATACGACCCACCGGACCTATCCATACGGGTCCGGATCGTCGTCAAACGGATCGAATCGGGGATGAAACCGATGGCGTGGAACAGCGTCGGTGAAGATCGACGGGAAATGAGGTGAGAATGAAGCGGAGAAGGAGCGGCGGCTCTAGAGGTGGAAAAGAAACGACTAGCGACGCGTGAGGCGGTGGTGCGGGATAGGGATTTCGCCATTGAAACTTGTTTTGCTTCCCGGCGATGGTCGGCGGTGACGAGACTAGGGTTTAAGGATCCGAGTTTCCTTTGGTTTTTTCAACACATTTTCTGATAAAAAGAGAATGGCGCTAAAAGAAAATTGGGCTTGCAGTTTATTATTGCTGGGCCTTATCATCACCACCATTTGTTAATGTATATCTCCGATTATTTAACGTTTTAGTTTCATTTTTAAGTATGGGTGAATTGGTGAAATAACCATATTGGGAAATAAAATTAAAGTTTATAACCATTGCAAATATATAATTTGCCTTGGTGACAAAGAGAGTTGTGAATGGACAAAACTATCCTCCTTCTATTAAACGTGGATAAAACTATCTATTTCTATCCCTATAGTAATAACTAAATCGGAATCCACCCAGACTTTTCGTCCCTGTCTACTTACACCCAATCTTTTTTTCTCCGTCGATTCCCACTTTTGCATTTTATTTAACGAAATCCAGTTTTTGAAACCGTGATTGCCCGTTTACACACGAATAACCCGAGTTTTCGAAACCTAAACCCGAGATTTATTAGACAAATCAGACCCGATTCCCCTTTAACTTAACCCGATATGATACTGTAGCAAATCAAAATCGAGAAAAAATCGATTTGGGGGAAATAGAAAGGGAAACCAAATCGATTTGGGGGAAATAGATTAGGGTTCTTCGTATTTTCGTAGATTCGAATTCGAATTCGACGTTTTCCGGCGGCGTTCTCTTCTCCTCGGCGGCGTTCTCCTTGTTTCGTCGTCGTTCTCAGGGTGCTCGGCGTTCTCCTCTTTCTGCATTAACGATGAGGTATTGTTTCTTCGTTTCTTCCGCATTTCGTTGTTTATCGTTTAAATTCGTGTTGCAGTTACTTAGAGTCGTTGTGTCATGGTTTTACATCTTTGGCAGTGACACTTTCAAATTAAATTTGCATTAAGGAGGAGTTATGGAGTTAAGCAGTGGTAGATTCAGTTATATTGGAGGAGCTTTGAAGCAGGGCATTGTTGTTGATCCTGATTTGATGACATGGTCATGTTTTGATGGCTTCTGTGAAGAGTTTTTGATAGCAGGTGGTTTAGTGGAACGAGTTTGGTGAAAGCTCAGTCATGAGAACATGGTAACAGTGAGGAGTATTGTTGTTGTGGAGCTGAATATGGGGCTGTGAGGGAGTTTCAAGGTGCAGAAACAATCTCACTCACACAACCTTCTCAAATCTCAGAGTGAAAGTTGGAATTTCGAATCCTTGCTTTATGAATGTTCTTTTGTTGTCTCAGACTCAAGTTGTTTAAGAGTATTGAATGTTCTTTTGTAATCTCAGACTCAAGTTGTTTAGGAGTTATAGATGTTGTTTTATGTTCTTTTGGGATTATGAAAACCATTTTTATGGGATTATAAAGGATATTGCATTTTCAAAAACTCACAAAATAGTAGAGATAACCATGTTTTACACCATTGTTTTGATCCAACTTCCTCAAAATGAAACAAACCAAGAAGCACATACTACTAGGCTTGCTACAAATCTAGCTCATAATAAACTTAGCACAAATCCATCCTATTGTTCCTAGAACCAACATTGTGATCCCAACTTTTTGCACTCGCTCGTTAGTCATCTTCTTCCCTGGTTCAGCAGCCACCATTATCTCTTCTTTCACTCTTTCTTCAAGCTTTGCCTTAAGCTCTTCGTCCATCTTCCGAATCATCCTTCTCTTTATTCTGAGACCCATATGTCACAATGTTCCTACCACACCAACATCTTAGTGGAACACCACTAACTGATCGCCTGTTTGTCAAACGAGATGAAGCAAAAGATGAAGTGCTCATTGTCCTGTCCCTAATCGTAAAAGAAATCAGCATCAATGTCTACTTAAAGCAAAACAAATTCAGTAACGAACTAGAAAAAGACAAAGCAGCCTCATTTCAACCAATTCAGAACCATAAATAGCTTACCTTGTTGTGTAATGACGCCGAGGAGAGGAGAACGACGGCGGAAACGACGGAAAATAACGAATTCGAAATCGAATTCAACCCAGAAACGAAGAACCCTAAACCCTTTCTATTTCCCCCAAATCGATTTTGTCTCCATTTTGATTTGCTACAGTATCATATCGGGTTAAGTTAAAAGGGAATCGGGTCTGGGTTTGTCTAATAAATCTCGGGTTTAGGTTTCGAAAACTCGGGTTATTCGTGTGTAAACGGGCAATCACGGTTTCAAAAACTGGATTTTGCTATACAAAACGCAAAAGTGGGAATCGACGGAGAAAAAAAGATTGGGTGGAAATAGACAGGGACGAAAAGTCTGAGTGGATTCCGATTTAGTTTTACTATAGGGGGGAATAGACCGAGCTCCCATTCCATAAAGAACAAAATAGAAACACAGCTACACATGAATCATTGTTTGTCATCGTTTCCAGTTTATTGTTTTCAGTTTCTGCATATAGTTTCATAAATCGAACAAAATACTGATGTTCTCATGATCCAGATATCAAAGGAGCTTGAATTAGAAGAATATACTGGTGTCCATGTGATTATCAAAAGAGTTCACTATCTTATTTATCGTTACCAATTCGTTCATTCTTCGAATCCCATAACAAAAGAGATACAAAGAAGAAGAGAATAGTAATCCAAACACATAAATTAAATAACATTAGCAAAGGGAAGAATAGTCAACAATCTGATTGATTTTCTCAGTAGCAAATTAAAGTATGAGATTTCTCACAAGGCTTCGATTAGACTCGTTTTCTATTTGCTGTGACACAAATCGGCAGTGTAGTTGTTACCAGAATCGTCTCTGGTTCTCTTCATCTCTAACCTCCAAGAACCCTAAAACCCAATTTTCAAAATAACCCAGAAAACAGAAAATTGTAGAAAACCACTGAGGAATCAAATTTGATTAGAGATAGAGAAAATCAATTCAAAAACTGAAATAGTTAAACAATAAATTCAAATAACTAAACAATAAACCCTAAATACGAATCTGTAAACCCAAATCTTGCATTCCCAAACACTAAACACTTAACCCTGCAAACCACATAGAAATCCAATTAGAATAGAGCTAGGGAAAATAAATACCGCAACTGAAATGAAGAGCCGAGAAGAATCAAAGTCAAAAATGAAATTCAATCAAAGGAGAAGAAGAGAGATCGGCAAAAAAGCAAAACGGCAAAAAGGAAAGTAAGATCGGTGGATCATGAGGGAGAGAAGAAGAAAAAAAGATTGAAATGAAAAGAAACGAAAAAAAAGGTTTCTTTTTGTTTCAAGGATAATTTGGTCATATTATACTTTATACAGAGAATATAATAGCCAATCAAATAATATGGCTATATCCTTAATTTTAAGCTTTTTTATGGTTATTAGGTGCAAAATCCCTTTAAGTTAATCTTGGTTTTATTTTCATATTTCTTACAAGTTTATACTCTAAAATACTATAAATGCAGATAGTTTTTAAAAACAATACTTTTATGGGATTTTTTTCGGGTCAAGGCGTTTCATATTTTCCAAAGATGTTTTTCTTCTATCATTGTTTGGTAATTTATTAGATAACTTTGTTTTTATTTTGAAAATATTATATAAATCGGTTGATACATCATAAATAGAAGAACTCATTCAACCCTCATGTACCACATTGTCCACCTGGTCCTCCAAACCCGAAGGCCACTCCACCAGGACTTGTATAACCCCAATATAACACTCTATAGCAACTATAGTCATCAGCATAACGTCTCATATTTTTATCTTCAATATAAACTCTATTACAGTCCGAGTTTATAATCACCACATTTTCAAAATGTGCTGTCTTTGTAATGTCTTTAACCGGAAAATATCCATTTCCCATTGGAGGACTAATTCCGTTTGGGGATACAAATGTATTTCCTCCATATCTCACCAACAAAGCTCCTTCATTCAAGTGGGTAAATAACTCTTTAAGCTAATAGCCAATTATTTCATTACCTATTATGAGTCCCCAATTTCCGCTGAAAGCATCCTAATACATATGAAACGGAAAAAAAAAAAAAATTCATAATGATTTTTTTTATATAAAAAGCATACTTTAACTCATTAAAAATGATAATAAAAAGGAGAAGTTTACCTGGAAAATTCGAGTTTTAAACAAAATGCTCGTTTTACCATAGCTTGATGAGCCCCAAAATTCCTTTCCAATTCTAGGATTTCTACTAATAATCACAAAACCTGGACACTGGATATTGTAACATCCTGTTTTATGGAAACCATCTCCCTGAAAAAAAAATAATAAATATATAATAACATTTGTTACGCAAATAAAAATAGTAAATGCAATATTCTAAGCTCATTATTGTTTATTATATGATAAGAATAACTAAATTACATTAATACAAACAAAAAAAATTAAAATCACTCACAGTCCAATATATTGTAAATCTTGTAACACTGTCACCGTATAATCTTGGATGTACCTATAATCAAATTAGAAAATATAAATATTCATATAAAGATATGTTTATTCGCAGCTTATATGAGTTATATGTTTTACTCTAGTAAGTGATTTGATTGTATCAACTTACTGCCCAACCAACTTGTATACTATTGAGTTGATCTGGAGGTCCATTTTCTAACCATATTTGACTCTTGCTGTATTGATTATTTGGCAAATTTAAATCATGAATACTCATGTCAGCTTCAGCGCCTCGATAGATACTTCCATCTAACATGGTCTCAATGGTTGCAAACTGTAAATTTCATATATAAATTAGTCCAGTTTGTAACAATATTATATATTTTTGCACGGATAACAGTTGTTCTTTTTATTTTTTTGCGAAGAAACAAATACTTTAATTGATTGAAACAAAACACGAAAAAAATACTTCAATTTGTAGCTCTTTTCGAAATTAATCAAAAGAAAGAAAACCTACATGTTGACCAGAATATACATCTGTGTTCAAATGAAAGCTTTCAGATCTATTTTTCTGTCTTAAAATGGCAACCATTCCTTTTGGACAATGCTCTTCTGTTTTATATCGGTTGCTTCTTTCAACATTCTCATATGAGTTGCTGAATGTTTCCTATGGTATCACAATTATCAAGTATCAGAAGAAAAATAAGATTTGTATAAGAACTTTCATGTACATTTTTACCCCCAAAAAAAAATTCATGTACATATATATACTATCTTACTTGGATCTTATGGTTTTTTAACAATGGATGTTGGAAAGCTGGTTGTTTGTATATCTCAATACATTCAAAATCCTGTAAAATTTGTTCAAACAGAAATTAGAGAAAAGTTGTAAAATTAACAATGAAATCTTTTATAGGATAGAACAAACAAGCAGAAGTGAGTCTCACATCAATATTTCCTTCTGCACCCTGTGTAGAAAGCAGATAAACACATAGCCCTAACGCTAGATGTAATGCCATTGATAAGTTGCTCTTAGTTCTCTCTAATTATATCTGTGATACTTTTGAGTACCTCATATATAAACCAATTCGATTCAAAGACTATTGACATGACTGCCATTAATATCTCTCTTTTTTCTTGTTTATAATCTTACCAAAAAATATTATAGACATATATCTTTTTGGTCAACGTCTTTAATTTATATACTAAAAAGAAATATTGAAAATTAATTTGTTGATCTATCAACTATCAACGCCACAATTAATCTTACTTTTTCCTAGTTACTCATAAGGCATAAACAATATATATATATATATATATATATAAAGTTCATGTGATTCTATTCTCAATTCATCATTTCAGCACAAACATTTAATATATCATATATTTTTTTAATTTTTATAATAGTTATCATTCATTAAATAGGTTTAACAAGAATATGAAAAGTCATTTACAAAAAGGGTAAAAGATTTTATATAAATCTATAAAAATATTAAAAAATATACAAATATAATATCTCGATCTATAATATCTAAAAATATTTATCTATTTATTAAATAATAGAATTCAATTTACTCATAAGTCATAATCAATATCTTATATATAATAGGAGAGTTGCTCTCTCCATCTAGAGTGTCCACATCAGCACAAAAACATTAAAATGTATTTAAATTATTTATTAAGTATATGACTATTCATATTTCTTTACATTCATTCATATTCAATAAAAATATACAAATAAATAAATAAATTAATTAATAGAAAGTATGTGATAATTTGATGTTAAAAGTTATCAAAAAGTTGGAATATAAAATAGAGATGGAGTAAAGAAATATTTAACTTCAAATAATATATATTTACCTTTTTATTCAAATGATTTATCATATTTAAAAAAATTATAATGTGTTTATAAGTTAAAAAGTTGAATATAAATTAATTAAGATAATAGAAAGTTTATGTAACATTAGAGTTAGAGTTTGTTTTTCTAAACAAATAGAAATAGAGTTTTATATGTAAATTTAATTGTAGTGAAAACAAAAATATGTTTCACCCTTTTTGTAAATGACTTTTCATATTCTTTGTTTCGCATTGCCATTTTGGTCGAAATTTGTTCCACATCATCTCAGCCAATATATATTGTGTATATTTGTGAGTGGAACTATTTTTCTCTCGGGGAAATTTCAAAACTACACCTCTTGAGGTGCCAATTTTCAAAAATACACCTCTATGATGTTCATTTTCAAAACTACAATTTTTTCATGGAGTAAAAGAACTCTAAACCCTAAAATATAAACACAAAACCCTTAAATCTAACATTGTACCCTTAAATCTAAACCCTAAACCCTAATCTAAGATTAGTTAACCCAAACATATATATTAAAATTAGGAAAAAGTTTTGAAAATTTCCACATCATATGTGTAGTTTTGAAAATTTGCACCTCAAGAGGTGTATTTCTTAATTTTTTTCCTTTTTTAACCAGTTAACCTAATTTTAATATTTTAATAACTTGATATATATAATTTTAAACTTTTCACTGTAAATTGAAATATTTATAATAATAGAAGTTTTATTTGGTTTAATTATATAGTTTTATTAAAAAACAATATGTTACCACTAACCAGTAACCACATATATTGATAAATTTGGATGTTTATTAAATTAAGCTTCCATGTCTTATGGTTTCTTATCATTTTGGTTCTTTCTATAATAGGTTTTAGGAACTATTACACATCTTCATTTCCAATACATCTTTATTTCCAATGTGGGATTTTGTTGATATACTTATTATTCTCATCATTTTAATAAATGATATCTGTTTTTTTTAATTCAAATTATAATTTGTGTAAAAAATGTATATTTTTCTTAATATGTGGGTAATGTGATAAATTTATTTATTTTTATAAAATTTAATCCAAGCAAAAAATGTGAGAAAAAGTATAGTATTTAAGAAGATAATTAATTTGATATATTTGATAAGATATGGAAAGAATGATAATATTTTTTGATTAAATGCTGAAATATGCATAAATAATTGACATAAACTATTCTCTAAACACACTATGTAGTGGCATACAATGTAAATACTCTAGTAAAGGCAACCTTATGTTTAAAAAAACTTTGAGAGTGAAGCATATGATGACACATCATCATAGCATAATTGAAAATAACACATGAATGAAAGGTTGTTTTTATAACTGTCTTCTCTTTTAATATATTATGAATCACAAAACCTGGACACTGGATATTGTAACATTCTGTTTTATGAAAACTATCTCCCTGGAAAATGAAAAAATAATTCATATATAATAACATTTGTTAATTGTTACGCAATTAAAAAAAGAAAATGCAATACTCTAAGCTAATTATTGTTTATATATGAGTAAAATAACTAAGCTACATTAATAAAATAAATAAAAATATTCACTGTCCAATATATTGTGAACCTTGTAGCGCTATTAACATGTAATCTTGGATGTGCCTATAATCAAATAAGAAAATACAGATATTTATATAAACATATGATTATTTGCATATGGATTATATATTAAGAATTAGTAAGTAATTTGGATGTATCAAACTTATTGCCTAACCAGCTTATATACTATTGAGTTGAGTTGATCTAGAGGTCCATTTTCTAACCATATTTGACTCTTACTGTATTGATTGTTTGGCAAATTTAAATCATGAATACTCATGTCAGTTTCAGCGTCTCGATAGATATTTCCATCAAACATGGTCTCAATTGTTGCAAACTGTAGTTTTCATAAATTACTCCAATTTGTATCGGTATTATACATTTTTGCATGGATAACAATTGTTTTTTTTTTGCATATATAAACAAATAGTTCAATTGATTGAAACAAAATACGAAGGAACACTACTTTAATTTGTAGCTCTTTTCAAAATTAACCAGAAAGAAGAAAACCTACATGTTGACCAGAATATTCATCTGTGTTCAAATGAAAGCTCTCAGATCCATTTTTTTGTTTTAAAATTGCGACCGTTTATTTTGGACAATGCTCTTCTGTTTTATATCGGTTGCTTCTTTCAACATTCTCATATGAGTTGTTGAATGTTTCCTATTGTATCACAATTCACAAGTATCAGAAGAAAAATAAGATTTGTATAAGAACTTTCATTTACATATATATATACTATCTTACCTGGATCTTGTAGCTTTTCAGCAATGGATGTTGGAAAGCTGGTTGTTTGTATATCTTAATATATTCAAATATCCTGTAAAATTTGTTCAAACAGAAATTAGAGAAAAGTTCTAAAATGAACAATGAAAACTTTTATAGGAGATAACAAACAAACAGAAGTTCAAGGATGTAAATGGTAACTGAGAAATTGCATAATGTTGAGGAATCTGGCAGAATTTTTAGCGAGAGGATGAGCCGCCGCAATGGTAACTTAGGAATTGCATAATGTCGAAAAATCTGTCATTGTTGCATCTTTTTCGTCTACAATAGTTTCGCTATGAATCTAAAAAGAGGAAGTAAATGGTAACTGAGGAATTGCATAATGTTGAGGAATATGGCAGAATTTTTTGCTTTGCGTCGGTCGATACATACCACTTTGCCTCGACCGACGCACACCTTGCGTCGCCCGATGCAACTTCTAAAACTCTCCAAAAAGGGCTACGGATGTTACACTAACACGCACTTCTTCTCTTCGAATTACAATGTGCCACATGTCTTTGGTGGGGCCCACTTTATTTTTTATCAATATGTTGTTAATTTTCAATGATGATTTTGCAAGTCATTCAACACACAATTTCAACAACCTCATTTAAACTAATTCAATTGTTGTAAACTACTACCAACACCTTCATTGCACTTGGTATTAGAGAAACAGTTCAAAAAGCTGTTCTAGAGAAACGTTTTTCTCTCACCTCTCCACTTCAGTGCGCCACGTTATATATATATATATATATATATAGTTTTTTTTTGGAAAAAAACCGTAATAAACTCAGTGTTGTTTCTGCTCTAAGAACATATTTATTCGTATACTCAAATTGTCTCTTAGCACTATTATAACAATAAACTTAAGTTACGAGACATGGGTAAGAGACCTCTGTTTTGGCATCAATTATTGGTAGAAATTTTAAGTGTTCTCAACTTTTTCGACCTCATGCTCTAAAGTCTCTTAACGTTTTACAAATTATTCGATAAACCATAAAGTAAAACGACATTTCCTTATTTATATTACAAACGTCTCCACGTCACTCTAATCCAACACCTCACTCACTCTTCTTTTTTCGAAACTACACCTGAGCTAGCTTATCAAAAGCCAACGCCAATCAGCAATCCCCGCTGTCTTGCGAACGGATCCTAGGTCTCTCTCTCCTTATTTATAAATTCACAGGGAATTTCAGATTCGTAGTAGACGAATATGCGGATTTCGAGTCCGAGCACGTTCGCAGAGCTGAGAAGTTTCTTCAATCGAGGAGCGAAAGATTCGCTCTCGCCGTCCGATTCCGCTTCTCCGTCACCGAGATCATACCCTTCGACGTCTCCGGCTTCGTCGTCTGCAGGGACTGGACCACCGAGACCGATTCGGCTAGTGTATTGTGATGAGAAAGGAAAGTTTCGAATGGACCCTGAAGCAGTTGCTACTTTGCAACTCGTTAAGGAACCGATCGGTGTTGTTTCCGTTTGTGGTAGGGCTCGTCAAGGAAAGAGCTATATTCTGAATAAGGTTATGGTTTTTTCCTTTTTTATCAGGGAATGGTGTTTGTTTCTGTGTACATTGTCTCGAGGTCTAGGGTTTCTGTTTTTGTTTTCTCTGGAAATGAGTTGTCTGGTTGTTTGCGTTTTTGTAGCTCCTTGGACGCAGTAATGGGTTTGGGTTTCAAGTAGCATCAACACACAAGCCGTGTACGAAGGGGCTTTGGTTGTGGAGCTCTCCGATTAAAAGAACAGCTCTTGATGGAACTGAGTACAATCTTTTGTTGCTAGATAGTGAAGGGATTGATGCTTACGACCAAACGGTAAGTATAACTGTAACTTAGAAAATTGTGATTTCTTTCTAAGATTTTGGGGTTTGATAAACATGTTGTTGATTATCCTTCCAATGCTACAGGGTACCTATAGCACTCAGATATTCTCATTGGCTCTTCTTTTGTCAAGCATGTTCGTATACAATCAGGTTTTTCAGAATATCCTATTTGAAACTTGTGCGTATGTATGTCTGCCGTAGATGTTGTTTTTGGCTTAGGTGTTGTTCTCATTTGTATGTCTCAGATGGGAGGTATTGACGAAGCTTCACTTGATCGCCTCTCTCTTGTCACTCAAATGACAAAGCAGATCCGTGTCAAAGCGTCTGGAGGAACGAATTCACGTTCTGAGCTTGGACAGTTTTCTCCCATCTTTGTCTGGCTCTTGAGGGTAATCCTCTGTTATTTTTTTTGTTGATATCATGGCTGATAGAGATTTATGTATTAACCTTGATATCTTTACTTGCAGGACTTTTATTTGGATCTAGTTGAAGATAACCGTAAGATTTCTCCGCGTGACTATCTAGAAATTGCGTTAAGGCCGGTTCAAGGCAGTGGAGGGGATATTCGTTCTAAGAATGAGGTAATAGTTGCATGTGCTTTTGTTTCTTTTTCAGTATGTTTATTTGGATTGTCGTTTCTATGTGAGTCATTGTTAATGAAAGTAATGTTTCTTGTGCAGATCCGAGATTCGATCCGTGCTCTTTTTCCAGACCGAGAGTGTTTTACCCTTGCAAGGCCTCTGAACGAAGAGGAGGACCTCCAAAGACTTGATCAAATTTCGATTAGTATAGTTCTATGCATGCTCCTTCACCTATAATGCTCTTATGTAGTGTTTGCTTAACGCTCGGTTGCATAATATCCTGTGAATGCAGTTGGAAAAATTGAGACCTGAGTTCGGCGATGGCCTGGATGCATTGACTAGGTTTGTTTTTTGAGAAGACACGGTCCTATTCTTGTCGGTATTACACAGTCTTATCTGGATGCGTTGAATGATGGTGCCGTGCCAACAATAACCTCATCTTGGCAGGTTTGATATTTCTCTCTTTTGCTATGTTTAAGTCAATAACTATTCTTTGAAGTAAATGGTTAAAGTAATCTGAGACTTGATGGATTTGACTGGATCTCTTCTTGTAGAGTGTCGAAGAAACTGAGTGTCGAAGAGCATATGATTCTGGTTTAGAAGCATATACGGCTGCCTTTGACCAATCAAAAGCTCCTGAAGAAGTAAGTACTTTGGCTTTAGCCCCTGAGCATATTATTTGTGATTTATATGATTCATTCGAATTCTGCTATATGTAGGGTGCACTGAGGGAAGAACATGAAGAAGCAGTTCGAAAAGCCTTGGCTATGTTTAACGCTAATGCTGTAGGGGCTGGTTCAGCAAGAAAAAAATATGAGGATCTTCTCCACAAGGACTTGAAGAAAATTTTTGAGGCAATTTTCGTTGTTCAGCAATAAGCATTTGTTTTGTTGCTCTTCTCACTGCGTTATGCTGATAGAGACTATCTTTTGCTGATTCAGGATTACAAAAAGAACGCATTCATGGAGGCAGATTTGAGATGCTCGAGCACTATCCAAAGAATGGAGAAGCAGCTGAGAGCAGCTTGCCATGCCTCTAATGCTAATATGGATAACGTTGTTAAGGTTGGTTACTTATGAATATTATTTTTTTTGCTAGATGTACTATATTACTATGGATGGAAGTTCCTGTGGGTTTAGCTGGAAATTGTTTTTTTCTTGTACTCAATGATTGATTATGATTTATGTCTCAGGTTGTAGAAGCTCGTTTGACAGAGTATGAAGCATCTTGCCATGGCCCAGGGAAATGGCAGAAACTTTCTGTGTTCTTGCAACAAAGGTATTTTACTATTTCTTCTCCCACTTATTTTCATTTACGTCTTGTTTGTTTTGAGGTGCGTTTAGTTTTTTTTGTGATCTGTTTTTTAACCATGCAGCTTGGAAGGACCAATATATGATCTCACCGAAAGGCTTATAGATAATATCGCTATAGAGAAGAACTCACTTGCAGTGAAATTCAGTTCTGTTGAAGATGCAATGAAGCATCAAAAGCAGCAGTTGGATGATAGCGAGAAATACAAGTTGCAATATCAGAAACGTTATGATGAATCCAATAACGACAAGAAGAAGCTGGAAGATACATATAGAGAACGCATAACAAAACTACAAGGAGAGAAGAGTTCTCTGAATGAGCGGTGCTCCACTTTGGTTAAAGCTGTGGAATCTAAACAAGAAGAAATCAAAGAATGGAAAAGAAAGTATGACCATTATGTTTTGAAACAGAAAGATGCTGAGGATCAGCTGAAATCTGAAATGGAAGTCTTTAGGACACGGATTACTTCTTCTGAAGCTAGGCTTGCTGCAACTAAAGAACAAGCCTTATCCGCTCAAGAAGAGGCACATGAGTGGGAAAGTAAGTATGATTATGCTGTGGGAGAGGCAAGATCTACTCTTCAAAAGGCTGCTTCAGTGCAAGAGCGGTCAGGCAAGGAAACACAGTATAGGGAAGATGCTCTTAGAGAGGAATTTAATCTCACAGTAGCTGAGAAGGTATGGTTGTTTGTCCCTTTCTTAAAGTGGCTTCTTTAAGTTTTTTTGTAAGAATCAATATATATAACTAATATGCGGTGTTAATCAATTTCAGGATGAAGAAATTAAGGATAAGTCTACAAAAATTGAGAAGGCGGAGCAGTCTCTAACTGTTCTAAGATCAGAGTTGAAGGTAAGCTTTTGAAATGATAATATATGTATTGTATCCTTATATGTGATCGCGCCTTGCATTCTGATTAGCTGGTTGAATTAGTTTGAACATTTGTGGGAATGGTGTCTTTTTCAGGCGGCAGAGTCCAAAATAACAAGCTTTGATATGGAAACAGCATCACTGAAGTTAGAGTTGAGGGAAATGATTGTTGCGTTAGAGACTGCCAACGCAAAGGCTCTAGCATATGAAAAGCAAGCAAACAAGCTGGAGCAGGAGAAAATCCGTTTGGAGCAAAAGTACCGAGCTGACTTTGAAAGATTTGATGAAGTCCAAGAGAGATGCAAGACGGCTGAAATAGAAGCTAAGCGTGCTACTGAACTGGCAGACAGAGCTCGAGCTGATGCCGTCACTTCCCAAAAGGAGAAGAGTGAGAGCCAGAGGTTGGCAATGGAAAGACTTGCTCAGATCGAGCGAGCTAAGAGGCATGTTGAAAACTTAGAGAGGCAGAAGACGGACTTGGAAGAAGAAGTGCACAGACTTCGTGTCTCCGAGATGGATGCTGTCTCCAAGGTTACAGTGTTAGAAGCTAGAGTTGAAGAACGAGAGAAAGAGATTGAGTCGTCGTTAAAGAAAACCAATGAGCAGAGGGCGCATAACGTGAAGGCAATGGAGAAGCTGTTGGATGAAGAGCGTAAGGCCCATAATGCTGCAACTCGAAGAGCTGATGCTCTTTCTCATGAGCTGCAAGCTGCACAGGCAAGCGTTGATAATCTCCAGCAAGAACTAGCTCAAGCTAGGTTAAAAGAAACTGCACTGGACAACAATATCAGAGCTGCGAGCTCCTCGCGTGGGAAACGGGCCAGAAATGATGATGCTGTCGATATGGACATAATCTTGAGGGATGATGATGAAGTAGAAGATTACAGCAAGCTGACAGTTGAAGATCTTAAGCAGGAGCTGAGGGATCACGGTTTTGGGGATAAGGTAACGAGGAGACGCACGCAGTTAAGAAAAGACCTTGTTGCTTTGCACAAAATTCATGTTCTTCCCAAGAAAAAGAAAGCGTTGGAGAAAGAGGAAGAGAGGAAGAGACGGAAAAAAAGCCACTATTAGGACAAGACTCTGTACAGAGTGAGGAGATGAAAAAACATATTTTTAATCTCAAAGCTTCGATCTTTAGAGATTAGTAAAGGGTTGGATTTAGAAAGTCTCTTACTTGGAGTATTGTTTATCGGTTTTATCGGGTACAGGAGAAAGTAACCGGAAGCAGTATTGACTTAGTGTGTTCGACAACTGACTGGGATTTTATCAGTAAAGCAAATACATGATTGCCGAATTGTTATTTTTCCCAGTAAGTTATAACTGTTCTTTGCCGTGATATAAATTCGCGGAAAGGTATCATTACTTCGACAGCTAACAAAATTTCTAACGGTCTAGGAAAATGATCTCATTTGTTGTTATTCTTTATTCTTTGTGAATTTTATGCTTGATATTTTTTTGTCTTTTTCAGGTTAGACATCTAATGGCTTGAAATTGAATGGTAGTTTATTCTCGTATAGGTTATTGTATTTGTCAAGATGATTTAGTCCCGTTGTCTTGTGTTAGTTAGAAGACTGTATGCATAGATGATACTATTAATTTGATTGTTTGAGAGTTGAAACTGGAATAAATTAAGCACACTTATATTACAATATAGTTTATTTAAGGGTAAACTACTCTTGGGATAAACTGGAATAAACCACAAACTTAGAAACAGAATATTAGAAGTCTAAGTCTCACATCAATATTTCCTTCTGCACCTTGTGTAAAAAGCAGATAAACACATAGCCCAACGCTAGATGTAATGCCATTGATAAGTTACTCTTAGTTCTCTCTAATTATATATGTGATACTTTTGAGTAAATCATATATAAACCATACTATTGAAATGACTGCCATTAATATCTTTCTTTTTTCTATAATCTTACCAAAAATATTATATACAATAGGGGATGGCCTGCGCCAATATTGATATGGTTTATTATTATTTCAAAAATGTCATACACATATTAATTAAATATAATTAAAGTTACGCAAAAATTTCACACTGTCATGTCCTATTCCTCCCATTTCGTTCATTTTCATCATCTTCATTATTTTCCGTGTGTTATGTTCTTCTAGTCCCTTGCAATCCCATCCCATCTCATTCAATTCTTTTTTTGTTTTGTCATGTTTCGTCTCGTGCCATCCCTAAATATAATTAACGATATGCAAAATTTACGTCTTGTCTCATTTTTTTCCTTTTCATCATGTCATATCCGTTGAACTTCATCCTGTCTCATTTTGTTTCTTTCCGTCTTGTCCTGTTCCATTTTGGTCCTTCTATTTCTTCTCGCCCTGTCTTTAAATTTAATAAGAGGTAGGCAAAATTTTCCTTCCGTCTTGTTTTATTTTTTCTCATTCCGTCTAGTCTGGCCTCGTCTCATTTTATCCCAATAAAAATAAAATATATGATCTAATGAAACTAAAATTACTAAATAATAACTTTTGTAAATCTACACATAATTTTTTTTTAAATAATTTTTCATATTCTTGTTTTTGTTAAACTTATTATATTAATGGATGATAATTAATTAATGTGATAATTAGAATATTAAAATAATGAAAATTAAGAAATATTATGCTGACGTGTTATAGAACACCCTCTTCTGCTGAGGTGTCACTTTGAGAAGAGAATCATACTATCAACTATATATATAGATATATATTTTTGGTTAACGTCTTTAATTAATATACTAAAAAGGAATATTGAAAATTAATTTGTTAATCTCTCAACTCCACAAGTATTCTTTTCTTTTTTCTAGTTACTCATAAGTTATACTCTCTCCGTTTTAAATTAGTTGTCGTTTTGGCAAAATGTATCTGCAATTATTTGGATGTATCTGCAATGCAAAACACGTCCAGATACGTCCAAATATTTGCAGATACATTTTGCCTAAACGACAACTAATTTGAAACGGAGGGATAATAAGAGAAAAAAACTATATTAACCGTTTTACTTAAACAAAATCTGTATATGTAAAAAAAAAAACAAACAAAAAATCTGTATGCAATTAATTTTCATGATGTGCATTTATTATTTACCCTTTTATGATATTTTTACTAACAAAATAGTTTCCATGATATGCAAACTGAAAATTCATAAAATAAACATCCTCTTTATATATACAGAAGTTAATATACAAATCAAGCTTAAAATTATAAGTTTTGATATAGGTTTTATGGAAGAAAAGACTTCACAAGCTCAAAGTATTTTTGATTAACAACTCCTTCGCCGATTTCTGCTTTCGATTCTTCTACTTTTGTTACAAAACTGATGATTTTACTTTTATGAAATCTGACAAATTTTTGAGGATTTTACCAACCCGCGCAGAAAAAAATATTAAATTTTGACTCTCGACATAATAGAAATGTTGCCATATGTATAATACTAAAATTGTTTTTGTCAACATGTATAATACAATTTTTTTAATTAAAATATACGATGACATAAACATTTTAATTTATTTCTTAAGTGATTAAATAAATATAATAAAATATGAGATGGCAGTTACCCCCGTTGGGAACAGATTCTTCTGATCCCGCCAATGTTATCTCCACGTGTCCGACACTGATTGGTTCCATAGATATGCTTCATCTACATTAGATATTCTCCTAGCCGTACGATAAAAATCCGACGGACCAGAAAAAACCTTATCTCTCCAGCTTTAGATTCTGTATAAAACTCAGAGAAACAAATAAACAAAGCCACATGCACAGAGCCACAGAAAGCAAAGAAGAAGTGAGAAATCAAATGAAGAAGACGAAGCACGGAGCCATTTCGCCGGCCGGAGATCACAATTGAGTTTAATCAGTTTACAAAAAAGCTCAACGAAGCTGCAATGGAGCTTCCGTTACTCTCGTACGCCAACTCCGCCTCATTTTCGCGAGCAGGCTTATGCTCTTCATCCTCATCTTCCTCCTTCATTAGTATCAGAGACTCCCCGGAGAGAAGACGGGGCTTGAGAATGAGATCCAACGGCGGCGAAAATTCCCGAGGCGTTAAAGTTTCCGCCGGCCGAAGCAGCGAAGGAATCGATAAGACTGACGGCGTCGGAGGAGCGAGACAATTCGCCGGCCCTGCCATGGAGGTCACTACACTTGATCGTGGCTTCGCTAACTCCACCACCGTTGATTTCCCGATCTGGGACAAAATCGGCGCCGTCGTTAGACTTACTTACGGAATCGGTGAGTCGATTTCACAAAATCAATTTCTTCTTAATTTCATTACTCCGTAGACTTAATATGTGAAATGTGAAATTTGAGTCTGATCACTAAAAGTTTGGATGATTAGGAATATATGGAGCAATGGCTGTAGCAGGAAGATTCATATGTTCAGTGACTGGAATCGACTCGACTGGTGGATTTGATCCTTCTCTTGACGCACTTCTCGCCGGACTTGGCTATGCAACACCACCAATCATGGCTCTTCTCTTCATACTCGATGTGAGCAATGAGCATTAACCTCTTTACCCATCTTTTGCTTATGTTTCTTGAAAATTGGTTTTTGAAGAATTTTCTTTGCTTTTTGGTCTGGTTTAAGGATGAAGTTGTGAAACTATCACCGCACGCACGAGCCATCAGAGATGTGGAAGATGAGGAACTCAGAAGCTTTTTCTTCGGAATGTCCCCATGGCAGGTGAGAGAAAATCTTTGAGCTTTTATCAAATCTCTTGAATATTGAATCTTGGTTTTGGAGGTACTCAATGTCTCTGGTTTATTTCCTCCAGTTTATACTCATTGTTGCAGCCAGTTCCATAGGAGAAGAGCTCTTTTACCGTGTTGCTGTTCAGGTATGTGATCATTAAAACTTACACCAAAGTAGAATCATTAGACCACTTTTTACTGAGTTGTTATTACTGTCTGAATTCTCACAGGGTGCTCTGTCTGATATGTTCTTGAGAGGAACACAGTTGATGACAGATTCAAGAGGCATGGCATCTCTGGTAATTAAAATGAAATTAAATCTTCCCTTGTAGTCATTTTTTCTACATTAAGATTCTCATATACATTGTTGTTTGTTACCTCTAGACCGGAGTCTTGCCTCCGTTTGTCCCATTTGCTCAAGCGTTTGCAGCTGTGATCACAGCGACTCTCACAGGCTCTCTCTACTTTCTTGCTGCTTCTCCTAAAGGTTATGATTTGATGATTCTCTTAGTGTGTTTCTAGTTAGTTAGTTGGTTTCTCTTCTTTCTCATACTCGTTTTACCATTTTTCAGATCCGACATACATTGTTGCACCGGTTTTAAGGTCACGCCGCGATGATTTCAAGAAGCTTCTCTCAGGTACTAGGTCCTTCTCTTCTTCTTTCTTCTGATCAGATCATATTTGTTTTGAGAAGAGGACAATGTAAACCGTTTTGTACAAGGTTTGTTTTTTTTTATATCAATAGAACCACTGGTTATGGCTTATGACTTATACTTTGTCATTGCTCTGTGCAGCTTGGTACGAGAAGAGACAGATGAAGAAGATTTACTCTCCCCTCCTCGAAGGGCTGTTAGCACTTTACCTTGGGATTGAATGGGTTCAGGTAAAATCTCGGTTCGGTTTTGTCTTGGTTTGGTTTAGTATTGTTCTGGTTCCAGTTTGTAGAGATATAGCCAAAAATCAACACTATAACAGTCTAACCACGCTCATCAGAATTTGAAGCAAAAAAAAAAAAAAATAACGCTTATGCGAAACTACATTTTTTCTTATGAAACAAAAAAATAACTCAAGACTTTTGCTTATGATCATTTTCATCTTGTTTTGTAGACGGATAACATTTTAGCTCCGATGATGACGCATGGTATATACTCGGCGGTTATATTAGGACATGGGCTGTGCAAAATTCACGATCACCGGAGAAAATTACGACGCAGAGTCGAACGGATTAGAGCGGAGACCACCGATGAGTTAATTTAAATGAACTCTAGATTTTAATTGGTTGGGGGTGGATTTGTATGTATTTTTTTTGGTATGGGGTCGTATAGAGTGACTAGGAAAATTAGCTAGGACCTCTTCCATCAAATTAGAGAGATCATACATATAAGCTATATAATGTACATAATACATTATGTCTAATACATACGCTTGTATTTGTTTCTAGTTGTGAAGTTTAAGAACAATAAAGCTAGAGTTTCTATGGCCTGAACTTAGCCATTAATGTAGAAGTATAAGTGGCAATGATAACTGATTTTTGGTGTGCGTTAACAAAGGGTCTTCTCAAAAGGAACTACTCTTTGAACTGGCAAGACATCATCTCTTTCATCTCAGACGACACTCAGCCGCGCCTTATCCTCTTCCTCACGAGATTTGTAATACAAGCCACAATACATAGATATGGAAGGAAAGGAACTCCCATCGACACGGAGAACAACCTCTCTCATCAAATCATATCATCACAGTTATTGACAAGCATGTCCGAAATTGCGTCTCCTCGAAAAGATTGCTCGGAGACACAAAGTATGAAGAAGCTCTCTACACTTGGTTTGAAGCAAAAAGCTAGATTCTTATAATTTTTAGCTCTTTCTCTTTCAAACTTATGATGCATATGATGTAACAAACGACTTTAAAAAAAAAATTACATTTGATTCTAAAAAATAAAATGATAACCGATTTTCTATAAGATCTCAAAGACTGGTATGAGTTTCGACCCCATATATCCCAAGAAAATTTATCCCAACTCCTTCATGTTCTGTTTTTCAGTAAATGGCACGTGATCCTTGTTGCCTCTGTTAGAGCATCTCCAACCCAGCCCCATATTTCACCTTTATTGCCATTTAAGAGTCAATTTTGCTCCAACCCAACCCTATTTTCAATCTCAAAATGGCAAAATGCCATATTTTTTCCCAAAATGAGATTGATCCCATTTTCATCTCCATTTTGGAGTTGAAGTTTTTAATTTATATAACAGTCCTTGAAGTTTTAAATTAATTCAGTTTAAGATATATAATTAATTATTTTGATCTTTATTTTTACTCTAAAATACAAATAACACATATTTAATAAGAAATTTAATTATTTAAGCTAATAATAAATTAAACAAAAAAAAACACTCAAAAAGAAATTTATTAAAACAACTTATTACTGATTTTTAATTTAATTTAGTTTCCGGATCCACCAATATCACTAAAATATTGTCCAAAAGAAGTAGTTTGTGAGAGTTCCTGTTGAACTTATTACTTACATAACATAACGACTACATGTATAATTTTACATAACATGATAATCGAGGATGAACATGATCTGAGTGCACCAATTGAAATTGAAAGAGAAGCTCCACCTCCAGAAGTCGAAATAGCCGCAAACGATGATATTCAGTTCCAGAATTTTCTTGCTCGATTTAGAGAGATTAAAGATAAAGATGCTCATTTCTCTCTTCGAAATGGTTTAGTTGATCATTTATGGGAAATATATTCAAATGGTTCTAATTAAAAATAAAATCCATTTTATGTTGTTATTTTTAGTCTTGTAATAATCTAGTTATGTAATAATGTATTATTAATATTTTCATAATTAATTTAAATAATTATAATTAATTGTGAAAGTTTTGAAAAAAAAATATATGGGGCAATTTGTAATAGATATAAATATACAATGTAAATTTAGTAATTAATAAAAAGTTTTTCAAAAAGAATATTCTTTTTGAAGCAAAAAATGAAGCAATACATTGGAGCAAAACCCAACCCCATTTTGAGATTTCTTCATTTTGGAGCAAAATATGGGACAATACATTAGAGATGCCCTTACTGTCGATGCCTTTGATCACTTTTGAAAAAGAAAACATTTATTCACTACAAACTCACACAAAGCTTGTATGGGAAACAAAAAGAAAACCATTTCTTCATTTCAACTCATAGACAATCTCACAATCTTCAATTTAATGTTGTTACTCCCTCATATGGATATTTCTTATGATATGACGTTGTTACTTCCACAATATATGATGTTGTAGGGTTTTCATATAAATTAAGAAATGTTAACTTATTTATGATTTTTTTTTAAAATCAAATACTTTTCAATTAACATTATCCAATTAGTATTCAAGTATTCAAATATTATTTTTTTACTTTTTATAAATTTTTATAATGTTTTATTATTAATTAACAAAAATGTATATATAAAAAAGTAAAACATCATATTAAGAACAAAGAAAAAAGGCTTAAACATCATATATTAAATAACAGAGGGAATAGTATGCGGGTATAGTGGTATTCGAAGTATAAGAACATAAAATTTACTAGTTTCAAACTGAAACTTTTCAAAGAAAAAAAATGTTACATGAGACATAACTAATCAATAACTTGGTATCCTAAGGATTGGTCCAAGACTCCATTAAGATTACTCCAATTAAATAACATGACCACAAGTGGAAGGGAAAAGGATAAATTAAATAATGACTTCAACTGCTTTACGTCTTTTTTTTTCTGTCAGCGAGCTATGTCGTCTTAATACTTCAAAACTATTTTTGATTAATTTGCGGAAAACGACAAAAGAAGGCGAGTAGTCGGTAGAATAATGTGGAGGAGCAAACCTTATTATATTGGTAAGAAAAATAGGAGTAATATTTTACTCTATTATTCTTTTTTTTTATGCCAAGATTGTATCATTTAACCTAACTTTGCACGTAATCAACAAAAACATCTGTTTAAACTTTTAATCAAAAATATATTCATCTTTCGTTCCAAATTTGTTACAATTTTCTTATGAAATACAACTTATTCAAAATGTATTTCCGATTCATATCATCAATAATTTTCCTCTCATAAAGATCATCTAGTATTGGTTTCGATTCATATAATCTTGCAGAGTGTTATTGCGTTTTTTTCCCTCACAAATTCCAGCATATTGCAAATGAAGCCCTACATATCATGGTCTTATTCATTGCGGATCAAAAACGATAAAATTGTCATCCTCAATTATCTTAAAACAAACAAAAATTAAATATTTATTATGTTCCTAAAAAATGAATTTTCTGAGAAAAAATGTTTTAACAGAAATATTTATGTTTTTGATGCATTTTTAATTAGTTAATGATGATGAAATGTAAACTTCAATAAAAATAGTTGAAGTTCTTGAGATATTATTGGCTAAAATTATAAGAAATTGTTAATCACAAAAACTAAAACATCTTATATTGTAGAACAAATCATATATATGAAAAGAGACCAATCTTCTTCATATTGTTGACACATGGACACAGAGAAAATGACACATGTCATATAATTTTCACTAAAAAAACAAAAATTCAAAAGTTTAATATAACATTAATGCAACTTTTGGTCTTCTGTGTTTATTGTAACTTACAAAATACATTTTTATATAATTTTCACTTTAAAAAAAATATCCAAAGTTTAATGGAACTTCAATGCAACTTTAGTTTTTTTTTGTGCCTATTGTAACTTATAAAATAAATAAAACTATTATATCAGTTTAAAATTATTATCTTTGGCCATTAATCTTGAATCACTATTAAACATTTAAGTTATCTTAATATATATACAGAAAATTGGATTCATAAAAAAAAGCAATGGCAGAGAAGCAGAGTGTGTTCCACGTAGTCGTGAATAAATAAAGAGTGTCAAGGGTATAAAAACATGTGGTATTATGCAAAACTATATATTTGAAAGTCTAAGAAGCAAATAAGAATTAAAATACATGTGTTATTTGGGTTAAAAGATTAATCACAAATCTATAATTGTTTTATACTCCAAGCAAATAAGAATTAAAATACGGGTGTTATTTGGATTATTTAGAGTAACATTTTTCTTAAACTATAACAATAAGAAAACCTGCGCGTATGCGCGGGCATTGGTCTAATGGAATATTAATTTGTTATACATTAATTGAGAAGAAGATTCCACTACTGTCGGTATATTAATTAAGATGCTTCGTCCGTGGAACTTATTAAACTAATAACTGTTCACATTTACGGGCATCCTAAATTTCTCTTGTCATCAGACCAATCTGTGTAGAAATTAATGCAGATTCTGGTAAGACAAACTATGTAATGGTCTCAAAATCTATTGCTGCACTATATTATATGCATGCGAAACGGACATCATGTATGTATGAATATTACTTTACATACTGATCCGATGTGCCAAACTGGTTTAAATGTGATTGGTACGCCAAATTGATTAACAAAATATTTCAGTCTATCATATTCTTTTTGCTAAAGTAATCTATCATATTCGAGTGACTGTGATGTTAATTTTTTTAAAATACTTTACATTATCAGTTTTTAAAACTTCCTAGCTACAGATAAATGTCAATCCATGACATTGTTTTATTGTTCCCGCTCCAATATTGATTAGTTTTTACATGATACTTAAGTCGCTACGTAGTTTTGTGTGGTTTCTCAAATTTCGCAATTTCACTCCAGAACATTAACAAACAAAACATACATTTGGTCAGATGACATACTTGCTACTTTGCCTAAAGCTCGGTGGCCATCTGTATTACGGACATTCTTTTAATAATCTATAATTATATATTGATAAAATATATCAGCATGTATATACTAATTATATGGCCTGTCGCAACTCGCAAAGACCAAAACAAAGCACTTCCAGACTGTTCAACTATAAAAAGAAACTTATAATATTAGACGTTAAAAATATATAAAATGATGATCTGAATAAATTAACTCTAAAGTCCAATGCAATTAATCAACTCTCGTATTGGATTATCGATTGGTGGAATCATATATTATTATAAAATTGAACTGATCATTTTAAATATAATTAGGTAGAGTACAATTTATTATTAACAATGCTAATTATTTCCTGCGTTCCTTATTATATGATGATTGAAAGTTTTCACATAGATTAAGAAACAATTAATATTTAATTATTAGTGTATTACTTTTTCATTTTAATTAATTCTTAACTAATTAAAATCATATAATTGTCTTGAAGTTTATATTTTTGTTGCATTCAAGTAATACGAAATAAATAAAAAAGTTAAAACATCAAATAATAAGAAACGGAGGGAGTAATAATCGGCAGACGGCCTCTTGATTTATTATTAAATGGCTCTACCGCTCTATTATCGATCCATCGCTACATTAGCACAAGAAGCCGTCACACGTTGTCCCCCGTTGGCGTTGCTAAGTCCCCTTTCCATATAACTCGTTTCTTCATATAAAATATTGTTTTCTTATACCTTTCATAATTTGAAACTCTTAATTACAAAACTCTCCTATTATTCTAGGAAAACGTTTGGATTAAAATCCAAAACAAATTTTTTTCCTATCTCCCTGAATATTAAACCAATGTAATGATGGTTGCAACTTTCAACTGGAACCCTAAGTCTTAGCCTCTTAGGTTTATTAGACCGGTTTTATAAAAAAAAAAGGTTTATTAGACCGGCTAAGGTGCGATTTTATGTGGTTTTTACTATCTTTTTTGTCACAATATATGTTTCTAGAAGGATTCAGAGATTTATATGGGTAATAGTATTTAAATAATACAAAGTATAAATGAGATCTTATCTTCGCGTTATTCGTGTTTTTGGTCACTGAAACCTATATAATAATAAAAAAAAAAAAAATTTCTTACATTTACCTATTTCCGCTAGTAGAATTGAGAACACCAGCCACTCAACTTAGGTTTTTACTGACTCAATCATAATTTCTTATTAAAACTTTACTTTAAGACTAGTACTACTTAAACACTTCATATTCAACTCTCTAACTTTTCTCAGAAAAAGCTTTCAAGAAATTCAAACGTAGAAGTAGTCAACTTGACCTTAGATCGGTACCACACAAAAAAAAAAACAAATTAGTTTATGTGGTCTTACGTTGTAATTTTTTTTTTTTTTTTTTTTTTATCATATTCAAACAACCTAGGAACAAAAGAGTAGGAGACTATGACTTTTAAATTTGTTTGAATATTTGAAGCGAATAATTTTGTGGACAAAAAGCTAATATTAAATCATACCGGAACAAACCAAACTTAAATCAGTCTCGGTTTACACTCAGGTAATTGTCAAGCAAAGAAGCCCCATTTTCTTGTTCAAATTGATCCCCGACTGTTTAACCAAAAGGGCAAGCCAAGTAGCAAACCTCATAAGAGCGTGGACCGCATGGATCTCCGCGTTGCTTCCCGTTTGTTTAATGTTTCTCCTCATATTTTTTTTTTTTAACTAATAAAAATAATAGAGAACTTCAAGATGTTAACTTGTAACCATAGTTAATCGTTGACAGAGAAACCAAAACCATAGTTAATTGGTCAACTTGGTTAATTAACTATAGTTTATACAATTGAACTATCTTCATCCATTTTGTATTTGATGCTCCAAATAATATATTACAACAAAATACTAACTTTTCCATCGAGTTACACAATAGGGGCATAAAAGTTGAATGATAACCTCAGCTAGCAAACGTATACACTTTTAAATTTAAGCCTATAAATTAAATTAAAGTGGATGCTTTACTAATTTTATTTGCTGAAAGAGTATGTCTAAATTAGATATAATCGGATGTAACGAAAAAAACCATAATTAATTGGACAATATGAAATATTAAATACATCATGGTAACAAAAATAGGGATATACGACCACTTTTAGGTCATTAAAAACTAAGAGGCACCATCGGGAGATCCAGTGCAAGCTTGTATATAAGTTATTTTTGGTCTAAGAACATATACAATACAACATACAATAAATTATAAATATGGTAATTAAGCTCCTGTCAAAAACAGAAACTTAGTTGATAAGCTTATATAGTTATATATAGACATTACTGGTCAACTTCTGGAGGGATTTAATTAATGGCATGATGCTTTCTTTGTTTAAATCTTATACAGTTATATATTCACATATGTTTTCATTAGTTTATGTCCTGGTTTTTGTTTACTAAGAAATCTCATTCAAAATCTTTGATTGGTGCCATTCTGAAAAACAGTGTAATTAATCGATATATAAAAACCACACGGATAACAACCAAACAAATTATAAATTTTCCACATTCTTGGGATCCCGATATTGTGTCCATTGCTTTATTATGCGAGAAGGCATCTACTAGTACAATGGTAGATTCTTGAATAACATATATTTAACGAAATCTAGAACCGCAATAACGTCTTTATACATACGAGACAATATAATAAGACTTATGAATAACTTCATCTCGATTTTGATTAACTTACATATAATGCACTAACTAATAAAACCTTATAATAATTATTCTCTCTTGGGGGCTTGGGGCCATCTGATCTAGAGAGAAGACTTGGTCTTCTTCTTCTTCTTCCTCTTTCTCTACTTCAAAAATATTTCATTCCTCAGTTTCTATATAATTTCTTCTCTACTTTTTATAATTTTCTCTTGTCTGGTATCTCTTACATTAAATCGAAACCTAAATCATTAGAATCCTATTTACGTTTTAAAATCCTTATTCTCCTTTTTAAATATAAATTTATTTATTTTTCTCTTTGATATTGGCATGGCTGGTCTCGATCTAGGCACAACTTCTCGCTACGTCCACAACGTCGACGGTGGCGGCGGCCAGTTCTCCACCGAGAACCACCACGAAGATGATGGTGGCGCCGGAGGAAACCATCATCATCTCCACCACAACCATAATCACCATCAAGGTTTAGATTTAATAGCTTCTAATGACAACTCTGGATTAGGCGGTAGCGGAGGAGGAGGAAGCGGTGACCTCGTCATGCGGCGACCACGTGGCCGTCCAGCTGGATCGAAGAACAAACCGAAACCGCCGGTGATTGTCACGCGCGAGAGCGCAAACACTCTTAGGGCTCACATTCTTGAAGTCGGAAGTGGCTGCGACGTATTCGAGTGTATCTCCACTTACGCGCGGCGGAGACAGCGCGGGATTTGCGTTTTGTCCGGTACCGGAACCGTTACAAACGTTAGCATCCGTCAGCCCACGGCGGCCGGAGCTGTTGTGACTCTGCGCGGCACTTTCGAGATTCTTTCCCTCTCGGGATCTTTTCTTCCGCCACCTGCTCCTCCGGGGGCAACCAGTTTGACGATATTTCTAGCCGGAGCTCAGGGACAGGTCGTCGGCGGAAACGTAGTTGGGGAGTTGATTGCGGCGGGTCCGGTGATGGTCATGGCGGCGTCTTTTACAAACGTGGCTTACGAAAGGTTGCCTTTGGACGAGCATGAGGAGCAGTTACAGGTTCACAGCGGCGGCGGTGGCGGAGGAAATATGTACTCGGAAACCACCGGCGGGGGCGGAGGTTTGCCCTTCTTTAATTTACCTATGAGTTTGCCTCATATGGGGGTTGAAAGCTGGCCGGGAAATTCTGCCGGCCCGGGTAGGGCTCCGTTTTAGCTTTTGTTTTAAGAAACTTTAATTGGTTTCCCTCTTTTTCTTTTTTTTTCTCGAGAATTTATGGAATTTTTCTTTTTTTCTTTTTTTCAAACTGTTGTTCATGGTTTTTAGTTTCTAGTTTTTACTTAGGTTATTTGATATATCTTTCAAAGTTTCTAAAATGATATTCAGCTAATTAATTGGCAGCTCTTAGATAGCAATTAGCGTAGTTAGTATATGAACATTACACTCAACGAGATTATAGCGGTGTTTTTTTACAATACAATTCCAACAAAGACATACTCTAAAACACATTTTTGTTTATAACTAAGTTGAATAAAACATTTTCTTTTAGATTATAATTTCTAACCAAAGTCAAAAACAGAGTAATAACCATAAAAATAACAGAATTTAATATATAAAAATGAAGTGTAAAACTCAAACCCAAATTGCTGTATTTGGCAATCGTAAACATATAACAACAGTACGCAGGATATATCATTGCATTAATATAGTCAAATATTTTAAAGATGTATTGCAAATTTAAAAGAAAAAAAAAAGTAACTAGATCATGTAGCTCGCTGGGTTTTTTCCAAACAGTCACTGAATAAATTTTATCTTTTCAAAAGCACCAAGCAACATGTTAAAATAATAAATGGCGGAAATAGTAAACGACAAAGAAGATTAAAGTAATACTCCAATGAACTACAAAGGAAGTGCAAAGTGGAGAGCTAATTAACTAATTAAGTAACTAAATTATTAATTTGACCAATTTGTTTCTGATCATGCCCTTAATTGCTCGACCCATTTGATGCTAAGCTGTCACACACGCAATTATCTAAAGTAAAGTAGCCGAAAATGTTCATCACAGAACATTTAATTTAATACTATTGATTAACAATCATTACTTTCTTTATCGCGAAATATAGTATAGTAAAATAAAGTAATACTCGATAATACCTCGTTAAATGAATAGAATTTTCAAGTCCCGAATACAGTATTTAGTGTAATAATACAGTATTTAGTGTAATTATCTCTCGATAAATTAATAATCTCGTTAAAATAATATAAAATATTATGTTTCCAACATTATTACTTTATAGAGTTTTTACTGTATTATGTAGCCTAAAGTAAGAAAATACAAAAAAATACTGTTTCATCGATTAAAATCAACACGATTATGAATTCTAAACTTAAAAAATTGCTCGTTTACTGTGAACTATAAAACAATAAATTATATGGTTTGTTTTTTATTTTACTTTGGTGTTTCTGTATCCAAAACGCTGTAAAATTGCTTGCCTCATACCTATAATCTGAAACAAAACCTTTGACAAAATTATTGATGACGCCACTTATAAAAGTAAGACACTCGCATTGAACGAAAAGTTTTTGGATAACTTTCCTTTTTCTTGTCTATATTACAAAGAAATATGCATTTGTTAGGACTCCACCAATTCATAAAATATCGTCTCCTGTCTTAGTTATAACTTTAGTTATTACGTATAGGAAAATCACGAACTTACGTGTGTGTATATATATATATATACTGTTCCAGACTTCCAGTGGTTTTTTGGTTGTGAGAAATATATTGTAGTCATATCTGGTATGCAACTGCAAGCTAATTTAGGAGTCTCTGCTCCTCTGTCTCCTCTCGATCTCTCTGCTCCCTTCTCTTCATTGCATTTCCTTTATAGTTGTTTCTTTTGCTCCTACACATCCTAGGAGCAAAAGAAACAATTCAGTGTATAAGACTTTTAAATTAATTAACAAAAAGTATATATATACTGAAGTTATCTAAATATGAAAAGGCTGCTTCGGAGGATGCTGATTTGGTGCGAGCTATGAAGAGACCAATTGCTTGGCCCTCCTTCAGGTTGCAGACATCAGATCTTTATCATGTCTTGACTAATTTTAGGAGCTGGAGAATTGATCAGGAGGTTAGATGCACTAACAGAGGGGCTTATCTGATAGCTCGAAGTGTGATCAAAGAAATTCGGCTGCACTCTTATGTAGCGAGAGGTCCTCCTCGTTGGCTTCAGTTGATTTTCGAGGATGAGAGAGTTTTTCCCTCTGTCTGAGGTGTGTGTTTTTGGGGTTATTAGAGTTTGTCTTTCTTTCTTCCTTTAATCATCTGCTTGTGCATGGTGGATTAGAGAGGTCCTGTTTGTTTTGGACTGAAAGTGCTTTTGTTTTGAGCTGTGGTTGTTGTGTTTGGATGGTGTGTAACACCGGTTTCTCCCGATTCATATAATCTTAGACGACAAAAATAAATAAATGAAAAGGCTGATAGAAAATTATAAAAGTGTGTGTAAAGAAGAGACAACCATGATTTTTATCAAGTACCACGGATCATTGTTCTTCATTAGATTTTGTATCTTACTAGCTTTTACAAAAACAATAATAACAGAAACATTATAAAACAAGCTAATCAAAATATCTTTATATAAAGAAAGTCCATAAAGGTGCAAAAGATTACTTGTTTAATATACATAGTAATTATTAGTAAAACATCAATCAAACTATCACATCCGTATGTTTGACCGCTAATATTTATTCGGTTATATAAATAATGTAATGCCTATGTGGCTATATATTGGTTATCTTAAGGTAAACAAGAGACTTGTGCGCGGGTTCGTCCGCAATTCATATTGGACATGTTTGATTTTGAGTTTGAGTTATAAAATGTATGTTTTCTTCTTTTAAAACTATCAATATTATGTTGGTGATATGATTTGTGGGTCGTTATATCCACTCTCCAATGGGTTTATTTACGAGTTAAGATTTGTTGTAATATCTTGGTTTTGTTTTTCCATGTCAATTGTGGAGGGTAGTAATTAGGGATGGAGATGATATGAAAAAAAAAAAGAATGTGCGATCTAAAACTCTAGATCTCTCAAGAACAAACACTCGTTCTCACTCAAATTGATTAAAACAGAAGAAGTAAAATCAAGAATGTAAAGAGGAGCACAAGAGGGATTTTATTATCCAGAGGTTCGTTTCCTACTCCCTTGGAGCATGGAGTTTAACCGGCAATCACTATAATCGGCGAGCTTCACCACCATTTTCCGATCTACAACTCTCATGTCTCTTTCTCTTCTCAATCCTGTTTGCCCGTTACAACGGCTCAACCACACAAAGAAGAGAATACAACTATAGCTATATCCAAACAACTTATGGATAAGCTAATTGATCATGTGTCGAAAGACACACCCCAACCTATGAGAGAGATACATATACATAGTGATCTGACTTACTCTTAAGTCTCGATGTGAGACTAAAGAATGCTTGAGCTCGAACCAGCTCCTTTAAGCTTCCTTGGAGTCTTCATAAACTTGAACTCCTCTCCTGATCAATGACTACAATCTTCAAATCTCCACCTTAGACATTGATCAATTTTTGGTGATTCTTCTTGTATCCTTCACCGGATACTCACATCCACACTCGGATGCCAACTTCTCATTCTTTAGTAACCCGAAGCATCTTCAATGCTTCTCTTAGCTTGTAAACTGGTAACACCTTTATGAATATGTCAGCTGGGTTGTAATCACTAATCACTGTGAATCTTCAGAACTTGAAATTTGAAATTCTCCACAACTGATCAGATCTCTGATGAAATGGTATTTCACAGCCACATGCTTTGTTCTCTCGTGATGAACTGCATTCTTTGAAAGAGCTATGGCACTTTGCGAGTCACAAGGAAACTCCACTGAATCCTGGGGAAAACCCAACTCTTCTGCAAATCTCTTTAACCAAACTCCTTCCGTAACAGCCTCTGACAAATTAGCAATATAATCGGCCTCTGTTGAAGACAAAGCAACAATCTGCTGAAGTGACGAACTCCAGCTGACTACGTTTCCACCTGCAGTAAAAACCATACCTGAGATTGATCGACGATTGTCTGGATCTCCTGCGTAGTCTGAATCACAGTAGCCTTTCACAACGAAGTCTCCTTTCTTCTTGAAACTCAGCCTTGTATATACAGTCCCTTTGATGTACCTTAAAACCCATTTCACAGCTTGCCAATGCTCTTTGATGGGATTGCTCATAAACCTGCTGATTAATCCAACTGGATATGCCAAATCTGGTCTAGTCCCCACCATCGAGTACATTATACTCCCAACTGCATTCTGATATGGAACATTCTGCATAAAAATTTGAACTGACTCTTACTCTCTTGCTATGTCGCTGATTGTAACTTGAAGTGAGCTCCCATTGGAGTAGCAACAGCCTTTGCTTGCTCCATGTTGAAATTTGACAAAACTCTCATCAAGTAACTTTCCTGCGAAATCTATAAACCACCATTTACTCTGTCTCTGACAATTTCCATACCCAAGATCTTCTTTGCACTGCCTAAGTCTTTCATCTCAAATTCTGTACCGAGAAGAACCTCAAGCCTCTTGACATCGTCTTTATCCACTGATGCTACAAGCATGTCATCCACATACAAAAGCAGATAGATGTAGGCTCCGCTCTTCAACTTCTTGAAATAAACACACTGATCGTATTCATTTCTGTTGTACCCGTTTGTTCTCATGAAGTCGTCAAATCTTTTGTTCCATTGTCTCGGAGCTTGTTTGAGACCATATAGTGACCTCTTCAAGAGACAAACTTTATATGGATGCCTCTTATCTACAAATCCTTCAGGCTGCTCCATTAAGATGAACTCGTCTAAGTGTCCATGGAGAAACGCTGTTTTGACGTCAAGTTGCTCCAACTCCATATCGTAATGTACCACAGCAGACAACATATATCTGATTGACACATGCCAAACCTGGCTCTCATACCAATTTGTGCGATCTAAACCTCTAGATTTCTCAAGAACAAACACTCTTTCTCACTCGAATTGATTGAAACAAAAGAAGTAAAAACAAGAATGTAAAGAGGAGCACACGAGGGATTTGGTTACCCATGGGTTTGTTTCCTGATCCCCTGGAGCATGGAGTTTCACCGGCAATCACTATAATCGGCGAGCTTCACCGTTCTCCTACAACTCTCGCGTCTCTCTCTCTCTCTCTTCTCAAATCCCGTTTTCCCGTTACAACGCCTCAGCCACACAAAGAAGAGAATACAACTATAGCTATATCCAAACAACTTATGGATAAGCTAATTGATCACTTGTCGAAAGACACACCCCCACATATGAGAGAGATACGTATACATAGTGATCTGACTTACTCTTAAGTCTCGATGTGAGACGAAAGAATGCTTGAGCTCGAACCAGCTCCTTTAAGCTTCCTTGGAGTCTTCATAAACTTGAACTCTTCTCCTGATCAATGACTACAATCTTCAATGAAGATAATATGTGCTATTATTATAACATGATTTTGGATTTTGTTTTCCACTCATTGTACAATTTTTTTTTTTTTTTTTTTGCAGAGATTTAGAGTAGTTTTATTTGCTAACGAGTGAAACAAGGATTTTGTAAGGTTCAATTAATCTATCCCACTCATATCATTGTGGTCATTTAGATGTCAATCCAATTTGGAGAAAGATGTGGACAAAAAAGAATACAATAGATTTTTCAATTCAAGAATAATAGATTTTGAAATGTTGTAACTCAATTTAAATAAGAAAATAAACAGAATGAAACAGTAACACAAATCACAACGGTTGAAATCAAAGAGAGAAAGAACGATTCCAATTCAAGACAAGATTCAAACTTTAATATGAACTCAGAGAAAGGAAGGCGCTTGGATGGTGTTATCGATTAGGAAGCTTAAGGAGCCGATGAAGATGTTCAGAGCAAGCAAAATAAGCTAGATCCTAGGCCAAAGAGTTTAAGAGGCAAAGCGACCCACTTTTGTGGTGAAGGCTACGATGCAAAGCCTAGACTCAAGAGCTAACCTTCGTTAGTGAATCTAGAGCTAAGCAAGCATGAAGCATCGACTCTCTTTCATGAGCTAGATGAGCGAATCCTCTCTCCAACACTTCAAGACACATTTTTGTTGTGGGAAGTGTTTAAGATCTAGATCTAGCTGATCAAGAGAGATCTATCATTAAGCAAACTTAACAAGAGAGTAACTTTTAAGAGATTTAAACGGCTAAACATCAAAACCGAGCTCTAAAACTCCTAATCCACACCATCCATTAAGACCTAAGATGAACTACTCACTAACGATGTTTAGTAAGGCAAATACCATGAAGGAAAGGTTACTAAACGTGCTAGTAAGATGAAATAACAATACTTCAATTAGGCAAATACGTGACTTCGATTAAGAAAGGAAATGGGATCTTACAAAGTGTTAAGAACCCTAAAAGAGGTGTTTTCTTATTCTTAGAAAGATAAAGTACAACATGCCTAAATTATTAGAACTTAAAACTATATATAGTAGGAGACACAAAACCTTATGGTCAACTCATTTAGCTTGACTCTTTCTTCCTTCCCCCATTTGATTTTGGCTCCAAACTATGCGTTGTGATCTTGGTCTGTCCAGCTGGATAATGGTCAAGGTTTGGTCAAAGCAGGTCAACAAGTCCACTACGGTCAATTCGCAGATCAAAGGTGAGAATCGGCTTCCTCATCCTGATTGCAATCCTGGTTGCGCACTCCTAGATACATATTTGGTCTCCAATCTCCAATCTGCCTCCATAAGCTCCAAAAGTATATATATATATACAACTCCAAATGCCATATTTATGCAATGAATGCTCGGGGCGAATGTAGACAATGGGAGATATAAGAGCTAACATGTGTGTAAAACAAGCTAAAAGAATGCAAATATGCATGGAAATCTGTTGCTAAATGATGTAAAATGCAATGACATCAACGAGATTGTGAAGAGCGGTAAAACCGCAAGGTCTGGGGCGAAGAAGAATCTGAAGGAAAAGGAAACAGTTGAGAGTGATCTTGCTTGGGCACTCTGGTATGATAGCTTTTGGTCTCTGTGAATTGTTTTTGTAAGCTTGTGGTCTATGTGAATTGTTTTTGTAAGCTTGTAATGCCTTATTCCATTGTAGCGTATGGAAAATCAAACTATTCTAGGAGAAATTATTTCGGTGGACAATCAACAAATTGCAAATGAAGATGAGGATGCACTTTTAATTAGTTTTGCTATTTTTCTTGTGATTATTGATGCATTTATCTTGGATATTGCTGCATTTGACAGGGTTCAATAGAACTTGGATGGGCGGCAAGCTAAGATGTAAACCAGAAAAAACCATATTCACATTCTTGGATAATCCGGTAAAGGATTGCAACTTTAGATAATCTCAACTTTACTTGATCATTTACTATGTTTTTCTTTTTTCTTTTTCTTTATATCTATGTTTTGTTTATCACTATGGTTGAGCTTGGTGTTTAGATTTTTGAAACCGTGAAAACTTAAAAATGGTTGATAGGAAAGTTTGGAACCCAAACAAATTGCTAACATGGAACTTTTTCTTCTGTATATTGCTGGTTGTATTGGCATTGTAAGGCAAAATTTCTGGGTTAGGTAAACAATCAAACACTTCTCTTTCAGCTGAAGATTAGACCTGGAGTGCTCAATTAGCTGTAGAAAGAATTCATTGCCATTGGTATCTCGTTGGAGTATTTCCTTGTAGGTAAACAAATAGGAGGAAACAATAGAATAACATTAACCTTTCTCACAAAACTTTAAAATCTACAATTAATTCATCTTTTCTAAAGCAATTGGATTAATCATAACTATAAAGAATTTGAAGACGGAAAGATATCATAACTATAAAGAATTTAAGGAAAGATAACTTTAATGATCATCTGAACTCTCGTCATTTTTTGTCGGAAAACGCAGATCGAAATACCTCTCAACCTCCTTAAGAAAATTCATCCACTCTCATGCATTGTTGCTTCTTATTCCTATTTTATTCTCCTTCCTTCTTCTCTTCTCCAATGCCAGCCCCGCCATCAAATCCCAAATTTCTTGATCATAACTACACGCTTGGCTTGAACTCTTCCTCAGCCACGGTCTCATATTAATGGTAGTTCTGCTCCATATTCTCTAGCACGTATAAGATATAGTTGACCGTCACTAAACACCATATTTATAACCACATCTAAAGTTACAGGAAGCATTGGTTTTAATCTAGTAAGCTGACATATATCTTTGGTAGGCATATTTGAGTACAAATTGTACCAGAAATGTTAAGAGTGTGGTGTTAACAAGAGCTTGTAGGTGCTTGCCTTTGCAATTCATGAATTGTTCCCGCTCTATTGTAACCCGTACATGGTATTGATTAATAATCAAGTTCGATATACACATAAATTGATTATATATCACATAATAGAGAATACCTAGCCCCCAAAATATAAGAAAGGATAATAAAGGCAATTTTTTTTGAAAAAATACTAGAGAGGAAGAGACTTTGTTATTCAACGTAGATAAGTATCTTCTCTAGCGATCTTGGGCATAAAAATCAATGATCTCGATGACATCCATATCCGAAAATGTAGATGCATCGTTTCGAAGAAGCCACAGAAAGTGCTCAAACAAGATGGAGTCGACATGATCAAGCCACACCACTCTACCGGTTCGGTTTAACCGTTTCATGGTATGTTCCTTAACCGAACTTACCAAGAGTCTAAACGGTTTTTCTTCTAGTACGTACGCTTCAACCATGAACTCCTTCTTCTCCTTTCCTACCACCACCCTTACGACCGAATCTTCCATATCGCCGGTCAGATTCTGGTATGCAAACCGTCGCGACTCGGACGAGAGACGACAGAGTTTCATCACAGGAGAAATCAAGCAAGCCATTGTGATTATGAACACAAATGAATGAGTTTAGTTTAAACGCGGCTTATTTATGAAGAAGCAAGCCTTCCAAAGACAGAATTTGAACGGAAAGCGCTGCTACGTGGAGGACTATGTTTGGTTGAAATTGCTGCGATGTCATATGTCAAAAGTTCGACGGCCCACCCACCGTCTAAACTTTCGTTCTCCATCCACATGTTTTTTTGGAAGAAAACGATTTTACTTGTATATTGTATGATAGTATTATATTTATATACCAAAGGAAAAATATTTCCTAACTAATTCTTGACGATTACGCAAACTTTGCATTTATAACCTAACAAAAAAAAGACTCTTGTTCAACGAAAATGATACATAGTCATAACATTTCTGTTCACAATCGATTTTTTGTTTTCTTGAAAAAGTCATCAAACTTGCATAACAGATACTCCCTCTATCCCATATTATAAGCAGTTGGACAAAATGTATCTGAAAAAAAATAGATGTATCTCAATCCTGATACATCTATTTTTTTTCAGATACATTTTATCCAACTGCTTATAATATATATGGGACAGAAGGAGTATTAGATAACACTCATAGAAATCCTCGTATTAATTGAGCCTTGTGTGTTGTTTTCGCCTATAATATTATTAGAAGTTTTGTTTCGAGCGACTACGATTATATATGATTAATGCATACAATGCTATATGCAAACAAATTGGCCTAAAAAAGGTTGTTTTATTAGCATTTAGCAAAATAGCAAAAAGCATACATATAAACCGCTAATCTTAATATATTTAGCTAGTTTTAGATCTGTCCCGGCGGGTAAGTAGCACCGGTGGTTCGGCTAGGGTAGGCGGTGTGACCGGGAAGATGGTGGCCGTGAACCTGAGTGTCGGCTGCATGCTCAGCCTTGGACTGGTGGAGCTCGGCTTTGGCCTGCGCCTCCTTAGACTTCTCTCGCTCGTTAGCCATCTTCTTCTCTTGTGAAGTCCTCGCCATAGTCTTCTCCGCATGACCTTGGGCCTTTGCGCCGCCGATGTTGAGCTTCTCCTTGGCCGTACTGGCCATGTCACTAACCTTTTCCTTCGCTGAATGCATCTTCTTCTTCTTCTTGAGCTAAACTTGTTTTTCTCCTTTGCTTTGCTTTGTATCATCCCATCTTATTTAACGACGACTATCGTACATTAGTCGAGGAAGTGAGTTATTGCCGCGTGTAAGACATATATACCTACGTGTCATGAGTTACGCATATGTACGTGGATACGTGCGTACGTACCCACATGCATAAGCCATATACAAGACAATAGTTTATTGATTTTGATTTTGCATTATCTTTTCTCTTCTCTTCTTCTTATCATTATCAAACCTCTCAAAAATGAAGGTGACGGGTGGAAAAAAATAGTAAAACACTAACTGAATCTTTACCTTTTCAGAGACCTAACATCAAAAGTCTGATATCGATGTTTGTGTTACAAGAAATAAATAATTACGCACTTGAACAAACCGTAGGAGACAAGTAGTAGCAACAAAGCCGTACGTGTACATGTTGCAAAATCTTAGAAATCAGACTTGATGTGATGTCAATATGTCATGTGAGTGTATATTTTCCAATTCCCAGTTACTTGTGATGGCAAAGACAAAAGGTTTAAGAAAAATTACAAAGAGAGAAGCTGTTTGGTTGTAACTTATCAGAGCCGGCCCGATCCAATTTTGCGCCTAAAGCCAAAAAAAAAAAATAGGTCTATTAAAAAATTCGATTTTAATTAAATGAACAAAATACGTTATACGGAAGCCTCGAACTGCTCATCTTGGCTTACATTTCGGGAAATACAACCACTACACTACTACAAACATTACAGATTTTGGCGCCCCTAAAAGTTGATATTATTTTGGCGCCTAAAGCAGCCGCTTTACGAGCCTTAGGTCCGGGACGGCCCTGTAACTTATAAATACCAAATGTTGGCTTCTCACAAGCCTAATCATGTACATAAACAATGGTGGTTTTTGAATGTGAAACGCGATGGCTTTTGTTTGAGGCTAGTCGCATATCTTACAAATGGAAACACTTTCCAGTAACTTACTCTTTGTTGGTATCAGCATCAGAGTTCTCATATACAGCAGCAAAGTAGTAGCTCACAGTCTTTGGAGTTACTCCAGGGAATCTGTGGGAGCTTTCCGGCTGCAAATCGATCTTAACGAATGGCCATTGCATTGCCTGCGCCGCTGCACACTCTTCCCATCCGTCCCCGATCGCACAGAATCTGAAACTCGGATTGTTGAATCGCTCCTTGATCCATTTGAAACATTGGAGCTTCCCCACATCTATTGAACTGTACACTGCGGGCAGAGACAAAACAGAGTTAATGATGTAGTTTTGCTTCTACACAGAAAATGCAAATGCATGTGAAGGCTATATAATCTCAATGAAGACGGAGGTGTCTCCTACCATTTTCATGTCTTATGAATGTATCTAGCCGGAAAAGCAGGCACTTGACGAGGCTCGGTATGAGTGCTCCGGAAGTCACTAGAATATGTATATCCTTAGAGCTTTGATCTATTGAACTTGTTCCATCATTAGACTCTCCTTTCACACATGAACACTGCTCCAAGAAGGCCCTTGCTGCATTTGAGTAAAAACCAAACTGAGCACTAAAAGAGAAAAGAAACCACAACAAGAAGCAGACAATTCTATCTTTTTACCTGAAGAAAGCCACCGTTCTGTGTATTCATCAGTTACATGATACAACTCATCCAATACACTCATCGTTTCACTGTCAATCAAAGGTCGCAAACCCTGCAATGATTGAAAGAGAGGATCTTTGCACTTGAGAGTCTGTATAACATCAAGTACCAAATAAAACACATGAAACGATGTATCAATCAATCACCTTTTCATACTTCTGCGCAACAGCTCGATGCCTGTAAGCAAGTTTCCTCTTGCTCAAGTCGTCACTAGGAGTAGTAAAGTCGTCTTGTTTGAAGTCATACTGAGAAAGATCCTTTCCGTCATCGTACTGTCTCAATGAATCAATAAATGGCTCGTTGCAATCCTCAATCTGCAGAAGAAGAAAAAACACGAAACTGAGTCTCACAGATGACAGAGTTTTATGAGAAATTAATGGTTTAAGAGAAGAAAGACTTACTTGCTCGTAGAAGAAAGAATCGTCAGAGATGTTAAGTATGTGTTTCTCCCACATCTCCCCAATCTCTATACCTCTCTTTACATCTTTAGAGCCGTTAAAAGACTCAGCATAGGTCCCATTTAGCAGAGATCTAAGCAAGATAAGAGTCTCGTCCATGTCCCATATGTATACATTCACTGTTTCTCCTCCACCATCACTAACCAAAGTTCCGAGCTTTTCTGATGTATTCTCATTCATTATCTTCCCTCTTCCCTCACCACAACAAGTTGAAACCAGAGATCACTCCTTACTGCTTCCATAAACCCAAAAGAACAGATCTTTCAGTAAACCATGACAAATTTCACTAAACAAAAATCTAATAAACTAGGATTAACGATTCTGGGTTGCGTTTATAAATCGATCGATTTAATCATGTAATTAGGATCGATTACAGAGACCACCAAGTTCAAAATTAAAAATTCAGAACCCAAAAATCAAAAAAAGAACGCGAGAGATTATCAAACCTGCCGATAGGATCGAGCCTCCGGAGCTAAGTGACGACTGACGACTGGCGACGATGTGTCGAAGAGGAAGCAGTAAACGGCATACGAAACGTTGTCGTTTAATAATATTTAACGGCCGGCCCAATAAAAGGGCCATGAAGTTACAATATTGGCCCATACTGTTCACCAACTCACACATCCAGAAACTGAAGAAAGCTTTCGTTTGTTTTTTTCCTCTGTTTTCTTGCATGCCATTCGCTCCTCTTTGCTCTTCTCTACCGAATTTTGTTCTTCTCAGCTGAGAAATATAACCATCGCCGATCAGTAAACTGGGTTCTTTTTGTCAGGTATAATACCATTTGTTCTTTCTTAACTTAACTTATGGGGGCTCTCTGCTTCGTATCGTCCGTCTCTTATGGTTTAAACTTTAATATGTGGTGTGTCAATGTTAAGCATTTGCTCTTTACATAAATATTTGTTTTGAGTTGTTAAAAGAAGATGTTGGCTGGTTTATGATCTTCCCAGGATTTACCATGTAAGTAAATAAAAATTCTGGCTTATTTTTGACAAATAAGAAACAAAATCAAACAAAGAAACCCTTCTTGCACTATTAGCTTCTTAACTTGTGGTGAAAATAAGTTAAGCTTATAACCCCTATCTGAATACTAATCGTGAATAGGCCTGCGAGCCTATCTGAATACCCGACCTGTACCGAACCCGATACCAATTGGTTTTGAGTATATAATAAATCACTCATTAGGTAAAATATTTAATATTCGTGGGTATCGAATAATACCTGAACCGAACTATACCCGGGTACTCGGATTATCGAATTATGGGTGTTGTGGATTATTTTTGATATTATAAATATATATTTTTTAATGTTTTTCGGATTTTTTTGGATTTTCAGTATTTTAATTTCCAGTATTTTTTGGTTTTTTATGATTTGATATATATATATATATATATATTTCCAGTATTTTAATTTTTTTTAAATCGAATTTTATTATATAAAGCTGGATGCGCACGACGTGGTTGTGACACGTAGGATTTTTATAAAATTCAGGATCGCGACATGTGTCACTTTTAAGTTTATGTCCGTCAAGATCGTGACACGTGTCTTAAAAAAAATGGAGAACTATACAAAAAAAAAATTCCAGAAAAATGTTAATTAAAAAAAAATCGAAATTTAATTTAATATATTATATCAAAAAGGAAAAAATAATATTTGCCAAATCCAAACAGAAAAAGGTTTCCCATTCATCAATTTTTTTTTATCATATATAGTTGGATGCGCACTACGTGGTTGCGACACATAGAATTTTTATAATTTATAAGATCGCGACATGTGTCACTTCTAATGTTACATCCGTTAAGATAGTGACACATGTCTTATAGAAAAACAAATAATAATAAAAAAATTTAGATAACTTTTTTTTAAATTAATCCATTACAGTTAAAAGAAATAAAAATATATTTGTTATATTCTAATAGAGAAAGGTTTTGAAATTCATCAAATTAATATTATCCAAAAAAATAATAAAATCAAAATAATGTAATAAATAAAATCCTATTTGTACATGAAATATGTTATGTAAACTAAATTTTCTATAACTACATGTAATAGATTACTTGAACCCCTATAAAAGAGAGTCAAGATTTCTCAATTATAAATTCATCAAACCTCTTTAATTCTATTTCTCCAATTTAAAAATCATGTTTTTGAAAGTTTTGTGATACATAGGATTTTATAACTGAAAAAATTGTGACATGTGTTTTAGAAAAATAAAATTCTGGAAGTATGAAAATCGTAACATGTGTCATGGAATAAAAAAAAATTAATATGTATAAAACTAACTAAAAATTAGAAAAACAGATAACAAATAATTAAGATTAAAAAAATAATACATCCATTAAAAGTAATAAAAAACAGGAAACAAATATTTTAAATTTATTTGTTACATCTATTAAGAAAGAGAAAAAAAAGCCTTTCCGAAAAGGAAAAATACCAATATACAGTAGAACCTCTATAAAGTAATACTCGATAAAGTAATACCTCGAGAAATGAATAGAATTTTCAAGTCCCGAATTCAGTTTTTGGTTTAATTATCCCTCGATAAATTAATAATCTCGGTAAAGTAATAAAATATTGTGGTCCCAATGTTATTACTTTATAGAGGTTTTACTGTATAGTATTTATAATGGTCTGAGGCAAAACAAAATTGAGAAAGAAAAAAATATAAATAGAAAACTAACAAAATAATTATCAAGAAATTAACTAATATTAAAAAATTAGAATTGATATTCTAAGTTTAAATAGTTTGATTTTCAATTTTTGTTAGGTAAAAAAATTGAAATAAAGAATTCATCAATTAAAAATCTCTTGAATAGAATAATAAAAGTTTGATTAATTAATCAGTTGATATATGTGTAAATCTTTCTGTATTGGATAAAAATAATAGTAAAACAAATTAATTCATTTTATCATATCATAAATTCAAAAGAAAAATCAATTACAATAAAAATGTAAAAAAATTACCGATCTTATTTTATTTAAATATTTTTATCGGATTTTCAATATTATTTTGTTTACGTTTAAAAATGCTCAAATTTTGTTTAATATTTTCCATACTTTTATTATAAAATCTTAAAATATACCCGCGTATACGCGGACTTTAATCTATTTTATTTATATTTTTGAATTTTTGGACGATAAATAATCAAAATATCCAAACCCGAATTATAACCAAAATATTTTGGGTATATTTCAGTATCCTAAAGGTATACCCTAACCTATATCGAACCGAAATCATTTCACACATGTCACGATCTTATGAGTTATGTTAGTTTAATGATGCACAAAAACTTGAATTGTGTTTTTCTATTTCAAAAACAAAAGTAAAAAATTTAGTGTTAATCTATGTTATAACTATATACATATTTATATGATAAGATATCAATATAATATGTTGCTAACCTTTTCATCAAGTAATAGAAGCTCAATTCACATAAGGATATTATTTTCTTTATGATTCCTAACTTCTCACTTCGAATAACACATACTATACTACGACGATAATTTCGATTTCGATCCAATTGACTTAGAGTCAAATAATCTCTACTCTTTTTTGAACTTTCAAAGACATAATTTTTAAATTAGAGAAAATAATCAAAGAGATTTGATGAATTTGCTTTGATGAGTTTGTGAATGAGAAAAAAGGACTACATTAACTCTCTTTTTATAAGGGTTCACGTAACCTTTTTCATGCAGTTATAAGAAATTTAGTTTCCATGTATTAACATGATTTTATTTATTACATTATTTTGAATTTAATATATCTTAAAGATAATACAATTTTGATGAATATGAAACATTTTTCTATTAGAATATACAAAAGTAATTTTTTTAGTAATTTTTTTTTACTATAATAGATTAAAATTTTCTTTTTTGCTAATTTTCCCTTTTTTAACATTTTTTAAATTATTATTATTTTTTCATTTTTTCTCAAAACACATGTCACGATCTTAACGGCGTAACATTAAAAGTGACATGTCGCGATCCTATAAATTATAAAAATCTTACGTGTCGAAACCACGTTGTGCGCATCCAACTTTATATAATAAGATTTTTCACTAAAAAATAAAATTTGCCAAAAGATTATAAAATATTTTTCTAAAGAACATAATAAAAATATCAACTAAGAAAATTAATAGAGAATAGATAAATATAAAAGAAAAAAAAAACTTAAAATATTCTTTTAACAAAAAAAAAATCAAAATAAATATATAGATGACTAAAAATAAGAAAACAATTAAGACATTTAAAATAATACATGAAACAACATTGATTTTCTAAGAATTACCAATTAATATAAATAGAGAAAATCATACTTTATAAATAACATATTTTATGTAAAAGGTAATGTTAAAATATTAAGCTATTATTTTTGTACTCTAAAGTAAACAATAATAAAACAAAAATGCATGAAGATGAAATAAAAGTATATAGTTTTGAACTCTGTTGAGAATTAATATGTTTTGATGTGTTATATGTGAATGAGGAAAATTTGAAAGTAAATTAGATGACAAAAAATAAATAGGTACATTTAGAAGAAATGAATGACAGTGAAAAAGTAGATAAAAAAGACAAAATATTGTATTTTTAAGTATACACAATATTAAAATAAATATTTTAAACATTTTTTACTGTACGGGTGAAATGAGGGAATCAAATGAAAATATTAATTTAAACAATATATATGTCGTATTAGGTCTGGGCATATGGGTATCCGGGTCGATGTTTTCGGTTCCGGGTCTAACTTTTATTTAAATTATTTATTCAAAATACGAACTGTTACAATTTCGGGTCGGTTCTTCTCGGTTTCGGCTCTAATGGTTCTCCCTTATAAATAACTGTAAAATACCTGAAACATTTCAGATATTAGTCGGATTCGGGTGTGTTTCAGGTTTTTTACCCGTTTCTACCGATCTTAAACTGTTTATACCCGAAAACAGAACCACACACAACTACACAAGTTTGATACAATGCTCGTTAGAACTTTAAACAAAGACATAATATTGGTCTGAACAAAAAGACACATTATAGCTTTGAAGGTTTAAAGACACAATGTATCAAATTTTAAAACACCAAAGAGACAAAAACAAACGAGAAAAACACCAACTCTTCTATTCTTTATGACACTGGTTCGATAAGCTTTCGGACAATTGAACCATTAAACCTCATTCCCTCATCGAATCTCTTGTTATAAAACTACATTACATAGTACATATGAATCACACACTAAGTTAAAGAATCAAAGTGATAAATCAAATTGTATTCGGTTTTAGAAAGCTAGTAAGTACTTACCAAGGACTCAAGGCGCTTTGAAGGTTAATGTGGGTTCAAACTCTAAAGAGAAAAATAAAACGATTCATGATCGTTAGTAACAATACTATAAACTGTAAATCTAAAATGAAATTGCTTTAAGAAATTATGAATATAAATTACCTCTCATGAGATTATCTTGAACCTCTACATCCACTAGCAGTTGTTTCTGCTTTATCAATCTGTCATTCATTCTAAGCTCACATTTCATCCATTGCTCAAGAAATATCAAAACTTCAATCGTGTAATGAGTCAAGTGTAATGAGTCAAGCAGCTTCTACTTGGTTCTAAAACTCTTCTTAAGGTACTAAAGGCTGATTCTGAAGCAATTGAAGACACTTACATTGCAAGTATATCTCTAGCTATCACGGAGAGAACCGGAAACTTTGGAGTATTCACCTTCCACCAAGAAAGCACATCGTAATCTGTCTCTTCAAAAGAAATTGGATTCTCAAGCTTCTCTTTTAAGTACAAATCCAACTCATTCAGCTTCTCTTGAAAACCTCCAACTTCGAGAAACTCCTTGTAGATGTCATTCATGCTTTCATACTGTAGACCATTTCCAAGAACCGTTTTCTGATAAACTTCTTCTCTAGACTGACCAGAACTAGTAGACGCTTCATTTGACTGCGCCAATGAACCTGATTCACCACTTCCATTCTTGTTTAGTGCATTGCTATACTCGTTAAACAGATTCTTCCAAATATCCCTCACTTCCTCTTTGAGATCTTCAGACTTGGATCTTTACCATAAAGCTTGTCAAAACTTTTATCAACAAACTTCATCTTCTTGCTTGGGTTAAACACGGCTACTACAAATATCAGCTTATTCATCTCTACCCTTTTATAAAATGGATCCCAATACTTGCTTAGTTTCATCAACATTGAGAAGGCTTTTTCACATAATGCTTCATCAGGACCATGATTAGTACTTAGCAAAGAAATGTTTGTAGTCATAGTCACAATCGCATGATATAACTTGTGAGAGCATACAGTGTTTGAAGCCGAGAGAACGAAAGTGGCTTTGTAGAAGATAATGAGGAATTGGACTAACCTGTCTGCCGAATCCCAATCATCTTTGGTTGGTGGTCCAACCCCTTTTTTTTTCCTCCACAATATCCTTGAAGTATTTGATAAACGAAAAATCAAGCTCATGCATCTTGTCAAATGCCGATCTGAACTTGCAAGCTTGGTCTAACATCACATAAGTCGAATTCCATCTACTCTTCACATTTAGAGGCAAGCTTCCTCTTTGAATCTTTCTTGATTCCACATGATTCTCAAATGCCTTGAGCCTAGGTGTGGAAGATCTTACAAAATAAATGCCATTACGGATAGCATTCACACTGTTAACTATCTCCATCAGACCTTCTTTCACAATCAAATTAATGATATGAGTATCACACCTTAAATGGAGAAAGTCATCGTTTAGAATCACCGCATCATCTCCTATCTGCTTGAAATCTTCCTTGAATGTCTCCATGGCATTCCTGTTAACTGTGGTGTTATCAACGGTGATACAGAATACTCGCTTGATGTCCCACTAACCATACAATCAATAAGAACCTTACTTATAGTTGCAGCTTTATGGTCATACACATTCTTAAATCCAATGATAAGCTTCCTTAGTTGCCACCAAGCATATATGAGCTGTTATAACCATATAACTATCTCATGTATGAGGCTCGACCCAAATATTTGTAGTCAGAGACAACCTCTGCTTGTTATCATCGAGAATCTTCTTCATCGCAGCTTTCCTTTGGACATACATCTCCACAATGTCTCTTGTAGCTGCTGTTCTCCTAGAATGAGGATCCGGCAACTTAGTTTTATTGCAGAAGTGTTTCTATGCCAAGCCCTCAATGAAAGCTAAAGGAAACTCGACTAACACCATCATCTCACTAGAAGCTTCCCTAACCACCTTATCATACACTTTACAAAGTCCAAGACCACTATCAGAACCATTAGGAGATTACACGGTTTGGTCTTTATGTACTTTTAGCAGTTTTTCACATGTTGTAAGCCTTGCAAGAGACCATGTAATGTTTCTTCAAGTTGGATGTGCCATTGCCTAATGGAGCGGTAAAAACCTTCTTGCAATAATTGCAAACAGATTTTGTCTTATCTTTATCAAGTCTTTCGAAGTGATCTCATACTTCAAACCATGACTTCTGCTTCATAGCGCTTTCTTCTTTTTTTTTTTTTTCTTTTCCCTTTGTTTTGTTCTTCGTAGGCAGTGGTGGTGTTGGTGAGGTTTCAGTAACATCGTCGCCAGTCTCTAATCCACTACCGTCATTCAAGTGTGGTTCATCATTTGAAGCCATCTGGGCAAGCAAACAAAGCCAAGCAGTCATGATTCAATCGCATAAGACATGCATAATTTTGTTCTTAATTATCACAATCAGTTTGCTGCTTAAGTCTATCACTCTATGTCTATCAATTAATCGCATAAGTCTATTAACAAAACTGAATCAAAGCAAAATTGTACATATGAAAAGAACAACATCAAATCAGAATTGAAAAAAGGAAAAGAAGAACATCGACAAAATTGCATACCTTTGATCAATTTCCAGACGTCTTTGATGATGGAGGAGACATTGAGAATCTGTAGGGTGGAGCTTCCAGTTTGTGTTAATTGGATATGTAATGGAAATTTAAATGTGAATTTCAAATAGCTTTTGTCGACAATTTTTTGAGTTCGGGAATCGGAAGAGACAAAGCAGTAAAGTGGTAGTGTGGCCGTGGCGGATAAAACGATAAAGTATAAAACGGTCATAAAAAGGGGTTTTATGTTATGTTCGGGTCTCAAAGAGTACCCACGAGTAAATAGGTAATAACTGGAACCGATCCGATAACTATGGTTACGGAAAAATTTAACCGACAGGTGATTTAGTGTAGAACCGATACTAATCGAAATCGGGTTTTTTCGGGTCAGTTTTGGATCGGGTCTGTCGGATCGGTTTTTATGCCCAGGCCTATGTCGTATGTTATAAAATCAATTATTTCTGTTGTTAACAACTTTATAGTAAAATTCTGCATATTTTGTTAATTGTTTTTATATTAAATTATGTGCAAGGCGCGGGTTAGTTTGATTAATTGATATCTCCATTGTTTCACACTAGTAGAGTACCCGCACGTTTGTGCGGTGTGACGTTGTTGTTTTGTGTAGAAAATTTAAACCCTAAATCCGAACCCGACAAAAAACCCTAATCAAAAAATTTAAAAACCCAAACTTTTTTAATAGGTCTAAACATGAAAATCCGAAATCAAAAAAATCCCGAAAACCCTGACTGAACAAAAAAAATCTGGAAACTTTTTCACCCGGAACCCGACCCCAATACCTAATCAAAATTTTAAAATACTCAATTTTTTTAATATATCTAAACCCGAAAACCAGAAATCTAAAAAATCCGGAAAACCCTAAACTGAAAAAAAAATTGAACCTAACCCGAACAAAATTTTCTATATCTCTATATATATCTCTATAAAATTATGTCTCAGATTTTCACCCAAACCCGAACTTGTCTATAAAAACCCGAAAATCCAAAAAGCATATTCTATTGATTTGGAATTATCGTTAGATTATGTTAAGTTTTCTTTTTTGCAGATTTTTAAGAGATGGAAAACGGAAGTTTTCTAAACCATCGGTTTATTTTAAGTTATTATTCTTGTATCCAAACAATTTTTTCCATTTATTCTTCTATCCAAATAGATTTTTCTCTTATTCTTATATCCAAACAACTTTTGTTTCCATTTATTCTTCTATCCAAATAGATGTTTCTCTAATTCTTGTATCCAAACATTAGAATGTACTTCTCAATTAATAATATAACTAGTAGAGTACCCGCACGTTTGTGCGGTGTGACGTTGTTGTTTTGTGTAGAAAATTTAAACCCTAAATCCGAACCCGACAAAAAACCCTAATCAAAAAATTTAAAAACCCAAACTTTTTTAATAGGTCTAAACATGAAAATCCGAAATAAAAAAAATCCCGAAAACCCTGACTGAACAAAAAAAATCTGGAAACTTTTTCACCCGGAACCCGACCCCAATACCTAATCAAAATTTTAAAATACTCAATTTTTTTAATATATCTAAACCCGAAAACCAGAAATCTAAAAAATCCGGAAAACCCTAAACTGAAAAAAAAAATTGAACCTAACCCGAACAGAAATTTTCAAAGAAACCCGAACAATTTCTATATCTCTATAAAATTATGTCTCAGATTTTCACCCAAACCCGAACTTGTCTATAAAAACCCGAAAATCCAAAAAGCATATTCTATTGATTTGGAATTATCGTTAGATTATGTTAAGTTTTCTTTTTTGCAGATTTTTAAGAGATGGAAAACGGAAGTTTTCTAAACCATCGGTTTATTTTAAGTTATTATTCTTGTATCCAAACAATTTTTTCCATTTATTCTTCTATCCAAATAGATTTTTCTCTTATTCTTATATCCAAACAACTTTTGTTTCCATTTATTCTTCTATCCAAATAGATGTTTCTCTAATTCTTGTATCCAAACATTAGAATGTACTTCTCAATTAATAATATAAAGATAAAGATTATGAGGTGTTCAAGGATGTTTGGTAATAGAAATTAGAGTAATTAAAATAGGTAATGCTGTAAATAATTTTGGCAATAAATAAAGAAAATTTAAATAAACGAATAATAAAAATCTTGAAAAAAACTGTGTAGAATTGGAGATGACACATGAACAAAGTCTTCAATTAATGTTCATTTAAATATCATTCACAAAATATCACATTAAAATAATATCAAATCTGTGATTCGTTTATTATGGGCGGTGTGACTTTAGGCTGTTGCTATAAACTTTGGTTTGTTGAGATTGTAGCCGTTAAAACTGTGATTATTTTTTTCACATTTAAAAATATGATTGACAGCAAAAATATGATTGATAATATTTAAAAGCATTTTCAGTATTTCTTTTTTGTTAGGTTTTTGTTTTTGATCGTCTAAAATCTTTAATAGGTTTTGTTAGGGTTTTGTATATTTTTTTCTTCCTCCGCAGATTATTAAAATGCATTTTGTACTAAGCTATATAGTCTACGCATAGATCTCTGCCGACCCTCCTCTGTCTCGCTCTCTTCTCCTTAATCTTCCTCCTCAGATATTTGGAAAGAGGTACAATAAATGTCTCTCTCCCGTTTCTGATTTCTCAACATTCTCATTCTTTTGACAACATCTTCTGTGTTCTTGTCGTTAGAATTGTTGTGTTCTATACTGTTCGGTGAGTAAGGGATCTGTTCGTTTGATCCGAATTACGTATATTCACGTCAGCTGAAATTAATTCACATTTTTTTATTTATTTTTTTTGTTTTCTCGCATATTTGACCTGAAATTCATACTGTATGAGAGATTATGCTATGATATTGTTGGGTCTATGTTGCTGCTTTTAGATTACTGAGATTCCCGCTGCTTTTGGCATTACTGAGATTGTCAAATGTTTCCTAGGTTTCTGCTGCTCCTAGCTAGTCTCAAATGTGACAACTTGTGTCCGTTTAAATTTTATAGGTTTTGGAATAATGAGGAGCACTTGTGTGCGATTGGCATTTTGCATTTTGGTTACGGCAATGCTTTCCGTAGGAGGAGCTTCTCCCTCTGATGGGAATGATAAGAATCCTAGTGATCTAGTCCGGTTCACATTGAACAGGAAACCTATGATTTTACTCCAGTGGACTCCTCATGTTTCTCGGGAGATTAAGCTAAATGTGAGAAGAGGAGGTATATTTTTCTATATTAACTGATTTGAGTAGATCTTTTGAGGATGAGAAAGATCTCTTAATAAATTAAATGTTCAATACATGCATAGGTTGTGCAAACGCAACAAATTGGCGTAGCTCAAATAGGAATATTGTGGATGTGTCGTCTTATGGGGTTATTCAGGGAAAGAGTTCTGGAATAGCCACTGTGAAGGCTGTTTCGACTTGTTATCCACAAGGTTTTGATGAGGTACGTACGTATCAATAAAATTAAATCTCCTTTTTTTTTGCATCCCTGTAAATAATATATTTCTACGTACGTAGATTTATGTCAAAGTTTTCGCAAGTGACGAGGAGGATGTGTGGTATGACATGGATGACATGGAGCCACCAATCTATAAATCGGCGGCATGCATTGACAGGACCATTGTATTCCACGGTGTCTTTACCTATATCCTTGTCACAGGAATCATTTGTGCTTGTAGCCGTCTTGGCTATATAAAAACTCGTGTATATACTCAGTGTTCTAGAATGCATCGATCCCTGCGCCCGTTTATCATAAACGTAGAGACGCTAGACCGCGATAGATTAGTAGTACACTAGTACGTATGTACTAGACGCATGAGTTAATATTTAATAAGCAAAGTTTGTTTCCCTCAAGCTGTCTCATGCAGTTTTGATTTCATAAATACATCATGGTTATCAAAGTTCATATTAACTAAGTAATGACGTCTAACACAATCCTCGAGGCCAAACGGCAGAATCTTCTTACGCATTGACGTTTTTATGGTCTTTGGGATATTATTCAATATACTGACTGTATGTTATAGACTGTATGTTATAAAGTTCAAATCGGGAGACAAAAGAAAATGTAATTTTGAAGTGGCCACAATTAAAAACTCCACAATATATATTGATAAAAAAAAATCATAACTCTTTTTGCTTCCATGCAAGAATAATATGTTTGTTTGTGTTTGGGAGAGTGAACTAGCTCATCTAATTTTGGTGGTCAGTGTAGTTCTGACGTGGTGTTGGAGGCTAGGTTGTGCTGGTTGAACATCAATACCGAGGCGTTGACGACAGTCTTTGTTCGAGCCTCCTCTAACCTCTTGGAGTAATAGTTCTTTGCTTGGGCTATTTGTGAAATAACTTCCATTTAGTTAAGCTAAAGAGATCTACCTTATTTGCAATCTGTCTTCGGGTAAATGCTTTCTTCAATTACTCCTCGAGTTAGCAAGCTCTGTATCGCTACTTTATTTTGGCTTGGTGCTAAATTTGGTACCGATTATTTATGTTTCCATGTTTTTTAAGCTTTTTTGCCATGGGACCATGTATAAGGTTTTGCCTTTTGTTCACACAATTTGTAAAACCAAACTTTTCATTTTTATAATGAAATATTTACAATTTAGGCCGAAAAAAAATAGATATATATGTTTGTCACTTCTCATTGTCTTTAATTAAGGTTTAGCTTGGATTTGTGTTGCACACGCATGGAGACGTTACCAATTCAGAAGTTATCAGATGGGATATTGAGATGTCTCCGCATTGTTTTATATTTTTAAATCACGGAAATTCAAAAATATATGATTAATTATATCATTCAGAATTTGTTTTGGTAAAAATCATTAGTGGCTTCGCCCGGGTTCGAACCGGAGACCTTCAGTGTGTTAGACTGACGTGATAACCAACTACACCACGAAACCTTGATGTTCTTACTTTAATTACTTGCTAAAGAAACCTTTGGTTCATTACGTGGAAAAAACATTCGACGTATCCGTCTTGTCCATCACGACGCTGCACACGGACAAGAAAGGGTACGTCTTCTCTATTTTGTGGACCAAAGAGATCTTGGTTTTAGTAAATTTTCTGTGTCTTTTCTTTTCATATCTCAGCTTGACAATATTTTTTCCCAGAGGAAAAAATGCTATGTATTACCATTTTTTTTAATTTTTGTCCCCAAAATCCCAAATTACATACCCCATTTTTTTCTTTTTCTTTTTTTGGTTTCACCTCTATCCCCCAATCTCTACCCTATTCAACAAAGAAAAGAAAAGAAAAAAAAACCACCCCTATTCTGACAAAAAATTCCTACAGAAATATAAGAAGAAAACAAAAAAAAACTTTGCGAAAACTGAACTAAAGTTTTTGCCACCCTTTTGATTTTCGTTTTTGATGCCTTGATTGAGTTTGAGTCAGAACTCTGTTAATGAGTTGTTTTTCTGTTGGCTCAAACTGTGGATTTGTGGTCTCAAAGGTACTTTCCTGATGACTTCCAGATCCTACTTACTCCAAGAGCTATCACTAGCACAGTGCAATCATCGTGATACTTTCTTCTATCTCCTTGCGGTATATCCAGAAGCTCGTGAAAACCCATTCCTGTTTTTGAAAAAAAAAAAGAGTCATATACCCATTAATCACCTTAATATCACTCACTAGAGAGAGAAATCAGACTCACAAACCAATTAACCCGACTGAAATTGTAAAATGGCAAACAAAATTATTATGGTAAGTGAAAAAAAGAAGTTAATTATTTTTACCAGCTTTCTTGGCTGCACGGACTAGAAGTTCTTGTATAACATGTTGAGCAGGATCTCCGTCTGGGAACTTTTCCATGGCAAGAGAAACAACTTCCTCGTTGCTCAGGTATTGGTACAATCCATCAGATGACAGAACCATAAACTGATCATTCTCCGTTAGCCGGTAGTGACAAAGGGAAGGCGTGCATGAGATGTATGGATCCGTACCAATGTACTCATTTCTAAACATCTCCAGTAACGCATCGTTCAGTTTAGGCTGCAAAATCAACTTCCTTTGTCAGAATCACATAATGATGATAATATCAAAAAAATGAATCTTTTTTTGCTTTAACCTGCTTCAAGAACCCTGCTCCAAACGCTCTGGTCACCTTAAGCCGTCCTTTCACTCTGTCATTCACTATGCAATGGCTATCATCTGGGTGCTCGTTTTTTATTCTTGTTACTTCCTGCGTTCATCAGTTGAAATCATCACTTAGCACGAACATAGAAAGAATCAGATATGATCATTACAACATTATATAAACTTACATCTTCGATGCTCGTGCTGTGATCTGTTGTCAGCTGCAAGGCAGAAAGTTTTGCGTGCTGCGAAGGGGTTCCATTGTTCACTGCAGTATCCTTATCATCCACAACCACTGCATGCTCTCTGTTTTGATCATTGTTCACCTGATATTGTGCAACAAGAGCTCTACTATCCCCAATGTTCATTATATACACATCATCATCTCTCATCAGAGCAACCAGTAAGCAAGAGCCCATCAACGCAAGCTCCGGATTTGTGTCAAGAATTTTTTCAGTCATCTCTAGGAATGCTTGCTCTGTGGTTTCAAGACCATTTGCCATAGCCTTTAGCACCAACTCATGATCAACCGTACCCGCTTTTCGTCTCTTCCTCCTCTTCTTCTCAACACCTTCTTCTACTCTACTACTAATGTTATCCACCTCCTCTGTTTCCTTCTCCTCCACACCAAACTTCCATGGGAACAACTTCCTCCCAGAAATTCCCTGCTTCGATAAACCCTGCTTCAGCTTCGACAACAAGACCCATCTTTTACTTCCATTCCCGGCGCTAACAGCATCGTCCACTGAGAATGCAAACCTATCAGGACCTGAAAGATCCAACGCATCTTCTGCTTGCGCCTCTTCAAGAAGCTCCCATAGCCGTTTCCTCTCCTTCACTTGCACCACCTCTATTGGACAGCTCGAACTCGCCGATTCATCCTCTACATTGCTTCTATCAACCTTACTCTCATCCTTCAAACTTGTTAATGTCTTGTTATCATCTTCTTCTTCCTCCAATTCCCAGAACAAACCTTGTAGCTCGCTATGGACAGCACGGTAGAGATGAGCCATCAGAAACTCCGGAGCGTCGGGTCCATTGAAGCCGTCGTAAATTCCGGCGAAAAGCCATCCTTGCTTCTCGAAAACCGCTAATTGGACTCTGTCTTCTCCCGCTTTCCCCAACGCCCACTGCAAATCGTTCTCAGCTTCCGAGTGAACGCCGCCGCCGCCGTCTGGTTTCACAGGGTTTTCCCTCTTAGCACCGACGACGAAATTGGACACCGGAAGGACCCATGGCCGCTGCTTCCTCTCCCCGAAAATCGGGTGCCAGGAGAGGCTCTTCTTCTTCTTTGTCCGTCTCTTCTTCGAGTATACGCCACCGAGCGGCGCTGAGAAATGCACGCCGGCGGAATTAGATCTCGAGATTTCTCCGGCTGGGTGTAACGGACCTGAGGTCGCGCCTCTCTCGATCGAACCCGACCGATCCGGACCTAGCGGCGCGGGTTGAAGCGGAAGAGCGCTAAACGACGACGTTCCTTCAAAGCCATTGGCATTCACGACACTGCTCCTCACGCCGCCGCCGAAAGAGCTCTCAGTGGCATCGTCGTAAATATCTTCGAGCTGGAGCACTGTTTTGGAATTCGAGGTGTTGGCGCTCACTGAGGCGCCGGAAATCGCCCCGAACCCGGTGTGGAACTGCTCGGATGATCCGGAAGCTCGGATCCGACCCGGTTCATGCGACGGAGATAACCGGAAGGAATCAGAAGGAGAGACGAATCGATCGGAAGGAAACGGAGAAATGAAACGGTTAGAAGACGGGACGTAGCAGTAAGAATGGCCTAGAGTCTCATCCAACGGCTCATCGAAATGAGTCGGATACTTAGCCGCCGCCACCGCCGATTTCTGACGGCTACGGTGACCTTGATTGAAGCAAGGTAAGACGGAGGAGAATCCACTTCCCATCACATTTGATTGCAACACTCTTCTACTCCGGAGAAAAATAAATACACACACACAATTTATCGGATTTGCGAGAATTTGTAAATAAAGAGAGAGACTTTTGTCGTCTTCTTTTCAGATTTAAATATGTTTTCTTTTTAAGCAGAGACGACTTTAGCAGAAACATTGATTTTTTTTTGTATTAAGAATGCTTTTTGTCATTTGCGTTGTTCGCGCTCATGGAATTCACATTTATGTCATTTGTTTTCTTTCTACCCAAAAACTATAAGATAAGTAGCAATGAAAAAACTATACTGGTGTGGTGTTTTTCTAACTACATAAGGATTCTAATGCTCAAGTTGATATAAAGACTGAACAAAATTTGAAGTATAAATCCTGATAATGATTTGGATTTTTTGGCACAACAACTAAAAGGTTCTCAGAATAAAGTTGAACTATCGTACTATTAAGAATTTGAGAAAATTTGATTTGAAATGTTCATAATATAGTTCAACATAATCATCATTTTAAAAAAACAAGAAATTGAATCTATTGTTCTTCCATACAAATTAGTTTGTGACGTTTTTTGCCAACTTGTTCAACCAATTTATAATTCATCCACAATACTTGATATTTCATTCATATCTTCTTCTTTAGTAGATTTTATTTATTTTGCATAATTTTTTGAACAAAATTTTTATTTTCAATCAATTGATTATGTTCGCTCATATGCCGTGTTTACAAAATAGGCAATTGGGCCAAACAAATTCACAGATTTAGCCAAAATAGTGTTATTATCTTTGGCTGACCGTTGTTTTAATTTATAACGCATATAATTATATTTACTTTTATATTAATTGTCAGATATCATCGTTCATTTTCACGTTTGTTACTATACAGTATGCATGACTAGTGATGTTAATTAAATATCAATTGTCAGTCACCATTCATTTTCTCGTTCATTCATACGTTATAATGCATATAATTATATTAATTTTTATATTAATTGTCAGATATCATCGTTCATTTTCACGTTTGTTACCATACGTTATGCATGCTAGTGATGTTAATTAAATATCAATTGTCAGATACCATTCGTTTTCTTGTTCGTTCATTCATATGTTATAACGCATATAATTATATTTACTTTTATATTAAATGAAAAATATCATTCATTTTCACGCTTGTTACCATACATTATAAATTGTCAGATACCATTCATTTTATCGTTCGTTATCATACGTTTTACATGACTAATTTTTTAATTGTAAGAACCAAAAAAAAAACAGGTACAATGGAAAGTATCTATTTTTATGAATAAAATCATGTGGAATTGACGATTCTATAAAATTTGAAAAAAAATTGTTATCGGTTACAATGAAATAAAATAAAATATTAGTATGTTTTTCCAACTTGTTAAAACAATAAATATTTCATCCACAATACCTGATATATCATTCATATTTTAGTCTTTGGTATTTTTTTTTTTTTTTGCATACATTTTTCAAATAAAATCTTTATTTTCAATCAGTTTATTAATTTCACTCATATTATGTGCTCTAAAAAAATAGGCAATTTTGCACACAAAAAAAAGAAACACACATATTCAGCCAAATTAGTGCTACCATTTATAACAATTTATTTGATTTATATATAATGCATACAAGTATATTTATTTTTTATCATTTGTTAGATACCGTTCATTTTCTCGTATGTTACCAAACATTATAATGACTAGTCTTGTTAATTAAATATCAATTGAACCGGCGCTTGTGGCCCGGTGGTAAAGGACCCTCAGCTGAGGTACCTGCCACCTGGGTTCGAGTCCCGGCCACAACGGATTTAACATCCATTCCGTTGGAGTGCTGGACCCCACTTGTGGGGATAGTCGGGAATGTAGCTGCCCGGATGGTTACGGAGGAAAGTATTTGGTTTTATGAATAAAATCATGTGGAATTGAGGATTCCACGAAATTCCATATAAATGTTATCAGTTACAATGAAAAAAAAAAATCATTCAACTTATTCCATTCATTTCACAAAAAAAGAAAAAAACAAATGCTTGAAAAACTATCCCACTTCAAAAACGTTTGTAAATGAATGAACTTCTTTTTTATCACATTGTATCCTTTTCCAGTTTCATTTCAGTTTATTCAATTCATTTCTTTGTATTCCATTATACTAAATCTCTTACAGCAAGAGGATGATTTGCTCTTCACGCAGAACTTTGTATTATGGCTAGGGTTTTCAATAAAATTTCAGCTCAAATATACCATAAAATAAATATAAGAAAGAGATGAGGAGGGGTTTTCATTTGAGATACTTTGACTCTTTGACGTACCATGAAAACTTCTCATGACGATGTACTTAAGTTTTTTTGGTCCAATTCTTATTTTAAAACCAAAATTTCATCATATTGTTGAATTATGTTAAAATATTATTGTTTGAGAATCATAAAATGGTTCACATAAATGGATATACTCTTACATACATGAATAGAAACATTAGAAACATGATTAGAAGAAAGTTTGACAATTTAAAGAAAAATCAATTAAACTTTATGTTTCAACTTTATGTTTCAAAGTTGGATATCATTCAGTTCTTCGTCTGCTACCATATGTTATACATGATAAGTGTTATTAATTATAAGAACAAAAAAACAACGGTTACGGAGGAAAGTATTTGGTTTTATGAATAAAATCATGTGGAATTGAGGATTCCACGAAATTCCATATAAATGTTATCAGTTACAATGAAAAAAAAAATCATTCAACTTATTCCATTCATTTCACAAAGAAAGAAAAAAACAAATGCTTGAAAAACTATCCCACTTCAAAAACGTTTGTAAATGAATAAACTTCTTTTTTATCACATTGTATCCTTTTCCAGTTTCATTTCAGTTTATTCAATTCATTTCTTTGTATTCCATTATACTAAATCTCTTACAGCAAGAGGATGATTTGCTCTTCACGCAGAACTTTGTATTATGGCTAGGGTTTTCAATAAAATTTCAGCTCAAATATACCATAAAATAAATATAAGAAAGAGATGAGGAGGGGTTTTCATTTGAGATACTTTGACTCTTTGACGTACCATGAAAACTTCTCATGACGATGTACTTAAGTTTTTTTGGTCCAATTCTTATTTTAAAACCAAAATTTCATCATATTGTTGAATTATGTTAAAATATTATTGTTTGAGAATCATAAAATGGTTCACATAAATGGATATACTCTTACATACATGAATAGAAACATTAGAAACATGATTAGAAGAAAGTTTGACAATTTAAAGAAAAATCAATTAAACTTTATGTTTCAATTTTTAACAAAGATGTTTTTCACATTCTATCTAAACCCACTAAATTGATGAATGATTCTAACATTTATGAAAATTAAAGTTTTATAATAAAAATATATAATCAATGAAAAATAGTTAAAAAATTACTAATGAAATAATGATTTTCCGAATTTTTTACATTCTTGTGATGAGATAAAAAAAAAAAAAAAAGAAGAGACTAGCTATTCTACTATTTATTGCTGGATAATTCGAATAAAAGTTGATAGATCCATTAAAAAACAATGACCATATATTTTTGATGTTACTTTTAATTAATAAGGCTTTAACCAATCGCCCCTTTTCCTTTGGATATAAAGCTTTTAACTTTTAACTGAGTTGGGTTTCAGAATTCAACAACTCCCTCAGCTAAATCTATCCTTAACTGGTCCAATTGCATTATGTAAAATGTTTTACTCATGTTATATATGTTCTTTTGACTTGATTTTTTTCATAAAATATAGAGTAATTATTTTTTCTCACTTTCTTTTGACTGAAAAGATAAGTAGAAATTTACGTAGCCTTAATTAAATCAATAAATATTTTAAATAATTATAAATTAAAAAAAAATAGGCGAGAAATGAAATATATATATATGGTGATTATATATGGACTCTTTTAAAATTGAAAAGCATAATTATGACCGAAATCGTGCACGAAAAACTGTTCATCAAAAATATCGTGCACGAAAAAATGTTCATGCCAGTTTATGATTATGGAATGAAAACAGGTCAGTCTATGACTTTCTCAAATGACAAATCAGATAAAAATTAGTCGTAATAATGGGTGACTAAATTACGATTAGGCAACGTAGGGTCCGCGGAAGGGAAGATCAAAGAACAATAGTCAACGAGGTGTTGACAAGTGGGACCCGACTCGTAGACTCCTTTGCTTAAACGACGTCATACTTGTCGGATTCCCTTTCCCGCTAAGACTTCTTGTCTTGTCCCCTTTTTTCTCTAAATTATCATTTCTGATTTTCTGTTTCTTGCTTTAATACTCTCTCTCTTTTTGTTCATCAAGATTTTCAGACTTCTTTGTTTCAGTTTAGGTTACAGATATTCAAACTTGTCCATAATTCAGGATATAAAAATTTAAAATACTTGAGAGTTGAGGCAATGGATGAAGTATTTACAAGTCTAACTTCTCGGTTATGTGCAAAATTTAAATTAGGGTTTATTGGTGTAGACAAAATTAAATGTAAAAAAAAAAAAAAAAAAAAATTAAATGTAAAATTTAAAAGTAAAACTAAAAGTGAAGACAAAATTAGTTAAACAGTTTTTTTAGTGTAATTTATATATACATTATTTTGTAGATAACCGAGAAGTTAGACTTTTTCTTAAAACTTTACGTGCCGTCAAGAATTGGCAAAGTCACACTCCAACTAAAACTCACAATCCACAGCCCAGAAAAGCCTTGATAATATACAAATGTTTATCATCTAGAAAAAATGCAGATTTTCAATACGAGTATTTTGACTATTTTCTACCACGGAAAAAAACTTATTTAAGGTTTTTTTTCTTCACCAAATCCGTAAAAGCAAAAGTGATTTGAATTTAAATCAGAAACGCGTTTACTTTAGATTGTACCTTAAAGAGCATGGCTTTTTTGTGTTATTTTCCATACTTGTTCCACATTCCTACTTGATCCATAGACTTTTTGAGTTAATTTGTTTTCTCTTGAATTTATAAGGCACGGAATTTGTGAATTGTAAAAAGCCTCAGCTACCCACTGATCCACTAGGAAAGCAGTTTTGGTTACTGAATTTATTCATGCCTAAGGCTCAATCAAGTCTGATGGGACCAAAGTTGACCTAGAACTCATTTTCACACACATAAATAATATGAAAATATCATATAATATCACACATATTTCAAAAGTACTATATATTATGTAATATCAATATTCTAGTACAACACTCACCATTGATCATGGAATTTAAAAAGATTAGATCATGTACATCAATAGGCATTTTGGTCTCAAAGTACTGTCATGCTTTTGGGTCGTGTCTCAATCTGATAGGACAAAAACACTGATCATCTTCTTTTGGTTGCATTTGCATATATATGTCTCTGCTCGACTGTTCGATGTTGATGTGATTCTTAACAAGCAATGGCTTTGACGCATCATATCTGGCCTGCTCGTATGTCCCGGTCTATACGGTCTGCATTATACGTACCCGGAAGCTCTCTAAAATCCTCGTTGAATATGGAATATGCGCTGCCACAGAAAAGATTCAGTTCTTATAATCAAAAGATATGATTTTTTCACAGCTTATGCTTACGCTTTAAGAAACCAAGAACTTAGATGAGTTTACTTTGGTATCCAGATTTGCCGCAAACATCAACCAAGGTCATATACAATCACAGCCCTAATCGAACGAACCAACGGAGGCTAAAGCTTTGGAAATGTACGTACCTGACATCACCGGGTTGTCGTTTACCAAGATTGAGCAAGATGATTGAAAAGCCAGTCCCTAGTATCTGAAACCAGTCATAGGAAACAAAACTACTTAGAACATTTGAGGCAAGTGACCAAATCTGTACACGAGACTTTTTCAGGAATCAAGACATTGAAAGGACTTACAAAGATAGGGCCAAGGTCCCAACGATGGGCAATAGGCGCCAAGATAAACCACAAGATGATAATAGCCCACATCTTTAGACTTAGAGAGAAGAGTCCCATAAGAATGATATCTAGATCTCATCACACAAAAGACCAGATCAATAAGCTTTTCTTTCATACGTTCTTGGAAACTGGAGATGATATCAAAGAACTCACCGGGAAGCTTCAACTTGTTACGCAGAAAGTAGTAGAGCTTCCTCTTCCACCGGCTTGTTGACGCCGGAAGCTGAAACTTCTGCAGTGCCATAACAACCAAAACAAGAATAGAAACTAAAGAAACCATTCGTTATAAGTTTAAAAAATCAGATCAAAACATCCATTATTTACCAACTCATCATCATCATCATCATCATCATCAAAGGTCTCAACTCCAACTGGTCGCTTTGGTATGACAGCAACGATCAAGGAATCTACACAAGAAAGCAGTCAAATACTCATTCACGAAACACAGTGCCTAACCTTTTCAAGCAGAATCTTTTACCTTCGTCCTTGAGCGTAACGTACACATCATCTCCATCTTCCTCGTCTTGAAGTGCCTTCCCACGAAGAATCATCCTCAGATTCGCGACGGGAAATCGACCCTTTTCCGCAATCGCATTCCTCAAATCACGAACCTGAATCAACCAAAGGATCAATCCTCTCTTCGTACACACACAATAGACCTAGCGAGATACAGAAGAATGAAAAATTTCCCTACTTTGATATGAGACGCCACTCGAATTCGAGATGGCCGAGACGGGCCGATGGTTTTGTGAGTGATCTCGACGGTGCCGTCTTTGGTCAAGCCAGAGCTCATTTCTTCGATTGAATTGATTTTCCGATCCCAGTTTTACTCTAACTTCTCAGACAATCAGCAGAAATTGAGGATTTAGGGCTTCGAATTTGGGGATTGAGAGACGGAGTTTGTTTTCTCAGTAGCTTCCTCCGATGACGGAGAATCGATTTTGAGTTTTCAAATATTTCATATTCGCCCCAACATATTTATTTAGTTCTAGTTTAACCCCGAAGGTTTTCAGATAACACCAAAGCCCCCAAAACTTTTCATACCATTTGGACCGATTCTTAAAATCCATCTTAGTGCTGGTCCAGCTTTTGTTTGAATATGAATGTTACTTTATAGTTTATTCACGTAATTTGATTCATTTTAAACGAATTGTTTCACGTACTCCTTTTTGACAAACGTATTTGCTCCTTTTATATTATAATCGTAGCCCACAAGGCAAAGTTAGGTCTCTATTGGTTGTATCTACCTTTGACAAAACTGTAACATCCTATGTAATCAAAAGTGGGCATGAAACACTCGTAACGACATATGGTAACATACAAAAGAACACTGACAAACGAAGCACACACATATATGAATATATCCACACATCCAGAGATGATGAACAGAGACAAGACATAACTTTCCAATGGAGATCAAACTGAATAAGCTATGGGTTACTTTAATCGTGGCTTCTGCGATTGCCACATCGGTTTTGGGGGAATTTGGAGGACCACTGGTGAAGGGTTTCTACAAAGAGAGCTGCCCATTAGCTGAAGAAATCGTCAAGTATAACGTAGAGGTTGCTCTTCTCAGAGATCCTCGTATGGCTGCTTCTCTTCTTCGTCTTCAGTTCCACGACTGCTTCGTCTTAGTAAGATATCTTCCCATTTCTAATTAGAGAGTTAAGTAAGATTTCGTTTTGAATGCGTAGTTTATTATGGGTTTTAGGGTTGTGATGCGTCTGTGCTCTTGGATACACACGGAGATATGTTGAGTGAGAAACAAGCAACTCCCAACGTTAACTCACTGCGAGGGTTCGAAGTGATCGATTACATAAAGTACCTCCTTGAAGAAGCTTGTCCTTTAACTGTCTCTTGTTCCGACATCATCACCATAGCCGCACGTGACTCTGTCTTCCTGGTAATTATTTCCAATTTAATTACCTTAATTGGTTGTTTCTGATAAATTAGATACCAAGAGGGGTCAATTTTTCAAAAACAAAATTTGATTTGTATATGTATTACCAGAGAGGTGGACCATGGTGGGAAGTTTTGCTAGGGAGAAGAGACTCACTGACGGCAAGCTTCTCCGGCGCAAACCAATTTATTCCGGCACCAAACTCTTCCCTCGACAGCCTCATCGTAAACTTCAAGCAACAAGGGCTCAACATTCAGGATCTTATCGCACTTTCAGGCGCTCACACAATAGGTAAAGCAAGATGCGTGAGCTTTAAGCAACGTATTGTTCAGCCAAACATGGAACAAACATTCTACGTCGATGAGTTCAAAAGACACAGCACGTTTCGGCGAATCTTACGGTCACAGTGCAAAGATTCAAGCCGCGACAATGAATTGTCACCATTGGATCTACACACTCCGGCTTACTTTGATAACCATTATTACATCAATCTTTTAAAAGGAAGAGGGTTGTTGATTTCCGATAACGTTCTTGTCACGGAAGATCATGAAGGAGAAGTATTCAAGAAAGTTTGGGAATATGCGGTTGATCAGGATCTCTTCTTCGTGGATTTTGTGGAATCTATGTTGAAAATGGGTAATATTAATGTTCTTACTGGTCTTGAAGGTGAAATTAGAGAGAGCTGTAGATTTATCAATATATAATTTCAACACATTTGAACATAACATTTGATTTTTGGTCAAAGAAAGTAATTCTTTGGCACATTCTACATCTTCTGTACAATTGTTTTTGGTTTTTACCATGACAAGCCACTGTAAATTTTGGAAAGCTCGTCAATTCAACGTCTCAATTCTGAATTTATGTTCCATCTAATATATATTTCAGGACAAATGTAACAAAGAATTTAATCTGGGCATCAGATTACATAAAGTTAACATCAAGAAGATTCAGACGCAAATTACCCATGAAATATAATTTCATCATCTGCCCAGGTAAATTTAGAAAACTAAGATGAATAGACAATTGCAAACAGTAATAATTAGAATCTGAGGATCAGTTCTCCAAGGTGAATAGACATCAATATAATATCAGTCGCAAATTACCCATTTGTTAATTGAGATTCATCATCTTCTCAGATCAGATAAAAAACAAAACTTTTTAAAAATCAAAGAAAATCAAAATTATAAAAGAGATTAAAGGATTTATGGTTTTCGAGTCGATCAGAACCTGTCGAGATCACAATTACATCACAAATATCAGTGGATTGACAGACTGTGAAATTTTTATCGTCACTTCGACTCAAAAGCCTTAAAACCTTTTGAATTCAAAACACATAGCAAAAAAAAATTAAAGAAGGTTTTGCTTTTTAAGTTGAGAAAGAATAAAGATCTGGCAAAGCTCAGAACTTCTTAGAGGGTTGTGTTTTACCGTCAGCGATGAAGAACCCCATCTCTGGAACACGAATTTCATCACAGCAGCAGATCTATTAAATTGGATTAACAAATTAAAAAAACCAGAGCTAAAACAGAACCGAAGAAGATGAAAAGCGAAAACAGCTAAAAACGATAATGAGACGGAACACAATCGGACTTGATTAAAATTGAGAATTGTGTTCGTGTATAAATACTGAGACGGGGATTAGAAGAAGCCCTAGTTTTATTCTCCCTCTTCTTTGTTTGGGCTTTTTCTGGGCTGTCCAAAGCATTGATTTATCTAATTTTTGTGGGCTTCTAATTTATCATAAATGAAGATTTCAAGGTTGCTAAGCTGCTGACTCGTTCGCCAAATTACTAATGAAATAGTTTTTTTCTTCTTCTTTGTTTATTGGTAAAAATAAAAATAAAGTACAATGCAGGCTGTGGGGTTCGAACCCACGCGCACTTATGTGCAGAAGAACTTAAGTCTTCCCCCTTAACCACTCGGGCAAACCTGCTTTGCGTTTGTTTATTTTCTTTGTACCTCGCGGCCGTAAAAAAAGAAGAGAAACCACAAACGAGGATGCATCCTCTATTTTGACGCGGACCAAAGTACACGTGTTTTCTTTTGATTGAAATGACTTTTTTATTTAATTGGTCAAAGTAATCTCATGTATAACGTAAACAAACATGACCACTGAAAACAATTGATCTGGTTGCGGTATGATAGTTTATAATCATTGTCATACAAAATAAATGATAAAGTAATTTGATGATTTTTATTTTATTTGTTTGTTAAAAGGCCTGTAAACTAATTAGATATTACTGCAATTAATCAATATCTATGATGTAATTAGGTTTGCAAATTGTATACAAGTCAAGTCGCACTGTATAATTGTGGTGTGATTAAATTAAGATATTTTGATTTTAATTTTACTTGCTTGTATTGAGTAACGACTTTGCAAACTACTTTTTCACTAGTTTCTTGCAAAACGGTGGGTTTTTCTCCCTAGCCCTAGCCAATTCGTGTAGATATACCGCAATTATAAATTTCAGAGATTTATTAATGCGAAATTCACTTTCACAAGATTATTACAATTTTACAACACCTTTTTTTGCTTGTGAAGCAGGAAACATTGATATTCAAGTACATGCAATGCATGAGCAGGAGGAACTGTTTTATTATCTCACCAATATTAATTTCACTTTATACACGAATTAACGTCTAATAATAATAAAAAAGTCTTCAAAGAGCTTTTTAGCAGCTGAGGTTAGGACCAGGGTCCACACCAAGCTGCCCGCAATAGTCTCTGTAGTATCTAATCCTTGCATTAACCTTATCTGTACCCGCACCATCACACTCTAATCTTCCATTGATGGCTCTAATGGTGGCTCCAAATCCTTGGTCCAGTACCGGCCTTACGTTATTCATCCAAAACCACAAAGCTGTCCTGAAAGCTACAGTTGGATTGCTACCTACAAGCTCGGGCTGGCGTAGAAGGTCGAGATCGAGACTCTGACCACATGGTGCGTAGTTGTAGTTCCATGATAGTTGAATTGGACCACGACCGTAGTACAATTTGCCCGTTGCACATGGGTATTGTGGGTAATTTACATCGTCGCAATAGTTTTCTGACGCTCCGTTTATCTCTTCTATGTAACAAAAATCTATACGATATATAGAGATGGGCACATGAAAAAAAAAAATATTTAGAAACAGCTCAAATAATCGGGATCAAGTCAAATGTTCAATTTCTATTTTATAGAAAGGTTTAATCGCATATGTATAGCAAAAATGATTAATTTTTTATTTTTTCTTTTCAAACACAAAAATTCATTATTTTAGAAACTTAATGCCGTTAGTTTTTTATAACAAAAAAATTTGATTAAAAAAGTTTATATTAGAGAAAGCAAGAAAATGAAAAGAGAGGAAGGAGTTCTTACATCCGACTTCTTGCGTAAAATGAGCAAACATGGTAGCGATTTCACGCCTAGTAACGGAATTGGCAAAGCTGGGGAAAGTATTAGCGGCGTTAATGAAGGAGTCACGTGGGGAAACTTTTTCCGGCGCAGTCATTACCGGGTTGATTGATAATACGGTTAAAGAAAGCTTGTGACACAATGCTACCGACACTTTCGGGTTGGGTAGTGCAAGGACCTGATTGGCAACCAATACCACAATAGTCACTGCCAGTACTGCAGTAACCCTGTGGACTGCAACACAGGTCCGAGGCACAACCGCAGTCCTGAGACTTGACGATCTCGGAATAGAAACATAATAAGAGGCAGAGGAGAAGGAGCAAGGAGATTTGTGTGAGAGCCATGTTTTGGTTGTTGTTTTGTGGAAGGTTGTGAGCTAATATATAGGAACAGATGTTGGGTACTTTGGTCGTTTGATTTTTGGTTCTGTTTGAATAAATGGCTTTCTCATTATATATTTAGGTTTGAACAATGGTTTTGATGACTTTTAGTTTTGTTCTTGCCCATAATGTGGACTTGGTCTAAGAACATTATTTCTTACATGAAGTCAGATCTATTACATTTTCTTAGACCAAGTCCACATTATGGGCAAGAACAAGACTAAAAGTCATCAAAACCATTGTTCAAACAACTAGAAATGAGAAAGTATCTATCTTTTACATGATCCAATCCAAATTAGACGTCTAGATCAATCACTTGAACAAATCAAATCAATGATAACTTGCTAACTTTCTTAATGCAATTTATTTTAATATAAAATCATTTCAAGGTGTTCCTATTTCATAAGATTTCTATTTGGGTCAGACTAACTTGATATAAGTAAATAAATTGTAGGTTCTATAATTCGTTAATTATTGGTTCCTTTAGTTTTGAGATTTTATCTAAAAGAAATATGGAAAGGATCATCCTCCCTTCAGAATTTAACAAGAAGTTCACTGCTGGAGTGCTGGTGTTTTCATCATCTCTTCCACCCTCCACGCTTGTTCAACTTTGCAAACATATTTACTCAAACATTTAGATCATAAGAAAGTTTTTCAAACATTCATGTTCTCTTTTGAATTCTTATTTACTGATGTGTCAAGTTTTTGTCTTTCTAAAGTACTGTATGTTCCTTTTAGTGGTTGGATTTTGAATTTTTTGTTTAGTAGTTTTCATAATTTTTTTTTTGGATATACAATTAGTTGCTATGTGCTATTCCGTTGCATGGAAAACCCGTTTTACAACAAAAAAAAATACCAATATATAACGAGTTTATTTTAAAAAATTGAAATAATCTACAAAACAAAACATGCTCATTTTTAAAAGTAAGTAAAATAATATTAAGAATCCGATAAGAAATCGTTAAGTAACACAAGATTGAAAATTCATTTACTTTTAAATCATAATCAACATTTTTGTCTAATTAATTCATGAAAATTTAATTATTCGATTGTAGAAATTTCAATTGAAAAAAAAATTAACCTAAAACAAATTGTGAAAACTTTAAAAATTAAAATTTTAAAAATCAGAATATCAGCCCATTATAAATTTTATAAAAAATCAAACTATTGAAAAAATATATAATGGGAGACCAGTAGAAAGTGTATAAGTTTTCTTTATTAAAAAAATAAAATTTAAACTATTAAAAAGTAGAATTATATCATAAGAAATTTCTTATTTTTATTAGAAGTTTGTTGCTTAACAATTATTTTGTTAATTTTTGTTTTTATTTGACACATATGATAATCTGACTAATATTAGACTTATATCGCGATCTAATAAATAATAAATACTCTATGTTTTAAACTCTTGTCACGCATATCGAATTTTAGATATTACTTCCTCTGTTTCATATTATAAGGGGTTTTAGGGTTGGATACAAGAATTAAGAACTCATTTAATTTTTTAAGTTTTCAAAGTAAAACATGTTTTATCATCAATTTTAAAACAATTCAACCAATGAAAAAACAATATGCACAATTAATAAAGTAAAAAGCAACCAAAAAGTTGAAAACACCTTATATTATGAAATAAACAAAAAAAAGTCTTAAACCCTATATTTTAAAACAGAGGGAGTAAGAGATTGTCCGTTAGCAAGAAAATAATGTCATGCTTTCTACGTAAAAATGTGTGTATCCATTTTCTGAAGATTCATGAAGAAAACTGCATGTCTAGAAACTTTGAAAGTCTTCAAGCATAATTAAGATGTAAAGTGAACAGTGCCCTTCCGAACCTGAGAAACAAGAGTCATTTTCGAACAGTAACCTTTAATGACTTCTATACGTTTGATAGTATGAAAGACTAGAAGAAATATACCAAAATATATACAAGTAACAAGTTACTGTTTTGCTGAATTTTATAACCCTTCCAAGTCATTCTTTTTTTTTTTTTTTTGGTAAAACTTCCAAGTCATTCTTCAAAGTTGAAAGGTGATGATATTTAAAGAAGAGAAAGAAAAATGAAAAATCAATATTCAAAATTGCTTGCATCACAAGAAAACTTGAAATATGATCCTTTTTTGACAGAATTGTAATACGCAGGCCAACTAGTCAAAAAGAAACGTTTTCCATTATCTTAACACAAATATGGACTTTGTAATCAAAGCATTATCCAAAACTATTGAGTACAATTATTTAGAATAACCAAAACGGAGAAAGACAGGACATCACAAGGAAAGAAAAAATGTTCGTACGCTAACACACAATTCTTGACGTCGTTTACTGCAAAAACTTTGTCACTCAATTCAACTTATTGTGACCATTTGATTTATTAGGAAACCATAATTTATTTTGGGAAATTATGTGAAAAAACTATGTTAGCTGATGTTTTTCTTTGGAAATATATTCTTATGAAAAGAAACGTAGTTAAACGAAAGCGACAAAAAGAAATGTTTCGTTCAATCGAAAAGATTGGATTCCTTTGAAGTGAACGGGATGACAAACTTATTATGAAGTTTCTGATGGAAAGAATCTTTATTTTCAAAATCCAAATTGTTCCGGTTTTCGTCAAAATCGAACTACAACACATGTATAATACAAGCATACATCGTATGCTATATATACGATTTACCAACGTAATAATCAACCGTTTTTCGCGGTTGGTTCTGAAGTCACTCCATGTTGATTACTCTACCTTTGGGTCTGAATATTCAAATATTAACCAGCTCTCTCGAATCCGTAACAAAGTGAGAACAACAGGAATTATGACTTAAGAGGCTTAAGCCAAAATAATGCTTCAACTGTGGATTTGATGGAAATTGAAAGAGAAAACCACTTATTACTTGAATTTCGCTATACGTAATTGAAGCGTCATTATACATCATAACCTTAAAACTGTGTTGGACAAACCCAAGAAAGACAAAAGCCACGCAACTCAAAGCAAAACCCTTTTTCTCTCCAAACGACTCAACCATTTCCATATATACGCAAACCCTTGACACAGAGCATAACCCATTAAGAGAAGAACCTTGAAGAAGAAGTATGATTTTCTCAAGTTTCATATCAGCCTCTCTTGCTGCACCATACATGGTTTCAGCATTACTTCTCCTCCTTATCTTGGAGCAACTCTCTTACCTTGTCAAGAAAGGCAACCTCCCTGGGCCTCTCTTCGTTCCTCCGATCATCGGAAACGCCATTGCACTCGTCCGTGACCCCACTTCCTTCTGGAACAAGCAATCCGCCATGGCCAGAATCTCCACCGGTGGCCTCTCCGCCAACTACCTCATCGGGAAATTCATCGTCTACATCAGAGACACAGAGCTTTCTCATCAGATATTTTCCAATGTTCGTCCCGACGCCTTCCACCTCGTCGGACATCCCTTCGGCAAGAAGCTCTTCGGTGATCACAATCTCATCTACATGTTCGGCGAGGATCACAAATCCGTCCGCCGCCAGCTTGCTCCAAATTTCACCCCTAAAGCACTCTCCACTTACACTTCTCTCCAGCAACTAGTCATCCTCCGTCACGTACGGCGGTGGTGGGAGGAGGAAAGTTTCTCCGGCGGATCACGTCCGGTGTCGCTTCGAAACCTCGTCCGTGAACTCAACCTAGAGACATCCCAGACGGTTTTCGTCGGGCCATACCTTGACGAAGAAGCAAGAAACACGTTCCGTACGGATTACAATCTGTTCAACCTCGGATCCATGGCGCTCCCAATCGACATCCCATGGTTTGCGTTCGGCGAGGCTCGCCGGGCGGTGAAGAGGCTCGCGGATACGCTCGCCGTCTGCGCGGGAAAATCGAAGGCGAGGATGGCGGCAGGAGAAGAGCCGACTTGTTTAATCGATTTCTGGATGCAGGCGATTGTCGCGGAGATCAAATCCGGGGATCCGGCGCCGCCGCATTCCGGAGACGAAGAGATCGGCGGTTTCCTCTTCGATTTTCTATTCGCCGCGCAGGACGCGTCCACGTCATCGCTTCTATGGGCGGTTGCGCTTCTCGATTCCGAGCCAAGTGTGCTGAGCAGAGTGAGGGAGGAAGTCGCGAGAATCTGGTCGCCTGAGTCTGGCGACGGGTTGATCACCGTCGATCAGCTCGCGGAGATGAAGTACACGCGCTCCGTGGCGCGTGAGGTCGTTAGGTTTCGGCCGCCGGCGACGATGGTCCCACACGTGGCTGCTGAGAATTTCCGACTCACGGAATCGTACACTATCCCAAAAGGTACGATCGTGTTTCCCTCGGTTTTTGACTCCTCGTTTCAAGGGTTTACTGAACCGGACCGGTTCGATCCCGACCGGTTTAACGAGACCAGGAGAGAGAACGAGGTGTTCAAACGCAACTTCTTGGCTTTTGGGTGGGCCTCGCACCAGTGCGTGGGACAGCGTTATGCGTTGAACCACCTCGTACTCTTTATAGCCATGTTTTCGACAATGTGCGATTTCAAGAGGCTTCGATCGGACCGCTGCGATGACATCGTGTACTGCCCCACGATAGCGCCTAAGGACGGGTGTACGGTGTTGTTGTCTAGGCGTGTCGCAACATATCCGAACCTTTCCTCAAATTGATTTGGAAATTTTTTATATTACGGTTGGTCAAAGTCTATCGTGTTGATTTCATCACTTTTCGTGATCTCTCAGAAATGTGAGAGGAATTGTCATTGTTTGTCATGTTCTTTTCTCGTTTTAGTGAATTTTTACGTGTCTCATATGCTTCTTGTATTTTTTATGAAATTGTGCTATTGTAACTTCCACAACTGATGCAATTAAAAATACAATGAGTCAAAGATCTTCACTATATGGATAACAAAAGATTATTATTCAATGTCAAAAACTTTTCTATGTTTGCGTTACACACCAATTTAAACCTAATGCACACACTACCACAATCAAATGGTATGTGTGTGTAATACTCCAGGACATCGAATCCACATGGAACTAGAGATCTAAGACACTAGTAGTCTATGCCAGTACCGCAATAACCGTGTTGACTACAACACAGGTCAGAGGCACAACCGTAGTTCTGAGACTTGACGATTTCGGAATAGAAACATAAGAGGCAGAGGAGAAGGAGTAAAGAGTGCTGCTTCGGAGGAAACAAATATTACATATTGTGATTTCGGGTCTGGTGGGATGTACAAGCTTCGGTCCAGAACCTCCTAGTTATTGAAAAAAAAAAAAGAGAGTAAAGAGTAAAGAGATTTGTGTGAGAACTATGTTTTCGTTATTTGTTTGTGGAAGGCTGTGAGGTATAATATATAAGAACAAATGTTGGGTACTTTGGTTATTTGATTTTTTGTTTTGTTTGAATAAATCGTTTTCTCATTATATATTTAGGTACTGAACATTTTGATGACTTTTCTTGTTCTTACCCATAAGAGAATGTGGACTTATGGAGGAAAATAACTTGTAGCAGGAATAAAAAAGACTACTCTATAGTTACTTTTTTTCTTTTCATGAAGACATAAACAGAAATAAAATCCATAATGAGATGTGGACCATACAAGAAAAACCTAAGCTAGCAAGAAAATTTGGGTGACGCATAGTTAGAACATAAACCGGGATAATCCTTAAACCCGGTTCTAGACCGACCCTTAAACCGATGCAATGGGATCAAAGGAAAATGCTACTGACGGAGCTATCATCATGGACACGCCAAATCGTCTCACCAAGAAGATTAGCCACCGATAAAATCGTCAACTGCGGGAAGTAATTCTTCTCTGCTACTGGTAATGTGTTTGTCACTATCACTTCTTGAAGCAAACCCCCTGATAATCTCTCTATCGCAGGTGGACTTCCATCGATTCATTAAAAACACACAAAAATAAAAATGCTTTAGAAAGTAACTGACTTTGAGACTTTTCAAGAGCCAAAAAAAGACGGTTAATAGTTAGTTACCTGAAAACAGCGTGAGTGCAGCACGCATAGACCTCCCTAGCACCTTCTTGGTGTAACAAAGCTGCTCCTTTCACAATGGTTCCTGAGAAGAAAAAAACAGAACAAGAATGATTCAAAGAGGATTGGTGTTTTAGTGATCTTGATGAGGAATAAGAAAATAGGAAGCTTGGTTTGTCTAACCAGCAGTATCAATCATATCATCAACCATTACTGCAACCTTCCCTCTAACATCACCAATCAGGTTCATGACCTGAAAAAGGAAAAGTACATAACGCAATGTGAACTTGAGGGGGAAGCAACAAGGTGTTGTTGAGCAAACTCTTGACTTTGAAAGTTAAATGACCTCAGCAACATTGTGTCCATGACGCCTTTTATCGACAATGGCAAGTGGCGCATCTGATAACTTCTTCGCAAAAGCGCGTGCCCTGGCTACTCCACCAACATCAGGAGAAACCACAACCAAATCCTCCGAGGATATTGACTTGCTAGCAAGATAATCAAGTATCACCGGCTGTAAAAGTTTAAAAGGTATTATGAATTGAAGAAGAAACAAGAGGCTGCAGCTATCAAGAAGGTGGCTTTAGAGGTGTACCTGGCAGTAAACATGGTCGACTGGAATGTCAAAGTAACCCATCGACTGTCCTGAATGAAGATCACAAGCAAGAACTCGATCTGCACCAGCTTCAGTAATGAGATTAGCAACCAATTTGGCCGCAATGGACTCACGCCCTTGTGTCTACAAACAGCAAAAAAAGAACACATCAAGACTCGCTTCAAGATTATCAAGAAACACCTTCAAGGTAAATCTAATTCACCTTCCGGTCAGCTCTTGCGTATCCAAAATACGGAATCACGGCAGTGACTTTCTTGGCAGATGCTCTTCTGCAAGCATCAATCATAATCAAAAGCTCCATGAGGTTCTCGTTCGTGGGAGTGCAAGTAGGCTGCACCAAATAGACGTCGCATCCTCTAACGCTCTCTTGCAGCTGGACGTAGATCTCTCCATCAGCAAATCTCTTGATGTTGATCTTGCCAAGCTCCAGGCCCATGTACCAAGAAATTTCCTGAGCAAGCGCTGGATTTGCAGTGCCGGAGAACAGCTTCAGCCTTGAGTTGTTTCTGTTGGCTGATTTCTCCATCCGAGCTGATTCCAAGAAGTTTGGAAGTGTCCTCTCGTTAATGATTGGGATACTTGGATTCCCGTTTCCCACATTCACTGACTCGGGAAGATCGCATTTCTAGCAACAAGAACAACAAGAAGAAGAAGAAAAACAGTTTAAGAATTGAGAAGAATCTCTAACCATCACTCCAAAATATCTTATATCCCAAACAAGAACATGTTAACCAACCAGAGTCTCATCAAATGAAGGCATCTAGTTATCTACATGTCATTGCCAAATGAAACGACACCTACAGACAAATCCTGATGAAAAATACAACCTTTTTAGTTGATGCAACTATAAGATTTTCAGATATTCAAGTCATTGAAATGTGATATTGAGAAGAATGAAAAAGTGGATTCAACAACACACCAGTTCTATGAGAAGTAAAATGCACATCCAAGCGGGTGAATATTGAAAAGCGTAACATAAGGAAATAATATATTCACAGGAACACTGCTTACAACAGAAGCGGAGACAGAGTTTCGGGAGCGATAGAGAGAGGTCCTGAAGGAGAGAGAAGAGCAAGAGGAGAAGAAAGTCGAAGAAGATGAGGCCAAATACGACGGCGTTTTAGCGGCGGGAGGAAATGACAGAGCCAGCGACGCCGCCATGGTAATATATATATATATATATATATATATGCCAGTAACAGCAATACCCCACTTAATAAACCACCTCTGGTTCAAGCAGAGTATGAAACTCTCCCACAACGAATTCGGGGTTGAGGTGATTTGAATGAGAAGGAAGAAGAAAAGAGAAAGCTTTGATTTTTCCCTCTTCTTCTTCTTCTTCTTCTTCTTCTTCTCCGAGTTTGCGTGGATTTTGATTTTGATGTTTTTTCATTTAATAAAATATAAATAGGAAATTGTTTGGTTGGTGTGTAGAAGTTGCCAGTAAACGACGGCGTTTAACAGTCTCATTACAATGTGGGATTTGTATTTTCTTGGTACGACAAGGATAGATAACATGCGGTTAATTCCCCGTGCCATAGCACTTCGGGAACCGAAGTTGGTAGAGCCGGTTCAACGATTGATTTTTCAAAAATAAAAATCAAACCGGTCTAGAAAAAAAGTCATCCTTTTGTTTCAGTCTAATCCATTTCTCTTGTGCCAAAAAAAAACCCAACAATGGCGGTACTCGAAGCTGCTCTCTCCATCCTCTCCTTCTCTTCTTCTTCCTCCTCAAAACCTTATCTCTTTTCTACAAGGTCTAAATCTACCGCATTAACTCTTCGAATTCCCACTAATCTCGCTCTCAATTTCCCTCTAAGTGCCGGCGGCGATACCTCTCGGCGTCTCGTCTCCGTACTCTGTTCCGTAGCAGAGGAAGCGACGTCGCCGCCGGAGGAGAAGACTGAAGAAACCCAGAAGTTGAATTTTAGAAAGAAACTCTTCGTATTCAATCTCCCTTGGTCTATGAGTGTAAATGACATCTCCGAGCTCTTCCAACAATGCGGGACTGTCTCCAACGTCGAGGTCCGTCTCTTTCTTAATCTTCATCGACTCTTATTTTGGTAAACTCGAATTGGGCTACCTCAAATTTCGAAACTTTCGTAGATCATAAAGCAAAAAGATGGGAAGAATCGTGGGTTTGCTTTCGTAACAATGGCTTCTGGAAAAGAAGCTCAAGCTGCTGTTGATAAGCTCGAATCTCTTGTAAGCTCAAGCCTAATTATCTTGTTAAGTGCCATTATCTTGACTTGAATTGTTAGCTGTTTTATAATAAACAAGTTTCTATGATTATATTTTGATTTCAGAAAGTATCAGGGAGGATCATAAGGGTAACCTTTGCGAAAAGATTCAAAAAACCTACCCCGATACTACCTAACGGTCTTCCTTCTGCTTCCACCGGAGAGACACGTCACAAACTCTACGTGTCTAACCTCGCTTGGAAAGCGAGATCAACACATCTCCGTGAGTTTTTCACCGCCGCAGATTTCAACCTTGTTTCTGCTCGGGTCGTTTTCGCTGACCCTGAAGGAAGAGCTTCCGGCTATGGCTTTGTCTCTTTTCCTACTAGACAAGAAGCCGAGGATGCAATCTCTAAACTCAACGGCAAGGTATAAAAATAGTTTGCTTTCGTTACCAAATTTCCGAACAAAGTTTGCTTCTTTCATTTACAGTTTCGTTTTCCTTGTAGGAGCTAATGGGCAGACCTATCGGTCTAAAGTTTAGCTTGAAAACCGCCGGTGAATATGAAGCTGGTGACACAATACAAGAAGACAACATTACTTCTGATGAAAAAGACGACATTACTTCAGAAGAAAAACCAGCGGAATGACTCTTATTCTTTCTAGTCTTATCGGTTGTGAGACCTGACTAAGATCTTTATTACAGTTTTGAATGTCTTAACTGCTATAAAGAAACACAAAAATGGGAACTTTATTTGTAAACTAGACTTCAAATCCTTGCTAAATGTATTGAGATGAATCACCAAGCCATTCCGTATTGTGCAGCTTCATCATACTGAGTAAGTTCATCGAACGTGGCAAAGCTTCCTGTTTGGTATTGTCTTCCTTTGATCTTCACGTTGACATCCGTAGTCTTAACCATGAAATGTCCAGTAGAATGCGATCTCGAGAATCGCCTTGCCGAGGCTTCCACAAGCCTTTTACTTGAGCTAGTTGTAGGAGGGTTTGGCTCAAACGTGAGACCTGTTTGGTAATGTTTTCTTTTGATCTTCACACTCACATCCGTCGTCTTAACCCTGAAATGTCCGGTAGAATGTGACCTCGAGAATCGCCAAACCGGAGCTTCCATGACCCTTTTGCTTGAGCTGGTACTAGTAGGAGGATTTTCCTCGTCATGGTTTAAGTCCTGAATAGTGATTGTGACAGTGTTGTGCAAAGATTCATGGCTTCTTCCAGATCCGACCAGTCCAGGGTCTAGCTCACACCGACAAACAGGGCAAGTCTTGTGTAACTCAAACCAAAGGTCAATGCAGTTTGAATGGAACCCATGACGACAAACCGTTATGAGCCTAATGGTGTCTTCGTCTGAAAACTCTGACAAGCAGATGGCACATTCTCCACCGTGGTTTTTCATCGCCGCGGATGAGTATGGGAACAGAGGGAAAGACCGGATGATGAATGGGTCGAGGCCGGTGTTTTCAGGCGGACTTGCCACGTGGATTAGGTCACCGTAAGGCGTTCGCTGATGAGTCCAAGCTGAGAACAAGCGATTCAGAAGACATCTCCAGAAGAAGAGAGAGAGGAATCCGGCGACGATTACAAAGATGAAGGTGCCTGTCAAAGCTACGGTGACAGGCATGGAGACACTAGAAAATATATCATTATCTGATACTGCTGTTGTTGTTGACGACATTCTGAAGATTGATTCGGCCGGATTAGAAAAGAAGAATAAATTGGGAAACAAGAAAGGTTTGTTGTGAGGATTGCTTGCGAGAAAAGGTATATTGTCTAAACACTAAAGTGAGGAGTGAGGGAAATGAGGAGGAGGAAGTAGCTTTGCTATAGAGACATCAGTGGCTTTACTTAGCATTTTGAGCGAGTCTTTTGTGACAGATTTAATAAATTAATAAAATGTCTTAATTCCAAAAACGGAAAAGAAAACTCTAAACTCTGGTCTCTGGGAGCTAAACTTAAACAATTATGGCCCGGTTTACAAGTACGAAATTAGAATAAGATGAGACAACAACAACAAACAAAAAGATGAATCTTTGTCCTTTGTTGAGGTCAGAATCTACAACAACAAAAGAGAGGAAGATGTCGCTAGTTAGAACTCTAGATAAAAGCTATACCTTTGTCATCAATCTGAGAAAAAGGTAGAGACTTTATTCAATATCGTCGATCCAATCACCGTAAACCCGACTGATCTTATCCGGTCCTTTCCATTTCCGTTGAGTTCTGACTCCATTGGGTCTCAGAGTAACGGCGCTAGACGTCCGTTGAGACGGGACTCCAGGAGGAACAAGGCCACTCACTGTCTCTGCTTGTCCTGTCTGCTTTGTGTCCTGAGTCGCAGACATTCCCATCTTACCTTCTCCTTCCACAAGTCCCCCACCAAAATTATGCAATTCTGCAAAAACAACATCACAAATACTCAGACTTTCTGTATTTCCATAGCCATTAGGAATTTAGGATAACAAGAAGATCAAGAATATGTTCCAATCAGAAACCAATAGACGTTAGACTAAAATTATAGACATTCTCACGGAGGAATTGATTCCACAACCTCTAGTAACACTCTAATCTCACAAATTATCAAGCGACATTGACTAAAACCGAATTTTAAGCACATTTGGGGTTACTAATATACGAAAAAGGTCGTAACTTTACCTGAAGCTCCATGAGCAAAATGGCAGTTGGTACCAAAGGGACAAAACCCAGTAAGCTCCCACTTGTTACAAATCCTTGTCTTCCAATTCGAATGCTTCGAAATCTGAGCAACATTGGCGCCGTCAGTAGCAGTAGCACCATAACCACGAGGGGCTAAACTAATCGCAAGGGTCTCTCTGTTTTTCGAAGCCTCGTCGTGGAGAAACGTACAGCTTTCTCCGTAAGGACACCCTTCTCCGCTGTAAAACTTCTTGCAGTGTCTTCCCTTGAACGACCTTCCACTCTCCGCCGAGATCTTAAACTCCTCGCGGGTCTCATCCGCCGCCTCCTGCCGATTTGACGGCGGACGACGGAGCTCCTCCACGCTGTGAGCAAAGTGGCAGCTGCCGGCGTCGTACGGACAAGTTCCGACGCGGGATTCGCAGCAGAGCTTCGTCTTGAAGAATGATTTCCCGATCTCGGAAGACAGTGACGACCCGCGTGTTTTCTTGCTCGGCGACTCCGTACCGTCGCTGTTCACCGCCCAGACACGGCTGTAGTGATCCTCGGTCTCAGTGGCCCGGACGGAACCGTCACCGGGATTTGGAAACCGAATCTCCGGCGGAGGGTCGTTGGTGGGTATCACGTGAACTGCATCGCTGCCGGAATCCCGCCGATGACTCATCACGTCGACCGAGAAACCCTAAACCTTGATTTAGAGTAACCCAGAAGCTCAAATCTTCGATTCTCGACCAGAGGAAAAAGCCGACGGATTTCGTGAATCCTAGAGATGGATGATCTGGAAACACATTGACTGGAGGAAAAGGGAGAGCTAAGAAATGTGGGAAATGAAAATACGAAGAGATAGAGAGAGAGAGAGAGTATATGAAGAGAGTGAAGAGGGAAGTAGAAAATAGAAAAAAATCTTTGTAGCATTTAAATATATAAGTATCAGAAGGAGGTGATTAGATTAAATTAGTGGCTGCAACAAAGAATGTTCTGAGAGCGAAATCTTGGTTAAGATAAGATATTGATTCGTTTGGATTGGTTGTGACTTGGATTACAACATTACTGTGAAAATTAAGGTTACGTTAGTTTAGACTTTAGAGTATACAATGCATAGTGTTTATTTATTTGTTAATTAACCAAATATTTAACAAAAGTGACGAGCTAAAAATGTTTCAATTTGTATTTCCCCACTACACACGTTAAAATAGTGCCGTTTATCAGACAAACTGTCTTGTTTTCCCTTAGTTTCCGCAAGCATTTGAAGGCTAATATTTAGTGTAGATTTACTAATTTGGTATACATTTAGTGTAGTTTGGTAACAAAAAGCTACAGCTATGCGTCCTTAATGATACAAGTTCCATTGTTTGCTTGATTAACTCATCCTCATGCACCCTATTACTTCTGATGACTCTTATGAAGGAAGAACCCACTGTCCAGGGAAGAGCTGCATCACAGTCTTTCCCATAATCAAGTCCATCTCAGAGCTTGACAAGGATGCTTGTTTTGCAATAATGGTCACAGCTTCTCTGGCTTCTTTGTATCCACATTCAAGAACAACAAACGGGAAGTCACTGCAGCAGACAGAGAAACAGCCAATCCTTACATGGTCATGTATTGTTTACTCGGGAAAGTGAGGTAAGAATAAGTAAGTTTTTACCTGCCCCACATGACACGATTAGCCCCAAAATGGGACACAAGTTGAGATAAGAGAGGAGATAGGTCCTGATACGGGAAACCAGTTGTTGATAGCCTGAATAGAGCACTGAATTTTACATAAACCTGCTTGTTTCAAAATTCTTCCCTCAGACTTCTATGAGATGTGAGCTAATGAAAATTCAGATTCTAAAAGTAATGTTTTTTTTTTTCTTTTTTTACCTGTGGGAACCTAGAGAGCTTCATGAGTTTGAGTATAAGCAGGCTTTGCATCACCATTTCTGCAAGTTGATGAAACAACGAATATTAGTAGTTGTATTTTCTTTTAGGAAGTGAATTGCAGGGAACTAGTAAAGAAGAGCTCACTCTGGTACTCTGCAGAATCCAGCATGATCTAGTAAAACAGTCGTCTTTGGAAATTCCGTGCACAGTTCCTCAATTTCTGCAATGTGCAAATGCAGACCCTGAACAAAGTAACAAAAAAATTATTAAAAGAAAGAGCTTAACGTAAAGTACACAACGTTGGAGCACAAAAAAAGGGGTCAAAATAGTACCAGACCTTCATGCACATGAAGCCAACAGGCACACGAAGCTCCCCTGCTTTAGAGAACATGGCTTTGCCAACAGCATTTGTCATCTGTGTTGTGAAAATCAATGACAATAAAATAAGTAGGGTAGAAACTTGATCCAAGGTTATTGGAATCATTAGAATTGGTTACCTTCTGACCAGGCGGCCACAAATAGGGATTAAACCGAACAGCACGATAATTACTCTACAGATAGCAGATTAAAGACTCAGACAAGTGTGATGCGTATATGATATTATCTGAGAAACAGTTAAAGGAAAGACCTCTAGAACGAGATTCTCAAGTTCCTTAATTCCACTACCATCTTCTGCAGGATTTGCAAGGCAACAGCCGACAAACTTTGATGGGTATTTCCTCAGAACACTGTTAATAAGAAACCACAATCATCTTGAAAATAAGCTTCTCGCTGACATGGCATGCAATCTAAAGGTATGGCTTTTATTGGAGAATCAGTCAAAAACTTTGAATCTTCACACATAACCAAGAACTACAACATTTTCTGCTATACACACACAAAAACACCTCTTAGAAAAAATGCAGATGCAGGAATAAGGAAAAGAAGAGAGACCTTGTTACTAGAGAATGATCAAACTTGTGATTGATGGGTTGAACAATGAGAGCTCCATCCACTCTTGCCTCTTCCATGTTCTATGTTAAGAGACAATCAACAACCAAAACAGTAAACAGAGAAATAATTCCATTTTTTCTCAAAACACATGATAAATTTGAGTTAATGCCAGAGAGCTCAGATTAAACCTTGAGCAAGAAATTGACATCACCAGTCAATGTCGGTTCTTGGCCCGGAAAATATGGATAATTCACGGCCTGAAACACACAATTTGGGTGATCCAATCAGATCACTCATTATCAGCTTCATCGAGAAACGGATGCCATATGGCATTTGCTTAATTGCGTAACCTAGTGTCTAGTGATCCAAATTTTTCCACAATTTGAGATTTCTAATACTCAACAAACTGTAACCCTTGGAAAATAAGAGCCACCAACCTCTTGAGGAGAAGCCCAGACGTGGAGATGAGAGTCGATGACTCTGGATGAAGACGACGTCGTTTCAGGGTCAGACCCAGCAATAGCTGCCATTTTCACCGTCCTGAAGGATGATGCTATCTCGGTACCGATCGATTTGCTTCCCCGGAACCGTAATGAAGACGTTGGAGGATGACTGAGAAACGCTAAAGGATTCGTTAATCTCAGAGTCGCAGCCATATCCTCAAAGATAAGGTTAATTAAGTAAATAGATAACTATTTAAAGTGGGATTTGGTGCTCATCCTATACTATAAAAGTTGCCCAACACTCTCCAGCTGACTGCCACATCAGTGCTGGAGAGAGGGACACGTCAGCACCTTACATGAAGACATGTGTCTCTAAAAACACACGCCGGTTCTGCTCCTTTGTTTGTCTTTGACGATTGTGTTTCTTTCGAGACTCTTCATCTTCCCGTTTTCAGGGTGTATTTACCATCATCACACATAATAACATGGCACCTTTATTAGAAAAATAGACGGCAGATTCTTTCGTCTCTAGCCTTTCCGTTCGTCGTCTCTCTCACACAAAAACTCGGAGAAGAAAGAGCATCACGTGGATGAAATGAGCGACGGGGGTCACGGTTTTAAGTACTTTTCAACGACGAAGAAGGGAAAGAAAGAGCTTAACTCGCTGTATAAGGTCTAAACAATCTCACGCTTTTCTTTCTCTGTGTGATTTTATGGTCAATGATCCGCCATTGTTACACACTGATCTTTTTCTCCTTTTAATTTTGTTATTCTTATTCGTTTTCTGGCTACATCTGTGTCTTTCTGGATTTAATCGGCCACTGTTATTATTGTTTAGTGGAGTTGGTTTCGTTATTTTCTGGAAAGAGGAATGATTCCGTACGTCTTGGTGATATATTCAGTAATTGATTGAAAATAGCTAGAGTTTGGGAGGTTATGTGTACAATCTTGTAGTCATACGCGGAGCTTAGTTTGGTGAACCACAACTATTCAATCTGAATCAGTGCATTTGTTAGAGCATCTGCGATTATGAAGTTAACTGCTGCTTTGATCGTACGTGTTGTCTTTGCAAATGGAGACATACTACCTTTCGTAAGAATGTTCAGGTTTGCGATTGTGCATGGTGAGTGTACGAAAGGTTTATTCTGCAAAAGTTTTTCTCACACTATTTAATTTCAGCTCTGTTCTGTTTAATCCCTTTTTTTGTTTTTGCTGTCGATAGTGGAGGAACAAGACATGGAGACCAACTGAGGCCCTCTTCCAGCACCTGGTCGTTGCTACAACTGGGGTCTTCATGGACATTGCCCTCGAGATTTGCCTGCTGGTGACAGGAAGAACAAATGTAAACGATTTGGAGAGTGGGGTCACATGGAGAGTAACTGCGATAACAGTCCTAAGAAGCTCAGGTATTGTTTGACAATTCAAGTTATGCTGCTATAATCGATTTTAACTACCACTCACTTCTACCGTCTTCTCTTTTGTTTATGCTTGGTTCCAGCAGGTTTGTTCTCTTCGATGGCGTTGAGAGCAATGTCATGTGAGCATTGAGGTTCGGTTTTTAGAGTAATGTTTCCTATCTACCAAGGTCCATTATCTTGAATACGTCCCAAACTATCTAAATTATTATTTTTCCTCAAATTTATACTTGTGTCAGAGTGAACTGGTGTTTCTGAATCTCATTGTATTCTCTAATTTGTTTTTCATGTCTCAGCATTTCGTTCTGGTGATGACTGGATGAGGGAAAAACGACCCAAAGACCACAACATAGCTTTTTGGCATCAGTAGTATTATGGTATCTGTTTTTTATAAGCTTCTAACATGTTTGGTCGCTTTTGCTCATATGGATTGATCATCTACAAGTTCTGGTCTTAATGTTAGCCTATGTGATCTCCAATTCCAGGTGTACACCTCTTTCGAAACTGGCTGCAAGAAAAGGTCACTTGCTTTTCTCAAGTCTCAATACAGTCTGATTTTCTTCATCTAGGAATGTCGTAGCCATAAACTTGATATGATTTCAGTTATTCTCTGGCTCGGATAGTTCAAAAGCTTGGCTTTCCTGCAAAGTTCAACGAAATTAATGAATCATCAGATTGTTATTATGAAAATAATTCACCCATCTCGGAAAATGTTCTTCACTCCTCCCTACCCACTCCTGCAATTAATCAGCGGTTACATATAAATCTTTATTTTTGTCTGCTAAAAGCCTAAAACTGTGTTTATTCTTCTAAATTTCAGCTAACAAATAATAAAGGAGATGTACCCAAAGATTTTCCTGTTGATGGAGATTGGAGATGCTTCTGATCTTAGGTGTTGTATAGGTAAGATCCGTCTTTCAAATTCTCTACAAACCTTTTTATCATGATAACTATGAACCCTAATGTTCTTCTAATGTTGGTCAAGTTGTACGAACAAAACCGCAGGGTTCAGAAATCTTATATCCTCAAAAGTCTAATGAAGTTTGTAACAAAGAGGGCAAACGAACAATCGCCATCGGTGCTCAAGCACTACACGATTTGTATTACATACAGGTTTATATCCATTTGAAATATATATATTATTTTGTTCATGTGACTTGTACACGAAACATGTTCTTGCCTTCGAGGAATCAGTTGAAGAAGTTTGCACCTCTTATGAGCAACGTAAATATGAAATCGGGGTAAATTCACGACGCCACTACTTTAATTCTTGGCCTGAAAAATATACAAATTTAATCAGTTTCATGCATTTTAGAAATTATGCAACGAAAACCACAGGAATAGAGAATGTATTCCTAAGGTCGACCAAGAACAAATTGAGGTGTTTCAGTTTTCTCAACCAGAGCAACTAAAATCCCAGCTGACAAGGCTACAAAGATAACTGAGAAAACCCTAGGAGGGAGTCCTTTTAAAAACTCTGAAACTGAACAAATGTCTTATTCTCTATCCAATCCGTAGTCTTAAGCTACTGTGCAAAATAAACTTCTCCAAATCCATAAAAGAAATATTTTTTCTTCAAAAATTAAGCAGCCACAGCGATAGCAAGTGAGTTTGATAGGTCTCTTCTCTTCACACATGATTCATATTTGTTTGTAGGTTAGTTTTATCTTCTCCAAAATATGGAGAAACAAATATTAGTGGTATAAATCGAAACAAAATGTTTACGTACGCCTTTCAGAAAATTTAACATATTTAAGATCTTATGTCAGGGTGGACCTCTGTTTGTGATTCAGTGAAATAAATTGAATATTATTTCCCTTTGCAAGTTTGCATCACGATAGGGAAAGGAGCTCTCTACTAGACTTACGTTTGTTTCTAAACATACTATATTTGCCGCATATGCTCAAGGTTCTTAATTTACTGCTTTTGTATGTGGCGTTTTTGTATAGTCTACCAAAAACTCATTTTTAAAAGCGATTTATTCTCATTGAAAATTGACAAATTAATAAAAAATCCATTGAAAACTGAGAAAATTTATCTTTAGTAAAAAAGAAATATATATATATATATATATAATATTATGAAATTGGTTCAGAAGCAAACTATACAAATAAATGATTTTAAAAATGATTTTTTTGAATTTTCAAAGTACTTTGAAAAGAGCATAAAACTAATAATTAATTGAGAATGAAAGCTGAAAGACAAGTACATTATCTTTGGTGGCAAATGAATTGTGAAGATATTTATAACTGTGACAAACATATAAAAGTTTTGATTTAAATGAAAATTATGGCATTGTATAGGCAATTGCATTATCAAGAAATTGAGATATATGTTTTTTTTCTTTTAACACACTTGACAATTTACCTTCATTGAAGTAGGAAAAAACATAAAACTAAAAGTTGATGACACATTCGACCTTCATTCTCCTTAATCAACTAAAAATCTAAGATAATTGATTAATTAACAGAATAGACAGGAGTTTCACTTATCTGATACTCATTGTTCTACCAAATTTATGTAGGATATCAGAATTGCGATCCAAAAGTTATAAAAGATAGAAAATGAATTTGTCGCATCATATGACTGGTGGTAAAAAACAACTTGAAAACCTAAAGAAACATTGCGTCAAAGAGATTTTCATAATATTATAATTTCTAAAAACAAATTTTACAAACATAAAAAAAAAAAGTAACAACACTACCCGCGCGTAGCGCGGACTTAAACCTAGTCATTAATAATATTTACATCAATTTTGTAGAACCTTGTTTTTTTCTTATTGTAGCTATATAGTTTTAGTATTTAACATCGTTAACATCGTTAGTTTTAGTATTGGAGAGAACTATTTGTATTTTTTAGACAGAAAAAAAAAAAAAATCCCAGAATTGTTACAATGTAATTTGCTTAGAAGTTTCGGTTAGTATTTTTAATTTTTAAGCTTTGGTCTTTGCATGATAATATCAAAACCAAATATTAACTGCCTCTTCCAGGAGTTTAGAGATTCCTAAACAAACAAGGATTAACCCGAATTTATATCGAATCAGGAAACACTGTTTCTACACATATATATTCACCCACCGATTCTACTTCTTCACATAGTTCGTTACCTTGTCGATCAAGAAACCCCAGAAAAAGCAATCCACATCACTCGTTTAGCTTCTCTCTGCTAAATTCTATCGAACACATGGCCGGCGGACAATACAACCTAAACGGCGGCCAATACGGTCCTCCAATCTACCCTCCGCAGAAAACCTACAACAGTCATGGCCGACGCGGCGCCGACGTTGGTTGCGGCATCTGTCGCTGCTGCTGCAGTAGCCTCCTTTGCTGCGGCGGTTGCCTCTTAAGCCTCATCTGCAACATCCTCTTTGGTCTAGCCGTTTTCCTCGGAATCGCCGCTTTGATCCTCTGGTTTATCTTCCGACCTAACGTCGTGAAATTCCAAGTCACGGAAGCCAATCTAACGCGGTTCCATCTCGATCCGCAAACCAATAACCTCCACTACAACCTCTCGTTGAATTTCTCCGTCCGTAACCCTAACCGCCGCCTAGGGATCCACTACGATCAGTTAGAGGCGAGAGGTTTCTACGGTGACCGGCGTTTCGCCGCCGTGAGCATGCCGTCGTTATATCAGGGTCATAAAAACACGACGGAGGTCGGAACAGAGTTTAACGGACAAAGCCTGGTTTTGTTGGGCTCCGGTGGCCGGAAGGATCTCAGGGAGGATCACAAGTCCGGGATATACAGGATTGACGTGAAGCTAAGATCCAAGATTAGATTCAAGTATGGGTTTTTAAACTCATGGACCTTTGGGCCCAAGATTAAGTGTCATCTCAAGGTTCCGTTGAGTTCCTCTAATTCTGCCGGAGGGTTCCAGTTTCATTCTACCAAGTGCCACGTTGACCTCTGAACAGTTTTGAGAATATTTTCCTATTCTTGTTTTTTTTTCCCTTATAAATTTGATTTACTTTTTTAGTTTACATAGATGTTATTGTTTCATTTTTTTTTGTCTTCGCTAGAATCTCTGTAGTATAGAGACATTTTCTTAATAAAAGTTTTATTGTTTTAAACAAATGTTTTGCGCACAACACAAAATCTACATATGTATTATGTGGGTTCCTTAGCTTTATTCGTTCGTATTAGATTTCTCTTGTTAACGTGCTGTCCCACCTTTTTTCCTAGTACTTTTCTGCTTGCTTTGATGAGTACCCTTTATATTTTGCTTTGTTCTTTGTCTACTTCAATTGTGTCACAATATTTTAAACAATCTTAGGTTATGTCATATCTTTCAAGTAGTACTGTACTGCCTTGATTTGTCTCTTGTTCTTCTTTTTTTATTTATTTATTTATTTATTATTATTATTTTTTTGAACAGGTCTCTTGTTCTTCTTAAAATCTAAACATCCTGAGTTGTACTTGTTATAAACTAAAAATATCTCAGACTTTCCAAACCATGGTTGAGCTATATTGCCATTGGTGGCTTAGACAAATTAACTCCATAAGGAATCTCCTAGAAGTTAGACACAACATACGTCAACGTTATTTGCATCAGATTGAATGGATAGCCTGAATAATATAATTAAAGACTATGCTTAGATATCTCTAATAAATCGAATCCTATTTGCAAGCTTAGGGTTTAAGCCAAGTCCACTTGCGAAGAACAACAAATAGTATGAGGAAACTGCGTCACCAAGATAAAAAATAAAAAAAGCTAAAGGTAATTAACGAAATCTGCCAATGATAATTTACCACGTATACAGAGAGAGCGTCACGGACCACGGTGATGATGGTGGGCTAAAGTGACAGTCGTCATTATGACAGACCGCGTGGCATCACTTCTCTCACCAAATGCCTCTTTTCTTTGATTAATCAAATATCCAAGTGGACCCTAATGATAACGTTGATATGTCGAAGCCGGACACATTTATATACTTGGCATTTGGTTTTAGTTTCGACTCCTTCAGTTTATTTGGATTCTAGCTCAGCAATTTGGAATTTGGATATACATTGAAGCAATTTCATCTCTTAAAATCTAGATAAAGCCATATAGTTACTTTATTTCGGTTTGACTTAAATTTTAGAGAATTTTTACTTATAGAGAATTTAATATCATACGTTAAGACTTAAGACATCTTTTAATTGAAAAGGTAATATCCGAATTCCGAAATTAAGTCCTACCTTTTTATTTTGTAAACAATATATGTGGTTGATTATACATGGATTATGGATAATGTACAAAGAATCTTTAAAAAATATTATTTGAGTATAGCAGATTGGCTTCCAAACTCCGTAGTAATTAACCGAGTGTCGAACGACGACTCTTTCTAGATGGAATCTTAAACCGCAGCACGAGACTCTGTAACGGTCCAAAATTCCAGCTGGACAGCATAACTACTCCTAGGCGTACTCTAACAGACTCTATACAGTCAACTGTAACCTACGCTTCACTTATATTGCGCACTCTAGCACCGTAGCACGACGGTTAATTCATCGTCGCTCGTTTTTTTTTGTTTACCGACGAGTCGAGTCTTTTTTTTTTTTTTTTGACGTCCCCGACGAGTCGAGTCTAATTCGATTGATCTTTCTATCCATTAGTTATAACAGAAACGCGATTCGCGACTTTTTTGGAGTTTCAAAGAACAAATCGACATGCAAGTGAATCTACACGACGAAATAAAATTAAAGAAGATGTGAGAAAAGCTAGAAGTCGGCGGTTTTCCGGTGAGATGTTCGGCGACGGGGAAGCGATTTCGCCTCGAAGCTCTCTGTATCTTGCAGGTTCCTTATGCTACTACGGATTGATAATGCGTCGGCACTGATAAATCCAGAGATATCGCCATTTTCTTCGGAATCTAATGGAGAAAAAAACAATCAATCAGAATTTGAGATTTATATCCGAATTAGTCAATGTGTAGTAACAGAATTGAAATTCAACAATGCGAAGGACTGAATCGATTCTGCATTGTACCTAGATGCTTTGAAGGACGCATGAATCCGTTAAACTGAGCCAAATCTGAGAAAATTTGAAACCGATACACCGATCAAATAACAATAAACACTAGAAGATCAATACAACTGAATCGTCGGGTTTCGATTCAAGAGCGAACCTGATTGCGACGGAGCGTGAGAGGAGAGATAGAGAATGATGAAGCAGAGGAGGGTGAGAACGGGAATGAAGTGAACGAGTTTCTCTTGTTTCTGATGCGTCGTTACGAAAGGCGATTGCAGCGATGACCGTCGCGGCTTAAAGTCCTTGAGCTCGTGATCGTCGTAATCTGCCGCGGACGAGGAAGAAGAAGGTGGAGAGGAGGCTAATTCTTTCCGCTTCAAGTCATCGATATCATAGGTGTCGTCCTTCCGTGCTCCATAGCTATGGAGCTTCAAAGCTGATGATGAGTCTATCGAAAGCCTCTGCATCGCCGACAGAGAGAGAAAGGGGAAGGGTAGAGGTAGAGAGAGAAATCTTAGTGAAGGTATGGTTCGTATCAAATAAATATTGGTGAGTGAGTGTACCAGGCTAGTAAATAAATATGCACATGATTATCGTATTAAATAGGAAATAATTACTCTGATATTTTATATTTCTTTCTAATTAAAGAGCTGTCGTATCCGCTACTCATTTTATCTGATTGGTAATTTGTATACCATTGTGATAGTGGTATGAGATGTACCGCTTACGTGTAGAAAATGGCATCACCTAGTTTTGTATCTTTCATCTTTTACCAGCTAAATCTATTTACAGTCTATGTTACTAACTATATCGATTAACTAGTTTTACTTTTACCAAATAAAAAGTTCATACAAATAAAATTTAAACAGTAACAGCGGACGAAACAAAATATTATAAACCTCACGATAGGAATGTTAGAGAATCAATAATTTTCTTGCTTGTATGCTACAAAAGTGCGTTTAAATTTCAAACGCTAAATTTTGATCGCCTAAATGGGCATTTTATGGGCTACAAAAGCCCAGTCCATTAATACTTGACAAAACTAAATCTTGTCGAACAAGTAAATTGGACGGTAAGGATTGCATCATCAAGCAACCCGGTATATTAACACGAAAGGTGAATATACGTAGAGGAAAAGGAAGAAGAAGGAAAGTTTGAGAAAACAATGGTGTTGTGGGAGCTTACTCTGGGAACATCGTACTTCTTGGGGCTGAAGGGGACTTACCGACATGCATTGAAGACCCAGCGTCGTATTGTTAGCCCTGAGCATCCGAGGATCCGACAGTTTCTGCATCGGTAAAGTTTCGTCTCCTTGTTTCCTTTTTGCGATTTCGCGATTGCGTTTTGGTTGCCTCTGATATGAGATCTTGTAATGCAATTGTTGATCCATTCCAAGAATAATATAAGATTAAAGCTTGCTTATTTATTCATAGGGATAATTTGATAAAAAACCTCTAACAGTTTGCTTGCTAGATTAAAATTTGAAAACCTATACTGTGCCCATATGCTTTGAAGTGTTCTCTTTGCTGGAAGAAGATTTATTGATGCTAATTTTACACGGTTACCGTCATAATGATCTAGTTAAATGAGTTGTGTATTCGACTAATACCAAACGGTGGCTTAATTTTCTTCTCTACTTCCTTCTTTTTTAACGCAGGAGGACTCATCAAATCTTTGATATGGCACTTAGGGTCCGCAAGAACATAGGCGAGGCGACAATCATAGGCGAGGCCGAGAGACTATTAGAGTCCACCCGTCTCATGGCACTTAATGTCCGCAAGAACATTCAACAGAGAGACATGGAACTTGGTCGGGATCTTGGAAACTGGACTCTCCGTTGGGTCGACCAGATGGAGCCACCGGCGGCTAAGGTTCTACGACCAAAACATACTACAGAAGCGGAAATCATAGCCGAGGCCGAGAGACTGTTTGAGTCAACCCGTCTCATGGCACTTAGTGTCCGCAAGAACATACAGCAGAGAGACATGGAACTTGGTCGGGATCTTGGAAACTGGATTCTACGCTGGCTCGACCGGATGGAGCCACCATCGGCTAAACATGAAGAAGCTTGCTTGGATTCGCCAACCTGAAAAAAAAGACATCAAGGTATGTTAAATAAAAAGGAAACGCTACGAAAATTGATTCATTTTTTCTTTGGAAGGAAGATCTATTTATACTGAAAATATTAGGTTAAAGATTTGACTTTCTTGGAGAAGAATCTGGTATAATCCTGATTTAATTGAAACGCGTATCCTTGTAAAATCCTTTTATGGTTAGTTGTTTTAGAAACTATCCGATTTTATAGCTATTGATAAAGGTAACAAATTTTGATGACTAAACTTTTGTGTCGACTTTCACTTTTAGTTGTCATCTGAGTATTTATTACCGGATTTCTTGTTTTGAAATTTCTATATCTGTTAATATACGAATTTAATGCTGAAAAGTAAATAACATTTTCGTCCAGGAAAGGATTGTGGTCTGCGCTCTTTTTCAAAACCGAAGGGAATTATCGCAGATGTTCCGGTTTGTTTAGCCGGTTCGATTTAAGTCACTCCTCCTTTTTCAGATCCGCGTGTTTTTACGCTGGATTTCGGGTCGGATCTTCTATCTCCGTTTCCAAACAGCCATATTTCTTGATTATATTCGGAGACAAAAATACCCCTTCTCAACTTGATATGTCCTTTGTAAAGCTATGGGTTCTTTGGTCTTTTTATTGGATCTGGCCCCGTTTCCTTTCGAATTATTTTTAAAAATCCGGATTATTTAATGTTTGGTCACATGAATAACTGTATAACTTTTATAAAACTTGGATTATTTCCTGTTTGGCACTTCGGATTGCTTCCACTAGTATAGACTAGTAGAGGATCTGCGCAAACATGCAGTGTGACGTTGCAATTTTGTGAAGAAACTCTAAATTCTAAACCTGAACCCGACCAAAAACCCTAATCAAAAATTTTAAAACCCTAAACGTTTTTAATATGTCTAAACCCGAAAATTCGAAATCCATAAAATCCCGAAAACCCTGAGCCGAATAAAAAAACTCTAATTTTTTGACCGAAACCCCTAATCCGACCTAAAAACCCTAATCAAAATTTTAAAATACACAAACTTTTTTAATATGTCTAAATCCGAAAACCCAAAATCCAAAAAATTCCGGAAAACCCTGAACTGAACCCAAAAAACTCGAACTCAAACCGAATAGAAATTTTCAAAAAAACCAGAACAATTTCTGTATCACTATATATCTATAAAATTAGGTCTGAGATTTTCACCCAAACCCGAACTTGTTTAGAAAAACCCAAACCAAACCGATTCAGAAATTTAAAAAACTTGAACGACTTTTATATCACTAAAACCAAAAACAAAAAAAAAACTTTAAAAGAAACCTGAATTGAACCCGAATTAAAATTAAAAAAAAAACTTTACCCGAAAACCCGAAAATTAAAATTATGTTAAATTTTCTTTTTTGCAGATTTTTAATAGCTGAAAATGGAAGTTTTCTAAACCATCGGTTTGTTTTAAGTTATTATTCTTGTATCCAAACAATTTTTTTCCATTTATTATTCTATCCAAATTTTTTTTTTCTCTTATTCTTGTATCCAAAAATTACAATGTACTAAATTGACCTTCATTAAATCTGTCGCCAAATACTTTCTCTTCATAATTAGATTGTTTTTTTGATCATAAATGAAAAATGTACTTCTCAATTAATAATATAAAGATAGATATAAGTTAGGGTCCGTGCTACGTGCGGGTGGTTTTGTTAATTTTGTTTTTTTTTCATGTTTGTGAATTTTATTTTATAAATAATAAAAATATGATAGTTTCTCTGATGCAATTTTTTTAGTTTCTCCTAATTTTTTTCATTTCCTCCTTTTTATAGTTTATGAGTTGTAATTTTGACATCATATATAAATTTGGTAGAAGTGTATGAATGACGTTGAGTGTTATGTAGGTTAAACTCCGACATCGGTAATATACTAAAGCACAAGTCACTCGACCAATATAAGCTGTTCGAGTAAACAAGAAATGCTCGAGTTACTAAATACCCAAAAGGTAACGGAGGCGTGCAAAGGTTTCCTCGGGCCGGACCTCTCTTGAAGACATTACCTTGGCTTTTGATTTGAGGTCTTTCGTTGTTAGCACACTCCTGTGGGTCAAGCAGGGTGGTATAAGGACCTGAACTGCTCGAGGCTAAGTATTATGGATCTTGGTTCGCGCTTTATGGCACGCCTCCGTTTATACCTTAGCCGGTAACAGATGGCGTCCCCGCCTAGGTTTTTTAAAACCACCGGTGAGGTAAGCCAGTGAAGTGAGCGAAGCGGAGGAACCCTTGTCTCTTTTTTCTTTCTCTTCCTGCTCTTCTCCCATGCCAAGCCGCCACTTTGTCACCGTCCCTTCGCAGTTTCGGTGAGGAGTGAACGAAGAGAAGGAGAAAAAGCGCCGCCGAAGCAGCATGTAATTGGGTTTTTAAAGTTTTTAAAAATTAAGTTTCTAAAAAGTTCATTGTAATTGGGTTAGTCCACCAGATATATTAAATTGCAAAGTAACAAAATATTTGTCTAAAGAAGCCCAATAAGGATATTGAGCAAAATTAAATGTCGGAAATATAATATCAGTTTTACGGTTTTACCCACGATTTCTATCTCACGCAAAATCACAAAATACAAACTCCTAATTGTTCTCCACCAAAATATTCAATTGGAACAAGGAACGGGAGATGATATGTTCGTCTCCTCTCCTCTGGTCCCTGAACTAGCACTACGATCAGCAATGCTACATGCCCTGTTGCTGGGTTTCCAAAAACTCAGCTTCATATCTGATGCAAAATCATTGATGCAGTCACAATGAGATCAAGTCAAGGAACTCTTCGGAATCCTTCATGACAATCAAATCTCTATCATTGTACATTTGTACTTTTCTTTTGTTTCTTTCTCGCACAACTCACGTTTGGCAAACGTGTCTGCCGACAAATTAGCGAATAATTCTTTTTGTGATTTCTCCTCTGCTTTGTTGTGAAAAAATTACACTTAGGTGGACTTTTTGAGTTTGGCTTTACACTTTGAGGGACTTTTGTGAAAGTGGTGGTCTTTCAACTTGTCAAATTACACATCTGTCCTCTGTTCTTATTCTTTCACCATAACAATAATTTTTAACATTTACGATGTTTTGTTTTTACCTTCTTTTTTCATTCTCAATTATATTGCAATCCCTAATTCCACCGTCTTGCTTCCTCGGAATCTCGTCAGAAGAAACGGCCATGAGGCCTTGTGATAATAACCTCGTTTCGATTAAGGCCTTGTGAATGCTCTTTTGTGCTTGGATAGTTTCTATGTGGATACTTTTATTATGCAATTGGAATAACTGGGTTTGCTGCAGATTTCCATCATACTTTGCTGAAAATTCTACTTTGCTGCAGTTGTTTTTTTTTTTTTTTTTTTTTTTTTTTTTTTTTTAATTTTGGGTTGTCTCAAGCTCTAGTAGCGGATGTGAATATAACTTTCAATTAGAGACCTCTGCTTTACCTGCAATCAGTTCTTCTAATTTCTCCTTCTCTTTGTCAATCTCTACACATGAATTCCGATTTTTAGTTTCGTTGTGGATGGTTTTTCTTTAACTAGTGTGGACAGTTTTGATCGATGTGGATAGTTAGTTTTTAGAAGATTAGTTTCATTCCAGATTAATGCTTTGGCTTTACCAAAATGAGATTTCTTGATGGTGATTACTTAATGCTACTATTGGTTTTCATCTTTGTTTTGAAGGTACGATGAGACATTCAAAGGGATTCTGTTGGCTTAAGATCTTACTGTGAAATGCCATACAAACTAAAATTCACATGATACATCAAAGAGACAAAGAGAACAAGTAACTACGGAGATGTGGAACCATTAAAGCATCTATCTCTATTATGGAAGGTATTACGCTTTCTGGATTGAAACCCATGAATTCCTTCGATTTTAGGGTTTTATGTACTTCGTTTCGTCACAATTACGAGACATTCTTGGTTTCGATACTTGTTGTACAGACGAGAATCTCAAATGCTGATATTGATCAATTTCAAATGCTGATATTGATCAATTCAAAAGGAAGAAGAAGAAATGAGGAAGAAGAAGAAAAGCAACAACTTTCAGCTATTAAATTTGTTTATGTTTCTGGGTTTATGCGTTGAAGATGGCGGCATTGGAGTTCGCGGCGGCGTTGGAGTCGGAGTATGCGGTGGTGGCGGAAACCCAATGTCGTCGTTACTAAATCAAGACTTTAAGAAATTGAATCAAATGATTGTAAGAACTAAGAACCATCCACAATTATAGCATCCACAATCTAAATATTAGTGATTTATTCGATTAATTTGGGTTGTTAGTTTCTGTGTTTTTGCTTCTGTTTGTTATGTACTTATTTGGATGATTGGGACAACCAATGGCTGCGTAAAGAGCCTTGAATTAGTGTTTATGAACTAAATATATTGGGTTTCCTTCACTTCTAGTACAAGATTTGGGGTCAAATACAAAAGTAGTCTCCATTGTAAAATGTGTTTTTTTTCCTTTTCTATCCTCACCATATTCACATAATAACGAAAATGCCATTACTTTTTCACTCGAAGTCTAACTGTGAAGTCTAATTAAAAAAAAAATCCAAAGAAACCTCATCTTCTTCAATTAATCACGAAAATGCCATCACCATCAATTCATCCAACAACCATTCTCAACCGAAATGAAGCTTTGAATGCAAGATTTATTCTTCAAACATATCTACCAACTCATTCTATCATCTCATAAACTTAGTTTTTCATCTTTCATCTCCATTTTCACCCCAAAAACTTAGTTTTTCATCTTTTCAAAATAAGGTTCTTAGATCTTGCCATTTTCGGTGTCTGAGCTCATTCTAACGGTTGGGGAAGTTTGCTGAAACTCTAAATCGAAGTTCTAGGCCGTCAACATAACTTAAGATCACGGCAAGGTAAAGTTCCTGTAGATCTGAGTGAATTTCATATTTTGCTGCGAATTAGACTTCACAATGAAGTCTATCGGTCAACTCACAACTAGTTTTGCAATTGAGTTTTCAAAAATTTTGGAGAGTAGACTTCACAATGAAGTCTACCCCATACTCCTTTGATAACAAAAAAAACGACGTGAAGTCTATCCGTGAAGTCTAACTCGAAACATATTAGTTTTGTATTTGGCGATTAAAATCTTTTTACGAGAAGTCTAACCGTGAAGTTTGCTTAAAAAAAAGACTAGTTTTGCAATTGACCATGCACGACTTTTTGTAAAGTCTATTAATGAAGTCTATTTAGGCTGTATTAGACATCACGAAGTCGTGAAGTCTAATAGTCAACGTTTTTTTAAATAGACTTCCTCGTGAAGTCTACTTACCGAAGTTTAAAATTTGGACTATTGCAAAACTAACCCATATGAAGTCTAACTCTTCCGTAGACTTTACCGGTAGACTTTATTATGAAGTTAGACTTCAAATTGAAGTCTAAGTACATTGATGAAGTCTATTCGAGAAGTCAACGTTAGGTCAATTGCAAAACTAATCATTTTTGAAAAGTAGACTTCACGGCTAGACTTACCCAAAAACAATTTGTTTCGTTAATTGCAGAACTAGTCTATTAGACTTCACCGAAGTCTAATAGTTAGACTTCACCGTGAAGTCTAATATTTAACGTTTTTTTTTAAAACGAATTTTTAGAAAATGTATATCGAAATTTATAATTTTGTTTAAACAGTTAGTTGTATTAGTCTATTTAGTTGCTTTTGTGTGGGTTTTATATGCTTATTCGTTATATACTAAGTTTAAACGGTTTTCTTATTTAATTAGCACTTTAGACATTAGTAAATAGACTTCATGAAGAAGTCTATCTTTGAAGTCTACGGACAAAGTCTGTTTTTCCTTTGCATTTCTAATGTTGTTTTGCGGTTGTTAACTTGCAGAAAATGGTCAACATCGCTTCTGTTTATGGAGAATGGGTGAGAAAGGACAATATGTCGTGGCATTTTGAGGTTGACTATCGCAAAGGAGGGAGAACTGGGATGGTTGTACACATGATGAGCTTGTTCAAATGCCTTAGATGATTATTCGGTGAACAAGAACGGACTGGAGTTATCATATTCATTACCAGAACCATTCGTGCAACAAATGCCTATTAATTTTCTGCTGTGAAGTCTATTCGTGAAGGTTAACTACTTGTTTAGAACTTAGTATGTTTTAGCTAGGTAAAATGCATCAAAATGGTTGTATTTGTGTTTTTTTTTAAACTATAAAGTCTGTTAGTAAAGTCTATTTGTGAAGTCTACTCCTAAAATCTAATATTTGTTTGAACTTGGTTTATTTTGTGTTCACAAGTTGGTGCAAAAGAGAGTTTTACATTATGATGTTTGTGTCATTTGATATGTATGCTGTATGCTCACAAGTTGGTGCTCTCTGCTTTTTTTTTGTGTTTTTTTGTGAAATTTGGTCATATAGCTACAAGATGTTGTTATTTCAAAAAGGAAAGTGTTAGGTCTTGATGTCCAGACTCTCTGTATTGAATAGTTTATTTTAAATTGTAAAATAGACCCAAAGACAAAGAAATGTAAATGAAACATGAGACTGTCAAACCGTCTTGACTCAGACCCCTAAATCATCCACACAAAAGAGAGGCTGATCATAAAACTTGCAAGCCAAAACAGAGCATGACGCCAAGAATGAATGGGACAATCCAGTTTAGTCGAAGTCAAGAAACTCCATTCTCTTCCTCACTGTTCCACTCAACTCACTCGCTTCCCTCTCTACCTTTGGAGCCTACAGGATTACACACCCAGAAACTGAATCCAATCTGCAAAGACACATAAAAAAAACGTGAGATATCTATGAACAAAGAAGAGCAACGAAGTAAATGGCGCCAAGAGAGGCTCAACATAAACGTTCTCATAGTCAAAGACATCCTTTCTATCAGTGCACTAATATAACAAAACTATAACTATAACATAACTAATATAACTATAACATAACTATATATAAGCAAGAAAGACACAAAATTACTGACTTAAAACATCAAACGAAGTAAGCTCTTACACACACACATAAACACTTACAAGAATATGATCTACTTAGCTGCAATCATTATAAAAAGAGGACACCAAGAATATGATCTAATGAGCTGCAATAAGATATTACAGAGGAAAATAAGAACAACTACAATAAGCATTGAAATTCTACAATCTCCAGCAAGAAAATTGAAAGAGCAAAGAGAAGAGGAGAGAGATCGAGCACCTGAGATAATCAAAACTGCTTCGTTAGATGAAGGAAGAAGAAGACCCATTCAGCTCCATACAAATACACCCTGCAACACAATTAAGAAGCTTTCAGCCTAAATTTTTTGTCTTAAATAACTCCTAACCTATTTCTTGAATAAAACAAACAAGACAAATCAAGGAAGCAATTAGAGACAAATAGATCATAAAGAGAGTTGAAATTGGCACAAGACCACACCACAAATACAATTTCGTTACAGGCATAGGCACAAAGATACAGTCCAACATGAACACACAAGCAAAAAAAAAACTAAAGGAAAGAGAAGAATAATTAGAGAGCTGAAGACGGAGAAAGAAGAAGAATAAGGGCTTACAGTTATGAAAACAGGCCAGAGATTTTGCGGAGGTTCACGGCAGGATCTGGAAGATTCTCGCCGAAGATTCAAAGGCTTCTCTATCTCAAACATTCCTTCACGAAAAGCTACATAAAACAAAACCAAAAAGATAAATCCGTCAAACAACAAAAACAAGCATGGAGCTGTAGTAATAAAGCGTAGAATTTGACTCATCCACTCAAAGAAGAGGTTCAACATAGCTTACTTGAGACGTTGAGCAGCAGCAACCTTGGTCCCCGATCTCACGGTTGATGCAGCATTGGTTCCAGCGATTTTTGAACTATCTTCGTTTAATCTCCAATTCCTGTTAATCAATTAAACACCAAAGATAAAAATACAAAAATTTAATCACTAAAAGACCTAAGATTAAAGAGACATGATTTCTGATTTCATAGAGAGCTGTAATTAGCATCAGATCTATACCACTCTAAAGCTTTCTTCCCCTTCTCTAACTCTCTCTGTTTCCTCAAAGCCCTAGCCTTTGTTTTATCGAAGGGGCCACGGATCTCCTCTGCGGTTTCCAGAATCCGATCTACCAAATCCCCAGAAATCTTACATATAACCTAAATGAGGCAAAAGTATACCTCATCAGGCAGATGAAAAAAAAAAAAACACCACATTCAATAGATATAAGAACACATTCGCAGCAACAAAATTGAAAACAGGAATTAAAGTGGAAGAGAGAAGCGAGATAACAGCTGTAAAAGGATGAAGCGAGAGAGATTCACCTTGCAGGAAGGGAGATCCAATGCTGAGAGGGGAGATGCGAGGAAAATGAGCAGCATAGAGAGAGAAAGGAAAAGACGAGATAGCGAGGCAATTGAGAGAGAGTACTGAGATAACGGCGGTGAAAGGATGAAGCTTTGGTGCGTAAGGAGAAGGAGAAGGAGAAGGGAGAGGAGGCGGTGGTGAATGGCGAGGGAGAGGCGGCGAAGGGCAACGGCGACTGACTTGCTCATGCGAGAAGCAGCAGTGGAGATGCATTGGAGCGAAGAAAGAGCCGCCATTAGCTCAGGCGAGAAGAAGCGGCGGAGGTTCAAGGATAGATAAGAGAGAGAAAAGCCCCTCGAGATACATATTTTTTCTACAAAATTAGGGTTATTCCTTTATATACCAAGATAAAAGTTTTCGGTTAGGTGATAAAATTTCCGGTTAGATGAAACAAAATTTTGGTTAAATTTGGTTAAATAGACTTTTTCATGAAGTTTCCCACTGAATTTATTTTTGAGTTTTAGACTTTATTACGAAGTCTTTTTATAAAGTCTACTACTAAAGTCTGCCTAACCCTAAATCATAAATCAAATATTTTTGATCAAAACTTATAAACAACATTATTTGTGCTTGCATATTCACAATTTACACTCTAAAGTATGAATATATATGAACTGTAAATCATTAAACGAACTTGAAATAATTTTTCAAATCAAAATTCTCTAAACCCTAACAAACACAATCATAAACCCTATATATTAACCCTCAAATTCTAAGTTTGGTGATTGGTTTACTCATAAAACTTATAATTTGGTTCATTTTCATAAAATTTTATTTTAGGTAGAACTTGTCTTTATTTAAATTATGTATAACTTTATTTATCAAAATTGATTTTTTTTTTTTATAGATTTTAAACTTTAAATTTATGATTTTTTTTATTTAGTAGTGTCTCACACCTAAAATTAAACTTTAAATTTATGATTTTTTTATTTAGTAGTGTCTCACACCTAAATTTATGATTTTTTTATTTTTTTTTATAGAACTTGTCTCACACCTAAAATTACGCTACCGTCCAGTCAGTTAATACTTAATACTATACATAACCATAAAGTGTCCATGAAAACATTATTTATGTTCAATCAAATTTGTGTCACATACTTTGGTTTCTGTGTTCCCAACCAATCGTACATCATGATTCTGTCCATGATACATTTGGTGGATGGAAAACTCTATCGTACAATTCCAAATCGATAAGTGTACAACTCTCACAAATCATCCACAAACAAAAATAGGTTGAAGTGAATGTAGAGTTCAGATCCGTGGCCTCCACCGATAAAAAAAATATTTGGTAACAACAAAACCCAATAACAAATTCCTTAATCTAACGTTCAAGAGCAAGAAAAACAATTTTGTCTCAATTCATACACTTTCGAAGATTGGAGGGGAATCATATGTTCCCTTTGCTCCGTCAAATACCATCAACCACCGACTAATGTTCAAGGTAATCTCATTTTTTATTCCACTTTCAATAAGGGTAAATTTGGACTTTTAACACACTAAACTCCAAAAATAAGTTCACCAGTTTCAGTTTCAGTAAGTCCCTCTTTGTGTAAAAAGAGTGTCAAAAGTCACCCAGAGTGTAAAGATTCTAGGTGCTTTTGAATGATTTTGTATTTTGGGTGGTTTTAAGAGACTTTAGAAGATTTTGAGGGATTTTAAAAGATTTTGGTGAGATTTAAGGTGATTTAAGAAAATGAATTTTGGGTGATTCTTGTGGGATTGTGAGATTTTATTGTGAGTTTTGAGTGATTTATGATTAAATAAAAAAGCCACTTCCTGTTTAAAACCAAGAAACGAGACCAAGAGGAAGAAGCCGAATTCAGTAACATATTCCTTTCTTAGCTGTTAAAGGTTCAATCTTATAGATGATGGGCTATACTTTGAGAGCTGGGTCATCCAGACATGAGATGGTACCAAACAACTCTGCGTTGGCCGTGGCACATCCGAGAGGCGGATGAGCGGTGACACAAATGCCATGCTTCTGGCAGAACTTGACAAGAGAATCGCGTTGGAAGTAAGGATGTGTCTCAATCTGATTCACTGCAGGCTTTATCTTGGAGTATGCCAAGCAATCTCTCGTTAGAAAGACGTCATAGTTACTGCAAAAAACCAACAAATGGTCAATAAAATCAGAGATGACCGAGTAAACAAAAGGACATTATTTTTTTCTACTAACTACAAATCCGCAAATCAATATGATTATAGATGATTTTCGTTGTTGATATAGCCTTATTAGAGTACATGATTCCAATGCTGCGGACCAAACCGATGGAAACAAGCTTTTCCATGTCATGCCATGTAGTTTCCAGAGAGAGAGTTGTACCTATGTCCACTATCTGTTGTTCCAACTCCTGCAAGTATGCAACTAAAGGGAAAGGCTTACAAGCTCACAGCTTATAATTCACAAGACTTGACTTATAATTGCAATGCTCTCTGCTCGAGACTTATAATAACACATGAATAAGGCAGAGGTCTCACCTGTGTGCTTCGTTGCTACGGGAAAATGAACAAAGAAAAGGTCAAGGTAATCAAGTTGGAGTTTCTTGGTTGTCAAATCTCCTAGAAATCTTCTGATAAGTTTTTCTCCTAATAGTTGTTTCGTTTTGAATACAGTGGATTTGATTTAAGATTTACAAATGACTAATTGAATAAAATGGTTTTATAAGTCATTTTGAATAACTTTAGAGAAACTCCATATTCAATAACACTGGATTTGAAAAGATATTTAGAAATCCCTAATTGAATAACACTGGATTTGAAAATCACCTCAAAATCATCTAAAATCTTTAAAATCCTTTTTTCAATACATCCTCCTTAGATTTAGGTGGACTTTTCCACTTTCACATTACAATAAGAGTGACTTATTGAAAGTGGTGCACTTTCAATAAGTGGTATTACTCTATTGTCCTTGTTTTCTCTCCAACTTCATTCGATAATTTTTATTTTTACAAGCCTTCATCTTTTTACCTCCTTCTCCTTTCTGACAAACACCAAAACGCTGGTCAGATTTCCATCCTCCTTTGCTGAGAACTCTACTTTGCTGCAGTTCTTAAAAAACTCTGGATAATCTCATGTTCCACGACAAGTAGCAGCGGATGTGGATTAACTTTCAATTAAAGATCTTTGCCCTTTACCTACAATCAGTTTTCCTAGTTTCTTAGAATTGGTACAAATTCTCAGGTTTGTTAATTTCTCCTTCTCTTTGTGGTTGACTGACTCACTATAATTTTATATTATCATGATAGTTAATTGTAATTAGGCCCGGCCCGAGCCGGAATTGGGCCCTATGCCAAAGTAAAAGCTTAAGAAATTTAATGGTGTAAATTTTAACATTTCAAAATTTGGACCTTTTATTACAAATCTTTAAAAAATCAGGATCCTCAAAATGCAATAAAAATCTTCAGAAAAAAATACATACAGTGCACATGCACACCTTGCACTTGCCTAGGACCGGGCCTGATTGTAATCCATTTTTCGTTCCTGTTTCTCATTTTTCTTTGCCGTTTTTCACTTCGATCAGGATTCCGCTAACCTATTCTGACCTAACCGAGCCTCTTTCGACGAGGATCACGACGACGGCGAAGGAAAGCTTCACCGGAAACATATTCCGCCTCTTAGGACCATGTTCGGTCAATGGCGGAAAATGGACTGTGCTCGTGGTCGCCATCTCGATCCAACCATCGACAGGAACTAACTTCCATTTCTTATGAGTGCTTGACTTCTCTCAAAGACGGTACTCTTACTTTCCCAAATCCTCCATCGTTCGATTTTTGAATCCTCCATACCCAAATCTTAGTTTCTATGTTGATTGGTTATGTTCGTTATGAACCTATTTGGATGGTTGCGGAAATGATTGATGAGAGAAGACCTGTGCTTGTTATATTGATTTTAGGCTTGTGCGTTGTTCGAATTTCACATTTTTTCTGGTTATTGCAAGTAGAAAAGTCTCTTGTTTTAGCAGAGTTTTTGCAGAATGATGCTACAAATTTCAAAATTTGAGGTTTCAAACTAAGATTTGACACCGGAGAACAATCATTAGGTTTATGGTGATTCATTTCTTCTTACATACAAATTGCTTAGCAGAATACAGTTCTCCATAGAAGCTATCATAATTGAATGTTTCTCAGATTGCTTAATTGAACCAACTGTCGAAAGTGATGTTGATAGTTCTAATGTGGATAATGTGTTTACCTACTGTGGACACTTTTGATGTGGATAGTCTGTTTCACATGGATAGTTTTGATGTGGATACTAGTTTCCAATTTAAACATCTTTAAACTGGAATCACATGTGGATAGTTTTCCTGGATAGCACTCGCATGAAGAGTAACAATTAGGGAATAAAATGACATATGATATTGAAAACTTAGTGGAATCACACAATAAAACTGAGTGCAGGACCAAACAAGAAAAGAAGAGAACTTACTCTTCCTTTTTACTTTGATTTCTTGTTCTTTCATCCACGCACACGCGGGTCTGTATCTTAAATTGGTTTAAAATATATTTTTTAAACTGCAAAAATTAACAACTAAAATTTATCAATATTTCAATACCAAAACTCTCTGGAAAACAAAAGTTTTTAGATATGTCAATATCGTATTGAGATCATATCTTGAAATACAAAAATATTGTTTAGATCATATCGCGGTAACAAAAATGTTTGTATATGTCTAATGACCAAAACTTACTTGAAGATATTCAAATCATTATAATAGGACAAACTTACTTTATCACAAAACTTACTTGTAAAATGTAATGTTAATTTATGAACTATTGTGACGTGTTAGTCGACATTTTCTAAACATAAATATATTTTTAAATATTGTTGGACCTGGATTTCCCTCCAGAAATCCGGCCCATAAGGCCCATCACCTAAGTCCTAAGATCAAGATAAGTCCACTCAGGCCCAGTAAAGTGACCTCGAGCCCACCAAGTATCCTTGTCCAAAATCCAGCTGTTTACTGTCCGAGCTACTTGTGAAGACGAAGTCGAGCTCTAGCTCGACGGAGTCAAGTCCACAAGCTGAGTTTGAACGAGTCAAACGAGAATCTCGCTTCGACTGTTCAGATCCGGAAATAGCGGGATCGGTAGTTGCACGTGGACGAGATACGCGGAGGAGGTTGCGATCTACTTCGGAGCTATAAAAGAGGACGATTCTTGATCACAAGGCAGAATTCCTTTGATCAAAAATCACTACACAAGTTCTTCTCATCATCTTTTCACAGAGAAACAGAGTGAAGTTCTTCTTCTTCGTCTTGAGATATTCTCATATCTTTTCTCTTCGATCTTATCCTTGATCTTTGAGATAATCCCAGAAAGCCCTGATCTTTCTAGCCGGAAATCACTTCCGGCAGAAGTTTGACATAATCTCTTACCTTCGGATCACTCCGATAACCTGAGATTTATCGTCATCTTCACACCCCTTTAGCTCTTTTCGTGGTCATTTCTCTTCAGAAAACGACTCGAAATAGAGAACAACTTACAATCGAACTACGTTCTGGCTTGATCCCTAAAACAGGGTACGTAGGCAGCTCGTTACACGAGCGCAGCCACCACCTCATTTCCATCTCTTTTGCTTAGTCGAATCCTAGTGTTTTACATGGTCTTTTAGGCCGGTTTTGTAACCACTTTATTCGATTAGCCTAAGTCCGATTTCGTCAAATATTTGTCTACGAATCATTCGACTTACATCAGAATCTAACCTCTGATTCCACAGCAATTTCTCCCTACAAAATACACATAAATTTTGAGTGTGGTTTTCCGAACCCACATTTTGGCGCTAGAAGGAGGGGAGACAATAGCTTTCTCTTACACAAGGGTCGAACCTAGACCAGTTGAGAACGAAATGGACTCAGTCCTATCAAATTCTCAGGGAGCTCGCTCCCAATCTCAGATCCCATCGGATCAAATCACTTCGGATGTCAGCAGTGCCAAAACTGCAGACACATCGAAAAACCCGATCACCTCGCCAACTGGCAGCAGCCAAACTGCTAGTAGATCGAGCGTCCTGATCGATCCGGTTATCACCTCCGCGGCAGCGAACTCGAATGTTCCAGCCCGCGTGAAACCATCGGTGATCAACCTCGTCACTCCTGTGACAGCCGAGAACTCGATTCTACCGAATCAGATCTCGCACGCAATTGAGAAACCTCATTTGCGGATTCGGGTCAAATCTAAAGATTTCCCGATTACCTCGACACCGATCAGTCGGAAATCTCCGACGCAAACTGTGTCACATCGTTTGCCTTGGCTCGACCGAATCCGGACGACCAAGCCCGAATCAAGCGAATGCTCACCGACCTGATTAACAGTCAATACGACCAAAAAATCAGGTTGGAAAAATATGAACGAAGTCTTGCTGAGCTACGGACGATTATAAGTCCTCCTCCGGGAACTCAGCTCGACTCTTCACCAATCTACGAACCTAACAGCTCGTCGAAACGGGATGAGGCACCACCGCGTGCTCTGTCATCCAGACTCTCATCCCACCGATGACCTCGTTAAACAGCTCGTCGAAACGGGATGAGGCGCCACTGCGCGCTCATGTCTTCCAGACTCTCGTCCCACCGATGAGCTCGCCAATGAGCCCTCATCTCACGATAACGACAAAGCATCCCGAAAAAGGGAACGCGAAGTCGGAATCACTTCCCAAGAATCGCCTCTTTCACACAAGAAGCGTTTCGACCCGACCCAGTGTTCAGAGAGCTCAGCTCGCGCCGCAGCTCAATGACCCTCGCGGTCACCCGCCCACCCGCACCTAAAAGATAGCGAGCTCTAGCTAATGCAGAGCTCACAATCTTGCGGGGTTGTGGAGCGTCTTCTCAGACAGCTAACGAAAACCTTATCCCGAGTTTAAAAACTTTGCGAACTCATGCTCACGCTGATTTCACAAGTTTTCGGGGGAGTGGAGCCACCCACCCTCAAATGAATTAAATTCATTCGCGGAGGCTCGAACAAGTGCTAAGACTCGAACAACTCGATCAAAGCATACAACAAAAGGTCAAATCTTCTAGACGAGCTCTTCCTCTAGAAAGATTCGACCTAAAAACCAAACTCTTGAAAACCAATAGGTTCCACAAGAAAAAGCCCACGATGATTAACTCGTAATAAAGCTCGAAAAAGCAAGCTCAAGTTAATACGTCATGGCAAAGAGAGTTCGGTGATAAGGAAACAGGAACCAACTTGGAATGACCTAATCTCATCACCAAAGTAGTGCGGCAAAACGTCTACAAACTCTCTTTCCCCCTTGAACTACGTTTAGGCTTGATCCCTATTCAGGGTACGTAGGCAGCTCCACCCAAGAGCGCAGCCACCATTATCCAGATCTTTAGATCGCGAGAAGTCTATCTACGCTCAGTGGGACTAATATTGACCCCGCCAAGCATATCTGTCCAAGCAGATACGCTACCCCAGCTACTTGTATAGACGAGGTCGAGTAATACCTCGACGGAATCAAGTCTTCAAGCCGAGCTGTACGTGTTGGGCGGTGATATTACTTAGACCGACGGAATCCGGTAATGTCCGGACCGTACAAGTTAGGTGGTAATATCGCTCAGACCGATGAGTTCCGGAATTATCTGGATCTCACGAGTCGGGTGACGATATCGCTCGGACCAACTAGACCATGAAATATCTGGTCTGACGTGTCTGACGGTAATGTTGCTTATACCGATGAGCCCTGGAAACAGTTGGGGAGGAGGACGAGAACGACCTCAGAGGCTATGAAAAAAGCACGACTCTAATTTAAAGATCATCTAGAACCTATTCTCGGTCTAGAACCTGAACTACGTTAGGCTTGATCCCTATTCAGGGTACGTAGGCAGCTCGAAGTACGAGCGCAGCCACCATCAACTATCAAGATCCTAAGACTAAGAAAAGTCCGTCCAGGCTCAGTAAGGCTGACCTTGACCCCATCAAGTATACTTATCTAAGTACATACTACATCCGGGCTACTTGTAAAGACGAGGTCGAGTAATACCTCGACGGAATCAAGTCTTCAAGACCGGGCTGTACGTGTTTGGCGATAATACTACTGAGATCGATGAGCTCCGGTAATGTCCGAGCTGTACGAGTCAGGCGGTAATATCGCTTAGACCAATGTGACCATGAAATAGCTGGTCTGTTTGAGTCGGGTGACGATATTGCAGACCGATAAGACCATGAAATAGCTGGACTTTGCGTGTGATGTGATAATGTTGCTTATACCGATGAGCCCCGGAAACAGCCAGAATGGCAGTTTGAACACGGACGAGATATGCGAAGGAGGTCGAGATCGACTTCAGAAGCTAGGAAGAGAGATCAATTCTAATCCTAGAGATCACCTAGAACCTACCATCGGTCTAGGACAAAAACAAACTTTGGGCCCAACAACCCAAATCAGCTAAACATTCGAATTACTCCTAAGGACATCGAATACTTAGCAAAATGCCAGTCGAACCCGACTGAAGATCTGAAAGGTAATCAGCTCGAGTACGAGCTCCTCGAAGATTAAGACCAAGTGCTGATCATGTAGATCAATCTACGAATCACACAATTGGCAAAAGCCAGTCGAATCCGACTGAAGATCTGAAAGGATTTAGCTCGATTTGAGCAATCCTTGAAGATTAAGTCCAAACATCATTGTGTAGAATCTACTCAAATCACATATTGGCAAAGCCAGTCGAATCCGACTGAAGATCTTAAAGGAATCAGCTCGATCCCGAGCAGCTCTCAAAATTCAAGCCCAACTGCTGATCATGTAGATAATCTACAATCACGCAATTGGCAAACCGTCGAATCCGACTAAAGTCTGAAAGAAATCAGCTCGATTCAAAGCAATCTTCAAAGATAAGCTCGAATACTGATTATGTAGAATCACCTTCCGAATTCGGACGATCGTTTAAAATCAGTCGCTTTCAATCAGCAAACCTTCCAAGATGAAGCCCAAAATCACGTCGAAAGTTCGAGCTATGATTCGAAAGAAATTAGCTCAACTTTATACGTTTTTCAGAAGAAATCAACTGAGCTTCGTCTAATTCGACCAGATAGCTAACACGCTAGGTTGAATCTCAGATCAAACCAAAACGACCAATAATCAAATCATCGAGCTATCAGTCATTTGATCTGGAAAATAACGATAAAACTCTAAGACACAAAACGTCTAGGGAAAATTATCGAGCTCATACCGAGCATAAGAGTTTGAACATAAAAGGGTAAAAGCCTTCCCAGGCACCAAATCCGAAAGTAAAGCGTAAAAACCCCGCCGAGCTAATTTGTTCGAAACTTGAATAAAAAACGATAAAAGAGAAGGCAAAAGAAGCGAAACTCAATCGTCATCGCCCATCGCCTCCTCAGCACCGAGCCCGTTCGGATCGCATGGAGCATTCGTAGAAGGACCAACATCCATACGAACAACGGAATCTTCCGATACCGCCGGAAGGTCGAGCTTACCGATCGAAAAGTCGGAAACCTGGGCTGCCTCAAAGGCTTCTGTAAAACCACCCTCGTCTTCCTTCAACTTTCGGAGCTCATCCTCCGCAACAACCGTCCCATCCATCAGCGATTGGAGGAGCTCGATGTTAGCAAGCACCTCTTGGAGATCACACTCCTTGACGCTCTCATCTTCCTTCTTCTTCCACTTAGTCTTGATTTCTAAGAGGATCGCGTGATGTTTAAGGGACATTTGTCGACGACCCTCGCGTTCAGCTCGACGAACGGCCTGACTCTTCCCGGCCTCTAAGACTTGTCTTTCCCCATTTAGACGAGCAATCTGATCCAGCATCGATGCATTTTCGGACTGGAGAGAAAAGAACTCGTTCCTAGCGAGCTGAAGTTTCAGAGTTATATCCTCTTTGTTAATTTCAAGCTCTCTAACACAAGCCGCCTGAGAAGTATGCTTCTTAAGCAAATCGCCTTGACGAGCGACTCTTTCTCTCACCGATCCGAGCTCAACACTAAGGTCATTTATTATCCGCTTCATCTTATCAAGCTCATCCTGTCGAGGTTCTTCACGTAACCTTTGTTCACAATGAGCAAGGAGTTTCTTGTTCGCCTCCATAGCCTGATAAAGAGAAATCGTAAGCGTATACCCAAGAATATTACTTCTTCGGGAAATACTTGGAGAGGGTAAAATTATACCTCCTTGTTTGCCGCCGTTGCCGCTGTAAACAGCTCCCTTTCGAAAGAAAATTCTGGAAGAGGAGTCTGACTCACGGTAGGCTTGCATTGGCGCGACATGGACACTTCGGGATTATCCAAAACCGAAATGTTCTTTAAGGGATCAATTGCCAATCGGAACGACGAGCTAACATCCGGTTTGGATCGTTTGTTCAAAGAGCCCGACAAAGTCGGAGTTCGATTATCATCTCGAGCTCTCTTCGGGCTCCTTTCCGATTGCTCGTTGCTCGAGCTCACCGAGATAGTTTGTCTCGGAGGAGTCACATGGGTATCGCCCCCTGTAGCAACAAGATGAGCTTGTTCTGTTATTCCGTCGCGGAAAACAGATCCGACCGCGACCTGGGCAACCCCCACAACTCCATTGTCCCCGGCTTCAATTGCCTGCTCGCCCTGAGCGGCGATCGACTTCGCAGCTCGTTCACGAAACGTCAGCCTGCGAGACATTTTCTTTCTCTGAAGAAATGGGTCAGTCGAAGTCTAGCCCGAATCCAATGTCGATGGAATGCGTCGGTAAACTACAACAAGCAAAACCTTGTCACTTAAACAAAGTACAAGATAAAAAACACCTCGAATCAAGTAAGCAACATGCTTACCAGGTGGAACGATCGGACGAGAGCTAAGAACTTGACGAATCCGTTATGTCGTGAACAAATTCCAATTGGTCTTCTCTCTCCCGAGTCTAGCCACCAGATATTCGATCGACGAGTTATTCGGCACTGACTCGCAAACTGCAAAAAAACTTAAGGTTATTAGTTTGCAGAATCTGGTAACCTAATCCGATCAAAGAACTAAAAACACGAAAATGGTCCGAAAGCTAACCTAGGCTAGTGGCCCATTCTTTTGGAAGTCTCTCGAAATCAAACTCCCCAATGGAAGCTCGATTGACTTTGAAAAAGAATGACTCGTCGTTCCAACTTGAATCTTTGATCGGAGTGTTCGTCAGGACACGACGGTTCATCCGCGGCGAGGTATAGAATGACCACGGGAATCTGGTATTGTGCTTAACCGAGTACAACTTCTTCACGTCCCGAGCGTCGAAAATTATATTCTCCTCTCGAGCTCGAACTGCACATCCGATGACGTGTCGAGCGAAATTCGAATGCATCTGAGGAAAGCCATCTTTAGGAGAGCTAAAAACTCCAATAGGAGTCGAGGGATAGGAAAGATCATCCCGCAGCTCTCAAAGTAAGCTTTGAAAGCACAGCAATATCCCGGCTTGACATGCTCAAGGTCTTTTGATTCCGTCGGGAGCACGAGTTCGATCTCGTCGGGAATGTTATACTCACGTCAGAAATTCACTAGGCCTTCCTCGTCTAGTTTCGACTTTACGTGTGGCCCGTACTTTCCGTCGGCGACACCACTGCCTTCTACTCTCTTTCCCTCGGCGGAATGCATCGTAGAAGAAGAGGTTTTCGGGAAAAAGAAGATGGGATACTAAAGATTCTTGACAAAAAGTTCTGAACCTTGGACCCAGAACCCCTATAAACCTAGAGATTATGTCAATCTCTTCTCAAAACTATCCTTGTATGGAATAATACGAAAGAGGAGAAGGAAGAAATCGCCTTCGATTCAAAATTGAGTACGTTTGGAAAGAGCTTCTGTAGATGGGTTTATATTCACTAATCGTTGAGTATCTCAAGGTCGTGAGGATTTACCTCGCATTGATCTCGACCGTCCGATCGAACGTTTTCAACTACCCGGACGCTTCGAACGAAGCGACGAAATTTAAGTAAGGCTGAATAATCTGAGCCGTACAAACCCTCCGTCTCCCCGCATCTGCACCGTCAGATGGAAAGTAAGATCGTCTTAAAGACTTTAAGTGTTGCATCTGCTTCCGAGGAGCTCGGTCCCCAAAATATTAATTTTTTTGGGTGATTCTTTATCGAGAATGTTTGTTTCTAAACAAATAATTATTTTCTTATGTTTCCAAGGCATGTCTCGATTAATGACAAACAACGGCAGGATCTTACGATCTTTCGCCTTCCCGTTTGCAAACCGTCGATTTCCTAATGACTATTTAAAGTTATGATTTAGTTCGACGGGACTGCGGGACAATTTTTAAACAACCTACCGCTCATTAAGTTCGGTTATACCCACTTAATGAGCTGGGGGGCTATTGTTGGACCTGGATTTCCCTCCAGAAATCCGGCCCATAAGGCCCATCACCTAAGTCCTAAGATCAAGATAAGTCCACTCAGGCCCAGTAAAGTGACCTCGAGCCCACCAAGTATCCTTGTCCAAATCCAGCTGTTTACTGTCCGAGCTACTTGTGAAGACGAAGTCGAGCTCTAGCTCGACGGAGTCAAGTCCACAAGCTGAGTTTGAACGAGTCAAACGAGAATCTCGCTTCGACTGTTCAGATCCGGAAATAGCGGGATCGGTAGTTGCACGTGGACGAGATACGCGGAGGAGGTTGCGATCTACTTCGGTGCTATAAAAAGAGGACGATTCTTGATCACAAGGCAGAATTCCTTTGATCAAAAATCACTACACAAGTTCTTCTCATCATCTTTTCACAGCAGAAACAGAGTGAAGTTCTTCTTCTTCGTCTTGAGATATTCTCATATCTTTTCTCTTCGATCTTATCCTTGATCTTCGAGATAATCCCAGAAAGCCCTGATCTTTCTAGCCGGAAATCACTTCCGGCAGAAGTTTGACATAATCTCTTACCTTCGGATCACTCCGATAACCTGAGATTTATCGTCATCTTCACACCCCTTTAGCTCTTTTCGTGGTCATTTCTCTTCAGAAAACGACTCGAAATAGAGAACAACTTACAATCGAACTACGTCCAGGCTTGATCCCTAAAACAGGGTACGTAGGCAGCTCGTTAACGAGCGCAGCCACCACCTCATTTCCATCTCTTTTGCTTAGTCGAATCCTAGTGTTTTACATGGTCTTTCAGGCCGGTTTTGTAACCACTTTATTCGATTAGCCTAAGTCCGATTTCGTCAAATATTTGTCTACGAATCATTCGACTTACATCAGAATCTAACCTCTGATTCCACAGCAATTTCTCCCTACAAAATACACATAAATTTTGAGTGTGGTTTTCCGAACCCACAAATATGTTTAGTGAAATTCTTAAAATTAGATGTCAACAATATTTGTATGTAACATGATGTTTATTTAAAATAACTTCAGTTGGTTATGTTAGAACTTAAAATGCTATAAATAACAATATTTGTATGTAATAAATTTAAGCTAGATGATAAACTAATATTTTGGTAAGTTTTCAATGGTTATAAAACCTAAAACCTAAATGAAGAGAAGCTAGTCGACACACATAATTGTTCTTCATTTTCTTCTTCGTTGTTGTTTTAAAGTTTTTTTTAATTTTCTTTGATTCATTCTTTTTCAGTATCTTATGTTTTGTTTTCTTCTTTGTCTTTGGTCTTATTTGATTTCTTCTTCATTTTCACTCATCTTCGCGTTTGCTCTTCTTCGTCTTCGCTCTTCTTTTTTTTCTCTTTTTTGTTTTGTTTTGATTTGGTTTCTTCTCCTTTGTTCTTATTTTATTTCCTCTTTAGATTGGTCTTCGCAAGTTTTTTTGTTGTTGTTAGGTTTCTTCTCCTTCGTTCTTGTTCGAATTCCTCTTCAAATTGTTCTTCACAAGTTTTTAATATGGTTTTTCCTTATTCATCTTTGTCTTCTTTGGTCTCTATTTTGTATTCGCAATTCAATATCTTTGTTTTCGCTATTCTTCGGTTTTATCTTGGTACTCTTCTTCTTTGTGTCTACTTTTTTCTTCATTTTTTTTCTCTTATTTCTGTAGGTTATTCTCGACCCTTAAAATTCTGCATGGTTCCATTCCTCTTGTAAAATTCTGCATGGCTCTATTCCTCTTAAATTTAGAATAAATTATAATTAAATAAAACACAATTTCGTTACCTGAAAAACTGAAAATAAAATCAAGCTAGAATGACTTATTGAACAAAATATATTCAAAACAGGCCCTTTGAATGTCATATGTAAATACTAAAATGAGAAGGAATTTATCTTATTCTGTTTTTCATAAATTTACTTTTGTTTATATTCCTTCTCTTTCAAGTGGCATCTTTTAAAAGTACTACTTATAAACACATGAATATGTAAATATTACAAAACATTGAAAAAAAAAATAGAAAAATAGAAAAGGAACAAAATACAGCCTTCTATTGTGTTTGCCTTTTCCTTTCAATTTGTGTCATGTAATCACTATTCTGATTTTTTTTCTTTCTTCATAATCAATATTATTTTCCCCATCGAAAGCTTACTAATTTAGGAGCAACAATTCACTTTTGATTTAATCTACACTTTGGTAATTTCGATTCCTTGTTCTCTTCATAGTCCTTTGAATTTTTTGTGGTAATGTAACTTATTGTATCTTTTGTAGGTGTTAAAAAAGGAGGAGAGGACTCTTGGTATATATAAGAAACTAAAATAGATGGCAAAAGTGTGTTACGAGTTTTAATTTTTATTAGCTAAAGGAAAATTTCCTTATATGTTTCCTTATTTAATTTCCAATAATATTATTATTTGTTTTCTTTTTTCTTAAAGGAAAATCTCCTTTTTTACAATTCTGCTGATAAAAATAAAAAGTAAATTAATGAAAAAAAATTCAAATATAAATAATTTTAGATGTTGATATATAATGATATTGTTGGTATAATTTTCTTATTTATTACATATCTCTACTAATTTTACACTTATAAATACTGGAGAATTTCGTATTGTTTACCTTTGAATTATGAAACTTTCTTAAAATATAAAAATATAAAAAGGAATTTAACTAATTGAACAAATAGCTAATTTCATGTGATGATGTGGAATGATACTATTGATTGTCTAAAATTCGGAAACTTTCTTAATCTAGGAGATACTTATTTGGACCAATAAAAACGCGTTTTATAATCCTATGTAGACGCTATCAGAGGCTTATAGCCTCAACTTTTATATAGTATAGATTTCTTGTTTTTATTTGCTTATTCTCAGCAGATGCCAAAGAATCACAATGTAGATGCTCATGATCAACAACAGAATCCGCAGGAACAGATACAGCGTAATGCTCATGATCAACAACAAAATCTCACATTTCACAAGGTTTGGCCGTTTATTCCTCTATTCTTCTCTTGCGTTCGACCTCTCAATTCGTTTGATGATATTCTTACTTGGCCTTTGGAGCTACTTTACTTTGGACATATTTTGTCAAACGCTTAATCCAAACTCCAGAAGATTGTCTCTAACAAAGATGACAGATGTTCTGTGGATACTTTGTTGGCTTGTATTTATGTTCCTTTTTTTTGCTGGTGATTATGCAGATGTACTTACTGATGGTGTAATTTGGTATCATTCTCCTCATCGTTATCGTACTACTCTTTGCTCTCGGACCTTCACTCTCTTTCAAAGATGGTATTTTTGAGTTTCCTACTTCTCGTCCTCTCCCAGTCTATGCAGGTAGAGACATTCTTACATCTAACTTGTCAAAGTTTTACTTTTTTTTCAGGTCTTTAACTGTCCATTTCTTTAACACCCTGTGGTCTATCTTCTTTTCTTTTTTACTTTTGTTAAGAGTCTTTGTCACTATATTTACCTCGATCTTATCATATATTTTGTTAAGAGTGTTTGTGTGATTGTTTTATATTGAATTCTCATCAGCTATTTGCTTCCATTCGTTCTATACTCCTCGAAGAAAAACGAGTTTCATATCCACAAAATAATGGTGAAGTGTCCACGATAAGATTGTCCAAACACATTTTTTACACACAAAAAAAACCCCAAATACAGTCTAATATCACTATATTACTCACGATGTGAAAATAAGAAATTTATAATCCATGTCCCTTTACAACAAATGAACCCAGATCAGCCAAAACACCCTGGTTTCTGTGAGAGTGAAACATGCGTACAACATCAAACTGTACAACTTTAAACCATCCAGTGCTAGAACTGTATCCGAAGTAACCGTCCACACATTCAATAGTTTTGGTGTTGATTATTTGGGAAATATCACATGGATGGTTTTTAATTGGATGATACATAGTTTTGAATTGGATAAAACAATACCATTGATGTTTTGTTTGTGGACACCTTCGATGTGGATTGTTGTTTTTATTAGCTTGGATGGTTTTGATGTGGATTATTTCCTAAATCAAAATCCAGAAGAACTACCAACGACCTTATATAGCTTTACTCCGGCGTGTAACGTCACCAACAATTTCTTAAGCAACCACACATAAAATTAAACATCCGTCTGCATATAAAATAGATTGAAATAGTTCACCGACATTGAGAACCACTGATTTTGCGGAGTCTTAGCTTTTCGTTATCACTGGAAACAATTTTTTTTTTTTTTTTTTTTGTTTTTCTTTTCTTTTCGGGTTGAGCCAGGCCCGTACAGTAGTGCAACGCATGGGCGACTCGTGAAAGCCCAGATAGCAAGCTATTTTAACGGGCTTTCGCCCTTAGAAAATAGAGTTAATATCGTGTGAGCCGATGGCCCATATATCAGATATTAAACTCATAAGAACAGACAATAAATGTACAAATCTGAGGAACATGCTTCAGACACGAAACTACCGGAAACGAAATTACCGGCGACAGACAATAAATGTACAAATCCGAGGAACATGCTTCAGCTTTAGCGTGTAAAGACGCTGGAAAAACCATAATATAGATGGTTGAAAAATGAAAACTAAATCTTTGGAACACATGAGGAAAACTAAAACTAAATCTTTAGATGAGGCATGTCACCGGAGCCAGCGAACGTAGGGAAGGAACATAGGGAAGGAAGTTAATTCTTTTTTTTTTTACCCTTTTTTATTAAAGGTTATTTCGTAATCAATAAAGGCCAGCACATCACAGAAGTTCATCTCTGATCAAAAGTCTAATTTTTTTGTAAATAAAACTCAAAAAGTCACCCAAAAGTGTAAATCACTCTTTTGTTGTTGATGTAAGAAACTTTTATTTAATGAATTTGTTATTCAAAGAAAAAAAAGTCTCAGAAAACTTGGTCAAATTCGAGTAAAAAACTTAAGGGTGTTTCCTAAAGATCTATCTAAAGTAAACATGACAAAGGTTGCAGACTGTATGCACGTTTCTTTTTGTTTTCCATCACACGTTTCTTTTTGTTTTCCATCACACGTTTCTTAACATCTATATTTTTTAGTTAATATTATTACTGCATACAATCTTTCTTTTTTTAATCTGACTATCCAAAATACTGCATGAAAACTAGATCGATATTCCAAATTCATGTTAAGTTAAGTAAAGAGTCATATTTTAGTGCAAATTAATCTGAACGGATAATACTCATGTTAATATTTGTTTTCCGAAAGGGATAGGGTAATACTAGAAGTGAAATAAAGAGTAATATTTTAGTGCAAATTAATCTGAACCTAATACCAATTTTTTTGATTTTAAACAGAATGTTGTAAACTCTAACCGAATAAAATTCCAACTAAAATAATCTTTATTTGTGATCGGGAGCGAAAACTTACAATTCCGATATACGAGATCGAAATGGGAATAGACATAGAAATGGAGTTGAAGACACATGAGAAGAAACTTGTGCGATCTAATGCCTAGATCTCTCGAGATTTCACTCACTCGCAAACGGATCGAACCGCAAAAGAAAGAAGATACTAGAAGATGAAAATAGAAAGTAAAGAGACACGAATTTGGTTACCCAAGAGTTCCTTGCGTACTCTCCTGGGGCACGGCTCAGCCAGCAAGCTTTCACTAGAACCTTAGCTCAAACTCGAGCTCTTGATCTACAATGGCGTCGTGAATCTTTCTCTCTGGTTTCTGTTACAATCACTCAGAGAACGAGCTAAAGGGATATTTATTGTTCCCTTTAAATGAAACGACTTAAACTACGTCGTTTACTCCTTGTACTATCCGTGTCAGGTGAGAACACGTGTACCTCCGGTTTAAGACTTGGACCGGAACGATACCGCCAATTGTAATCTCGATACCTGGACACTATTGAGCTTGATGAACAACCATCATCCTTGGAGCTAACACTTGCTTGATGAACAACCATCATCCTTGGAGCTAACACTTGCTCCACCTTCACAAATCTTCTGAATAAACCCATTCAGCTTTAGACTGTCTCCTGAAAAAACTCGCTCAGCTCAATAACTTAAGAAGTCCTGGATCTTCAGTCTTCTATAACTCTGAGAAATCTCAACGCCTCTTGAAACTTCCCAACTTGTAGAACCTTTGTCAAAATATCTGCCGGATTATACTCAGTAGCTATCTTCAAAACCTGAACCAACCCCATACTGATTAAATCCCTGATGAAGTGAAACTTCACTGCAATGTGTTTGGTTCTTTCGTGAAAAACAACATTCTTTGCCAATGTAATGGCGCTCTGAGAATCACAATAAATCTGAACTGCTTCTTGCTTGAATCCGAGTTCATTCATCAAACCATGTAACCATACTGCTTCCTTAGCTGCTTCTGCTAGAGCCATGTACTCATCTTCGGTTGTTGAAAGCGCCACAATCTTCTGCAAATTTGATCTCCAGCTTATAGGGTTGCCACCAGCCGTGAAAATGATGATAGGATTTGTGTGTGGTGTGAAAGATATGAAATGAGATGTGGTGGAATGCAACAGTGGTATATAAGATGAGGTGGTAAGATGCAAACACAAACACAATCAACAATTCCCTTTAACCATTATAGTCATTGTATCAATCCAAAATGGGTGAAGTTGTCACTCTATGAGAATATGAAATAACCAGGAAGTCAAGCAAGCAGTAAAGATATGGTGGTAACACTAACAACCTAATAAAATGAAATGCAATGCAATAAAAGTAAAGAAAGCAGTAAAGCAAGTAGCTCGACCAAGGACTCGAGTCGAGTAGGAACAGAGTACCAGCTCGATCGAGTTTAGGGTCGAGTTGAGAGAAAAAGCAATAAAGGCAGCGACTTTAACAAGAAAATGCGAGAATTAGGGTTCAAGACAGGGTTTTGCAATCAGAGGAAGCTACACTTAATCGATCTTGCTCTTAAAACTCCTTGTATCAAGGCTTCTCTTGATATTGGGCTTCTCAATGCCTAGCTAACCCTTTCCCAAGGTGAAGCTATCAACCAAGGAATGATCTCAGAAACAGGGGGTTAGCCAGTGAGAATCAAACCTTGGAGGCCATAGGATCATTGCCCAAACTAATCCATCCAACCCCTATGAACTCCATATTCGAGAGCAAGAGATTTGGAGCTCTTAGTGGATATTTTCCAGCGATTTCCATCACTTCCATGTGGAGAATCGCCTAATGGACATACAAGCCAGGGGTAGTGGTCATGTAGCCTTAAGATTATCCAAAAGAGAGAGAATCTAGATTAAGACCATAAGCAAGAAGGATTAAGCATATGAAACCCTAATCTATCCCATCTCAAACCCTAATGGGTAACTACTCACTACACATGAATGTAAACACAAGCAAATGCAATGAAAAGAGACATCAAAGAAAGAGGAGATAAAGATAAACAACTTTTATTGAAATAAGCAAGTGCAAATACAAAGAGATATCCAGGATCTAGGATTCAAGAAGCAAGAGCTTCAAGAACACAAAGATGGGATTAGAGTTCTAAAAAGTAAAAGACAATAAATTAAAAGAAAGCTAAAACAAAATAATCTAAAGCTTGGTGGTTTTTTCGTGGCTTAGAGCCTTTAAATACAAAGGGATTAGGTTTAGGGTCAAAGGAAAGTCAAGGGGGAAGCAACATTTTTCGGGTTTGACTTTGACTTCTCAGCTCGATCGAGTTGAAGCTTGGCCGGTCGAGTTGAGGAACTCGACCGGTTGGTCGAGTAGGTGGTCGAGCTGGTCTTCAAGATGGCTTCCTTCTTCCTTTGCGTATCCAGTTGAGCTGCGTCCATGCACCAAGTCCTTCCATGCTCCTCACGTCCCATATGCTCCAAATGCTCCAAAAGACCTATTTCAAAGGACCAAACATGCATATGTATGCAAATGCAACCTAAAACTACTATGAATGCATAAGAAGAGAAAAGGAACAAGATATGATGCTAATGGATGCTAAAACTATGCAAAAGATGCATAAAAGATGTACTAAAACTATGTAAAATGCAAGTACATCAGAAAACCATACCTGAGATTGAGCGTCTCTTGTCTTTATCTGCTGCGTAGTATGAGTCACAGTATCCCTTGATGACGAACTCTCTTTCTTTCTTGTAGACTAACTTTCTCTTCAAAGTACCATTGATATACCTTATAATCCATTTCACTGCTGCTCAGTGATCTTTGACTAGATTACTCATAAATCTGCAGACCATTCCAACTGCGTAGGCTAAATCTGGTCTTGTTCCTATCATGGCATACATCAAACTTCCAACATCACTTTGATATGGGAAATTCTCCATCGATTCTCGCTGATCCTGGGACTCTTTCTCTGTAGCCGCCTGCAGTTTGAAATGAGCTCCCAATCGTATCCCTGTTGGCTTACTTTGATCCATACCAAAGTTACCTAACACTTTTGTCAAGTAACCTTCCTGAAAGATAGTGAGTATTCCTCTGGATCTATCTCTTGTAATCTCCATACCCAAGATTTTCTTAGCTTCACCCAAATCCTTCATCTCAAATTCTGAACTCAGAAGTTTCTTCAGGTCTTCCACTTGCTTCTTGTCTCTGGAAGCTATGAGAATATCATCAACGTACAAGAGCAGATACACAAATTCTCCATTCTTGTGCTCCTTGTAGTAGATGCAAACATCGTATTCACTTCGTTGGTAATCATTCGACTGCATGAACTCATCAAACCTGGTGTTCCACTGCCTTGGTGATTGTTTGAGTCCATACAACGACCTTTTCAACAGACAAACCTTATCTGGAGGATTCTTGTCAACGTATCCCTCAGGCTGTTCCATATAGATTTCTTCATCCAAGTACCCATGTAGAAAAGCAGTCTTCACATCCATTTGTTGTAGCTCCATGTCAAAGTGAAGTACTGCTGACAACATACACCTGATAGAGACGTGCTTGACTACTGGAGAGAAGATCTCTTGATAGTCAATGCCTTCCTTATCTGAGTAGCCTTTCGCTACTAACCTCGCTTTCAACCGTGGAGCTTCAACACCAGGTATCCCAGCCTTTCGCTTGAACACCCATTTGCATCCTATAGCTTTCTTATCCTTCCTTCTGTCTACCAGAATCCACGTCTTATTCTTCATCAGAGACGCAATTTCCTCGTCGCTTGCATCAACCCATAACTGCTGTCTGGATCACTTAACGCTTCCTGATAACATCCTCGCTCTGGTTTTCCTCCATCGTCAGTTATCAGATAAGCGTAGCCTGCAATATCTTCAAACTCATCCTCAAGCTGATAGTCTTCCAATCTTACTGGCAACTTCGCTTGTCTTCTTGGTCTATCTCTCACTAGCTGATAATCTGCAAGATCCTGACCCTCTGTTTGCTTAACTACTTCCTCAAGCTGTTCATTTGGAGTTTCTTGAGTCTGATTCTCTGTCTGAGTAGCTCCACCTTGAACGTTGTCCCTGTTATCACCTGCAATATCCACACTAGCAAACATATCCGTAGAAAATTGTTCACTGAGAGGATTACCTGAACTTGTCTCAGACTTGAGGTCTTTGTAGACCACATCTTCTCTGAATACGACATTTCTTCTTATTGTAAGTTTGCTCTACTCAAGTAGCCAGACTCTGAAACCTTTAACGCCTTCTGGATAGCCCGTGAAAATGTCCTTCTTTGCCCTCGAATTGAGCTTTCCATCAGTTGAGTGAACATAGGCCACACAGCCAAACCTTCTCAAACCTTCGAGACTTGGTACTGCTGATGTCCAACGTTCCTCTGGAATGTCAAAGTCGATTTCTGAAGACGGAGTCCTGTTGGTGAGGTATACTGTTGTAGATGCCGCTTCAGCCCAAAACTTCTGCTCAAGACCGCTTTCACTTAACATGCTCCTGACTCTGTTCATCAATGTTCTGTTTAGCCGCTCTGCAACTCCATTTTGCTGTGGTGTATAGGTACACGTCCTGTGCCTTACTACTCCTTCACTTTTGCAGAACTGATCAAACTTGATGTTACAAAACTTTAGCCCGTTGTCTGTTCTCAACTTCTTTACTTTTCTCTCCGATTGAATTTCAACCATTTTCTTCCATTCGACAAACTTGTCAAATGCTTCATCTTTAGTCTTGAGAAAGTAAAGCCACACCTTCCTGGACCAATCATCAGTAAACGAGATGAAATACTGACATCATCCTAGACTTGGTGGGACATTTGGTGAACCCCACAAGTTAGAGTGTATATAGTCCAGTTTCTCCTTAGTGGCATGTTGAGCTGATCCAAAACTTGCTTTGTGCGTTTTGCCAATCACGCAGTCTTCACAGAATTTTAACTCATAGACTTTTCCCTTATCTATGCAGCCTTTCTTGACCAGAACATCCAAACGTTTCTGACCAACGTGACCAAGACGACTGTGCCACAATTGCGTATCATCCTCCTGATCATTCTTTTGACTTGTTTCTGCGTTGTGAACCTCAAATGTTTTTGCTGATCCTTGTAGAATGTATAGTGCATTGTTGTCCTGCATGGCTGCTTTCATTATCACAATGCATCCTTTAATCACCTTTAGAACTCCCTGAGATACTTTGAACTTACAGCCTTTATTCTCTAGAGTTACTAAAGACTAGGTAGTTGTCCCGCACCTTGTGTGGGTACAATATTTTTAAATAAATTAATTAATTAAAGATTTTAATAACATAAGTAGTAGAATTTATAATTTTATTTTATCGTTTCTGTTTTCGCCAACTTCTTATTTTTTAATTTTGATATGTCTTATTTTTGTCTTCTCTTTTTCATTCTCTACATAATCTTCTTCATTCACTTAGAGAAATACAAAATATTTATCACTTCTTGAGTTTTTTCCCCTCTAATTCTTCTCTAATTATCCCATCTTCCTCTTTTTCTTTCAATTTATATCCGTTCTCGTCATCTTTTTCTTCTTCATCTTCTTCCAATTTTTGTTCTTTAATATTTTCTTATATTTTTCATATCCTACAACTCACTATTCTTCTTTTTCTTTTTAATTTTATTTACATTTTTTTCCGGTCTTTCTTTTTCCTCATTCCCCCCCCTCTCTCCATCTTTATCATCTTCGTCTTCAGTGACATCATATTATTCTAATTTTTATTTATATCTTCTTTGTCTTTTTTTTTTCTCTTTGCATTCCATTTTTTCTTTCTTTGATTTTTTTGTCTTCATGTCGAGTTTTCTTCTTCTTCTCCATATTTCCCATCTTTTTTTTCATCATCTTTTTTCTTTTACTCGTGTTTTTTCTGTATGTCTTGTATTCCACCTATCAATTCATAATTCATAGTTTGGAATTTTAAAGATTTATGAAATAGTTTTTTTTAATCTTTATATAGTTGAGATCTTTTAAAAATCTTTGTTATCTTTTGATTCTGGATTTGCTTTAATTGTTATAGTTTTTTTTATTTGTGAATGTAATCTAGAAAGGTAGATATAAATTTATAATCAATGATTTATAATTCTAATCTTCTTCTATAATAATTCAAATTTTTAAAAATGCACCAAAAACTAAACCCTAAACCCTACATCCTAAAACTCAAACCCTATATTGTAACACTACCCCCCTTAAACGACCCTACACCCTAACCCAAACCCCACGTTATAACCCCCCCCCCAAACGACCCTACACCCTAAACCCAAACCCACATTATAACCCCCCAAAGGATCCTACACCCTAAACCCAAACCCACATTATAACTCCTCTTAAATCGCATACCCGAACCCCACATTTTACAAACTGGTTATGGATTTGCTTTTATTTTTATTTTTTTTCTTAATTTTTTTTAATCGATAATGTAGTGTATTCAAATTTTTTAAAATGCAACAAAAACTAAATTTTACGCCCATCAATATAAACCGTACATCGTGTACCCCAACCCCATTTTTTTTAATTTGTCTTTTACTTCTTTCATATTTGTTTCCTTCATTTTCTACCATTTTTCCTTATTCTTATCAAACTTTATAATCTCTTTTTCTTTTCCTCTCTCTCTACATCGTCATCTTTTTATTTCCTGGTTTTTATTCATGTTCTTTCTTTTATTTACAGAGTAGACAATCTTCCGAGTAAAGATTACAAACTCTTCGTTCACCCATCCTTTGAAATGGAGCTTTTCCAAGTCAGAAAATTTAGCGAGAAAGTGTTAAGGATAAATCCTATAATCAACAAATTTGAAGGGTTTTCGGAAACAGATTCGTAGACTCTTGATGAGACATTCGAGAATTGACATTTTCATTTTATTTACCCATTAATGAGACTGTCCGGAATCACGAAGGTATTCGATCATGACCCTCATCTGCAAAGGATTTACTTACCCTTGTTGATGCCACCGTTTTAATATTGAAATGATTTATGCATTCCTATATGTGAATATTTGAACTCTACAATGAATTGCTTTATCGAAGACTTGCTGAAGAAGAAATCTAGGAAATCTTATATATCATATAGACCGAACTCCAAAGAAAGCTAACACCCTTTTACTAAGGACATGAGAATAAGATATTGTGGATGCTTAAGTTATCACATGATTACAGCAACCAATCTGTTCCCTTCCAATCTCTTTCATTATATTTAAAACAAAGATACCAGAAAACACCAAATTATCTATTATAGTCAAATCAGTTTTAAGAGTCACCATCAAATTCTACAAAAAAAAACCCAATCTCTTTCATTATATTTAAACAAAGATAACAAAAAACACCAAATTATCTATTATAGTCAAATCAATCTTAGGAGTCACCATCAAATCCAAAAAAAAAACCCAAACACTGAAATTATTTTTTTAGGTAAACAGAAATCATCAAATATTCTATGTTCAGTTGTTTTTTCCTTTTTTTACATAGATTTTTTTTTTGACAATCCATGAAATGTATGAATATTCAAACACTGAACATAAGCAAGAGACATAAACACACAACCCTTTCAACTAAAGTTAGATTCAATTCAGGCTTTTAAATTTGCCAGTGGAGGCGAAAGGTGGCGACATAGTTTTTGTGGTTATGGTGAAGACAAAGGGTGGTTCACATTAACAAACACATCATCATCGACATCAAATTCATCGTCCAGATAGAAGAAAGCGAAAAATATAGAACCTCCACACACGGTTTCACATTTCCCTTGAGAACAGATTTTTGGTTCTTCAACTAATGTCTTTCACCAACCATTCACGTAACAGGAAAAAAAAATGTATCCACAAACTTCTGCTGTAGACACAGACCTCTCGAGGAAGAACTTCCATAGAATTTTCAAATTTAAAACAATGCTTAAAGCATCCATCTCCAAATACGCTATACTCAAAATATACGTAGACAAATGAAAAATACTCCAGCAAAACCATGACTAAATCACAGTAACATAATTGATATAATCGATAGTATCATCAGAATTTTAAACCTCTCAAAACCAAAAAAACTAATCTATATTCAGTCAAGATTGCGAACTAAAGTTCTTTTAGTAAAAAATTTTTGCAGGTACAATATTTTTTAAATATATTAATTAATTAAAGATTTTAATAATATAATTAGTATAATTTATGATTGTATTATTGTTTTTGTTTTCGCCGACTTTGTAATCTTGATTTGTCTTATTTTTGTCTTTTATTTTTCTTTCTTCTACACAATCTTTTTCATTCGTTTAGAGAGATACAAAAGATTTACCACTTCTTATTTTCTTCTCCCCTCGTATTCTTCTCCAATTATCCAATCTTCTTTTTTTTTTCTTTCAATTTTATATTTGCTCTCATCATCTTTTTTTTTTATTCTTCATTTTTCAATTTTTGTTCTTCAATCTTTTATTGTGTCTTCATATCCTCCAACTCACTATTCTTTTTCTTTTTCTTCCTCATTCCCCCTTTCTCTATCTTTATCATGTTCTGTCTTCTCTAATATCGTATTATTCTAGTTTTTATTTATCTCTTCTGTATATTTTTTCTCTTCGCATTCCATTTTTTCTGTTCTAATTTATTTTTCCTCATGTTCGAGTTTTCTTCTTCTTCTTCAAATTTTCCATATTCTTTTTCACCATCTTCTTTTCTTTTACTCGTGTTTTTATTCAATCTTGTCTATATCTTGTATTCAACTATCAATTCATTCGATAATTTAGATTTTTAAGGATTTGTGAAATAGTTTTATCTTTATATAGTCGAGATCTTTTAAAAATGGTTTGTTATCTTTTGATTATGTATTTGCTTTAATTTTTTTAGTTTTTTGCATTTGTGGATGTAATTTAGAAAGCTAGATATAGTTTTATAATCAAGGATTTTTTAATTTTCATATTCTTCCATAATAATTCAAATTTTTAAAAATGCACCAAAAACTAAATCATACACACATCAATATAAACCCAAACCCCACAGTGTAACACCCCCTCCCCCTAACAACCCTACACCCCAGACCCAAACCTCTTTAAACCGCACATCCAAACCCCAAATTTTACAAATTGGTTTTGGATTTGCTTTTATTTTTATTTATTTTTAATCGGTAATGCAGTGTATTCATTTTTTTTAAATGCACGAAAACCTAAACCTTACACCCATCAATATAAATTATACATCATAACCCAATTTTTTTTTTTTTTTTTTTTTTTTTTTTTTTGTCAACAGCCTCTATCTCTAGAACAGCTCGGAAATTCAAACTGGTGAAACAGAGTTTACATAGTACACATCAGTAGGTAGAGCTCGAGCACTCCATGCTAGCTTGTCTGCCTTCGTGTTTTCCGTCCTTGGTATCTGCATGATGGAGAAAGAATTGAATCTCTTCTTACATCTGTCAACCTCTTCAAGTAGTAATGAGAAAGCCGGCCACTCCTCTGGTTTAGACACCATCTTCACCACATCGGAACAGTCCGTCTGAAACACCACTGTTAATTTTCCAGTCCTTAAGATACATTGCATAGCCCAAATGAGAGCTTCTAGCTCTGCCTGAAGAGGTGATATCCCCCGCCTCAGATTACACCCTCCCATAAGTTTTTCAAGAGTATTTGTGTTATAATAATACCATCCTAGACCAGCTCTACACTCTGATTCCTTCCAGGCCCCGTCCACCTGACATATGTCTCCTAACGCAGATATTTCCACGTGGGTTTCTGTGTGGGGATATGCCATCTCCAGCCGTTCCTGGGCCTTTGTCCATGCTATAGACTCCGCTTCTGCTTTAACAATTATCTCATTGGGGTCCCAATCTACATTAGACATAACCTTGTCATTACGGGCTTTCCAAATATACCAAATCAACCCAATTTTATCTTATTCTTCTTTTACTTTGTCTATATTTCTTTTATATTTTTTTCCTTCAATTTCTACCATTTTTTCTTATTCTTATCAAACTTTATAATCTATTACATTTTTCTGTTCCTCTCTTTTTATAGTCATCTTTTTATTCGTTTTTTTTCTTTTTATTTACAATTTGTTTTTCAGTTAGCTTTATGTTCTTATTCTTCATTTTTTTTTATCTTAAGTTTTGTTTCTTAGGGATCCTTAACCATAGTTAGAGACATGATGGATCTTTACACATACCACCACTAACCATCGTCTTTGTGTTGATAAAATATCGTTTATGTTTTCGTTCTACGTAATCAACATGTCACCGGTTAATTGAGGTATAAGTTGCTAAGTCTTTGGAGATGGTATAGATTTCTCAAGTCTTGTGTCTAAAGTACTTGTTTCCTTATTCACCAAACTTCCAGTTATATTCTGAGTTCTGACTAATGGTACTTGACTCCTCTGCAACACGATATTTTGAAGAAAATATCAAAAGGCTGTGTAAAAACATGAGCTTGTGACAGATTTTGTTTGCTTACTTTTGAGCTAGGACAGTTCCAGACTCGATGCAACCAATGTACACTCTCACGGTTTTGATCTTTGGGGAGCCAATGTAGAACCAAGCATTCCTGTATGATAACTAAACTTATTTTTTTCCCAAATATGATTAGAGAGACATGAGGGCTTTATGTAACTTACCAGGATTTACATATGAGAAATATATTTGGGTTTTAGATGACAATTCGTGATACCTTCGATGTGATTCTGCAAGATTTAAACTTTTGATCAACAAACAGAAAGTAACAGAGTAATATAAGCATTTGGGCGAGCAAATTTACCAGGTGAAAGAAGTTCTTTTGTTGTTCTTCTTCGGCTTCAGTAAATAATAGCCAATCATCGTTAATGCTTCAAGCAAAAGACAATTTCAACTTCTACTTGTGAACTATGACAAATCGCATAATGATTCCCATCTTTGTCTATCTTTTCAGTTCACCCCCTGCAAAAGTAATGGACAAAGCAACAACCTTTTAACACTTATGTTACATCTGCTATGGCATATGCAGGAAAAATAGCTGGTTTGTTCTTGTTGAACCCTTAAGAAGCCATGTTTCTCTTTTCGAGTCCAATACAAACCTCGTAAACAAACACAATTTAATAACAACGAAGATAAGAACAAAATCAGTTCAGAAATTACAAAATAACTATCTACGGACTAAAACCTGTCCCACCAAAACAAAACAGAGTAAAGACATTCAAAATAAATAAATTCTAGACTTTAAGATGAAGAGAGACTTTTACGAAGAGAACCAGCTTACGGAAACACAATCTTAGCCAAGTGAAGAAGAGATTACAAACAACAACCACTCACTCATTAACATATCAATTATTATTAAACACAAAGCTTGAATTAATAAACAGTTTGTGGCCTTTTGCATCAACCATGCTTAAAGGCATCCATCTCCAAACACGCTATATGGTTCAAACCAAAAACACTATATAGACACAAACAATACGTACACAATGAACAATACTCTGTTATCTCCAGCAGAGTCAGATCATATCATCAGAATTTTAAAACTCTGAAAACCCAAAACTAATCCATATAAAGTATTGCGATGCTAAAGTTCTCTTAGTAACAATTTTTTTAGGTGACCGTTTTCTATAATTATAGAGTATATTAAAGGTAAAAAAGGATTAGGGTAAAATTTTGATAGGCGGTGAAAAAAGTAAACGCGTTTTATCAAAAGATCAAATCATCTACCTTTTTCTGGTATCTTCTGTACAACAACTATTTTTACAATGGTCATCTTTTTCCTCTGCATACATAAAAAATAAACAAAAAATAGTATTGCTAAGAAAACGACAACAAAGTAATTCAAAACAATTGGAATCTTATTACCAAAGATAAAGAGCTCTTCAATGAGGTCTCGAACAGCTTCAATAGCTTTTTCCTCATCCATGGTACGAAACAAAGATACGTTAATTTGGAGAAAAACGATAACTTAAACTAACAAAACAAAGCATGTTAACGTGAACGCATAACATAACATATCAGAGTAACTGGATGAACCTTCTTACATCCTTCTTAACCTAATGGAATATAAATTATCACGTATACCTTAAATAGCACTCTCCAAAATAAAGCTTCTCCACCTTGTGGATATCATCGCAAACGTGATCAAGCGGCAAGCCCTTTTATTAGCTACCTGGTGAGCACTTTTGTTGGCTAAGTGGCGATCATATGTAAACTAAACATAATTAAGTACGATTATATGAACCATAAACATACAGTAATTGTTTCCAGTGGGATTTTTTTAACATAGATTGAGTTTATATAAACCCCAATACGTAGACGATAAGGAATCCTGTTATACGTAGATTTTTTTATAGGGTTTCGGAATATAAACATTAGATCAATTTATTAGAAAAAAGGAAAAATAAAATATTATTTATTTATTAAAAGGAGATTCATTAAGGTTTTAATCTAAAAATATTTTAACTAAAAATATAAATCGCGAAATAAAAAAAGGAAATTACAAAGATTTAAAAATAGAATTTTCATTAAGGGTAACCGAGTAATCAACCAGCTGAGAGTTAATGTGGTGGCTGGAAACGAAATTTTCACTTCGCAAATAATATATTAGATATGAGATTTCTTCCGATCTCCGGCATGAACCTCACGTCATGAAGCACAAACGTTGTGCCATCAGGGTTCAGAAACCTTACTGAGCCAATCCCTTTCACATCCGAATGTGTGCTGTTGGCCATCTTAAATTTTCCAGAGGAGACTTCCTTGAAATCAATGAACACATCTCTTCTTGGTGTCATGTGAAAAGAGCAGCATGTATCGAGAACCCATTCTTCCTTCTCATTTCTTCCCTGCATCAGATTAACCTCACATGCAACTAAACCCAGAAGATCTTGTGCATCATCTCTAGCCAATGCAGATTCTCCATTGTCTTGTGAATGTGATTTTCCTTTGTTTCTTTCCAGCCACTTGTAGCATTGTTTCTTGAAGTGCCCTTCCTTTCCACATATCCAACAGACTCTCTTGCCATCTTTAGACTTGGATCTTGACTGATGCTTGTTGGATTTACCTGCATTGTTAGTACTCCTAGATTCCGTTCTACCTCTAACATAATGACCTTCTCCGATAGTCTTTTGACCAGCAGAGTCATTATACTCACGTTCTTTTGATTTAGCAGAACCTGTGTTCAAAAAGTCATCCGCGGAGCCGTTTAGTCGGTGGATAAATCGTGACTCGCATGACACCGTGGCGATTAGTAAAAATCGTGTAGTCAACGAATTTTGACAAAATCAACCCTTTTTATATTAATAACCGTGTAATAAATGAAATCATTTGGGCCAAATCGCAAATTTTTCTTTTAATTTAGACCCACTAGGAAAACCTATTGTTTGACAAGTGAATTGGAAAGGATTGCACTACAGTGGGTCATATATGTTAGATCTCTGCTGTTGTATTTATCCATTTCTACAAACTGTAATGGGTTTATAAGGGTAAAAAGCTGTGTAAGTTTAACAAAAAGCTGTGTAAGTAGTTTTTATTATTATGTCATATAATGTCTTCTCCTTACAAATTCTTTTCTTACTATTTTTTGTATATAAATTTTATATTGATGTGTTATTTATATTATATATATGAAAATATTTTTAAAATATATAAAATATAGTAAAATTTCCACCCCGACTAATCCCCGATTTAATTCCGACTTATGAAAAATCGCTAATTTCAGCTCGAACGACTTTTTGAACATAGAGCAGAACTAATAACCTCTTCAGATTTTAATAGAGTTTCGACCATATTTCAAGGTTTCTTTCAACGAATCAAATATCGTAGGAAAAGCATTAAGGAGTAAGATAGCTTGTACCTCATCCGGAATGTTGATGCTTAGATAGTTAGGTCTGCAATCAATTTCAAGAATCCATCCACATTCTGATCGATGCTTAGTGAATCAACCATCCTGTATGAGTAAACCTGGTGCTGCACGTTGATAAGTAGGATTTTAGTATCAACTATCCTCAACCCATACTACTCATGTCATTGTAGCGGTTAAGGTGTCAATCCAAGTGGATCTCTAAAGTAAAGGAAGACAATATTCAAGTTCTTTGATAAAGATTGGGTTTTTGGTTGTAAAGATTTAAGCTTTAAGCTAACAGAACAGTAAAGATTTAAACTTTGACTATGTAAGATAAAAGGAGGCGTCTTGGGTGAGATTTAGTTGGGGTTAATCGAGCTCAACCCCTATCCTCAAACACCAAGACTCAAGCTTTGTGCTTAGACTTTGGGTAAATCTCACTCTCGTGTCAGATCGCTTTGCAAGCTCGGATCCAAAGCTAGCTCTCACTAGTGAGCTCAAAGTTACAAGCTTTCACAAGATCTAGTCTAAAACAGCACAAGAAACATCCCAACAACCAATCTCTTAGGTTGGGAACATTTCTTTCTATCGCTAGCTCTCTTAGGCAATAACACAAACACCTTCTAGGTGTACTTGCCTAGATTCGCGACTTCAAGTGATCAAGAAGAAGCCGAGATATAAAGCTCTAGCTAAAGAAAAGCTGGTCAAGGGAGATTAAGGAAGAGGTTAACAGGAAGCTAAAGCTCTAACCTTTCCTTATCTCACCCTCGAAACCTCTAAGGAAACTACTCGCTACTCATACTTCGAACCGAAAGCAAAGAGGTAAAGAAAGCAAGAAATCATCTTAAGACAAGATTAGCAAACTAAGTACTTCTTAAACTTAAAAGATTCAAAGTAAAAGCTTACAAAAGATCTCCAAGAACAAACTGTTTTTCTTGGAGAGAAACTGGTTACAAGATAAAGATTGCCTAAAAACTTAGGTCTTAAAGGTTTATATAGAGAAGGGAAAAGTGTATCCTCGGTCAACAGCTGCGCGTAGCTTGAGCATCTTCCTCAAGCACTCTGTTTCCTTATGCTCAATGCTCTGTTCCGTCAAGTTCCTTTCGACGTCCGATTGCTCCGATCTCCTTCTGGTCCACTTCCGATCATCACCTCCGGTCTGCTCCTTCGCCATAAGCTCCAGATACCTGATAAATGCACCCCAAATGCAATGGAAATGCAAAATGCTAACCTAAAAGCTAAATGATCCTAAGTAGACTAAATCTACACTAAATGTCATGAAATGGGACTCAAATATATACAGAACTATGCAGAATGCGAAGGCTAAAAGTATGCAAATGTTGAGTATATCAACACCCCCACACTTAGTCTTTGCTTGCCCTCAAGAAAACATCGACCAAATATGAGAGTGTTTATCTGAGCAATAGGGTCAAGTGAAAGCCGAGAAGAGAAATCATTTCAACAACCTAGTTCCAAGGTCTAAAGCGCAAAGGATGTTTCCTACTTCAAAAATCTTAGCCGCACCTTCATATCACAATCAATGGCAACTAGTTCAACCTAAACATGCATTCAAATCCTCTACTCCTTTTAACATTCATTAGAAGCATAAAAACTGTGAATCAAAACACATGCAAGTCAAGTTAACTCGATTGGCCGATGGAAAGAAAGAGAGCAAATCAACTAAAGCGAGCTCAGGTCAAGTGACAAAGGGAAGGGTTCTCTCAAAGTAGAGTGAAACAGCTTCGGCATAATGCTAAAGGAGAGAACCAATTGGGAGGTACAAGGACAAATGATCATCTACCCGAAACCCCAAGTACCTTTGGTGAATTCTCAAACCCGAAACTTCCTATTTCTACCATTTTTCCTTTGGTTTTTCTTTTCCTTTTTCTGAGAGCTTTTTGATTCTTTAGCTAGCTTTTCTAAGGCTTTTTGTGATACAAACCCGAGAGACTTGGTCTAGACTTCTTCGTTTTCTTGCCCTAACCCATCTTTCTTTTCTTGTTTTTTTTATTCTCTATTTTTTTTTTTTTTTTTTTTGATGGGGGCTAACTTAAACTCACAGACCAAGCTCTAATCAACCTTAGCGACTTCGCTGCTTTCTCTTTTCTTTTTGCTCATGATATACCTCTAATTTACCCACTTTTTATACTGTTTTAGCATTGTTTTCTAATGTTTTTTGGCAGGTTTTCTATCTAAAAAGGTAGTTTTACTGTGTTTATAGTGTCTAGAGTTTAAACAGGTGAAATGATTGATATCACATATACATGTTTTAAAGGTTTTTACTAAGTTTTCAATACAAATAATGTGGTTTTTATGCCCAAGAGGTAGTTTTCTTGTATATTCTGGTTTTGAGCATCATTCAGGTCAAAATAGCAAAGAAGAGTCCAAAATGGAGCAAAAAGAGTCAAATCACCAAGTTCCCAAGTCTAGAGCACCAAATCTACATTTCTCGCTAAAGACCAAACCGGAGCATCCGAAGTACGACCGCATATTCATGCCTTCCCGACGTCCAAAAGTCATGTTTCTTATATGGAAAGATAGATATTTGAGTCATGACCCGCGGCGAAGTGGAAAGAGGTCATTTGGATCACTCGTTGGACCGGAACTTATTTTCTACCAAGACATGTCCGACGAGCGCCTAAGTAGAGCCCATGGAGACTTTGATGGATCAAGAGGCCCGAGATACCGCGCCCAAGGCCTTGGCTCATCTTGACACTAGCATAACTCAATCCAGAAGCTTCCATTGGCCTGAACGCGGCCCATTCAAGAACTTGGAGAGCAAGCTCAAGCGGCTAAAGAGAAATGGAAACTTTCCTCTTCTGCGCGCGCTCAACTTTGCCGACCTAGACCCGCTCTCTACCTATATATACTTGCTTTTAGCCTCTTGTAATAAGAATCACCAGCCGCATAACAAGAAACACTTATTCAATAAAGTTCGGAGCCACTTAGGTGGTCTCCTTCTTCTTTCTTTTCTTCTTTTGCATTTGTATATAGCTTGCATGTTTCAATTTATATAGTCTAGAAGTAGAGATTTCTCCCTAAGGGTGAGGCGTGGTTTAGTCTATATTCCGCCGCCTCTCTCTCTAAGGATTCATGAGACTTCATCTACTATCTAAGACTCATTGTTGAATTATGGATCCTTCCAATGAGGACGTGATATAATGGCCATCTTGAATCGATTGTTAAAAGGGGAAACCCTATGGTTCTCCATCTTTATTTATGCTTAATGCTTGTTGCTAGAGTAGCTAACTAGTGACTTGATTTTAGGTTGATATACTCTCCAAAAGCTTGTTATATCTCCGGACACAATATTTGATGGGCAAATCGTTTTAGGCTACGAAAGTAGACCTAAAGAGTTTTGTGAACAATCATTACTTGGATGTAATGCATGTCTCACTCTACAATGACCAACGAAAGCTGAGCCCATTGGTTTAAGAGACATAGGGGATTGGAACCACGAAAGTGGAATAATCCTTCCTTAGTGTTTTGAGTTCAAAAGAATCGGATTTTAACAAACTTTTCAATCGACTTGGCTCATGTTTTCAAAAGAGTTTTCAATAGTTCAATAATGTTGCTTGTATAGAATTGCATTGTTATTTCTTTTGTGTTCTAAACAAACACAAACCCTTGCATCTTTTGATTTAGCTTAGTCATTTAAACTCTATGATTATGTAATGTGTGAAATCCAATCCCTTGTGGTTCGACCCCTAAATACTACAATTATATGTTGTGCACTTGCAACACTAGTTGTCTTAGGGAATTATTACTTGTACTCATCCCATAGATGCCGCATCAAGTTTTTGGCGCCGTTGCCGGGGATTGCATCATAAACACTTGCATAGTCTTGTTTAAAACTAAGTCTAGATCTTGGTATTTTCGAATACTAACTTTTTCTTTTAAATCTTGTGTTTATAGGTACTTGGAGATGAATCACAACACCAACATCCACTTTGGGAACCGGACACTGATCCCACACGATCTCCACGGCCGGAGTTACCAAGACCCAGCCGTAAGCATCGTGCCACATCCGTTCCCTCCCAACCGCGCTCATCCGACGTTTGAAGGACCTAGCCGAGACGAGCATCATTACCATCATCATCAAAACCGACCTCCGGTTTATCATCAACCACCTAGACCAGTGTTGCATTCACACCACGACCATGTTCTCAATAGGCGGAGAGATAGCCATTTCGATGCCGTGCTTGAGGGTTTCATGGAGAGCCAAAGAAGAACTAGCCGCGACATTGAGACAAAGCTAGAGTTCACGCGATACGAACTAGATGGAAGACTTGGAGAACTCTCTACCCAAATAGAGAGAGTAGAGTCAAGATGCTTGGACATGGAGGAAGATTTGAAGAAGCAAGGCGAGGCCATTGAAGACAATAGGAGAGCGATACACTTTACCAAAGTTTCTACCAAGGAGATGGACAATCACTTAGATGAGAAGATCTCAAGTCTTGATAACAACCTCGATGGCACCACCAAGAGTCTCAATTCAATAACAGCAGTAGCTCATCAAGCTAAGAGGGAGGTAGCCGAAGTGACACTAAAGGAGAGGCAATGTTACTCGACGATGCTTACATTGGTGGAAGGGCAAAAACAAGTGAAGGCACAAATCCGAGATTTACACATCTCTCTAGACAAGAGGAGCCAAGATATTCAAAGAAGAGCTAGAGGGCTTGAAGACAAAGTAGATGGAGTCTCCAAGGAAGTCAAGGATTTAACCACTCGCTTAGCCAACTTGGAAGAGAAGGTCTTGACCGAGCAAAGACGACCGTTCCTAAGCAAAACTATGCCGCGCCCGTCTTTACTATAAGAGAGACCGACCCAAGAGTGATTTGGGATGAAGAAGAAGAGAGCTGATCAAGAAAGAGCCACAAGCTAACCACTGGAACAAAGAGAAGATAGCACCAAAAGGAAGAACCCTTACTCAAAGGTCTTCACAACCGCCTCCCACCAAGGAGAAGAGGAAGACAAGATCATCACTTGAAGAGATCATAGATGATTTCAACTTTATGGCGAGGAGATTCCCTTATGGTGTGCCGTTTGATAATGCTTGCAACAAGAGTCCATTCATGCAAGACCTAGCTTGGACACAAGATTGGAGTCTAGCTGAATTGGAAAAGATGTACGAGGAAGCAAGAAAGGGGATGCCTAAACCTAGGTTTCTACACAAGCTTCATGACCCAGGTTACTTCCTTATACATTTCTCTATCAATGGAAGCTACTTTGATGATGCTCTTTGCGATTCCGGTTCTAGTGTGAACCTTATGCCGGCCGAGATAGCCAAGAAGTTGGGATTGATCAATTCAATTGTGAAATCTCGAATGGATTTAAAGCTAGCTGATTCATCATTGACCGAACCACTTGGAGAGGTTAAAGACATTCAGCTTGATTTTGGAGGCTGCATAGTTCCAGCCAACTTCTATGTAGTAACCATGAAGGATCCGGAGGACTTAAAGCTTTTGCTTGGAAGATCATTCCTAGCCACAGCTGGAGCGATCATGGATTGGCCTAATAGAAGAATCTCTCTAGCCAATGTTGACAAGGACACCTTCTACGATGCTGCACCTCCCGGTTTCTCATCCAAGCGATTTCGCTACACAAGTGGAGGAGAGTGCTCACAAGTAAGAGGAGAGTCGCATGGCTACTTGATCAAGGAAGTTCTACAGGACAAGATGCACTTGGAATCATCAGGCAACAGGAAGTTCTTGGAGCCACCAATCCTACCTAACTAAGAACACAAAGGAGTCGAGCTACAAAGACTTAAAACAAGCGCTTGTGGGAGGCAACCCACATTTTCTTATCCCTTCCTCTTTTTATTTTTTTTTTATTTTTATAACTACTTATTTGTTCTATTTATAACTCTTAAATTTTTGAGAGTTTAATAAATTTTACAAAAATAAAATAAAAAGTGTTTTAGGAAAAAGTACCAAAAAGGAGGCTTACATGAAAAATGCATTGGAAAAGCTACATCGGCCCAAGGATCAACCATCTTTGGTCTAAGTATGAGCATTGAGTCTAGTTTGAGTCCCACCCAAGTCCCACCCATGTTTCAAGAAGCAAAGAAGTCCAAGAAGGGCCACGCACAATAAAATCCGGCCATTGGAACACTATTGCACAAGGCAAAGGTAAATCATCTCTTCATTACTGTCATTTCTTTTAAACACTATCTCTATCAAATTACACATAACACTACTTGGATTTCTGATCAAGATCACAAGTACATGTGGTTTCACGATCAAGTCTTTGATTGGGAAGTTCAAACTATTTTGAACAACTCAATCATTGACAGAGTTTAACAAAGAGTTACTAGTGTTTTTCAGATAAAATATGACAGGAAAGAACCGGTTCAAAATCATACAAACATGGCGCGCAAGGAAGCCACAACCGGCCAAAGGAGGATTTACATGCCAAACATGAGAGATGAGGGAAATCCAACCACAATTCAATCCAGGAGGGATAGAAAAACAGTTCGGTCGAAGCAGAACTCAATTGGCCCGAGTAAAAAGGAGATATCACATTCACAACCACTCTCTCGGCCAGAATCGACGAACCAAGCGACAATGCTCGACCATCTCCCAAACGGCACGACCGAAGTCCACCAAACTTCACAGGCGACCTCAAAACATCATTTTGGTCGGCAAATCCAAAAGATAGGACGAGAAAAGTGCCTGCTACGTGAGATAGACGAAGGAAGCTCAATACGGCCGACGGCGATGCATAGAATGGCCGACGAACTCAAAACCTCAAGAAGGCGCGAACACCGGTGGAAACTGATCCTCTGGAGTCCAAAAAACACCAAGGAAGAAGAAAGGAAGGAGACGATCGAACAGATTAAGAGATGGCCAAAGGAATCACATCCCGAAGCCATTGGCGCGCACACGAAAGATCTCCGAATCCACACGTTCAAATCGCCTCAAACTTCACAAGGAGCCACAAAACATAAGGTTGGTCGATGAAATTCATTTCAGTACAATGAATTCCTTACAATTCAAGAGATGGCCGATGGAGTGAAATTTGGCCGATCGCGAGCAAGTAAAATGGCCGACAATCCAAATCACGGCATTTACCGCGGCCACCGGCTCAAATCACCTCCATCAAGCATCCACATCGCATCTAAAGAAGAAAATCCAGATTGGAACGAGCAGAATTGGAGAAGACCGAAGGAAGACGTTCCCGGAGCCAATTTGAAAATTTTTCAAAGGAGATCTCAAACCACTCGTTCAAACGACCCCAAACTTCACCAGTCGCCATATTATACAATATTGGTCGACGAAATTTCAAGATAGGTCGAGGAAATCTTCACGGTTCGAGCTGTAGTCCATACCATCACCATCCGGTCGACCAAAACGGACCAGTCTCGGCCAAAAAGGCGAAAAACAGAAAACCAAGGGAGAATTGTCACATTCATCCAACCAAATCCAACAGCTATGATGTTTGCACCAGTCAGTTCATTCCTGGAAGCAACTCATGCACAACCGATCTTCACATCAAAGGCCAAAATTTGGGTACAATTTTCTACAAACTCTAACTTTTCCATTCTATTTATCATTACCTCTCTTAATTGGATTTTTCTTACACCGAGACGGTGCAAGTTAAGTCTGGGGGGATTACTAACAAGTTTGTTCTTTTTGAATTTCATTGAGTCGTTTTATTGAGTCAAAATTTTGTCAAAGGATTATGACCTTATCTTGGATCTAACCATTGTTGTGCTAACGTTTAAGTGACCATTGAAGCAGTCTTGGCAATACATCTTACCACAGGGACACTATGAGTTGATCGATCTACCAAAAACGCCCACACCTCCAAGGACTTGAGAAGGATCCACTCTTGACTCCGCCCTTAATGAACTTAATCTTCTCAGCTAGGGGCTTGGCATACAAATGGCATGATTCCTCATCCTCTCCATCAAATGAAAAAGTCTTAGTGAGTTCGTGCTTCCCTCTCTCTCCCCTTCAAATTTAAAGAAAAAGCGTAAGGTCCAAGTAACCGGGGATTCGGTGGCAAACACCATCAATACTCGCGTCTATGGAAGGCCTATGAATCCAAGCAACCGGGGATTCGGTGGCAAACACCATCAATACTCGCGTCTGTGGAAGATCCAAGCAAAACCTCTATAATAAAGAGAAGGAGTTGAATAAAAAAATACTTCGCTACCCTAAAAAAGGGATGAGTCAACTCAAAGAAGTGAGAAGAGAGAGAGGAGAAACATGGAGTAAAAAGACAAGTGCCAAAACAAGGGGATGAGAAAGAGTCTAAAGCCGGCTGATCGATACTCCCTAGTTGAGACCACACCTTTAGAAATGAAAGGAGTCAAGGAGGGTGAATTGGATTGTCCAAAGAGAGGTGGGCCGCCTTGGAAAAATCGCAAAACTCATGGTATGTACTCTTGTTCTTAATTCAAATATTTGCCTTTACTACTTTCATGTGGATTACTAAAACCAAGCCAACCCGGATTTCCTAATGATTTGAGAGTTCTTGCGTTTTCAAACCTCTCTTCCTCTCTTAGTTTGCTTGGGGACAAGCAAAAGGCTAAGTCTGGGGGAGTTGATATACCCATATCTTTCATGTTTTTATCAAGGTTTTCACTATGTTTTCAATACAAATAATGTGGTTTTTATGCCCAAGAGGTAGTTTTCTTGTATATTCTGGTTTTGAGCATCATTCAGGTCAAAATAGCAAAGAAGAGTCAAAATGGAGCAAAAAGAGTCAAATCACCAAGTTCCCAAGTCTAGAGCACCAAATCTACATTTCTCGCTAAAGACCAAACCGGAGCATCCGAAGTACGACCGCATATTCATGCCTTCCCGACGTCCAAAAGTCATGTTTCTTATATGGAAAGATAGATATTTGAGTCATGACCCGCGGCGAAGTGGAAAGAGGTCATTTGGATCACTCGTTGGACCGGAACTTATTTTCTACCAAGACATGTCCGACGAGCGCCTAAGTAGAGCCCATGGAGACTTTGATGGATCAAGAGGCCCGAGATACCGCGCCCAAGGCCTTGGCTCATCTTGACACTAGCATAACTCAATCCAGAAGCTTCCATTGGCCTGAACGCGGCCCATTCAAGAACTTGGAGAGCAAGCTCAAGCGGCTAAAGAGAAATGGAAACTTTCCTCTTCTGCGCGCGCTCAACTTTGCCGACCTAGACCCGCTCTCTACCTATATATACTTGCTTTTAGCCTCTTGTAATAAGAATCACCAGCCGCATAACAAGCACTTATTCAATAAAGTTCGGAGCCACTTAGGTGGTCTCCTTCTTCTTTCTTTTCTTCTTTTGCATTTGTATATAGCTTGCATGTTTCAATTTATATAGTCTAGAAGTAGAGATTTCTCCCTAAGGGTGAGGCGTGGTTTAGTCTATATTCCGCCGCCTCTCTCTCTAAGGATTCATGAGACTTCATCTACTATCTAAGACTCATTGTTGAATTATGGATCCTTCCAATGAGGACGTGATATAATGGCCATCTTGAATCGATTGTTAAAAGGGGAAACCCTATGGTTCTCCATCTTTATTTATGCTTAATGCTTGTTGCTAGAGTAGCTAACTAGTGACTTGATTTTAGGTTGATATACTCTCCAAAAGCTTGTTATATCTCCGGACACAATATTTGATGGGCAAATCGTTTTAGGCTACGAAAGTAGACCTAAAGAGTTTTGTGAACAATCATTACTTGGATGTAATGCATGTCTCACTCTACAATGACCAACGAAAGCTGAGCCCATTGGTTTAAGAGACATAGGGGATTGGAACCACGAAAGTGGAATAATCCTTCCTTAGTGTTTTGAGTTCAAAAGAATCGGATTTTAACAAACTTTTCAATCGACTTGGCTCATGTTTTCAAAAGAGTTTTCAATAGTTCAATAATGTTGCTTGTATAGAATTGCATTGTTATTTCTTTTGCGTGTTCTAAACAAACACAAACCCTTGCATCTTTTGATTTAGCTTAGTCATTTAAACTCTATGATTATGTAATGTGTGAAATCCAATCCCTTGTGGTTCGACCCCTAAATACTACAATTATATGTTGTGCACTTGCAACACTAGTTGTCTTAGGGAATTATTACTTGTACTCATCCCATAAAGATACCACGGACATCAAGTTTTTGGCGCCGTTGCCGGGGATTGCATCATAAACACTTGCATAATCTTGTTTAAAACTAAGTCTAGATCTTGGTATTTTCGAATACTAACTTTTTCTTTTGAAATCTTGTGTTTATAGGTACTTGGAGATGAATCACAACACCAACATCCACTTTGGGAACCGGACGCTGATCCCACACTTCCCTCTGATTGAGTTAACTTTCCAACGCAACTGGAATGGCTCATTTGGATGAGTAGAAAAGGAGTTATAACCAAAAGAGTGAAGACTGTCCAGACGGCTCTATCGAGAAGACAGCGCCCAAACCGCGCAGTCCGGCTGGCCGAGAAACGAATGTTTCGCGCTCGGCCAAAGTCACGTCCGTCCGACTGAAGTCTCGGCCAAAGTCCAAACCGACCGGCCGATCACGCAACGCGACCCGGGAAACATTGTCCCGCGGTCGGCCAAGCTTCAAACGTCCACGCCACGCCGCGCACGACCAAAGCGCGCGAGCCGGGAAACAAGGCCTCGCGGCCGCGCAACCCGTTCCGCGTACCACGGCCGATGCATCCGTCCGAGCCGGGAAAGAACGTCCCACGTCCGGCCGAGAATTTCATCGGCCAAATCTCAATCCGCTCGACCACGCCGGCCGACCGCGAATCCGTCCGACCCCGACCGTTCCGACTCGCCCACGATCCGACTGTCCGGCCGATCGTCCCGACCGACCGTCCCAACGCCGCGGTCGACCCGAAGCCCTTTTTGAAGCCCAAACTTATGTTTTCAAGCCCGGCTTAACCCTAAGCCGCCTCTAGAAAGACCTAGCACTATATATATGGATTTTTAGCCTCTTGAGAAAGAGAGCCGCCCTGTATTTCGATTTCCTACTCTAAGTTTTATTGCAATCATGTTTTCTTCATCTCTATGTGTGTTTGCTTTGATCATGTCTGAGTAATCCACTAGTTAGGTTGCTAGGGTTACTATTCAATGAGTTGCTTGCATGATCTTTGATTTCAATGATTAGCTAGGGATTATATTAGAGTCTTTGTCTCGTCTTGTGCACTTAACTAATGCTGATTGCTTTACCGCGCATCTAGTAATCCGATCTTAGGTTGATTTGAGCCTCGACAGTGCTGTATCATTCGCCGGACATATTCTTTGACAAGCTAGGTTTCTTAGACTGCGAAAGTTGATCTATCTATATCTAGTGAACTGTATCAGAACCTATTCATTCTAATGCTTGATCTAATCACCTAGGGACATACCAAAAGTTTAGCGACTAGGTAGATTAGCAAAGGAGCCGGAGCCTCGAAAGTGGAATGGTTTTATATTCGTGATCTGTGTTCTAGATGGTTCTTAATATCCCAATATCCCTAATCAATTAATCTATCATTGTTTCATTGATCATTGCTTGCTTCTCTGCGATAGCCCCTATGACCTAGCGCTTTTCCTTTATTGCTTACAACCTCGTTATACTTGCTAGTTCGGTTCACCATTACAACCTCAATCATACTTTTGTTTTAGCTTGATCCAAAATCCATAGTTACAAAGTGTACTCAATAGCCAGTCCTTGTGTTCGATACCCATACTTCCGCGATCTGTGCACTTGCAGAGGTCTAGGAGTTTGGTAAAACCTGACTCCGCATCAAGTTTTTGGCGCCGTTGCCGGGGACTGCAGCAGTACCTTTGGAACTCGACTAGGATCTAGTCTAGAACCTTTTCCTGTTTTGCTTTTCTTTTGCTTTTGAATTTTTAGTTTTTGATTTCCTTTTCTTTGATTTTTGCTTTTGTTTTTGTTTTTCCCTTTTGATTTAACTTGTTTCCAAGACTCTTTTCAGGTGCATGACTAGGAGGTCCAACAAGGACAACCTAGTTGAACATCCAGAGATAGACAAGCTTGAGAAGCAACTTAGGAAGCAGAAAGCCCAAGAGATGGCCGACGAAGCAGCTCGCGCTCACGCCGCTGAAGTGGCGCGCGCTCAAGAAGAAGGAAGAGATCCACCTCCTCCTCCTCCTAATCCACAAGACCCTGCTGGAGATGTGAATGCACAACCCCAAGCTGGAGCACCTACAATCGGAGACTATGACTCTGCCGATGCTTTCTTCATGGATAGAAACCCTATCCATCCACCACTTCCTGCAAGGAATGACTATGAGATCAAGCCTCAGATCATTGCATTGGTTAGACAGAACCAATTCAATGGACTTCCAGCTGAGCACCCTCTTGATCACATAGAAAACTTTGAAGAAATTTGCAGCACTACAAGATCCAATGGAGTCTCTGCTGACTACCTTAAGTGCAAGCTCTTTTCATTCTCTCTTGGCGACAAAGCTTCAAGATGGTTGAAGTCTCTGCCAGCTCACTCCATTACCACTTGGGATGAGTACAAGGCTGCATTCATCAACCACTTCTACACCAAGCAAGATCAATTTCTGTGAGAAACAAGATCTCCACTTTCGCCAAGCCAACAATGAATCTTTCTATGAGGCGCTAGATCGATTCAAGGAGTACATTAGGGACTGCCCTAATCATGGTTTCAATGAGGGAAACCTATGGAACATCTTCTATCGTGGCATAGACCACAAGTACAAGCTTTCATTGGATACAGCAAGCAATGGAAACTTCATGACCAAGACTGTTGATGAAGCTAAGGTTCTTATTGAGAATCTTGCAGCTAGTGATTGTAACAACTGTCCTGATTATGACCGCTCAAGCCGCACCACTACTAGCTCCCCTGATTCTTTTCAAATGACTGAACTCAAGAACATGATGGCTCAAGTTCTTAAGGGACAGCTCAAGCATATCAATGCAATAGAAGGGATGAGTGATGCTAATGAAGATTCATCAAGAGAATGCATGGGAGATTTCTCTAATGAAGCCAATGAAGAAGATGTGAACTACATTGGAAACTATGGGAACAAGGGATACAATCCAAGCTATCGCCCAAACCCCAACATGTCTTATAGAAACCCCAATGTGGAGAATCCTCAAGACCAAGTGTATCCTCCAAGGTATCCACAACAACAAAGACCTCCTTACCAATCTCAAGGAAGTCAATTTCAGCCAAGGCAAGGATATGAGCAGAGATCATCATATCCGCCCAAGGAGCCATATGCTTCTTCACCAAATCAAGCTCCTCCAAACCAACAAGGTGGGAGATTTGAAGGAATCCTCCAACAGATCATGGATGGCCAGAAGAGAAACACTAAAGAGATGTATGAGAAGATGGACACTTTGTTCAGCAATCTCAACACCAAGTATGATGCTGTTGCCACTCATGTGAAGAAACTAGAGACTCAAGTCACTCAAACTATGGAAGCTGTTAAGAGACAGGAAGCTGAATCCAAGAAGTCCTTTTGCAACTCAGCCGCCATAGAAGAAAGATTTGAAGACCAAGTTCCAGAATGGATGCTTTCAAAACCTACTGTTGATTGCATGATTTGGCCTGAAGAGAATTACCCAGAGAGAGAGTCCAATCGAGCTAGAAAGAGAAGACTCTTCCCAAAGATTATCCCCAAGACAGATAACTCAGGAAAGTTTGTTGTGCCTTGTATCATCAAAGGTAACATTCTTGAGCAATCTTTGTGTGACACAGGAGCCAATGTGAACATCATGTCTAAGAGGATAGCTGACAAGATAGGCCTCACCAAGATAGAGCCATCATCCATCTCCATCAACTATGCTGATTCATTCTCACAAACCCCTATGGCTTTGTGCCTAATGTGATGGTGCAGATTGGAAATTGCTCTATCCCTACTGATTTCCAGATTGTGGAAATGAGAGAGAGTAGCCATAGACCTCTCATATTTGGAACCCCTTTCCTGTCTACTGTGGGTGCCATATTTGATTTCCCCAATCAAAGAATCTCTTTCAACAAGGTGAACAAGGGTATGTTCTTCCCTATGTGTTCAACAAAGAACTCTTTTGTTGACATGGTCCAAGAGGAGAAAGCTACTTTGAAGCCACCCCAAGAAGGAGAAACTGAAGAAACAATCAAGGAAGATCCCATTCCTAAGCCCAAGCAGCTTGCCAAACAAGCAAGGAGTAAGACTAAGGCCCCTACACCAAAACCGCCCAAGGGATCAACCAAGATTGAAGATGAGGCCAAGCCAAGAAGGAAGGTTAGAAAAGCCTAGGTCTGGCCGCAACATGAAGCTTCTATTCCCAAAGGAGCTTATTGATGAGAATCTAGAAGGATTCAAGGAGAAAGTGACAAGAACTCTAAAGCTTTTTCCTAAGGCAGTAGTGCCAAGGGACATTCATGGAGAGATTGTCTATCCAGCTGTGAATCACCCACCAGATACTCATTGCAAGGAGAAAAGACTTGGAGGATCAAAGATGCCTCTTGTCTCCATCTTCTCCTGAGCGCCAAGCCTTACAGTCAAGCTAAAGACTTAAAACAAGCGCTGCATGGGAGGCAACCCATGAGGTACTTTTACTTTTCTTTCTTTAATTTTCTTAGTTTTTGTTTTGCTTTTGTGTTTTCTTTGTTTTAAGATAGGATAGAAGGAGAAAAAGGTGTGAAAACACAATCCGCGCCAAACATTGGCCGCGGACGCGCAAAGAAATTTTGGCCGAGCAATTCCAATCTGGCCGACCGTACGGTCGAGCCGGGAAGGAAAAGCCGTGCTCGGCCGGATTGCTCCATCGCGCGACAGAAACCGTTCGCGCGGCACGCACGAACCGGAGAAGAAAGGCCGCGATCGGCCATGTATCGGAACGGACCGACCGTGCCGGTCGATCCGGGAAACAAACTCGGCCTCGGCCGAAATCTCTCGCCAAACAAATTTGGCCGACCAAATCGCTCGACCGCGACAAAATCCATCGGCCATCGGCCCAAAACTTTTCTAGGCCAAGGTAAGTCCCCTTTTCATTTAATTCAAACCGGTTTTAACCAATCTAAACCAACTTAAACCGGTTTTCAATCAAAATTCGAATTTGAAAAGGAAAATTGATAGGATTAGATCTTATTTACTTTACCTTTCCCTTGAAAACCACAAGAACCTCTCTTTCTTCTCCAAAACCCTAAACTCCATTAGAGGAACTCTAAGAGTTTTGATTTCAAAACTTTTACTGTTCATAACTCTAAATTGGAATTTACTTGCTCTTGCAACCTTATTCACTTTTCAACACACAAGGTATGTCTTCTAACTCTAATCCTATGTTTATGCAAGATCGAAAATTTCAATAAGTTTCATGTTTGGTCTAAACTCTTGTCTAACTTGAAATTAGCATCCTTATTAGTCTTGTAATGAACTTGCTAGGTGGAACCTAGGTGGTTTAGAGTTAATTTGAAGTTTAATTTCACAATTGAATAGTTTTTCACAAAACTTATTGGGCATTCCAAACCCCTTATTCAAAGGTGAAATTGCTTAGGCATACTTCAATTCATTAGTTTATCTAGTGATTACTTGGATTAGAAACTCAATTTCTCTTGATTTGCTGAAAATTTTGATTTTAAGCACCATAATCTTGGGATGAACAGTAAAATCCGAAAATTAATTTTGAAAAAGTGAAATTTCTATTTTGTCTCTTTGATTCATGATTAAGCCTTGAGTTGTTCCTTTATTCCATATCATTATTGCAACTCAATTAGCTTATTCTTCTTTTGCATTAATCACAAACTCATATTTCTTCCCAAGAATTTGCTCTTGTAGGTACACAATGGCAAAGACAAAAGGAAATGAGAGTATGAAGAAGAAGAAGAACCCATTCATGCAACCACCAAAGAAGCAAATCAAGCTAGGGAGTAGTAGCTCCAATGCAAGAGCAGCAATACCAACTTCACCACATTCCATTGATGCAATCAAGAACATGTGGAGAGTCCAAGAAGAGGAGAAGATGATTGGGCACTTGTAACCTTTGTTGGAGAACAAAATCAAGACCCAAGAAAGTGTAAGAAGGCAATGGAGAAGGTGAACATCGAGCCATGTGTGAAGATGGACACCCAAACCCTTGATCTTCTCAAGATAAGAGATGATGTCACATGGTACATAAGGAAGCTAGGCTTGAGCAAGCTCTTCAAGCTAGAATGTAGTGAGTACTCACAACTCACNACTTGTACTCATCCCATAGATGCCGCATCAAGTTTTTGGCGCCGTTGCCGGATGTTGCATCATAAACACTTGCATAGTCTTGTTTAAAACTAAGTCTAGATCTTGGTATTTTCGAATACTAACTTTTTTTTTAAATCTTGTGTTTATAGGTACTTGGAGATGAATCACAACACCAACATCCACTTTGGGAACCGGACACTGATCCCACACGATCTCCACGGCCGGAGTTACCAAGACCCAGCCGTAAGCATCGTGCCACATCCGTTCCCTCCCAACCGCGCTCATCCGACGTTTGAAGGACCTAGCCGAGACGAGCATCATTACCATCATCATCAAAACCGACCTCCGGTTTATCATCAACCACCTAGACCAGTGTTGCATTCACACCACGACCATGTTCTCAATAGGCGGAGAGATAGCCATTTCGATGCCGTGCTTGAGGGTTTCATGGAGAGCCAAAGAAAAACTAGCCGCGACATTGAGACAAAGCTAGAGTTCACGCGATACGAACTAGATGGAAGACTTGGAGAACTCTCTACCCAAATAGAGAGAGTAGAGTCAAGATGCTTGGACATGGAGGAAGATTTGAAGAAGCAAGGCGAGGCCATTGAAGACAATAGGAGAGCGATACACTTTACCAAAGTTTCTACCAAGGAGATGGACAATCACTTAGATGAGAAGATCTCAAGTCTTGATAACAACCTCGATGGCACCACCAAGAGTCTCAATTCAATAACAGCAGTAGCTCATCAAGCTAAGAGGGAGGTAGCCGAAGTAACCCTAAAAGAGAGGCAATGTTACTCGACGATGCTTACATTGGTGGAAGGGCAAAAACAAGTGAAGGCACAAATCCGAGATTTACACATCTCTCTAGACAAGAGGAGCCAAGATATTCAAAGAAGAGCTAGAGGGCTTGAAGACAAAGTAGATGGAGTCTCCAAGGAAGTCAAGGATTTAACCACTCGCTTAGCCAACTTGGAAGAGAAGGTCTTGACCGAGCAAAGACGACCGTTCCTAAGCACAACCATGCCGCGCCCGTCTTTACTATAAGAGAGACCGACCCAAGAGTGATTTGGGATGAAGAAGAAAGAGAGCTGATCAAGAAAGAGCCACAAGGCTAACCACTGGAACAAGAGAGAAGATAGCACCAAAAGGAAGAACCCTTACTCAAAGGTCTTCACAACCGCCTCCCACCAAGGAGAAGAGGAAGACAAGATCATCACTTGAAGAGATCATAGATGATTTCAACTTTATGGCGAGGAGATTCCCTTATGGTGTGCCGTTTGATAATGCTTGCAACAAGAGTCCATTCATGCAAGACCTAGCTTGGACACAAGATTGGAGTCTAGCTGAATTGGAAAAGATGTACGAGGAAGCAAGAAAGGGGATGCCTAAACCTAGGTTTCTACACAAGCTTCATGACCCAGGTTACTTCCTTATACATTTCTCTATCAATGGAAGCTACTTTGATGATGCTCTTTGCGATTCCGGTTCTAGTGTGAACCTTATGCCGGCCGAGATAGCCAAGAAGTTGGGATTGATCAATTCAATTGTGAAATCTCGAATGGATTTAAAGCTAGCTGATTCATCATTGACCGAACCACTTGGAGAGGTTAAAGACATTCAGCTTGATTTTGGAGGCTGCATAGTTCCAGCCAACTTCTATGTAGTAACCATGAAGGATCCGGAGGACTTAAAGCTTTTGCTTGGAAGATCATTCCTAGCCACAGCTGGAGCGATCATGGATTGGCCTAATAGAAGAATCTCTCTAGCCAATGTTGACAAGGACACCTTCTACGATGCTGCACCTCCCGGTTTCTCATCCAAGCGATTTCGCTACACAAGTGGAGGAGAGTGCTCACAAGTAAGAGGAGAGTCGCATGGCTACTTGATCAAGGAAGTTCTACAGGACAAGATGCACTTGGAATCATCAGGCAACAGGAAGTTCTTGGAGCCACCAATCCTACCTAACTAAGAACACAAAGGAGTCGAGCTACAAAGACTTAAAACAAGCGCTTGTGGGAGGCAACCCACATTTTCTTATCCCTTCCTCTTTTTATTTTTGTTTTTATTTTTATAACTACTTATTTGTTCTATTTATAACTCTTAAATTTTTGAGAGTTTAATAAATTTTACAAAAATAAAATAAAAAGTGTTTTAGGAAAAAGTACCAAAAAGGAGGTCTACATGAAAAATGCATTGGAAAGCTGCATAGCCACGACTTGACCTCAAAAGATTAACCATCTTTGGTCTAAGTGTAAGCATTGAGTCTAGTTTGAGTCCCACCCAAGTCCCACCCATGTTTCAAGAAGCAAAGAAGTCCAAGAAGGGCCGCGGCACAATAAAATCCGGCCATTGGAACACTATTGCACAAGGCAAAGGTAAGTATCACTTCCATTCTTACTGTCATTTCTTTTAAACACTATCTCTATCAAATTAAACCACTAACACTACTTGGATTTCTGATCAAGATCACAAGTACATATGGTTTCACGATCAAGTCTTTGATTGGGAAGTTCAAACTATTTTGAACAACTCAATCATTGACAGAGTTTAACAAAAGTTACTAGTGTTTTTCAGATAAAATATGACAGGAAAGAACCGGTTCAAAATATCATACAAACATGGCGCGCAAAGGAGCCACAACCGGCCAAAGGAGGATTTACATGCCAAACATGAGAGATGAGGGAAATCCAACCACAATTCAATCCAGGAGGGATAGAAAAACAGTTCGGTCGAAGCAGAACTCAATTGGCCCGAGTAAAAAGGAGATATCACATCACAACCACTCTCTCGGCCAGAATCGACGAACCAAGCGACAATGCTCGACCATCTCCCAAACGGCACGACCGAAGTCCACCAAACTTCACAGGCGACCTCAAAACATCATTTTGGTCGGCAAATCCAAAAGATAGGACGAGAAAAGTGCCTGCTACGTGAGATAGACGAAGAAGCTCAATACGGCCGACGGCGATGCATAGAATGGCCGACGAACTCAAAACCTCAAGAAGGCGCGAACACCGGTGGAAACTGATCCTCTGGAGTCCAAAAAACACCAAGGAAGAAGAAAGGAAGGAGACGATCGAACAGATAAGAGATGGCCAAAGGAATCACATCCCGAAGCCATTGGCGCGCACGACGAAAGATCTCCGAATCCACACGTTCAAATCGCCTCAAACTTCACAAGGAGCCACAAAACATAAGGTTGGTCGATGAAATTCATTTCAGTACAATGAATTCCTTACAATTCAAGAGATGGCCGATGGAGTGAAATTTGGCCGATCGCGAGCAAGTAAAATGGCCGACAATCCAAATCACGGCATTTACCGCGGCCACCGGCTCAAATCACCTCCATCAAGCATCCACATCGCATCTAAAGAAGAAAATCCAGATTGGAACGAGCAGAATTGGAGAAGCCGAAGGAAGACGTTCCCGGAGCCAATTTGAAAATTTTTCAAAGGAGATCTCAAACCACTCGTTCAAACGACCCCAAACTTCACCAGTCGCCATATTATACAATATTGGTCGACGAAATTTCAAGATAGGTCGAGGAAATCTTCACGGTTCGAGCTGTAGTCCATACCATCACCATCCGGTCGACCAAAACGGACCAGTCTCGGCCAAAAAGGCGAAAAACAGAAAACCAAGGGAGAATTGTCACATTCATCCAACCAAATCCAACAGCTATGATGTTTGCACCAGTCAGTTCATTCCTGGAAGCAACTCAAGCACAACCGATCTTCACATCAAAGGCCAAAATTTGGGTACAATTTTCTACAAACTCTAACTTTTCCATTCTATTTATCATTACCTCTCTTAATTGGATTTTTCTTACACCGAGACGGTGCAAGTTAAGTCTGGGGGGATTACTAACAAGTTTGTTCTTTTTGAATTTCATTGAGTCGTTTTATTGAGTCAAAATTTTGTCAAAGGATTATGACCTTATCTTGGATCTAACCATTGTTGTGCTAACGTTTAAGTGACCATTGAAGCAGTCTTGGCAATACATCTTACCACAGGGACACTATGAGTTGATCGATCTACCAAAAACGCCCACACCTCCAAGGACTTGAGAAGGATCCACTCTTGACTCCGCCCTTAATGAACTTAATCTTCTCAGCTAGGGGCTTGGCATACAAATGGCATGATTCCTCATCCTCTCCATCAAATGAAAAAGTCTTAGTGAGTTCGTGCTTCCCTCTCTCTCCCCTTCAAATTTAAAGAAAAAGCGTAAGGTCCAAGTAACCGGGGATTCGGTGGCAAACACCATCAATACTCGCGTCTATGGAAGGCCTATGAATCCAAGCAACCGGGGATTCGGTGGCAAACACCATCAATACTCGCGTCTGTGGAAGATCCAAGCAAAACCTCTATAATAAAGAGAAGGAGTTGAATAAAAAAATACTTCGCTACCCTAAAAAAGGGATGAGTCAACTCAAAGAAGTGAGAAGAGAGAGAGGAGAAACATGGAGTAAAAAGACAAGTGCCAAAACAAGGGGATGAGTAAGAGTCTAAAGCCGGCTGATCGATACTCCCTAGTTGAGACCACACCTTTAGAAATGAAAGGAGTCAAGGAGGGTGAATTGGATTGTCCAAAGAGAGGTGGGCCGCCTTGGAAAAATCGCAAAACTCATGGTATGTACTCTTGTTCTTAATTCAAATATTTGCCTTTACTACTTTCATGTGGATTACTAAAACCAAGCCAACCCGGATTTCCTAATGATTTGAGAGTTCTTGCGTTTTCAAACCTCTCTTCCTCTCTTAGTTTGCTTGGGGACAAGCAAAAGGCTAAGTCTGGGGGAGTTGATATACCCATATCTTTCATGTTTTTATCAAGGTTTTCACTATGTTTTTAATACAAATAATGTGGTTTTTATGCCCAAGAGGTAGTTTTCTTGTATATTCTGGTTTTGAGCATCATTCAGGTCAAAATAGCAAAGAAGAGTCAAAATGGAGCAAAAAGAGTCAAATCACCAAGTTCCCAAGTCTAGAGCACCAAATCTACATTTCTCGCTAAAGACCAAACCGGAGCATCCGAAGTACGACCGCATATTCATGCCTTCCCGACGTCCAAAAGTCATGTTTCTTATATGGAAAGATAGATATTTGAGTCATGACCCGCGGCGAAGTGGAAAGAGGTCATTTGGATCACTCGTTGGACCGGAACTTATTTTCTACCAAGACATGTCCGACGAGCGCCTAAGTAGAGCCCATGGAGACTTTGATGGATCAAGAGGCCCGAGATACCGCGCCCAAGGCCTTGGCTCATCTTGACACTAGCATAACTCAATCCAGAAGCTTCCATTGGCCTGAACGCGGCCCATTCAAGAACTTGGAGAGCAAGCTCAAGCGGCTAAAGAGAAATGGAAACTTTCCTCTTCTGCGCGCGCTCAACTTTGCCGACCTAGACCCGCTCTCTACCTATATATACTTGCTTTTAGCCTCTTGTAATAAGAATCACCAGCCGCATAACAAGAAACACTTATTCAATAAAGTTCGGAGCCACTTAGGTGGTCTCCTTCTTCTTTCTTTTCTTCTTTTGCATTTGTATATAGCTTGCATGTTTCAATTTATATAGTCTAGAAGTAGAGATTTCTCCCTAAGGGTGAGGCGTGGTTTAGTCCATATTCCGCCGCCTCTCTCTCTAAGGATTCATGAGACTTCATCTACTATCTAAGACTCATTGTTGAATTATGGATCCTTCCAATGAGGACGTGATATAATGGCCATCTTGAATCGATTGTTAAAAGGGGAAACCCTATGGTTCTCCATCTTTATTTATGCTTAATGCTTGTTGCTAGAGTAGCTAACTAGTGACTTGATTTTAGGTTGATATACTCTCCAAAAGCTTGTTATATCTCCGGACACAATATTTGATGGGCAAATCGTTTTAGGCTACGAAAGTAGACCTAAAGAGTTTTGTGAACAATCATTACTTGGATGTAATGCATGTCTCACTCTACAATGACCAACGAAAGCTGAGCCCATTGGTTTAAGAGACATAGGGGATTGGAACCACGAAAGTGGAATAATCCTTCCTTAGTGTTTTGAGTTCAAAAGAATCGGATTTTAACAAACTTTTCAATCGACTTGGCTCATGTTTTCAAAAGAGTTTTCAATAGTTCAATAATGTTGCTTGTATAGAATTGCATTGTTATTTCTTTTGCGTGTTCTAAACAAACACAAACCCTTGCATCTTTTGATTTAGCTTAGTCATTTAAACTCTATGATTATGTAATGTGTGAAATCCAATCCCTTGTGGTTCGACCCCTAAATACTACAATTATATGTTGTGCACTTGCAACACTAGTTGTCTTAGGGAATTATTACTTGTACTCATCCCTTAGATGAAGCGATACCAACGAGACGGGAAATAGAACGGGATAAGAGGTAAATTTTGCCTACCTCTTATTATATTTATAGACGGGACAAGAAGAAACAAAAAGACTAAGATGGGACAAGACAAGACAGGAAGAAACATAATGAGACAGGATGGGACTAGACGGGATGGATATGACGGAAAGGACGGGATGAAAATAAACATAATGGAACGGAAAAAACGTGAATTTAGCATATCCCTAATTATATTTTAGGACATGACGGAAAGAAACGGAAAGAACGGGATGAGACTGGACAAAACGGGATGGAACAGTCTCAGACATGATGGGATTGCACGTGACGATACGGACATGGCGAATGGGACGGGAAAGAACGGATATGATAAAAAGAACAAAATGGGAGGAATGAAAATGATGGTTCAAAATTTTTGCGTAAACTTAATTATATTTAATTTTCGGAAATTTTTTAGTAACCCTAATTATATTTGATTAATATGTGTATGACATTTTTAAAATAATAATAAATCATAGAATTAAATTAAATTTGTGAAAAATAATAAAATCAACACAACAATTTCAATTCCCGCGCGAAGCGTGGGTCACCCCTAGTTGATAATATTTTTGAGTTATCACCATTAATCAAACTTACCACAAGATACCACATGTCACGAATTAGGCTAAAGTAAATACGGTTACTACACATACGGTACCGCCGTCCGATCGTGATTGCAGATTGGGAGCATGCCTATCAGAAGTTCAGAACATATCCGGGCCCAAAAGGCCCAGTTCGAAAGTTAATTACGGTCAAACTTTTTTTCCTCTTTTAGAGTTCAAACTTTTAAATTTCCAACCAAGTGGACCCCATGTATACGTCTCCAAAAATTCGAAAAACCTAGCAAACGAGCGAGCGAGCGCGAGATTCAAAAATTAAATTAAAAACACGCAGATCAATGGACACTGAACCACACGCGCCTCTCTCCTCTCTGCCATACTCTGGGCTCCGTGAAAGAAAGCAACTCTCTGTCCCTCTCTGCTTTTGAATCAGTTTTCATTTGCTCTCCACTCCACCACTTGAGATTTTTCATCATTTTCTCGGAAAATCAAACTGAAATTCAAACCGCTTATCCTCATGGCTTCTCCTCACTCCTTTCGCTCACCACCATGTTCGTGAAGCTCTCAGAATATGCTTCGCTATTCTCTTAAAACCTTTTTTTTGTTTGTTGATGCTTTCACTTCCTCTGCATTCTGGATTTGTACTCCCCTGAGATTGAATCTTCGCTTAAGAATTAAAAAAAAAAACTCGACTAGCTGTTTAATTTTGGTAATTGAATCTTCAACTTTCCAATTTAAAACTGCGTTGATCCTAATTTGCCCTAAATTAGGGAGAAATCTGCAATCTGATCGCCGTTATTGTGAAATGATTTGATTCGACGGCTTATCTGGATGTATTGATGATGCGATGATTTTGTGAATCTGTGAATTGTATTGCCTCAAATTCTCGCTCCTTCTCGCAGGTGTTGGGATTCAAGTAGCAGATCTCGGAAGCTCGAAATCAATTGTGTAAAATAGAGAAAGCGATGAAGACGACGAACATGCAGGGAAAAGTTAGAGGAGGAAACATGAAGGCGAATCCACAACAAGTGATTTTTGAGCTGAAGAAGAAAGTCGTCACTGCCTTAAACAAGCTCGCGGATAGAGATACATATCAGAGAGGAGTCGACGAGCTAGAGAAAACAGTCGAGCATCTTTCACCAGATAAGATCTCATGTTTCCTCTCCTGTATACTCGACACCGACTCTGAGCAGAAGACTGCAGTTCGCAAAGAGTGCGTCAGGTTAATGGCTACTTTGGCTAAGTTTCATCAAGGCCTCGTTGGGCCGTATCTCGCTAAGATGGTCTCTAGTATCGTGAAGCGGCTCAAGGATCCGGATTCTGTTGTGAGAGATGCGTGTATTGAGACTATGGGCGTTTTGGCCTCGAAGATGAGCTGCTATGAGGACCAGAGCTATGGGGTTTTCGTTTCCTTGGTGAAACCGCTTTTCGAAGCCATTGGTGATCAGAACAAGTACGTGCAGTCAGGTGCGGCGTTGTGCTTGGCGAGAGTCATTGATAGCAGTCCTGAAGCTCCGGTTGCGATTATACAACGCATGCTAATGAGAACTGTGAAGCTGCTTAATAGCTCGCATTTCATTGCGAAACCAGCGGTTATTGAGCTTAACAGAAGTATCATCCTGGTGAGTTTTGACTTTGTTGGTACCAATTAGTGACTAATCTCTCATCTTTAGTCTAGTGGTAATTTTGGAGATGGTTTGAATTTTACTCTATTTCAGGCTGGTGGGGCAACGACAAAGAGTGTGCTTTCCTCAGCAATGAGTAGCTTTCAAGATGCACTTAAGAACAAAGACTGGACAACTCGTAAGGCAGCCTCTGTGGCACTTATGGAAATTGCTGCTACTGGTGAAAAGTTTCTTGGACCTCTCAAGGCTTCTTGCATCTGCTCTCTAGAATCATGTCGCTTTGACAAAGTTTGTACTCTTGTCTAAAATTCATTCTCTTACAGATAATGATAATATTTTGAGTTGAAATATCTGACTTTGGGATTTTCTGTTTAGGTGAAACCAGTGAGGGACTCAATTATCCTTGCCTTACAATATTGGAAAGGTGTCCCTGGTTCTGATTCTCCAGACCCATCTGAAACTGGATCCTCTGTAAAAGGTTTCTTTCTTCAACTTTTTTGCATCTTTCTGTATTTGTTGTTTGCGTTTCATAGACTCATAGATGCTCTTTTCTGTTAATCTCTTTTCGTAATCGCAGAAAGTTATAATGGAGGTCGAGAGGATAGTGAACTTTTCAGCACCAGTGACTCTAAACTGAAGGATGTTACATCTAACAAATATGTAACAGATTTGGCGAAGAAGAAGGTTCCGTTTCCTGCCAGGAAAGTACCTTCACGCTACAATGACGACCCTCGAAAGACTAATCAAGATAATTGGCATATCGAAATAGCAGTCCCGGAATCTCCGGTTGTCTCCAAGGCTAATCATCTTCACACTGAAGAAGAATCAGAGGGCAGCTGCATCACCAAAACATTTGCAGATTCGAGAAAAACGCCAGAAGTGTCGTATGAGTACATTCCAATCTACGATAAGGCAGATGGTTATGTCACTGACGCTGTGAATGACAACGATGATATCAAGTCTGTCACAGTTTCATCAAACAGTTTTCAAGCCAGTGGTACGGTGAATACAGCCATGATGAGTAAGCAGTTCGCAGCTGCAGAAGCTGATACTGAGGAGCAGCAATTCTCAAACGTAGTGAAGGATCGTACAAGCATGGACTCTACTTTAACAGTGTCAAGCTCTCACACCGTTCATGACTGCTGTGCTCAGACTGCAAATGAAATGGCTTCTATTCGTAAACAGCTCTCAGATATTGAGAATAAACAGTTACAACTGATAGATCAGCTACAGGTCAGTGGATTTTGTACTGTTAACAAATTTGCAAATTTATAGATCAACTTAGCTATAATTTATAAACTTCCTTACACAATGAGAGCAAACTGAGATATCTTTTTCAATCTTTATTTTAGGTATTTTCAACAGGAATATTGAACAACTTCTCGGCTCTTCAGTCCAAGGTGTTAAGCTTAGAATATGCAGTGGAAGGGATAGCTCAAAGCTTCGTCTTGCATCCAGATACATCAAACTCCAATTTCGTGAAGCAAAACCAAGGTAGTACTGTGTCACCGAGGCTCTCTACTTGCACTTCGAGAAACTCTACTGAAATCCGCAACCGACAATCCACGATATCAACTTCCAAGTACACAATGACGACAAGGGAGAACAAAACACATGGAAGAAGCAAACCAAACGACTCACAGTGTATAGAGAAGACGCGAAGCAGTAATCTTTCTGGTAAAACCGGTCAACAACATACAAGAGGAGAAGATATTTGGAACAACATTGGACAGGGAAGACAAACATCGATCCAGACCAGGGAAAGCTCTCAAAGCGTAAGACAGCAGCATTACGGAGAGGTCACGAGTGGACCGAGGAAGCTTGTGGCAGGTGTTTCATGTGAAGATTCTGTTGAATCAGAGTATCTGGAAGTGATTTCTTGTGGTGATGAGCTAGCACTCGTTGAGCTTCTTGACAGAACCGGTCCCGTTCTAGAGAGTTTATCATCGAATACCGTAAATGAGCTTCTCGGTATACTTATCTCCTACCTCCTCGAACGAAGATTCATGACTACAATACTCCCTTGGTTGCAGCAGGCAAGTTTGTTGTTTGACTTATGAAATCATCATTTGCTTATATTGCTGGAAACTGATTACTGATTTTTTTGGACTTGTGTTATAGGTCGCTGACTTGAGCACTACAAATGGAGCTTACTATCTGATTCCATCTGCGAGAAAGAGAGCTCAATGGTTGTCTGCGATTCAGGAGACTTCAGGGATGGACTTTTCAAGTCTTGCTGAGAGAAGAGCGGTTACTCAAATAGCAATGAAGTTGCGCAAACTATGGGGTAAGTAGTAAACAAAAAGAAGAAAGAGAAAGCTTGCTTAGATGTTTACAAACAATGCAACATTGATCTTTAAAATGTTATCAAATTCCCCATCGTGTGTGGTTCTGTTGCAGTAAGGAAAATTTCATGCTCTTCTTCTTTTTTTCTTATGCAGGAAAATGCTCATGATGATTAGGTGTGTTGAAGTAGACCAGGCATTGCTACAAGCTGGAGATTCGTAATGCGATTGATTGCGGAACGGTTTCGATTCTTTTTAAAGAGTCTTAATGCAACAGATTGTTACGATCGTTTTTCAAATTTGTAGTGTTCTTGGTTTTTGTTCTTCTTCTTCTTCTTCTTCTTCTTGATCGTTGGTTTCTCTTCATCCTTGGATTCGAGTTGTGAAAAGAAGGTTGAGAGAGTGCTACTTTACAAAAATTTCCACGATGAAACCCTGTATTTCATTACTTCAGTTTCTGGCAAAATTGGGGTTGTTCATGAGGCTATTGTCTTTGTTTACTCGTTTGACAAATACTGTAGAGAAATGCTAGAAAGCTGTATATGATTATATTATAAAAATATGAAGATACATGCAATCGATTATTAAATTATTTTTAGATGAATGGACATTGTCGCTCTAGTAGTTGTCTTGAGCGAATGAAAAACGAAAAGATGAAATGGAATTTGGTTTTTTTAAATGTAAGCACGACTGAGGCATGACTTTTTGTCTTCTTTACCTCAAATCGCATTTCCAATTCTCATCGCCTTTTCTCAGCCGTCCGATCATTTGCCTACATTACAACACCATTTTATTACATTACCACTTATTTTAATGGAATAGAGATGTGATTGGCATCTGAATTTCTGGTTACACTAATTTAAAATTTGGTAAGACTACTCATTTCCAATTCGGTCTCTGACACACTCTGTTCTTCAATATTCGTAACTAATCTTTTGAGTTTCTTTAGATTTCTCATTATTAATTTGCAGTCCAGTCTACAACACGTTTCTATTGATTTTTTTAGCATACATTTTGTGAATTCTCTTTTCGCCATTGTATCATCTTAGTGGTCCTTTTTTGTCCTAGCATTTGCTTTATTTTTTCTCACTAAAACCAGTTTCTTTGTGTACAGACTTAACTGTTTTATTTTTGTATGTTTGTTTCTGTTTTCATGATTTTTGCTTTTTATGGAACGGCAAAGAAAATTAATCATGATTTTGCTAATTTACAATGCCATCAGTCAGAAGGCATTAAATCTCATTAAGTATACATATTTACAACAATATAAAAAAAGTCTTTAACAAAAAACAATATTTTGCATAAAAAAACAAAAAAAAAACAAAAAACAATATAAAAAGTCATTGTACTAGTTTATTTTCAAACCTAGTACTTTTGTGTTTAAGATAAAACTTTGGGAATCATGTGATCACAAAGTCACTGATTTTTACTTGTTACAGTACTATTTTTGTGTTGAAAATTGAGTTGCTTTATTGGTATTTAACCAATTATGTAGAAAGCTTAAACTGTAAGATTTCAATTCCATTTACTAGAGTCTATGCCATAGTAAATCCAAAAGAAATAGGAGTATAATATAAAATGAAAAAAAACACGTAATAATGTATGGTGTTCGTCCCGCATTAGTTCCCTAATCACATTCACAATCACCAAAGAAACATAAAAGTGGGACCCATGTTTTGAAGTTCTTTAGCTAAATCAAACGGTGGAGAAAGGAGTTGTGTCCATGATCGTCGTGGTGGACGGTGACTTTACATACCATTTCTTTCTTCTTTCTATTTTCTGTTTTACTCTTTTTAGTTTTTATTATCTTTAACAAGAAAAAACATCAAAATAATTTAGTCTTCTGTTGTTAGAAGATAAAGGATCCCACTTAGCCAAACCTATTTATTTTTACCAGCATCGTGTCATTCAAAAAAAAAAAACTTATCTCTTCATCTAGTTGTTGACATCAACAAAAACCTCCTTTATTGTTAAGGAACAAAAGCCTCTTTTCTAGTTAAAAAGAAATATGATTCAAGTATTACCTAATTTCAAAATATTCAAAGATATTAGTAAATCTAAATGTCGATGAAAAACTTATAATTTGTGTTATAGTAATGTTTAACAAACTTAGATGTATAAATAAATATAAATTTCTACGGAACATGTAACATGTTTATTTTGTACCGATGTAGCATGTAACATGTAACTTGTGATATACTAACCGAAGTTAGAATTCAATGGTGTTAAGCATATGTAAATTAGATAACAAACAATTTTAACTTATTATCTTTCAATCTAACGAGCATACTATGTAACTACATTTTACTAATTTGAGTATCATGGTATATACCATAATAGTGTCAACAAAAAAAAAAATGTTTTCCATACATTTTGCAGCTATTTCGTAAGGAAGACTAAAAAAGAGAGCTAAATAGTAGATATTAGTATTTTTTTGAACCAATAATTTTAGACTTTCTTCCTCATTTTATCTTATCGTAGCCATTAATATTTAACTGTCGTCATTATATTTATTATATACGTTGGAAATATCAAAAGAAAAAACAAACAAGAAAGAAAAGTCTAAAGTCAACAAGAAGGAAGGAACCATAAGCAATAATATTCCTCCAACTCCCTCTTATCATTTTACTAACCATTATAGACCCAAGATTATTAAAACTAAGTATGTTTTCTCAAATATATATCCCATTTTTTTGCTAAACTAATTACATTTTAATTTAAAATTTGAAATTGAACTAAATTCTCTTAAGAATTTTAAGAATGGAAACTGAAAATTTTACATCAACAAAAAAAATATAGAAGGATGAAAGAGGCCATCTTATGTCGACCAAAAAAGGCCATTTCTTTATGATATACACAAACAGTTTCTCGCTCTAAAACCCTCAGTTTTCTCTCTCTCTTTCCCTTTTTCACAGCCATTTATTAGATTCCTCTCTCAATTAGACTCTTCTCTTTTGTATTGGATTGTATTAGACTGATAGCTCAAGGAACCGAAAAGAAAAAGAAAGATAAACAAAATTCATCTCATGAAACTTTCCTCTTCTTTGCTTTGATTTTTTTTCATTTTCAGAACCTGTTTTTCTGAGAATTTTTGTTTTTATTTGTTCTGTATTTCCTCGAATTTTCTAATAGGATTTTTTTTCTTGGTTTCAATTTGTTCATATGCAGAAAAACCTTTTTCCTGGGATTTTTTCCTTTGCCAAAGAGAAGGCTTTTAAAAAGTTAATTAATATCACTGTTTATGTAATCCAATCACAGCTCAATATTGAACAAAACTTGTAAACTTAAATTTCTTTCCAAAAAAATCTCTTCTTTTTGTCATTATAAATTGAAACTTTCTCTTCTGAAATCATACTTTCATTCTTGTAAAAAATAAAAATAAAGTGAGAAAGAGAGAGAGAAAGAGATTATGGGGAAGCAAGGGCCTTGCTGTCACTGTGGAGTAACAAGTGAGTTCTTGTATCTCACAATTTCGATTTGATGATGATGAAAATTTGTATGAATGTTCCTTCACTTATTGTTTTCTGGGTAAAGATTGCCTTTTTTTCCTGGGCAAATGATTTGATTACAGGTTTTTAATATGCTTTATTTTTAAGAAATTGTAACAATTATTGAAGTGATACAGCAAAGACTTCCTGGACTCATCAAGAACATAAATGAGAGCATTTGCAAATTATTCTCCTTTAACGATTCTGGGATCTGAATTTGACTTCATAATTATCAATTGTGTAAATTTGAGATCATTGTTCTTTACAGATTTGGAGGCTTGATTTTTCTGATGAACAAGTCTTTGTGTTTAAGTAGTCTTAGTTTTCAAGGCTCTAATTGTGTTCTTGCATTGAAACAGGCACACCTCTGTGGAGAAACGGGCCACCGGAGAAGCCGGTGCTATGCAATGCGTGTGGATCGCGTTGGAGAACAAAGGGAACACTTGTGAACTACACTCCGCTCCATGCTCGTGCTGATGGTGACGAGAACGAGGATCACCATCTGAGGTATCAGAGAATGAAGAGCATTTCTCTAAGCAACAAGAACAAGGAGACAAAGATGCTCAAGAGGAAATCAGTTCAAGAACACTATGGAATTAAAAGACCGGTCTTGGAGTTCAACTATGGCTTGAAGAAGGCTGTGGTGGTAGAGGAGGATGCTAGTAACAGATCGAGCTCTGGCTCGGCTATATCCAACTCTGAGAGCTGTGCTCAGTTTAGTAGTGCTGATGGGAGTGATTTAACAGGTTTTTGATTACTTTTCTTTTGTGTTTTCTTTTGGATTATTCAAGAAACATCTTCTTAGTAGTGAGTGTGTATGAAACTTTGTTTTTGTTTTTGAAGGTCCGTCTCAGTCTAATGCGTGGGACACGACTGTTCCTAGCAAGAGGAGGACGTGTGTGGGACGTCCAAAGTCGTCTTCTGTTGAGAAGCTCACAAAGGAGCTTTACAGTATTCTGCAAGAGCAGCAGTCGTCGTGTCTCTCGGTTTCTTCGGAGGAGGATCTTCTTTTTGAGAACGAGATGTTGTCAATGGTCTCTGTTGAGATTGGGCATGGGAGTGTTCTGATGAGGAATCCACATTCTTTCGCTCGGGAAGAGGAGTCTGAAGCCAGCTCGCTCTCTTCTTCTGTTGAGAACAAGTCGTCCATCAGTGAAGCATACTCACATTCCGTGAAGCGTGTTGAGATTGGACAAGCCATAAAGCAAGAAGAGCAACTCAAGAGGTAACAAAACATTCTCAATACATTAGCTCACTGTGCATAAGCTCGCAGTTGACACAAGAAACATTGTTTGGCAGGACCAAGTCTCAAACTGGAAGAGTGCATGTGCTTGGGAGCCATAGCTCACCACTCTGTAGCATAGACTTGAAGGTAACTTTCAAGCAGCTCTCATATCCAAGTCAAATATCAACTAAAAGACAAATTGGCTTAAAAAGGATAATACTTTATTGCAGGATGTTTTCAACTTTGATGAGTTCATAAAACAATTCACAGAGGAAGAACAGAAGAAACTGATGAGATTACTTCCTCAGATTGACTCTGTGAACCTTCCTGATAGGTTTTGATCTGTTTTGCATTGTTATAACGAAACTAAGACCAAACAAAATTTGTAATCCTTCATGTTTTTGCTTTTGCAGCCTGAGAATGATGTTCGAAAGTGCTCAGTTCAAAGAGAACTTCTCTTTGTTTCAGCAACTTATCGCTGATGGTGTCTTTGAGATGCCTTCTTCCTCTGGGGCAAAACTGGAAGACATGAGGACTTTTAAGAAGCTTGCTCTGTCTGATTTTAACAAATCTCGTTTGGTGGAAAGCTATAACCTCTTGAAGGTTCGGGCTTACTCTTATTGAAAGACTGACATTTGAATAGCTTTTTTTTGTCAGAGAGGTTCATGGATGTTTTTGCTGCAGGAACCGGAGAAAGGGTCTGGAGATTCTGTCACTACAAGTTCAAGAAGCTCAAACCCAAATGTACCTAAGAATGTTGTAACCATTAAGAGACGCTTTGAGAACCAAACTCAATTGAAGCCAGGTCAGTCTTTTAGGGACGTTTTCCATCAATCTTGTCGATTCTGCGATCAATCTTCCTGTTTTGTTGATTTTCTTGTTATGGTTACAGAGTCAAGAGGGCTTATGAGGAGCCCCAAAAGTGTAACGAAGATGAAAGCAAGCCATGAGAGCAAAGTTATGACGGAGAACAATGTGTCATGTTTCACCCCAAGAAGCTTGGCTTCTGTGTTTGCACATGAGAGTGGCTCTACGGTGTTTGGCTATGAAGGTAATTGCAGCTCCGATCAAGATCTCCTTCTTGTGGACTTGCCGTCAAATGGGTCGTTTCCTCAAGCAGAGCTGCTTCACCAACTCTGAAGGGACAAAGCTTCAAAGTTCAAGGTGCTTCTCAGTGGTAAAAGAAGTACATTAAAGCTCTCTCTCTTGATTGAGATTGATGAGAGAGACACTTAGGCTCTTTGAGAAAAAGAACCAAGTGAGGTTTCTGCTTTAGAAATTGGAATTTGCAGACATAAAAAGAAGGACTATTTTTGTTTATTCGAGTCTTGGGGCTTCTCTTTGGTGGTTAAGTTTATAAGGTGGTCTTTATATATAATACATACATACATACATAATGCCTCTCTTTCAATGACCCTTTTAAACTTGAAAGTTCCATCTTTTTACTCTTCCTCTTTAAATTTCCAGTTTCTGCTTTCTTTCTTTTTCTCTTTGTATAGGATGAGGAGATACTGTAATGTTATGTAAACATCCCAGAATACAGAAAATGGAGTAAAAGAGTATTTACTATATTTGTGTTCCAAATTTCCAATGCGTTTGGGTTTTAGATCTACTAATTAACTCGTTTGAGTTTTAGATGTACTAATTTACGCGTGTTATGCATATACAATGTTTATTGTGTCGTGGTTAACCATGATGCCAAAGATCGAGACATGTTTCATAATGATGAATAAATAAATAACCAAACATGATGGAATATACGGGGTCAGCTGGAAAATTTCTTGATTTATAAAAATTTATAATAATAAGAAGTTGTGTTCAACCTTCATAAAAGTCAAAAATCAAGATTCGAATCATTGAGACTTAGTCCATAAGGAATAAAACAAGAATAACTAAGCCCTCAAAAGTCATTATACCATTCATTATCAAACAAGGACAAAGTCTACATTCACCAACCGGAAACTCGACTAATCTTGATTTACTTTCTCAGAAGAATGTGCATGCCATGACTTACAAGCTTAAAGAAATAAAGAAGGAACAATTCTTACAGGAAGGAACACAGCACAAGCACAAGCACAGTGGATGGTGTTTCACTTGAAAGTAGAGAGACGGGGAAGCTTGTCCCTGAGGTAGTAAAGCCTTGCTCTTCTCACTTTCCTGTGACTCACCACTTTTATCTCTTTGATGTTTGGAGAGTATCTGTCAAACCAAAGCGATCCAAGAGGTTCAACACATTATTCTAGTTATACTTTTTTTGTGTAACAAGTAGAACGTTATCAACGTATAGAAACTCACATGGGAAACACGATTTCAACACCAATACCAGCAATGATTCTCCGAATACGAATGGTAGTGTGTATCCCTGCGTTTTGCCTCGACATCACTATCCCTTTGTAGATAGATAACCTCCTTCTGTTCTCAGGCACTTCCTGCAATTCAAACACCATATCCCCAAAGATCAAAACTTTGCAATACACTTAGAGACTCTGCTTCCAAGTATCGAAGAAAGCTTACCAATTTGATTTCTACGATATCTCCTGTCCTGAGTTCTGGTACAGGTCTCACTTTCTCTGCTACCTCTATTGCTTTCTTGTTCAGTATCTATACACAAAACAAGAGTTAACGATGGCAGTGAATTTCTTGAATAATTACTTACTAGTAAAGACTCAGAATTTGAGCTAGTGATAACAAAGAAGCTCACTTACCCCCATTACGTCTCCGAGCTTAGTCCTCGCTTTCCACTGAGGTTTAGCTTCACCAGCTTCGACGACCGCTTCCGTATCAGCGATAACATCGCCAGCTTCCTCAGATTCAGCTTCAGCTTCTTCTGCTCTAACGATAAACTCACGTCTCGCCCTAGTAGTATCGAGGGAGATGCCGAATTTCGAGCCAGTGTGATTCAGAGAGAGGCTTGACACTGTTAGACGAGAATTCATCGTTGGTGCGCATGATAGAAACGAAGAAATCCCCAATTTCGTAGGGTTTCTCGGTATCATATGCAATGCCTAATTCCATTTCAAAGTAAATCAACAACAATGAGCTACTGAAATTCCTATTATACTCATAAGTGTTCGCGTATGAGATAGAGAAAGACCTGAGGAAGAAGATGAGAGCTCGTCGCCATGGTTGGTTGCACTCGGGAGAAATGGAAGAGGGAAGAAGAAGCCAGTCAAGTGAAGAAGAGCCTTATCTGCTTTGCTTCCAATTTCGGCACGGGTGGGCTTTCGCACGTGTTAATTCTTTAATGGGCCTTCCTTCTGGGCCTTTTGTAATAACAATAGTTTAATAGTGTGATTAATGATTATTAAATATCTAAGGACAAGAGGCTGTTATATTTTATGAATTGACCCAAAGCTCATGATGATTACTTTAATTACATTAACCTGTAATTTTGGCGTCGGTGACGATCACGCGCCGTCGCTTCATACAAACCAAAAGGCTCAACGTGGCGTGGACAACTGTGTTCTGCCTTTTGGCTCGACCGTAACGGAGAGGACACGTGTCACATCTTCACACTGTGCGTCGTGTCGTCGTCTTCCCTCTCTCTCTCTCTCTCTCCCGCCAACCTCTCTCTCCCTCTGGTTCTCTCTCTCCTCTAATCTTCTTCTCTCTCAATCAAATTAATTCGTGATTCTGATTTTCTCAATTGACAAAACACATGGATTTCGTTATTTGCATTTGATCAATCCGTAAAAGGTTACAATTTTTGTTTTCGATATTATCCTCATTTGAAACTTAATTTCGTTCTAGGAGATATTTTTTTTCGCGAAGAAGAAGAAGAAGATGGCGATGGGTTCAAAGAGGAAAACTCCGCCAGGGATTGCGCTTCTGAGGAGAGTCAGAGGAAGGAATTGGAGCCCGAAGACGTTCCGTTACGCGATTCTATTGATCACTTTCATCGCGTACGCTTGTTACCACGCGTCTCGGAAACCGAGCAGCATAGTGAAAAGCGTTCTGCACCCAGACTCGAGCACGAAGCCGCCGCAAGGCGTGAACAAGTATCCGTGGCCTCTGGGCAACGTTTTCGTCAAGGAAGACGCGGACGCTCTGCTGCTTCGCAAGTCGAAAGGATGGGAGCCGTTCAACGGGAAAGACGGGACGTCGAGGCTGGGAGAGATCGACGTGGCATTTCTGGCTTGTTACTCTCTGGGGATGTACGTGGCTGGGCATTTGGGGGATAGTTTGGATCTGAGATTGTTTCTGACTTGGGGAATGATTGGGAGTGGGTTCTTCGTTGGGCTGTTCGGGATGGGTTATTTCTGGAACATTCATGCGTTTTGGTTCTTCCTGGTGATGCAAATGGCGGCTGGGCTGTTTCAGGCGACGGGGTGGCCGTCGGTTGTGGCTGTGGTTGGGAATTGGTATGGGACGAGGAAGAGAGGGCTTATAATGGGGATTTGGAATGCTCATACTTCGGTTGGGAACATTTGTGGGTCTTTGATCGCTGCTGGTGTTCTTGAGTATGGTTGGGGATGGTCTTTTATAGCTCCTGGCTTTGTTATGTCTCTTGGAGGAGTTCTTGTTTACTTGTTCTTGGCTGCTTATCCTGAGGATGTTGGGTTTCCGGATATTAACTCTAATTCCGGTAAGTTTATTAAGAGGAACCGACACGTTGAAGAAGAGGAAGAGGAAGAGGAAGAAGAAGAAGAGGCAGATGTTGAAGGCGCAGGGGAGGGTTCTGGTTCTGGTTCTGGTTCTGGTTCAGGGTCAGGGTATGAGCATAAGAGAAGTGTTGGGCTTTTGCAAGCTTGTATGATTCCTGGTGTTATACCGTTTGCGTTGTGTCTCTTCTTCTCGAAGCTCGTCGCGTACACGTTCTTGTACTGGTTGCCGTTTTATCTGAGCCAAACAAGTAAGTTGTGATTGACTGATAGTTCAATATCCGAGAGAGAGAGGAAGCAGTTTCTTACTTTTTTGTTGTTATTGTTATTTGCAGCGATTGGTGGAGAGTACATGTCAGTGAAAACAGCAGGAAACCTCTCGACGCTGTTTGATGTTGGAGGCATTGTAGGAGGGATTCTTGCTGGTTACATATCGGATAAGTTCAAGGCGAGAGCCACGACTGCAGCGACGTTCATGTACGCTGCGATTCCGGCGATGCTTGTGTACCATTCCTACGGAGGTGTCTCTCAGACGGTGAACGTCCTCCTCATGATGGTTGCTGGTTTGTTTGTCAATGGACCTTACGCGCTCATCACAACCGCGGTCTCGGCTGATCTCGGCACGCACAAGTCTTTGCAAGGCGACTCGAGGGCGCTCGCGACCGTGACTGCGATTATTGACGGGACTGGCTCTGCTGGTGCGGCTTTGGGTCCTCTTCTGACAGGGTTTCTTTCGACTTTGGGTTGGCAAGCTGTGTTCTATATGTTGGTCGCTGGAGCTCTTTGTGCTGGGTTGCTTTTGACCCGTCTGGTTATTGCTGAGATTAGAGAGAAGCTTGGATATGTTGATGAAGGTAATGCAAGCATATCTCTTTTGCTGAAGAATTTGCAGAAATGTTGTTGTTGATTCTGACTCTTGTCTTCGTTTGTTTTTGCAGTTCCTGCGTCTGAACCACTCTTAAACGAGAGAAGATGATGGAGAAGCGAGTGAACAGGATCGGTCCATTGTTTGCGCAAGAGTTTTGTTCTGTTATATAATAAGTAAGGGGTTTTGCAGAGGAACTTTCCTTGTATTCTGTGTTTTCGTCTGATGTTGTCAAGTTTTGTGTATCTCTCATAACAAATGAAGGAATTGGGGCTTTTAACAGCTTTTCTTTCATCTATTTCTTCTCTGTTTTCTACGGCACTTGAAGCAATCTTTGCATGGTGATTCGTACTTGTTGTAAGAGGAAACTGATTTGAGTTTTTCGGGTGAAACTTTGAGATCTTCTATGATAATCCTTCGAAGCTTCTCGTTCTCTTCTATTAGCTCGTTGACGAGTTTTTGATGTTTCAGCACCTACGCAAATCAAAATTCTTTTCCGTTGATGTATATATAATATCCATGGACGAAATGAAAATGTAACAGGAAATGAAAGAAACGAGACATTACCATCTGAAGCATCAAGCTCTCCGATTCTAACTGTGTGACCTATCAGTGTCATGAAACAAAATGAGGAGAGATCAAAGCAGAGAGAGAGAGGGAGACAAACATTGTGTGACAGAATCGTTACCTGTGGTTTTTCTACAGCCGTGTCTTGTTTCAGAATGGGGTTGTCGAGGAAACTGTTGATCACTTTCTCAGTTCGAGTACCAAACGTTCTTGAGTCAATAGAGGAACCACTGTTCTTGTAAGATGCTTGTGTGTCCACGTGTCCCTTGTGACCGGTCAGAGATTGAAACCCCTGTTCTTCTATCTCGGGTGCACTTAAGGTGGTGGTCTCACTCGTTTTTCCGAGTTTTGCCAGCAAGTTGGATGCAGTTCCCTAGAGAGATTCAAACTCATGGTATCTTCGAATGAACAAACTGCTTATTAAGGACGCTGGTTGAAAGACTGGTGCTTACCATAATAGTAGCTTGAAGCTTGTGTATGGCACTTGGTTTCACCGCGAGGCCTGTCAAGAAACAAGCAATTCAACGGATCCTTACATAACCAAGCAAATCCAAGTAACTCAAAATGGTTAACCGTTGAGAAAGGTAAGTAACTAGAAGCTCATGTATCAAATTTGAAGAGATTGTTGTAGTGCTCAGGGATCTTAAATGCAGTGGAATAAAAATGGAGAAGAAGAAGTTGACAACATACCAACTCCAAAACCATGACCGAAACCAACTCCACAGCCAACACCTGCTTTAATGTTCCTAGCTCCCAGCTTCCTCAACTAAAGATGGTCCAAGTAAGTACACAACCAGATTCAGAAGACCATAATGTGGGAAGATGATGATAAAAAAAAAACAAGATCAAATGGAGAAAACACAAGTATGTCTAAGCGTACAGCGTCATTCACGTGGTGCGTGGCTCCAGAAAACGCATTGGTTGCTCCTCTAGCTGCGCTCATAACTTCCCCCACCATTGGAATACTACCTGATACAGTGTTGTAAAACACTAATCAGAAAAGTCATGGCACACTAATCAGACTGACAATCTTCTTCTCCAATTACAGATGGAGTGGTTTTAGATAAAGTACAAATTCACACTCGAGAAAGAAAATTTACTATAAAATCGTCAGTGGCAGCAACACACTAAGAATCAGCTCAAACTTCCAAAATCAAGTCATCTTAAGCTGATTGATTTCAATCTAGATAATTTCTACCTAATTTCACTCTACCCGATTCGCCAATTCAATGTCTCCTTCGAAACTCAGCAAAGAGGGAAAAAAAGACATTACCGAGATTTATAGGAGCACCTCTGCCGATTCCGACTCCACAACCTACGCCGAATCCCGTGAAGACTTGAAGAGCTTTGAAAGCAAATGGATTCTCTAATTTCATTCCCCCATTCGAAAACCCTAATCCTTCCTCCTTCTTCTTCATCTTCATCTTCATCTTCATCACCACACCATTGCTGCTGATGCTTCCGCCGCCGCTTTCTTCCATCTCTTTCTCTCTCACTAAGCTCAATTTACGATAATGAGCGTTTTCAAAAACTATGAATCTTCCGTTGCTATTATTTCCCGCCTCTTTTCCATTGCCGAACTGGTCAGAGAGAGTAGGGGAGAGAGAGGAGAAGAATCTTCAGAAGAAGATGATTAGCATTCAGAAGCCAAATTTTTCACCACTGTCCATGAGAAAATGAATCATGGGCCTTCATAATAAGCCCATACATCGTAAAAGGCCCATTATCGTAAATACAGGAGAAATTATTAAATTTGTCGGGGAAGCAACAAAAGCAAATTAGATTCTCTATTTAATTACTTTAATTATTGAAATTTGATCGTATCGAATCAGAAAAGAAAGGTGGTGACAAGATGTAAAAGAGAAAATTGAAACTTTCTCCTCCACGCATCTTCTGGGTTGGCGTAGACACGTCACAATTCAACAAAAAGAGACGTATTTAAATGACCAAAAACATCGTGTGGGCCTTTCTCATTAACCACGTCGTCGACACAAAGCCATCTCTCTCTCTCTCTCTCTCTCTCTCTCTTTCAGTCTCTCCTCACCGACGACGATCGCGGCCTTAATCTCCGTTTCTCAACCGGAAGCTCGTATTATTTTTCAACCGTAGATCGATCCAGCTACGAGATCAACCATGAATCCCGAATAGTACGAATCTTCTCTTTGCTTTTTTTTTTTCATCATATCGTTCAGATCGATTAGCGTCTTTGAATTGTATAACATGCTCTGTGGTTTAGCTTTCGTTGGATCATTTCTTTTGGAAGGAGATTTACGAATTTCATCTTAGCAATTTTCATTGACGACGGCTTTGTTATTTTGTCTGATCGATTTCGTGGATCGTATTATGGATTAGATCTAGAAAAATTCTGGTTGAGATCTATTGTTCCTCTGTAATACAGAGACGATTCTAGTTTTGAGATTCGAAGGTTGTGAAATTTTGGAGTATGGGACTTTCGATTGCGTTTTGATTTTTGAATTCCGGGATTATGGACTCGTCTCATGTGTATAGTTTTAGAAATCTACGAGCTTCTTCTCAATGTTTTACAATATGTCTTTTTCTTGCTGGGGAAGAATCGAAATGCTTACGAGTCACCTCTGTCTTCTTAATCTGTAGTGACTATCTGTTCAAACTTTTGCTAATTGGTGATTCTGGTGTTGGAAAGTCATGCTTGCTCCTAAGGTTCGCTGTAAGTAATCATATCTCTTTCTCTATATTTGCCGCAGATTTTTGTATAAGCCCTTGAGGATCTGATACTGGACACCAATACATGTCATTGCAATTATATCATTAAGCTCTAGCACAGTTTCTGCCTTCGTTGCTCTCTTTTGAATGTGGTGTCTCAGTTTTCTTTTCTATGTGAATGTGCAGGATGATTCCTACCTGGATAGCTACATCAGCACAATTGGTGTTGACTTTGTAAGCATCTTCCATTCTTATCAATTGGTCATATGCATGAATCACCAAACTTCTAATTGTGTAATCATCTTTTTTTGCTAGAAAATCCGCACAGTCGAACAAGATGGGAAGACCATCAAACTCCAAATCGTAAGTTGTCTTTGAGTCATGTCAGCGTCTGAAATTTCTATGTGCATATGATCACACTTCTTACTAATTACAATTACCGATCATGCAGTGGGATACGGCAGGCCAAGAACGTTTCAGAACGATCACTAGCAGTTACTACAGAGGAGCTCATGGAATCATTGTATGCTCATTATCATCACAACAACACTATCTCCCTTGTTATTTATTATCTGACATCCATCAACGAGACTCAACTGTTAATTACGTTCTGTTTTCAATTTTCGTCAGGTGACTTATGATGTAACAGACCAAGAAAGCTTCAACAACGTCCAGCAATGGCTAAATGAAATCGACCGCTACGCCAGTGAGAGTGTGAACAAGCTACTGGTTGGGAACAAGTGTGATCTCACATCACAGAGGGTTGTATCCACTGAGACAGCCAAGGTAAAATATCATAGTCTGCTTCTTTATTTTGTCACAGTTGAGATTCTTTGACTGTAATGTTTGTTTTGCCAAACACAGGCTTTCGCAGATCAACTTGGGATCCCCTTCTTGGAAACGAGTGCCAAGAATTCCACCAACGTTGAAGAAGCTTTCATGGCCATGACAGCTGCAATCAAGACAAGGTAACTAACGCATGATTCGTTATCGAATGGTTACACTTGTAAACCAGGCTTAACCGGGGTTTTGTCTTGCAGAATGGCGAGCCAACCTGCAGGAGGATCGAAGCCACCAACGGTCCAGATCCGAGGACAACCTGTTAACCAGCAATCGGGCTGCTGCTCTTCTTAATTCGTTGTTGGAAACAACTTAACCATATATTATATTCGTTTGCATGTAAGACATATGAACATCTTTGCTCCTTTATATTTCTGTATTTGGTTTTTCCAATTCAAATTCTTCACTTTCATGTCCAAAAGCTCCTAAATTCTTTTGTAATGTACTTCGAACAATAAGCTTTCTGCTTTCATTAGTAAAAGTTCTTCATGCTTATCTAAGAGTCAGCAGACTAAATGATATAAAGAAGCTAAACAATTCCACCAAAAATTGGAGAATGGTTTTTTTGTTTTTTTTTTGCCTTGTTTAAATTTGAAAAAAAAACATTGGTTCGAAAAACTTAAAGACCTTAAGCTTCAGAAGAGTATAACAAGAGAATCAGAAGAAAAAAATTCAAACTGTGTGAAGGAGATTACAAAGAAAAAAAGAGCACAGACGGAAGCTGAAAGGCCAAACCGGAGGAGCCTTACTTGCCCAAAGTAGGGAACTGTGCGGTGTCCTCGATCTTTGGTGCAGGAATCTTTGGTGCGGCAACTTTTGGTGCAGCAGCTTTTGGTGCGGCAGCTTCTCCGCTCCTCTGGTTTGCTCCTCCGTTCCTCTGATCTCCTCCTTCTCTTGGCCCACGTCCTCCCCTACCACCACGGTAACCACCTCTGTACCTCTCGCCATTCGCAGGTTTCAGAAACTCATTTATGCTCACCGACTACAAAAACGACACACCGCAGAAACGTATCAAATGCTTGATGCTTGCTAGTTACTTAAATGCTGAAAACATTAGTATAAAATAGTTACCTTCTTGGTCTTCTCTTCTTTCTCAACTGTGCGCTTGTCCTTGTCCGTTCCCTGATAACAGGATTTCCAAATTCAAATCAGCACACATTATAGATAGAAACAGAAGACGATCGTGATACCAAAATAAAATATTGAACAACTCAGATGAACTCACCAGTTTGATGAAGACATCATCGTTGTTGCTCTTTTTGCTCGAGAGCTGTTGCATGGAGTCGAACACCTTAGTGTCAACCTTCCTCTCCTCAACCTTGGTCGCCTGCAGAGCTTTCTTCTTCTCCTCCAAAATCTTCTCATACTCATCCAGAGACATCACCTTGCAAAGGTCAAATTAGCATTCCATGTCAATACATTCTCTCTTACCAAGCAGTTAATACATACAGAAATGAGACCAAAAGATGATACTGTCTGTACCTTAATCTCAGGCTCCTCAACAGGTCTCTCCTTGTTTGCAACATCAGTTGCACCACCCACAGGCAAATCCGCATCAGTTGCTTCACCCTCACCACCTAAAAGCAAATCCTTCTCCACAACAGCTGTGGCTTCTCCATTCACCCTAGCGAATAGAAGAACCAAGAGTTTTATTATTCAAACAATAAAGACAGCCAAAAACGAAAAGTCGTATATATCAAGAAGGACAAATTTTGTCAAGTGAAAAGAAAGCTTACGGAGGAATGTCATCCTCACTTGTTCCCCAGTTGCCACGTCCACCTCCATCACGTTTTAACTCATTTCTACATCATCAACAACGTTTAACAATTACAAACCGAACCGGGATCAAAACTGAACACGAGTAGCAACTAAGAACTAAGAAGCTCGCTTACCCGCGACCTGTTCCACTGTGACGGTCAAAGTTCCTACGAGAGTCACCTGAATCACCTCCACGGCGGTATCCACCAACATACCCACCACGTCTCGCTCCATCTCCTTCTTCCGAGCGTCTGTAAACGCTGTGTCCACTAGCAGGAGCATCATTGTTTCTCGAATCCCTGTTGTATCCACCAACTCTCGCACGGTTGTAACCACCACCGTCACGCCTTCCATCGCCACCGTCGCGCTTTCCACCAACGCCGCGACCTCCACCATGACCATTCTTGGCCTCCTTTACTACTAAAAAATAAAGAACAAGAAACAACATCTCATCAGATCAACTATATAGGCAAAGTAAAGCGAAGCTTAATGCTATCACTAAGATTGCTTCAAAGAAACATAAATACACAAAACCAATCAACACATTTTGGCTTTATTAGCTAAATCAAAGGAAAAGCAGCAAATCCAACAAAGTCTCAATCAGCCAAACTATAAACAAAATCAAAGAGGAAAATACTCACCAGCTTGAGCAGGCTGAACCGGAGTCGCTTTCTCAACCTTCAACGGCTTAGCCGCCACGATCTGGTTGATATCCTCTGAGTCATCGTCCAAGAGATCGAAAGGGTTCGTAGTCACCATTTCTTCCGGTCCGATTGAATCTAGAAGGCTTAACTAGTACCGAGGTTTATTTCTGAGGATTTTTGTTTCGGAGGATGAAAGAATCCTTATTACCTAGACGAATCCATGAAGAAGATGGAGAATAAAATTAAGAATCAGGGAAACGAAGATATGATTCGGAAAGCGTTGTTTCGACGCCCAAACAAAGAGAGCTAGAGAGACAGAGAAGATGAAGCTGCGATAAAGTAAAAACCCTAGCCGATGGCAGAACGAGAGAAGGAACTCCAATCTTTAAAAAACCCTCCTGAGTTGTTATCCTCTGCGGCGCGCCTCTGCCCTTAAATTAAATCCACGCCCTTCATTCTCCGCATTATTTTAGTTACCATAATATTATTGGGCCTCGCCGTGTCATAGAACGAATTTGTAATACCAGCATCTTAATTGGGCCAGGCCCGTTATTAGCACAAGCTTTATACATTTGAGGATATATACATCTAGGCCAATGATAGGACGACGAAAGTTTTTATCTGCCTTCTAAGCTTCTCAAAACACACATAAAACCAAGTAAAGACATCCTGTTTTTCTAGATTCTGATATGTCTCAACAATGACCGTTGTGTTCTCATGATTGCCGAGTATCTCTTGGACATCTCCACGAATATGTGCAAATTGTTGCTCATACTCTTTCTCGAGCCATTTCAAAGCAAGTAGTCTTCCGTTCTGGCATTGGCTTGTTTATACATTTAAGGATATATATGATCTTTGTTCAGATGACTTTAAATGCCCTTGTAGATTCATGTGGCATTGGTTCGTTTATACATTGAACATTCTCTCTTTCATTGCCATGAACATTTTCACTTTCTTCTCAGCAGTCTTTTCGCTTTCATTCTCAGCAGGAGCCTTGTCGCTTTCATTCTCACATGCACCTGACTGCTCCCAATCCTTCTCATCATCTTGCTCACATTCTTTCTCAACACCTTTCTCACTTTCCTCTTTGATGTGCATAAGCACGATATTACCTTGCTCGAGGAAACATCAACTTTAAAAGATGTTAACATATTCTCTACATCAGATCCCAAGAAAATAAAATTCCTCATTGTATCCATTTTCTCATGTGGTAGCTACCACCAAACTCGCTCGACTAAACCGTCTCCTATTTAATACTCCTCATAGATGCCATCAAAACATTACAACATCGTAAAATCAAGATCTACGACCATGCCGTGTTTCAAAGCTCCTCCAATATAACTGACTTTATCATTGCCTCTCTCCATAACTCCTTCATAATGCAAGTTGATTTTGAAAGTGTCACAGTGACTATAAAACCATGAGACTTATCAAAGAATCACCCAAAACTATAAGACAAATTAAACAATTACCTAATCATTGATAAATGCATACAGGCCGGCCCTGAGGCAAGCCCAATGAGCCTTTTGGCTTGGTCCCACATTTTCTAAAAGGAAATATATATTGATTTTGGCCCCCAAATTTTTAAAAATCGATTTTGATCCCAAAATTCATCAAAACTTTACTAAATTTTTCTGACCACCAATTTTTCAGGGCCGGCATGAAACAACGAAATGATTAAGATATTGTACATATACCTCATCGGAAATGTAGTCTCCTTGCTCAACGAACAGAGGCAAGCGATAACGAACCAAGAATATGGATTTAAATTCACCTAGAGAATATGAACTCTAGATTTTTATTCACCTAGGAGTTCGGGTTAAGTTAAGAAGAATTAGGTGTTTGGATTTAACTCTGAAAACTCAGATAAATTATATTTAAATGGGTAATCACTGTTACGAAAACTGGGGGATAAAAATTGTTGGACTAGGTGAAATTGGATGGAAAGTTTGGGTGAAACCAATTTAGATCGTAAAATGGGTCGTCAACCCAAACAAGAATTGAAACTTTCTCTCCGCCACGCATCTTCTGGGTTGGCGTAGACACGTCATCAGTTCAACAAAAAGACGTATTTAAAAGACCAAAACATCGTGTGGGCCTTTCTCATTTGTTAACCACGTCGTCGACACAAAGCAATCGTTTACGTCTCTCTCTCTCTCTCTCTTTCAGTCTCTCCTCACCGACGACGATCGCGCGAGGCCTTATTCTCCGTTTCTCACCGGAAGCTCGTCTTATTTTTCAATCGTAGATCGATCCAGCTACGAGATCAACCATGAATCCCGAATAGTACGAATCTTCTCTTTGCTTTTTTTTTTATTTATCACATCGTTCAGATCGATTAGCGTCTTTGAATTGTATAATATGCTCTGTGGTTTAGTTTTCGTCGGATCATTCCTTTTAGCACGAGATTTACGAAATTTATCTTAGCAATTTCCATTGATGACGGCTTTGCTATACTATCTGATCGATTACTCGGTTAATACACTCATTTCGTGGATCGTATTTTGGATTAGATCTAGAAAAATTCTGGCTGAGATCTATTGTTTCTCTTGAACACGGAGACGATTCTAGTTTTAGATTTAGATTCGAGGTTGTGAAAATTTTGGAGTTTGGGACTTGCGATTGCGTTTTGAATTCCGGGATTATTGACTCGTCTCATGTGTATCGTTTAGAGATATCGAAATGCTTACGAATCACCTCTGTCTTTTTAATCTGTAGTGACTATCTGTTCAAACTTTTGCTAATTGGTGATTCTGGTGTTGGAAAGTCATGCTTGCTCCTAAGGTTCGCTGTAAGTAATCATATTCTTTCTCTATATATTTGCCTCAGATTTTTCTAGGCCCTTGAGGATCTGATACTGGGCACCAATACATGTCATTGCAATTACTCTAGCTCAGTTTTCTTTTCTATGTGAATGTGCAGGATGATTCCTACCTGGATAGCTACATCAGCACAATTGGTGTTGACTTTGTAAGCATCTTCCGTTTTTTGTCAATTGGTCATATGCATGAATAATCACAAAATTTCTAATCGTGTAATCATCTTTTTGGCTAGAAAATCCGCACAGTCGAACAAGATGGGAAGACCATCAAACTCCAGATCGTAAGTTGTCTTTGAGTCATGTCAGCGTCTGAAATTTCTATGTGCATATGATCAAACTTCTTACTAATTACAATTACCAATCATGCAGTGGGATACGGCAGGCCAAGAACGTTTCAGAACGATCACTAGCAGTTACTACAGAGGAGCTCATGGAATCATTGTATGCTCATTATTATCCCAATAACAGTATTTCCTCTTGTTATTTGACATCCATCAACGAGACTCAACTGTTAATTATGTTCTGTTTTCAATTTTCGTCAGGTGACTTATGATGTAACAGACCAAGAAAGCTTCAACAACGTCCAGCAATGGCTAAATGAAATCGACCGCTACGCCAGTGAGAGTGTGAACAAGCTACTGGTTGGGAACAAGTGTGATCTCACATCACAGAGGGTTGTATCCACTGAGACAGCCAAGGTAAAATATCATAGTCTGCTTCTTTATTTTGTCACAGTTGAGATTCTTTGCCTGTAATGTTTGTTTTGCCAAACACAGGCTTTCGCAGATCAACTTGGGATCCCCTTCTTGGAAACGAGTGCCAAGAATTCCACCAACGTTGAAGAAGCTTTCATGGCCATGACAGCTGCAATCAAGACAAGGTAACTAACGCATGATTCGTTATCGAATGGTTACACTTGTAAACCAGGCTTAACCGGGGTTTTGTCTTGCAGAATGGCGAGCCAACCTGCTGGAGGATCGAAGCCACCAACGGTCCAGATCCGAGGACAACCTGTTAACCAGCAATCGGGCTGCTGCTCTTCTTAATTCGCTTCGCTGTTGGTAACAACTTAACCATATATTATCTCATTCGTTTGCATGTAAGACGTATGAACATCTTTGCTCCTTAATATTTCTGTATTTGGTTTTTCAATTCTTCGCAATTTATGTCCAAAAGCTTCTAAATTCTTTTGTAATGTACGTTTGAACAATAAGCTTCATTAGTAAAAGTTCTTCATGCCTATCTAACAGTCTGTAGAACATATTAAAAGTCTAAATGAAATAAATGTACATAGCTAAAGTATTCCACCAGAAATTGGAGAATGGTTTTGTTTTTTTTGGCCTCATTTAACTTTAAAAAAAAAACTAACAAACTTGGGTTCGAAGAAGAACAAAAAGAGCAAAATCCAATCTGAGTAATGTAGATTACAAAGAAAAAAGAGCCCAGACAGCTAAAGGACCCAATCGCCGGAGAGCCTTACTTGCCCAAAGTAGGGAACTGTACGGTGTCCTCAATTTTTGGTGCAGGAATTATTGGTGCAACAATCTTTGGTGCGGCAGTTTTTGGTGCAGCAGCTTCTCCGTTCCTCTGGTTTCCTCCTACAGCTCCTCCGTTCCTCTGGTTTCCTCCTCCTACAGCTCCTCCGTTCCTATGATCTCCGTACCTCTGATCTCCTCCTTCTCTTGGCCCACGTCCTCCCCTTCCACCACGGTAACCACCTCCACCTCTGTACCTCTCGCCATTCGCAGGTTTCAGAAACTCATTTATGCTCAGTGACTACAAGAATCACACAAACCACAAAAACGTATAAGCATGATAAAGATTTTGAATGAAATGCTTAATAGTTACTTGAAAACATTGTAGGCAAAATAGTGACCTTCCTGGTCTTCTCTTCTCTTTCAACCGTGCGCTTGTCCTTCTCCGTTCCCTGATAACAGGTTTTCCAGATTCAAATCAGCACACATTGTAGATAGAAAACAGAAAATTATCGAGACCCCCATATAAAATACTGAACAAATCAGATGAACTCACCAGTTTGATGAAGACATCATCGTTGTTGCTCTTCTTGCTCGAGAGCTGTTGCATGGAGTCGAACACTTTAGTGTCAACCTTCCTCTCCTCAACCTTGGTCGCCTGCAGAGCCTTCTTCTTCTCCTCCAAGATCTTCTCATACTCTTCCAGACTCATCACCTAAAAACATCAAATCACCATTACATGTCTTATCAAGCTGTGAATACATACAGAGATGAGATCAAAAGATGACACTGTCTATAACTTAACCTCAGGCTCTCTCTTTTCTCGGACTTCAACAGGTTTCTCTTCCTTCGCATCAGTTGCTTCACCTTCGCCACCTACAGGCAAATCCTTCTCCACAACTGCTGTGGCTTCTCCATTCACCCTGGCGATTAGAAGAACAAGAGTTTTATTATTCAAACCATAAAGACACAAAACTCATATCTATCAAGAAAAACCAAATTCTAGAAAAGACGTACGGAGGAATTTCATCCTCAGTAGTTTCCAAGTTGCGACGGCCAGCACCATCACGTTTGAACTCATTTCTACATCATCAATAACGTTTAACAATTACAAACCGAACAGGTATCAAACAGAAACAGAGCAGCAACTAAGAACTAAGAAAGCAGCTAGCTTACCGGTGACCTGTTCCACTGTGACGGTCAAAGTTCCTACGAGAGTCACCTGAATCTCCTCCACGGCGGTATCCACCAACATACCCACCACGTCTCGCTCCATCTCCTTCTTCCGAGCGTCTGTAGCCTCCGTTTCCATTGGCAGGACCATCATTGTTTCTCGAATCCCTGTTGTATCCACCAACTCTCCCACGGTTGAAATCACCACCGTCACGGTTGAAATTACCACCGTCGCGGTTGAAAATACCACCGTCGCGGTTGAAAATACCACCGTCGCGGTTGAGACCACCACCGTCACGCTTTCCATCACCACCGCGACCTCTACCATGACCGTTCTTGGCGTCCTTCACTACTAAAGATTTAAAGAAACATGAAACATCACATCAAATCAACTATATACGCAAACGATGCAAGTGTCAACATACAACGACCAAACAAAGTCAAGCGAAGCTTAATACTATCACTAGGATTGGCAGAAAAAAATACTCACCAGCTTGAGCTTGAGACAAAATACACAAAAACAACTTTCTTAGCCCAACCAAAGAAAAAAGCAGAAAATCTCTCAATCGACCAATATAAAACTTCAAGAAACAGAATCAAAACGGAAATTACTCACCAGCTTGAGAAGCCTGAACCTGAGCCGCTTTCACAACCTTCAATGGCTTAGCCGCTACGAGCTGGTTGATATCCTCTGAGTCATGGTCCAAGAGATCGAAAGGATTCGTAGTCGCCATATCTCCCCGGTCCGATTGAATCTAAAAGACTTAACTAGTCCCGAGGATTATTTTTCAAGGATTTTGTTTTTTGGAGGATGAAAAAACCCTTATTACCTAGACGAATCCATGAAGAAGATGAAGAACAGAAAATTTAAGAATCAGGGAAACGAAGATATGATTCGGAAAGCGTTGATTCGACGGAGAGATAAAAAGAGAGCTAAAGAGAGAAGAAGAGAAGCTGCGATAAAGTAAAAACCCTAGCCGATGCTCGCTGTATAAAAAGGCTTTGCTCGAACGAACGAACGAACCCCAATCTTTAAAAAACCCTCCTGAGTTATTATCCTCTGCGCGCGCCTCTACCCTTAAATTAAATCCACGCCGTTCCTTCTCCGCACGATTACATTAGTTACCAAAATGTAATATTGGGCCAACCGACTCAAAAAACGAGTTTGTAATACCAACATCTTAATTGGGCCAGGCCCGTTAACAGCACCGCTTTATGCATTTGAGAGGATATGAGCTTCTTTCTCGAATCTTTTAAGGGACTTTGATTTCTCCTGCAAAATCCGATCGAGAGAGGTAAATAGAAAGATCCGAAGATGGCGAACGAGAGTTCTTCAGGGAAGAGATGGCTTCCACTTGAAGCTAACCCAGAGGTTATGAATCAGGTAATTGTGTTCTTCAACTTTTCCTTCTCCGATCATTGGAAAAACGAATTATAGGTCGATTCAGTGATTTTGGTGTGTGAGTCAGTTTCTCTCGGGACTTGGTCTCGCGCCAGATGAAGCAGAGTGCAATGATGTGTTTGGATTAGACGACGAGCTTCTCGAGATGGTGCCAAAGCCTGTTCTCGCTGTTCTCTTCCTTTACCCCATCACCAAAAAGGTGTAATGATCAAACTGAAATTCCATCTTTTGGATTCGGAAAATTTTCTGCTTGTTGTTGATTGATTGAGTTTTGCTCTGTAGAGTGAAGAAGAGAGAATCGAGCAAGACAAGGTGATCAAGGAAAAGGTGAGAGTTCCTGATCAATTTTTGTTTTTCATGAAAAGGAATGTTTCTGCAAATCTAGCCTCATTCATCATTCATGATTAGGTGCATAGTGATAAAGTTTACTTCATGAAACAAACTGTGGGTAATGCTTGTGGAACCATTGGTCTTCTTCATGCTATTGGGAATATTACCTCAGAAATCAAGCTTTGTGAGTTTTTTTTTCAAACTTCTCTATGTGCTTCTCCTTGAATCTTAAGTACACAAGTCCTTAACTTTTATCACTCACTTTCTCCTTGCTTATTCAGCTGAGGGATCGTTCTTGGATAAATTCTTCAAATCCACTGCCGATATGACTCCTATGGAGGTTTCTCTTTCCTATCCATTTCTTCTAGATTTGATCTCTTATGGAGGTTTGCTTGACGCATAATGTTTTCTATGGGAATTAATTATGATAGCGTGCGAGGTTTCTTGAGAACGATAGTCAAATAGAAGATGCTCATTCTGTAGCTGTTACAGCTGGTGATACACCTGTAAGCTTTGATGCTCATATGTAGATTTATGTTAATAACCTCTTCATTGGTTTAGATGTTTCATTGCTTACTTTTCTCCATCTTCAGGCTACAGACGACGCGGACACGCATTTCATCTGTTTAGCTTGTGTAGATGGTAACGACTTCTCATCATAAATAAGAACACTGAGATGAAAAATCCACTTCCAAATTGGAACTAAAGCATTATGGCATGTAAATGCAGGTGAGCTCTATGAACTTGATGGAAGAAAAGCAGGACCAATCTCACATGGTGGTTCCTCTCCAGCTACCTTGTTGAAGGTACTAATAAACCCTTTTGCACTCTGTAATGCTATAGATTCCGGGAATATGCAATGGATTCTGTATTTGAGAAACTCGTTTAACACTTTGCATATGTTTGGTTGTGTATTGTTAAACTCTCAGGATGCGACGAAAGTGATCAAGAAGATGATTGAGAAGAATCCAGGCTCGCTCAATTTCAATGTGATAGCTATCTCTAAGAGAACCTGAGGCTCTTCTTAAGGAGGCAAAACTCACAAGTCTTGGTTTCTGAGTTTATGACTTTAATGACACACAGAGGTTGATTCTGTTTTTACTGCATTCTGAATCTTCTTTTCTTGTTTCTGAAATGATGATGATCATGGTTTCTAAGAGAATGCATTTCTTGCTTAGTGTAAGCACTTTTGTTTTCATTTTCAACCACATCGTCTGCTTTGTGCTCTGTATACACACTCTGACATGTAGTAAGCATTTCCACAATCTTCCATCAAAAATTATAATACAAAACAAAAAAATCTGACCCCCAAGAAAAGGAAAAGGGTAATAAGTATAACTAATAAGTAAACAATTTGCTAAACTTTGCTTTACAAGCAGCATCATTGTGATTATCACTTGCTAAATATTGTAACAAATTAATATGCCAAAAAATATATAATCGCAACTAAAAACTGAAATACTGTGTGATATTGTTATTTTCTTGGTGGATTCAACTAGTGGAATTTAAGAACCAAAATAATCAAGAAGTACGAAATGTTTAGTCAAACCTTCATCGAGTCAGTAAATTTAAACGGTCACCTTTTTTCTATAACTAGTAAGTATATTGTCAAAGACATTTTAGATGTTAATGGGAAATACAATTAAGCTTAATTTGTTACCTTATGAAACTTCCTTTAAAAAAAGTGAGACTATATATAGAAGTAGCCGTTGAATTTAAATTGGCAATATTTACTCTTCGTAAGGAAACTATAACAAGACACGAATCTATAAGAGTTGGAGATCTATTCCAAATACCAAATCATTCTGTATTTTCTGAAAGACTAGGACTTTCACCCGCGCACGCGCGGGTCTGTATCTTAAATCAGTTTAAAATATATTTTAATTTTTTTTTTAAATTGCAAAAATCAACAATTAAAATTTATCAATATTTCAATACCAAAACTCTCTGGAAAACAAAAGTTTTTAGATATATCAATATCGTATTGAGATCAAATCTTGACATACAAAAATATTGTTTAGATCATATCCCGGTAACAAAAATGTTTGTATATGTCTAATGACCAAAACTTACTTGAAGATATTCAAATCATTATAATAGGACAAACTTACTTTATCACTAAACTTACTTGTAAAATGTAATGTTAATTTATGAACTATTGTGACGTGTTAGTCATTTTCTAAACAGAAATATATTTTTAAATATGTTTAGTGAAATTCTTAAAATTAGATGTCAACAATATTTGTATGTAACATGATGTTTATTTAAAATAACTTCAGTTGGTTATGTTAGAACTTAAAATGCTATAAATAACAATATTTGTATGTAATAAATTTAAGCTAGATGATAAACTAATATTTTGGTAAGTTTTCAATGGTTATAAAACCTAAAACCTAAATGAAGAGAAGCTAGTCGACACACATAATTGTTCTTCATTTTCTTCTTCTGTTGTTTTAAAGTTTTTTTTAATTTTCTTTGATTCATTCTTTTTCAGTATCTTATGTTTTGTTTTCTTCTTTGTCTTTGGTCTTATTTGATTTCTTCTTCATTTTCACTCATCTTCGCGTTTGCTCTTCTTCGTCTTCGCTCTTCTTTTTTTTCTCTTTTTTGTTTTGTTTTGATTTGGTTTCTTCTCCTTTGTTCTTATTTTATTTCCTCTTTAGATTGGTCTTCGCAAGTTTTTTTGTTGTTGTTGTTAGGTTTCTTCTCCTTCGTTCTTGTTCGAATTCCTCTTCAAATTGTTCTTCACAAGTTTTTAATATGGTTTTTCCTTATTCATCTTTGTCTTCTTTGGTCTCTATTTTGTATTCGCAATTCAATATCTTTGTTTTCGCTATTCTTCGGTTTTATCTTGGTACTCTTCTTCTTTGTGTCTACTTTTTTCTTCATTTTTTTTCTCTTATTTCTGTAGGTTATTCTCGACCCTTAAAATTCTGCATGGCTCTATTCCTCTTAAATTTAGAATAAATTATAATTAAATAAAACACAATTTCGTTACCTGAAAAACTGAAAATAAAATCAAGCTAGAATGACTTATTGAACAAAATATATTCAAAACAGGCCCTTTGAATGTCATATGTAAATACTAAAATGAGAAGAAATTTATCTTATTCTGTTTTTCATAAATTTACTTTTGTTTATATTCCTTCTCTTTCAAGTGGCATCTTTTAAAAATACTACTTATAAACACATGAATATGTAAATATTACAAAACATTGAAAAAACAAAAATAGAAAAATAGAAAAGGAACAAAATACAGCCTTCTATTGTGTTTGCCTTTTCCTTTCAATTTGTGTCATGTAATCACTATTCTGATTTTTTTTCTTTCTTCATAATCAATATTATTTTCCCCATCGAAAGCTTACTAATTTAGGAGCAACAATTCACTTTTGATTTAATCTACACTTTGGTAATTTCGATTCCTTGTTCTCTTCATAGTCCTTTGAATTTTTTGTGGTAATGTAACTTATTTATTAATTAATTGGATGTGCTTCCATTATCAAAATACAAAGAAAATCAATTGAACACCATAGACCAGATAATATTCGAAATAAAGCAAGCGAATTTATTTATTTCACAGAAGGACATGTATACCTTCAGTGTGATGCCCATTGTCTTTGTTTCAATCATTCCTTTGCTTCATGATTTTTCATTAATCCACTACATATCCTTTAGAAGAATTGATCGATCTATGTGAACTTTCAATATGTGATGTCAAAGTATCTTGTCTTCAATATATATCCCTCCATCTTGTTTCCAGGTGGTTTCTCGATGTTGGATTTGTTTGATCTTATATCAAGCTCTGACGTGAACATATGTTTATTCATGTAAGCTACATTTGATCAAAATCCAGTTAATACAATTGTAGCTTTTGTAGGTGTTAAAAAGGGAGGAGATGACTCTTGGTATATATAAGAAATAGATGGCAAAAGTGTGTTAGGGTTTTTAATTTTTATTAGCTAAAGGAAAATTTCCTTATTTGTTTCCTTATTTAATTTCCAATAGTATTATTATTTGTTTTCTTTTTTCTTAAAGGAAAATCTCCTTTTTTACAATTCTGCTGATAAAAATAAAAAGTAAATTAATGAAAAAAAATTCAAATATAAATAATTTTAGATGTTGATATATAATGATATTGTTGGTATAATTTTCTTATTTATTACATATCTCTACTAATATTACACTTATAAATTCTGGAAACTTTCCTATTGCTTACCTTTGAATTATGAAACTTTCTTAAAATATAAAAATATAAAAAGGAATTTAACTAATTGAACAAATAGCTAATTTTATGTGATGATGTGGACTGATACTATTGGTTGTTTAAAATTCGGAAACTTTCTTAATCTAGGAAATACTTATGTGGACCAATCATATCGCGTTTTTAAATCCTATGTGGACGCTCTTAGAGGCTTATAGCCTCAACTTTTATATAGTATAGATTTAGAACAAATCTTCCACACACAAAATTGTCTTCCTAAACTTCTCAAAGAAAATCTTAGAAATGAATCCACAAAAAAGATGCGCAGCTTGCAAATACCTCAGAAGAAGATGTCCTCAAGATTGTGTTTTCTCACCTTATTTCCCTCCAAATATCCCCCAGAAATTCGAATTTATTCACAAAATCTATGGAGCTAGCAATGTCGCTAAGATTCTTCAGGTATATATCTTTCTAGGTCTTTTTTTTTTTTAAACAATCTTTCTAGATCTTCTTACTCTTATTTTCCTTGTTTATACTTTTGTATATAAACATTCAATGTGAAATCATTTTACTATATAAAATATTATTAGCATAGTTGTGGTTGTAGAATAATATTCAAAGTCATCGTTGAATGATAGAAGTTCAAATTTCTAAACCTCTTTAAACTTTTAATATAATTAGCTTATTAGGTCAATGTTATGGTTGAGTTGATAACTTGAGATCTCATGTTTAAAAAAAAAAAAAAAAACATGACTACGAAGGAGAGGCCTGACTTTGAATCATGTTTACTTTATTTTCATTAGATTCTTATAGATAAGTTTAAGTCGACATTTTATTTAAATTGATATCGTATAAAACACCTATTATATTGCGTGTTTTTGTTACACTCTTAAATGGAAAATCATATGGTTTGCTAATTTTGTAAATGGTTTTGACTTGAGCAGCAACTTCCACAAGACGAAAGATCAGAAGCAGCAGAATCTCTCTACTTCGAGGCACAATGCAGAATCGAAGATCCCATCTATGGTTGTGTTGGGATTATCTCTTTATTACAATCCCAAATTCAAGAAACCGAAAATCTCGTAGCAAAAACAAACGCTGAGATTGCTCTTGTCCGAACCACCACCTTGCACAATTCTAATTTCTTTTTATTAAATTAATTGATCTGTATGATTAGGAACTTCTTCTATAAATTATTTATCGATTTGGTTATTACACTCGAAACGATCTTACTAATAAAATAAAACTATTGTGGCAGTTAGCTCTCTATTAGATTTTGTTGTTTACTTGTTTGGTCGTATGTTTAGAGCATGTTTATTGGGGAGATCTTAATAGATCGCTTAGCCCAAATTTAATTCGAAACTAAATAAAAAACGAGAATCCGACAAGCGTCGCAGCTTATTGCCACGTGGCACGTTTTCATTGGAAGGTTGATACTGAGAGATTTTTTTTTGTTTTCTCTTCGTTCTTTTACTTTCCTTTCTCTCTCTTCTCTCTCTCTCTCTCTCTCTCTCTCTCCCGTCTCCGATGGCGATTCACCTCTTGGATCGATTCCTGCCGATTATTAGAGGAATTTGAATTTGGAAGTTCTTTTGTGTTTCTAAAAGATTGTTCTTTTGTGTTGTTTAGGAATTTGGAAGTTCTTACAATTGTAAGTTATATCATCAGGTGACTAAGGTTGGTTAAGCAAATAAAGGCTATGACATGTTTGTGTCTTATGATGCTGATTACTGATCTTAGTGCTCTTTAATTAGGTTGATAATCTCATGACTGTTTTCACATAATTTGGACGTTTTTTAGGGCGTGAATACTTAAAGACTGATCTTGGTAGCATTGGAAAGATATTCTTCTCATCTTTCCAGAACATCCAAGATCACGGTAATCAGAGGTATATTTTTAGAGATATGGCTATTTGGTTTTGAGAAGTCAAATATGTCAAAACTTGAAACTCTCATATTTTGTTTTTCTGTTTCTACTCAAGTTTTGTGAAGATATTTCCTAACGATCAGTAAGGAAGCAGTAGTCAATCTACGTACGGTTTTGAATATCTCGAATCCAGCTCTCCAGATCTTCTTTCCGTTCTCATATCCAAGGTATAGTCCATCAGAAAATCAGTTTGAAAAATGACGAAAAATCTCTGTTTTCTGTTTCCCGAAAATTGCAGCTTTTTGTTTTTGATTGCAGTTTTGATACCGGTAAGAAGAATCTATAAGCACATCTGCTTCTTGTAGCTGATTGTCTCTCTGTTACTGGAGAGTTTGTAGCAATAAACGCCAAAGGTTGGAGCAAACAAAGACAGGTCGAGTCCACTCATGCACCATTTACTCAAGCATGCTTCTCGCCTTCTCGGTATGTTGGACTAAATCCTTTGTTTTTCAGCTTTTAGCAAGCTTAGTTAGGATTTGATTTGACTCTTAATCTCTACAGAGCCCAAGCCAGGCTTTGGTAAACTCGGAGAAGCAAACAAATCAAGACATAACTCATACAAGTCACTCCTCTTTGTTTTTTACAAGTCACAAATTCTTGGAAACTTGTTGGCTCTCATGTGACATTATGTGACATTGTGTCGATGGATTTGTATCTTATTTGACATTGTCTCGTTGTAAACACAAAGTTTGTCTCTCCCCACTATATATTCAATGGTTAACTACACTTATTTACTCACATTTTAGTCTCTCCTCTCTCTTCTTCCATAACAATTTCAATGATACAGAAGTTTTAGAACAAGTCTCTCCTATTTATTTGTCCTCATTTAGCCATTTTTGTTGCAAACACAAGATTTTGACAGAATATTTCTTTCTGTTTATAATTTAAAAATATATTTGGAAATAGCCAAGAAATTCCTTTATATACAGATTGTTCGAGATACTTATCATGTCGACTAAGTTTGTAATTCTGTTTATTTTCTTGAATTTTATGTTTAAAATGTTTTGTATGTCAAATATGTTCCAAATTTCAGTCTATGTAATATATTTTTATGTTTTGTTCATTAATAAAAAAATTAAAAAAAAAATTCTTAAGCACCCCAAAATAAGATACTCCCATTAAAGCTAACTAAAACAGAGAATTCTTAACAGAAGTGCTAACACACTTTTAATAATTAAAAATGTTTTAAGCACCAGCATAAGCATCCCCCATTATACATGCTCTTATATCAGTTTGTGGTTGATTTAGTAATTATTTTTAGTTCTGTGACTGTGTGTCTTCTTCTCCAATAATTAGATTTAATACTTTTATATAAATACATCTATCACAAATATAAAAGTATGATTCAACTAAAATACTAATTTTTATATAACGAACGAACGTCTAATTAAACTCTTGTGACGTTTGTTGCTTAGACATTACAATCATCTATTTCAGATATTCAAATCTATAATCGTATATTACAAATCCAGAAAACTGAAATTTCTCTCTTTGTTTTCAATCACAAATGCTATAGTTTTCACTTGACAAAAATTGGTCCCACTTGTAATGGGAATGATTTTTATACAAGAGTTTAAGTTTCCTTTCATAAAAAGTCTGATCCCACTAAGAACTAGAATGATTGGAAGATTAATCAATAAATGAATTTCGTATAAACATTTTCTCGTTTTGACTTTTTGGGAGAAATTAGTAGAGAAACCAAACGACGGAAAAACAAATTACAAAACCAGTAACTGATCGCCACGTGTCATTTCAACAACCTCGCATTTGACCTTAAGTCCATTATCCGTTCCCTGACCGGCGGCGTTTACGGAAGCCACTGTTCTCCTCCGCTTTGAAGCTCCGTTATCGGAAGCAGAAGCTCTCTTGGACTTTATCCGAACCGGGTCGGGTTCTCCCGAGTTAACTCTCAACGGAAAATTCAACAGAGCGCGGGAACCACGCATCCTGAAAGCCGCTCTGTCGTAAGCCAACGCCGCGTCTTCCGCCGTCTCAAACGTCCCTAACCAAACCCTAGCTCCGTTCTTCGCCGGATCTCTTATCTCCGCCGCAAATTTTCCCCACGGCCTCTGCCTCACCCCTCTGTAATGCTTTCCCTTCGCCGCCACCGCCGCCGCAACCGGACTCGTCTTCTTCACCTGAGCCGAGTCCACCGCCTTAAAACTCTCGGGAGACTCTGCTTTCACCGCGGGAAAAGAGCTCCGGTCTTCGTCAGACGACGAAGAAGACGGTTCCCACCCGCCGTGGAAAGCGTCGTTGAGGATTCCGTAGACTAACATATCCTCCGAATCGTTTTCTTTCAACGGCAAATCTCCCCAGCTCTCGGTGAAGCAAGGGTACAACTTGCTGAAGCTCGGGTTTCTTCCGTACACCGGTTTCAAGCTCTGACCGGTTGTACAAGATTGCTCCGTCGAACTCGCCATCGTCGGCGCCTCCGACTCTCCGAGTAAGTGTCGCCGTATTGACTCAAGAAAAGCGTAGTCTGATTCCGCCGCCATAATAAACAAAGAAATCTTGAAGATTCTTTTGTTCTTGCAAATGTTTTTTGGTTTCTTGAAAATGTTTTTTTTTTGTTTTTTGGTTTGTTCTGTTGGAATATTGAAATTTGCAGTGGGAATGAAGGTAAAGAGGTTTTTGATATATTTATATAGAGAGTGGATTGGGACATAAGGTTCATGAACCTGGAAAATTTTGAATTGACAGAGACGTACTATTCTTGTCAATAATATTTGTTTAGTAGTCTAGTGGGTGATTGATTGAAAAAGTTGAAAAATATGAAAGTAATGGATTTTTCTCGTTGCTATGAAGGTTCGTGAATTAAAACACGTGCGGATTATCCAGATAAGACACAAAAAAAGTAGCCGTCAAGGGTGATGTCACGCAATCTACGGAAGCAATGTTGTGATTGGTCTCATCGTCTCTCAACTTGTCTTCGCCTTGTCGCTCAGTGTTTGGATATTTAGTAGCTTGAAGCGTCGGTTTATAAAAGCAAGTTTTGTCAAACAAATCGTTGTTGATAATATAACAAGGTTCGTAGAATCCATGAACGTTTCATTTCATTTTTTTCGCTAGAACAGATTATTCAGTTATCTTAGTAATGTATTACTATATAGTTTTATATATATATATAGATGTAAATTGCTTCATAAAATACCATTCCGCCTATACAAATAGGATTTTAATTGTAATTAGTACAGTATTGAGTATAAATTCTGCCTATATATTTAGGTAAATAGCTATAGTATATATCATCATAAATTTAATAAAGCAGTATTCAGACTTTAAATATATGTATACTGTTTTTTTTTCACTATTTGTTAACCTCAAAGCATTGGCTCCATACTGTAAATGGCTGATTAATTATGACAGATATTGATGTGCACATTTCTTTAGTGGGTCACAAACAGTTAAACATGTTTGGTAAGAAAAATGTAGGTTCGTATTTTTTTGTTTGTGTAGGCCGACAGTCTCACAATTGCTTTACTCTATCTATGACAGCAATTAACAAGTAATGTTAAATATAACCTCAAACCTCTCATATCTTTTTGGATTTCTCTCTTTTCAGTAAAGAATCTCACGTACTAATCCCAACTATTTTAGCAGATCTCTTAATGTCTAAACTGATCCAAGTAATCACTGATGTTATAGGATGTCTAAGTATTGTGCGCTTTCTATGATGGTTAGATGAATAAACTAACTCGTGCTATGATACTTCTGGAATAATAAATGTTTAGTCGGATTTGGACAATCGTGTGCGTGCTACAAATTTATGAGAAACTATTCAGTATCATATCAGTTATCCCGAGAAACCGATAATTGTACCATCTTGTAAAAACGAAAGATAACTAAAACGGCAGAAGAGCGGTTACCATCATCTAGACATTCGTGACAAACTGTCATTTGTTCTTTAAGATCAATCATAATCAGTATGACACTATAAGATTATGGAATTACAGATTTTGGTGAGTGATGTGTTGTTTTTAAGGCTGTAACGAACGTCGCCACAATCCATCGGTTTAATTCGAAGTTAATTTAGAACAGCTTTTTTGTTTTTTGTTTTTGATCCAATACGTTCATTTTCTTTTTTTGTTTGGAGTCAACAAGATGAGTAAAATTTTATGATGAATATTATCGTGTATACTATTCGAGAGTTAATAAATATTATCGTAACCGTTTAAGGCTGAGTCGTTAGCTCATGACACGTCAGCTTTGAAACTGACCAAATCCGGTCGTGTAAGACTTTTGACCGTAGAACTTTCAAACTTCCAACAATTAGCCTACAAACATATGTACGTGCAGACAATCCGCACGTGCGTCTCCACTGTAACTTTTGAGTTCTCCAACAAAGATGATAAAAACTCTTTTGAGCATAAAAAATGTTTTTGAAAAAAGCAACAACAATCTTCCAGCTTTTAAATAACAATCACATTCTAAGCTATGAGAAATACAAATACAGACTTGGTAGACGAAAGCTCTTAGTTATAAGGTTATGTATTTTGTTTGTAGCCTTAAGTAACTTATTAATTATGTCTTCCAAATTTGTTTTGTTATGTTGATATAGATTCCGAGAGAGATTAGAAAATATCATGTTTCTGTTAAAACAACGTGAAGAATAAGGTCTTAATTTCCTGATACTGTATTATAAAAAATCCCAATCTTGTAATGAAAACATATGTAGCTGTAAAGTAACGAAAAAGATACAATTAGTGTAATCGGTTTTTCTCTTTTGACAAATTCGTTGTCTTTCAGTTTCAAATTGCACATTTAATAAATTAGCAAATGTAATACCTGCACGTGCTCAATCGTAAGTTTTGAAAGAGACAAGATACATGCACACACCCGGTTTTATTTCGAATAAAACAAACTTAAGAGTCCAAAACAAAATTCGAATACTAATTAGATAAAAATTCCAAGTGAAGATAAAATAGTGTTCATAAAGATTAACTAATTATTTTCAATTTCCATTGCTTAGATACAGATAATTCATGATATTGATAGCGACACCAAAAAAAACATATTCAATTAAGAAAGTTTGGGATTTGAAAGTGTTTCTGTTGAATGGAACTCAAGAAGAAGAATACTAATTCAAGCATGAACTAAAATATACACGAATGATCAAACTTTTAGTTCTTATAATTATTAAAGTATTCAACTTCCCTTAACAAAGATTTAGACTTTAAGTCTTTAACCTTTTATTTTTTTGGTAAAAATCTTTAAGACTTTAAATTGCGTGTTGTCTAATATATCTTGGTTATACGAGCTAAACCAACTATCGATTATTCAATTGAGTAATGACGCTGAACAAAATGAACATGGCATGCCATGCCATGTCGGCCAAAAAGCAAACAATTTTTTTGCCCTTCACTAGATTTGCAGCCCAAAAGAATAAATAAATTCGATAAATGTCGAGGACTAAGACGCTAACGCTGTAATATGCATATCGATGGCTTTAATCTCATGCGATAGTATGATTTTTCATCAGATTTGTCTTAATGTCATGGTATCTAATCAAATGACTATTTTTAGATTTGTCTTAATGCCACGGAAAAGGAGAAACAGATTTTGCTCCTGTTTTAAAAACTCGTGCCAACTTTTGGGTTTAGGTCGTTTTCTCTGTTAAACATTGATAGTATAACGTATAAATTTAATTTGGTGTTTCGATGACTATGTAATCTTTCATTTAAAAGTAAATCAGACATTTTTGTTTTTAAAACTATGTAATATATATATATTTCATTTTTCGATGACTACGCCGCTTCGTTTGTAAACTTAGTTCAAGCATGGATCAACTTAAAAGTATTTGTGATGAATTTAACCAAAAGAAAACTGTGATGAGCGATGAAGTAAGCACATTCGTATGAAAACGTAAAGAGTATATATAGAGCAGTAGATCACGTTCGAAAGCAGCAAAGGCAATGAAACATGGTTAATTATCGCATAAGTAAACTCAAGATTACATGTTTAAAAATTATATGATTCATCGAAATAATTTTATCAATGAAGAAGAATTCCATCGGTCTTTATCTATCCGCTGTTCGAGTCTATATAAAACATGATGTACACGATTTTTCAATAAAAATAAAAAAATTCGGCGTAATAGTTAAAACCAGTTTCCATTACAACCTTAACAAACGAGTTTCAATCGTCGTTGAAACCAAGATTATCCAAAATTGATCAGTACGTTGACACGGCCGATAACTTTTGATATTGAAAATGCATGCATGTGAACAAATGATTACAACTTCAATTAATCAGATGTCGACATGAACAATTCAATTAAAATTAGGACTACTAATCTTTTGATTATCATTCAATCCTCACCTAATCTCCAAAAAAAAACAGCACAAGTGCCCTAAATCAAAAGTTCGCAGTCTAGTGGTTATTTTTTTAACCGCAGCTGCCATCGCTGAACCACACGATCATTACCGTTGACTAAATGGTTCATAGTCTTAATCAAACGGTGTGAAATCAACGAAACACGCTAGTCTAGAAACACCCTTTTGCATCTGATCACTTTCTTGCATTTAAATTTAAAAATTGGAAAGGATGTTGCCTTGAAAGAGTCTCTCCTTTGACTTGACTATTTCCTATTTAAACATTTCCACTCTCTCTTCTCCACTGTCAAATCCTCCCTTCTTCATTCAATCATCATCTCCCTCCTCCGATTCCTCTCTTTTCTCCATATCTTCGAGCTCGATCTCTAATGGCCACTCCAAACGAAGCTTCAGCTCTTTTCCTCATCAAGAAACACCTCCTCGACGAATTTTCTCCGCTGCCTAACCTCACCAGCAATCGATGGATGAGCGAATCGGCAGCTTCAGAATCAAACTCTGATTTTTTCATCTTCCCGTCGTTTGATCAAACCGGTTTCGATTTTTCCGAATTCGAGACCAAACCGAAAATAATCGATCTCGTGACGCCCAAATTCACAGAATCTGAGATTGCTGATTTCGAGCTAAAACCTGTAATTGATTCGAACGACTCCTTCACCTTCCAATCGACTCCTCGCGTCGTTTCTGATTCAGTCTCGCAATCGAATCGGAAACCGCCGCTGAAGATCGCACCGCCGAATAGAACCACCGAGTGGATCCAATTCGCAACCGGAAACAATCCTCAGCCGAAACAGCTTCCGGTACCGGTACTCGCAGAAGAAGAGAAGAGGCATTACAGAGGAGTGAGGATGAGGCCGTGGGGGAAATTCGCGGCGGAGATCCGAGATCCAAACCGTCGCGGGACTAGAGTTTGGCTCGGGACGTTTGACACGGCCATCGAAGCTGCTAGAGCTTACGACCAAGCAGCGTTTAGGCTCCGAGGCTCGAAGGCGATTCTGAATTTCCCGCTTGAAGTTGAGATGTGGAATCCACGCGCTGACGGTGGCAAACGGAAGCGAGACGGAGGGAAAGAAGAAATGACGGTGGCTGCGAAAGTGTTAAAGACGGAAGACAGTCACGCCGTTGAGCCGGCAACGTCGAGTTTGACGGCGATAGATGACTGGGACTTGACGGAGTTTCTGAGCATGCCGCTTTTATCGCCGTTATCTCCACACCCACCGTTTGGTTATCCACAATTGACCGTTGTTTGAATGTTTTGACTTTTTCTGTTGGGTCAGCTTGCTTTACGCTGACGTGGTATTATGGATATACACATGTGATCTTTTGCTCTTGTTTGTTGCACATTGGAGGAAGATTATTCATTTATTTGTTTTTAACAAGACTTTCAAAGTTTCAAACATATATATATATATTTTTTTCCATCTATAATTTTATTAAAATCAGTCATACATGGTGTTACACACCTAACCAAACTTACATAGCCCAACAAGGGAAACATAGCCGTCGGAAAGTGAATTATGAATTAATTCCCCGGAAACAGAGCCGATATAAAGAGTTTTAGTTCCCCGAAAATACGGGAAGAAAACAAGATAACAAACCAAAATAAAATAAGATTGCCATAAATCTCAAAACCTAAATGCCAGATCTAAGAAAGAAAAGAAGACAAGTTTCTAAACCTTTATCCTCTCTTGAAAGAAGGAGATTTCAGAAATGAAAATACCATTAGCAAATAGCAACAAAGACCGATAAGGCGCAACCATCACTGTTGAGCAGCCTCAGAGAAGCCGGAGCAGGAACAAGAACACCGGTTTGAAGCAATGGAACCCAACCAGATCTCGACCAGATCTGTAGGTAGTATCTAGTGGAGGAGACGAAACGACGCCTCCAGAACCGCCTCTGCCAAACCTCGAAGAGTAGGTAAGCGGAGAGGATGGTCGATTCGGAGTGTGGTCCAAATAGATCCGGCAAAGAAGAAAAGGACTTACAGCAATAGAACAAAGTCCACAGGTTTGAAACAGAAGCAAACTAGATCTTCAAAAACCTTTCAATCCCGAAACAAAAGATCTAGATCTAGAAAGTAGTCTGTCTCCGTAAAAAGGAAAAGCTAGAGGAAGAAGATCTAAACCCAAGCAAACTAAAGCTAACAGATTAAACAAAAGAGTCATGACGTCGTGGCTGTGGAAGCCCACCGACGCCGGCTAAAAACTGGATCTGAACGGGGAAAAAGAAGAGAGAAGGGAGAGAAAAGACTCTAGTTTCAAACATCCTAAAAATAAAAAAAGACAAAAAAATTATAAAATCAGTCCCGTGGAGAGAATAATTAAGAAAAAAACATATCGAAAGAACACGAAGCTGCGTTCTACTTGACTTTGATAAAACTGTATCAGGTTCACGCGTCACGTCCTTAGTTATATCATGTGTGAAACTGTGAATACGTCCTTAACAAGTTTCTATGAGTGAGACACTTTTTTCAAATATGTCAGAACTCTTTTGGGGTATATTTTGCATGTGTGTAGTATTGTTGGACTTTGGCCTATTAATTCATAGGAGAATTGGCAATTTACCCCAAATTGAAAGTGTTCTTGTCCGTTTACACCTTACCATTTCCTCTTTGTCCCAATATCTTTTTCTTTTTAACAAATTTCTCAGTTTTGCCTCTCTCTTCAGTTCAGGTTTTAATTTATTATTTTTTTAATTAAAATTTTAAAATAAATTAAAAAGGTAAAACTAATAAAACTAATTAACAAAACTAAAAAACCGGGAAAAACCATATCTCTCCTTTTCTCATTGCGCCGATGGCGAAACCTAATCCCTTTTCAATCCGAGAAAAACAGTTCTCTCCCTCGCCGTGTTCTCCTCCTCCGTCTCATGTGTTCTCCTTTTCTCCCGATTCACTTCATCTCCTCGCGATTCATTCGTTCATCTGCTCGTGATTCGCAGAGTCTGCTCGCGATTCATTTCCTTTTGTCGCGATTCACTTCAACGATTCGTTGTACTAGCGATTCACTTCATCTGCTTAGTGACAAGGTTAGTTTAATCTCGTGATGTCTTCTGTTCACCTAATTGGTGGCTTCTCTTCACACGATTTTTGTAGAAATAGGTTTGCAATTGAAGATTTGATGATTTGCAATTGGGGTCTCAGATAGTTGTCTGACATGAAAATTGATCTGGGGTTTCAATATGAACACTCAAATCTGCGTTTCTGTATCATTTAATGCAATATTTTCTTGATAATCATTTGATTGTAGTTTTGTTCAATGCTATTTTGGTTTGTTGATGCTTATGATACTTTCGTGGATATGTTTGATGAAATAGATGAACTTTATGGCTATGGCGTGCTTAGATAGATTGTCATATCTTTGAATTTGTTTGTTTTTTGCCTTCTTTTAACGTGGTCTTACGCGTCTGAAGTGATGTTGATGTCATGTTGCTATAGATTTAGTACTCTCTTTTCCTAAATTCTTGGTCAGTAAATTGTTATCTACAAATTATACTCATTGCATGTTTTTTTGCTATAATATCGTGCTTTTTTAATACTTTTGGCTCCATTCTCACCTTTTAAACTGATGATAACTCCATCTTTTTCTCCTGTTTCCGGATTCTTGTGGTTGCTTTCTGGTTGATGTCTTCATACAAAATCTTGTATCCTCCTCAACTATCTAGGTAAATGTTTTCTAATTTACTTGTTGGACATACTGTTTGCAATTGATAGGTTTCCGAATTAATTAGACATGTAGTGCCTTGTTTTGTACTTACGTTTCCGACATAGTTGTTTAGATTTAGTGGTTTTCCTGAGTTTTTTAAATCTCTTTTTAGTTGCTAAAAAAAAAATTTCTAATCTCTTATTCGCTGCTTTTTTTTGTTAACTCTTATCCGCTGCTCTTGGTTGTCAAACTATTGTTATGCTGTATTATTCATGCTCTTCTTGTTTTCTTATTTAATTCTTAAATATTGTTACCCTTAATTGCATCTATGGATTCCGAACTACCTAAGAGATTGTATGAGGAAGGAGCCGAACCACTAGGTGATAAGATAAACAAGTGTGCAAGGATATCGATATTGAAGGTTCTTGCTACTAATATCAAGTCATAGTACGACGAAGTGAAGAGAGACTCGTTGTTTGCTCATATCATAGGCATCTACGAGAACATGCTTTATTTCTCTGCAAAATTGGTGCACAATGTACTGACAAGGCAGCTTGTAACAGCAAAAAACCATGAGCTCTGGTTTGTGTTTGAAAGGAGACCTCTGAGATTCTCTTTGCAGAAATTTCATGCTGTCACGGGTCTCAATTGCAAGGACGATGGCAACTACGACCTCAATGAGTGGGTCGACGATGGTGGTTTCTGGAGTAGGTTGTTAAAGAGCCATGGCCTGATTAGCATCGAGACAATAAGGAAGAAGCACGTCTTCGAGGCCAACAAATGGACTCGTGTGGACAGACTGAGATTGGTTTATTTATGTCTTGCTGCACTATTGATGGCAGTGGATGAGAAGAGTTGGGTGTCCCATGACTACATCAAAGTCATCATGGACTTTGATAAGGTACGGGCTTATCCATGGGGTCTCTGAAGCTTTGATCATCTAGTCGATGCTGTCATCAAAGCAAGAAGCGAGTTGAGTAAGCCTGTCAGCTACGTATTGGAGGGATTTGCATATGCTCTCCAGATTTGGATCATGGAAGCTATCCCGGATTGTGGAACTTTGTTAGGAAAGAAGCTCAATGATGCTGACCATATCTTCCCTAGATGTTCAAATTGGACCGGGGCTGCAAGGGTGAGTTGGAGAATGTGCTTGTAAATAAGGTGAGTCGTCCTCTTTCCCTTGTCATCTAGTTTCTCACGAATTCGCATTTTATTCAGTTTTTTCGTATGCGATTATCTCATCTCACATCTTCTACACTGTCTTGTAGCGTCATCTATACTCTTACATCTCGTCAACAGGGAATATGGATGTGATGGTTGACCAGGACTTTGCAAGGAATGACGAAATGAGAGAGGAAAGAGTTGATCGGATGGAAAAGCTCATTAGCGAGAATAAAAACTGGAGTTCTTGTTCTTGGGAATTTGAAGAACCGGTGGAAACAACGCGTTCTGCGGTTCCTTCTGCAAGGACAGAGTCCGATGTTGTGCATAACGAGGGTGTTGAAACCGGTGAGGTCTTGAGAACGACATGCGGTGAAGCAACAACATCGTCTGGATCAAGGACTGGAAAGAGGAAGGTGGTTGACAAGGGCGCTGAGGCACGCAAGAAGAGACTCCTGTTTCATCGATCTGTTGCAAATGCTGAAGAAGGGAGTGAGAGTTCTATGCGTGCTCTCTTTGACGACTACGAGAAGAGAATGACAAACCAGAGTGACGAGAAGTATGAGAAGTTAGCTACTGAGTTCTCGCAGCTCAAGAGTACAGTTTCAGAGCTTAAGGATATGCTCGTTGAAGCATTATCCCGCAAAACAGTGGAGAGCCATCGTCACAGACCAAACCAGTGTCTCCGATCACTTCTCAGCCAAGACGAAAGGTAAACTCCACAAAGAACCCTAACACTTGACCACCGTCTCTTGCTCTGCTGTGTACTGCTTCTTCTAAAATTGTAACATCTCTCTCTAGGCCTTTTGTGTTCTAGGTTTGTTGCTTGTGTCAAAATAATCTATACTATATAAAAGTTGAAGGCTATAAGCCTCTGAGAGCGTCCACATAATTAAAAGACGCGATTTTATTGGTCCACATAAACATCTCTAAAATTAAGTAATTTTTCAATTTAATTTAATTTTATACAACCAATAGTTTCATTCCACATCATCATATAAATTTAATTATAGTATTTGTAAAATTAATTGATTTCCTTTTTATATTTTCAGAAAATTTCCTAATTTAAGGGCATTATTTATTTTCGTATTAACTAATTTATTAAATAAGGAAATTATATTTTCAAATACCAATGAAAAGAAACTAATATATAAACAATTTTTAAATTTGTAATATTATTTTTTTAATAACTCTAATATATAACTGATTTTAAATTAAGAAACCTCACAGTTCCAAAATAATTAAACAAAGTGCTTCGATTTTTGTTAAAACTTAAATTCGATTTAGTAATATATTTGAAAGATTTATACAAAAATATTTTAAGAGAATATAAAAGTTGAGGCTATAAGCCTCTAAAAGTGTCCACATAAGATTTAAAGACGCGATTTAATTGGTCCACATTAACATCTCCAAAATTAAGTAATTTTTCCAATTTTAAACAATCAATAGTTTCATTCCACATCATCATATAAATTTAATTACAGTCTTTGTAAAATTAATTGATTTCCTTTTTATATTTTCAGATAATTTCCGAATTTAAAGGAATTATTTATTTTCGTATTAAATAATTTATTAAATAAAGAAATTATATTTTCTAAACCAATAAAAAGAAACTAATATATAAACGATTTTGTAAATTTGTAATATTAATTTTTTAGTAACTCTAATATATAACCGATTTTAAATTATTAAACTTCAAAATTCCAAAATAATTAAATAAAGTGCTTCAATTTTTGTTAAAATAGTAATTATTTGAAAGATTTATACAAAAATATAGATAATAAAACTATTGAGGACAGAGTAATCATCTTTTTTTGCACCTTGAAGAAGTTCCAATGAAAGGTGTTTGCTTGCCGCAACTTCGTTGAAAAAAGGTCTGAATCACAAATTCATATTATAAAATACCATATGAAGAAGAAATGGAATAAGAACAATAAGAAGATAAAAATGAAGAACATCGAAGACGAAGATACCAAAATAGAAAGACAAAAAAAAAAAAACTTAAGAATAATAAAGTAGAAGATGTAAACACCGAATCTAAAACTACGTAGATAAAATTGACATATAAGGAATCAAATAAGAACAGAGGAGAATAAACCAAACAAGAACGAAAAAGAAGAAGCAAGACGAGCAAATACGAAGAAGATCAAAGTAGATGATGAGTGAATATAAATGAAGAGGAAGAAAAAACGAAGTAATTAGTATACTTGCACTTCTACGGAGCAGAGGAGAGTTCAAGGGAGATTTGATAATCCATATCATACCACATGTCTAAGAAAATATTCCAAGTTGCATTACCACAACAAGATTTTGTGTTCCATATTCTAATGCATGCCAAACAGAGAATGAAGAGAGGCTGTTTTCTTAGCTGAACTTCGGACATCACTTATTCATGGACATCTTTCACAGCCTTAAGCAGTGGAGGAGGCAGGATTATTAGCTAAGGGGGTCATATATCAAAATAATAATATGAGGAGAAGACCTGAACCCAAGACAAGGGGGTCAAATGAGAACATTTAAAGCAAATTGGCTACCAAACACATTATATATAAGAGTAAAAACAGATATTTATAAATGTAGTAGGGGTCAGCTGATCCCCTTCTTCATAGCGTGGCTCCGCCCCTGGCCTTAAGGAAGAATTTATTTTACTGTAACTCAAAATATTCAAATAGAAAGAGAGTACCAGTCTTCTACGCATGCCAAAAAATTCAAAGGTGGAAAGGAGTTGACAATAAAACTATTGGAGACAAAGTAATCATCTTTGTTGCACCTTGAAGGATTTATAGTGAAGAGTTCTCATTTGCCACAAGTTTGTTGAAGAAAATGGCTGAATCATTTACTCAGACTGAAAAATGACATATGAAAAAGATATGAAAGAAGAACATTAAGAAGGTGAAATTAAAGATTATCAAAGACGAGATACCAAAGTAGAAAGAGAAAAAAAGACCCAAAGAATAACAAAGTTGAAGACGGAAACACCGAACAAGAAACCACGAAGATGAAATTGAAAAATAAGAATTAATCAAAGAAGAAAGGAGGAGAAGAAACCAAAAGAGGAAGCAAGACGAGCGAAGACGAAGAAGAGCAAAGAAGATGAGTGAAGATGACGAAAACAACGAATAAGAATAAATAAAAAGAAAAAAAGCTATCAATTTAGAACAAAGACAACAAGGCAAATTATAAGGTTTTTTTTTTCACAAGTTTCACATACGGTCACTTAAAAACAATGTTGGTTTTTGTCATACTATTGAAAAAGAAAAGTTTAGGACTTTTTCTTTTGTCGAATTTTATGAAGCAATTGACAAAACATATAAATATTAAGAAATGTGAGGATAGAGTTGGTGTATGTTTTTTTTACAGAAAACATGTTTTTTAAAAGTACCTTACTTATTATAAAATAATTAAATTGGTAAAGTAAAAAAATAATTAAAAAGTATATTACAAAGAAAAGTTTTTTAAAAAACAGAAAAAATTAAAAAACTGTGAAGCGTTTGTAGAAAACAAAATTTAAATATAACAATTTAAAAAATCATTAGAACAGACCTGCGCGTGTGTGGGTCAAAAACCTAGTATGAAATAAATAGTCTCCTTTGCCTAAGCTTGTTGTAAGAACTTTGTGTTGTAATGAGTTGTCTCACTTTATATATGATTTCAAAAACTGATTTATTTTTTTTCTTTAACAACAGGAACACTTTCGTAAATCATTAGACAGACTTGGTTGATATTGACTTGACCCAAATCTCAGACATCAATTTTGGTGAAAACACACAAAGTTTTCTTGGGAGAAAGCTAGGCCACTTAACACAAGACTCGTACGTAGCTGGATTTGATTCATCCCAGCAATGAAAAGTGACGTCTAAGAAATCCCAAGCACGCTTAACTCTGGAGTTACTTATAGTCGTTTGACCGAAAATGTAACATCCGTAGACCAAAAAATTGTGATTTTTCTTTAGTGTCGGTCGACATCAATGGTTAAAATCGATTTCTGGTTCAATTGAAATCAGGTTTAGGCCCGGTTTAGGGCGGAAACCCTTGGGTCTCGAATAAAAGTCGCGCAGCCGCCTCTTCTTTTCTCTGTTTTGTCGTTTTGTGGAGAGTTTGGAGAGGAGAAGAGATTTGAGGCGATTTGAGGTGTTGGTCGATCGATTGGAGGCTGATTCGTCGTTGTTTCGGAGCCTGAGTCATCGTTGGTGGCTGCTGCGTCGCTGTTCTTCGTGTTCTTCACTATCTCCTTTGATTTCCCTTCTTTTCAACCTAGAATCAAGGTGAGTGCATGACTGTGGGTCCGTGATTGCTAGATTCAGATTTGTATGTGTTTATGTGGTGATTTCGTGATGATATTGATGTTTGATTCAGTGTTTATTGTTATTTGAGTGATTTGTGAATTTGAGTTTCAGGTACTGTTCATAGTCCGATTGGTTTTTCCAGAATCGGTTCGGTCGACACCAATGGTGTCGGTCGACACAGGGTTTATCTGGTTAATTGAATTTAATTGGTTTAATTGAATTTGGCTGGTTTAAATCAATTGGAATGGTTTAATGATTTTGGTTGGTTTAATTCGGATTTAATTAATTAATGAGTATTTAATTAATTAAATGGTTTAAAATAATTATAATTATTTTAAAATATGGAAAATTATTATTTAATTATGAGAATTATTTAATAATTGAGAAATTGAGTTTTAATTATTAAAAATTATTTAATAATTGGAAAATGGTATTTAATAATTATTGGAGTTTATAAATATTATTAAATATCTAGTAAATTGCGTAAATGGCTCGTAGGCAGAGTGATTGCCTCACTAAGTATTTATTAAATACTTACGCAACTCCATTCCAATGTGTTGCAGGTAAAAGATTTGTGTGATCGCGGAATCAAGGCTGAAGAGGGGGATGATAGGATGTTTACTGTTTTATTGTTTTGCATTATTTTTGCTAGACTTGTTTAATTATTATTTGCTTTGAACTGATTTATTTGTTATTGATATTATTATTTATTTAATTTATTTTAAAGACCTTCGCTAGAATTGTTATTAATTTATTATTAAAAAAAAAAAAATGTTGGTTGTTTCATTTTGGTATCAGAGCCTAGACGGTTTTAGGACTGTTAGAATTGCTAGGCTTTAGTATCATCCCCTTCAGCTACAAGAGATTCCGCGGTGAGTTTATGTTTGTTTTGAGTTTTGGTTGCGTGTTCTAGTGTGCTCTTTTTGGTTCCATGAGTGAGATGGACGAGTAGCTAGAGGTTGTGGCGCGAGAGGGCGCGGTGCTCGAGGCCGTGGTGGCAGAGCGAGAGGCCGGGGCCGAGATTGTGGACTTCGGCGGATTCGGGAGAGAGTGTGGTGCCTAGTGTGGCGATTGCGTCGGTGACCCAGTCGGTATCCGTGGCGAGTGAGGCCAGTGTGGATGCGAGTGTTGGTTTGGGAGCGGGGGCTGCTCCGGGTTGGGGTGGTGCTCCGGCTCAGGGTCTTGATGACTTAGTGGTGGGTTTGCTGACGCAGTTATTGGCTCGTTTTCCGCCAGTGGTTCCACAGGGGGCTCCGGGAGTACCTCCAGTGGCAGAGGTGCAGCAGAGGGCTGCGGGTTTGTTCAGCCGCAGGCTGTGGGTTTGGGTGCCGCCTATTTGGATATGATGGGGCACATGCAGAGGATTGGTACGCCGTACTTTGAGGGCGGAGTTAGCCCAGAGGCGGCAGATAGTGGCGTCAGAGATTGGAGCGGAATTTCCAGTCTATCAGATTTCTGGTTTAGTATCAGGTGGAGTTAGCAGTCCACTATCTGAGTGGTGACGCATTTTGTTGGTGTTGTTCATTTTTATCTGTGATAGAATTGTGAGGTTCTCAACGCATTGAATGTGTAATGACCTTGTTAGTGGGCGGTTTTGAGTCCCACGTTTTATTCGACTCTGGAGCATCGAATTGCTTCATTACACCGGAGCGTGCCGAGAAGAGTGGCATCCGGAGTAGCGCGGGCGAGAGCGCGGGCATGGTCAAGGTGGCGGGAGGTGGATTCTTGTCTACTTTGGGCCGTGCTAGAGGAGTCGAGATCGAGATTGCGGGGCAGTCAATGCCAGCAGACTTAGTCATCAGTCCGGTGGAGCTGTATGACGTTATTCTCGGGATGGACTGGTTGTCACACTACAGAGTTCATCTGGATTGCTACAGAGGTAGAGTGGTCTTCGAGCGAGATGCAGGGAGGTTGGTTTATCAGGGAGTGAGACCGACTTCCGGGAGTATTGTGATATCTGCTATTCAGGCCGAGCAGTTGTTAGAGCGGGGCTGTGAGGCGTATCTGGCGACGATTTCTATGTCTGAGTCAGGAGCTGGAGTTGTTATGGGAGATATTGAGGTTGTCCAGGATTTTGAGGATGTCTTTCAGTCACTGAAGGGATTACCACCATCTCGGTCTGATCCTTTCACGATTGAGTTAGAGCCGGGGACAGCACCGATATCGAAGACGCCTTACAGGATGGCGCCAGCTGAGTTGGCAGAGCTGAAGAAGCAGATAGAGGACCTTTTGTCTAAGGGGTTCATTCGACCAGTGTTTCACCGTGGGGAGCACCGGTGTTGTTTGTGAAGAAGAAGGATGGCAGTTTCAGACTTTGTATCGATTACAGAGGTCTTAACCGAGTCACTGTGAAGAACAGGTACCCACTCCCGAGGATTGATGAGTTGTTGGATCAGTTGAGGGGTGCTACTTGGTTCTCCAAGATTGACTTGGCATCGGGGTATCATCAGATCCCGATAGATGAGGCAGATGTCAGGAAGACTGCTTTCAGGACGCGTTATGGGCATTTTGAGTTTGTGGTTATGCCTTTCGGTTTGACTAACGCGCCGGCAGCCTTCATGAGATTGATGAACGACGTGTTCAGGGAGTATTTGGATGTGTTCGTCATCATTTTCATTGATGATATTCTGGTATACTCGAGGAGTCAGGAGGAGCATGCGACTCACTTGAGGTTGGTTCTGGAGAAGCTTCGGGAGCAGAAGCTTTTTGCTAAGTTGAGCAAGTGCAGTTTCTGGCAGCGAGAGATGGGATTTCTTGGCCACATTGTTTCTGCAGAGGGAGTTTCTGTGGATCCGGCTAAGATTGAGGCTATCAGAGATTGGCCTAGACCTAGTAGTGCCACCGAGATCAGGAGTTTTCTGGGTTTGGCAGGATACTACAGGAGGTTCGTCAAGGGGTTTGCTACCATGGCGCAGCCGATGACGAAGTTGACCGGGAAGGATGTCCCGTTTGTTTGGTCAGCTGAGTGTGAGGAGAGCTTTAGTCAGCTCAAGGAGATGTTGACTACTACACCAGTGTTGGCGTTACCCGAGCCAGGGAAGCCTTACATGGTGTATACAGATGCTTCAGGCATTGGTCTTGGTTGTGTGCTGATGCAGGAGGGCAGAGTGATAGCATATGCTTCGAGACAGTGGCAGGGCAGTGAGCGTAACCGTCCTACACATGACTTAGAGTTGGGAGCAGTGATCTTCGCGTTGAAGATTTGGAGGTCTTACTTGCTAGGTGAGACAGTACAGGTCTTCACGGATCACAAGAGTTTGCAGCATATCTTCACTCAGCCGATGATGAACGCGAGACAGACGCGCTGGGTTGAGTTCTTGGCGGACTATCAGGTGAGCATTAACTACCATCCGGGCAAGGCTAACCTAGTGGCGGACGCGTTGAGTAGACGGAGGTATGATTCCGCAGTTGAGCGAGATGTGGAGTCTCTAGTTGGCGAGATCAGTACCTTGCGTTTGTGTGCCATTTCGCAGGAGCCTTTGGGTTTAGAGGCAGTGGATCAGGCGGATCTACTTAGCAGGATCAGAGTTGCTCAGCAGAGTGATCAGAGTTTGCTGGATGCGACGAGAGTGACTGGTTCTGAGTATGAGGTCTCTGCGAATGGGACTATCTTGGTTCGTGGGCGAGTTTGTGTGCCTAAGGATGTGGAGTTGAGACATCAGATTTTGGGAGAGGCTCACGCGAGCAAGTTTTCCATTCATCCGGGAGCGACCAAGATGTACCATGACCTCAAGAGGTACTATCATTGGGTCGGGATGAAGAGGGATGTAGCAGACTGGGTTGCGAAGTGCAACACTTGTGCCTTGGTGAAGGCAGAGCATCAGGTTCCGGGTGGTCTTTTGCAGAGTTTACCCATTCCAGAGTGGAAGTGGGACAGGATTACGATGGATTTCGTGGTTGGACTACCTGTTTCGAGGACTTTCGATGCTATCTGGGTGATTGTGGATCGGTTGACTAAGTCCGCACATTTCTTGGCCATCAAGAAGACAGATGGAGCTGCTGTCTTGGCTAGGAAGTTTGTGCGAGAGATTGTGAGGCTGCATGGAGTGCCAGCTAGTATTGTGTCAGACCGTGATCCCAGATTCACTTCAGAGTTTTGGAGGGCGTTTCAGGCAGAGATGGGCACTAAGGTGCATCTGAGTACAGCTTATCATCCGCAGACAGATGGTCAGTCAGAGAGGACTATTCAGACTTTGGAGGATTTGCTGAGGATGTGTGTGTTGGATTGGGGTGGCCATTGGGCAGATCACCTGAGCTTAGTTGAGTTTGCATACAACAACAGCTTTCAGGCGAGTATTGGCATGGCTCCATTTGAGGCTTTGTATGGGAGGCCATGTAGGACACCCCTATGCTGGACCCAAGTGGGGGAGCGCAGCATGTATGGAGCTACTTATGTTCAGGAGACGACAGAGAAGGTTCGTGTTGTGAGGCTGAACATGAAGGAGGCTCAGGATAGGCAGAAGAGTTATGCAGATAGACGCAGACGAGAGCTTGAGTTTCAGGTTGGAGATAGAGTTTATCTCAAGATGGCTATGTTGAGGGGTCCTAACAGATCCATAGCAGAGAACAAGCTGAGTCCGCGATTTATGGGTCCGTTTCCAGTAGTGGAGCGAGTTGGGCCATTGGCTTACAGGCTGGAGTTGCCTGAGATTATGAAAGCCTTTCACAAGGTTTTTCATGTGTCGATGCTGAGGAAGTGTCTTCACCCTACAGAGGAGTTAGTGGCTAGGATTCCAGAGGATCTTCAGCCAGATTTGACAGTGCCGGCAGTGCCTGTGAGGATTTTAGAGAGGAGGGAAAAGGTTCTGAGGAACAAGAGGATTCCCTTACTGAGGATTTTGTGGGATTGCAGTGGTTCTACAGAGGAGACTTGGGAGCCAGAGGCAAAGATGAAGTTGAAGTTCAGGAAGTGGTTCGACAAGCAGGTCGAGGAGTGAGCTTATTTCATCTTTGTAGCCTCAGTTGTTATTTTTGGCTTTGGTGTTATTGTATTTTCGTTTTCGTTGTAACGATATACATTTTGGAGTTTTAATGAGATGCAGTTTTTCCTCATTTTGCCTTGTGTTGTGAAATGGTATTCGGATGTTACACATGTTTGACCAGTTTTTGGTTGTGAGACGGTCTAATCTTATGGTTATAGACATTTTCCGGAATTTTTACTCTAAGGATTGCGATCCTGAATAACTCATCATGTTTTTGGAGACTTCGTTCTCTGGCAGACTCTCTGGGTGCAAGTAGGCCTCAGTTGAGTGTAGCTTATCTGGGTGCAAGTAGGCCTCAGTATAAGCAGTTTAGTTCATCTGGGTGCAAGTGGGCCTCAGTATGGACGTTTCGGGTTCGTCTGGGTGCAAGTGGGCCTCAGTGCGGACCGGTGTGGACTTGTCTGGGTGCAAGTGGGCCTCAGTACAAGTGGTTTGGTGTGTTTGGATGATGAGTTAGGAGTGAAAATTTTCTTGGAACGTGTTTATGACATAAGATATGACGTTTGTCTCGGGGATCAGGTGAGGATCTCCGTGTTGCGGCCTTGCGAGGTCGGGTTTTGTGGTCTTTGTGACGTTTGTTGGGATTCGAGGACGAATCCAGTTTAGTGGGGGAGAGTTGTAACATCCATAAACCAAAAATAATTGGGAATTTTGTCGGTTCAATTTAAGTGAATTGGTTTGGGCCGGTTTAGTGGAGAAAGCCCTAAAATCAAGTTTAAAAGTGCAGCCGTCTTCTCTTTGTTTTCGAGTTTGGAGAGGAGAAGAGTTTGAGGGATTTTGGAGAGTTTTCGTTCGATTACTGTTCATCGTTGTTTCGGTACTGTTCATCGGGTCTGCTCGTCGCTGTTCTTCGTGTTCTTCACTTCTCCTTTTTTTCCTTCAGTTTCAATAATCAAGGTGAGTGCATGACTGTGGGTCCGTGATTTGCTAGATTAGATTTGGTTTGTGGTTGTTCTTGATGATTTATGTTTTTAATTGTTATGGTTGTTTGATGATTTTGGTTGTTTCATGTATGTTCATAGTGTTTCTGGGTTTAATCGGTTTAATTGGTTTAAGACGGTTAATCTGGTTAATTCAATTTAATTGGTTTAATTGAATTTTGGTTTAATTGAATTAATGGTTTAATGAATTTGGTTTAATTCGGATTTAATTAATTAAATAATATTTAATTAATTAATTGGTTTAAAATAATTTAATTATTTTAAAATATGGAAAATTATTATTTAATTATGAGAATTATTTAATAATTGAGAAATTGAGTTTTAATTATTAAAATTATTTAATAATTGGAAAATGGTATTTAATAATTATTGGAGTTTATAAATATTATTAAATATCTAGTAAATTGCGTAAATGGCTCGTAGGCAGAGTGATTGCCTCACTAAGTATTTATTAAATACTTACGCAACTCCATTCCAATGTGTTGCAGGTAAAAGATTTGTGTGATCGCGGAATCAAGGCTGAAGAGGGGGATGATAGGATGTTTACTGTTTTATTGTTTTGCATTATTTTGCTAGACTTGTTTAATTATTATTTGCTTTGAGCTGATTTATTTGTTATTGATTTTTATTTATTTAATTTATTTAAGACCTTCGCTAGAATTGTTAATTTAATATTTATAAAAAAAAAATGTTGGTTGTTTCAGAAAATGTAAGTGCACTTTGTTGACATAGGTAGCTAAATCAATTTTCTTAAGACTCTCCTCATTTATCACAAACCGGGATGTTACAACCTCAACAAAGAAGGGCTCTAAAAAATTGACACATCATCATGTTATTTGATAATTTTTAAAATTATCTAATTAATTAATTCTGTTTTTATTGTTAACATTTATTTTTCATAATAATTACTCCATCATACATTAATTTAATAGGTTAAGCTAGAGTTTAAAAAGATATTTTTTTTGTAAAAGATAACTTATGTATTTACTCATCTTAAGAAAACTATAATTTCATAATTTTAGTTTTACACTTCTATTTATACAAGTTTATCAAATTATTTTGCTTCAAATGAATCACCTACTAAAATATTGATATTTCATATTTATTTGACTTATTTTGTTCTCTTTTATTATACTTTAATTATCATATATTAATATATTAATTTTAATAACAAGTTGAAAATTTTTTATAAACCAAAAATCTGATATATTGTTATAAAAACTAAATTTAACAACTTTAATTTTGTAAAATATAATTATACAGTTTTATAATATTTATGAAACAAAAGGAGATGGGACATGAAAGAATATGATGAAAAAGAATATGATGCGGTGAGACAGGAGAAGAATGAATAAGACAAGAGGGAGCTGGAAAAAAAATAATGAGATAGAACGAGAAGGAACATGATGGGAAAGAACGGGATGGAAGGAGAAAGAACGGTGTGAGATGAGACAAAATGGAATGAAACGGGAGATGACAGGAAAGAACAGGATGGAAAGAAATGAGATATGACGAGAAGGAAAGGAACAAGACGGTGTATAACGGATGGGAAAGAACAAAACAGAACTTATACCCATAATTTTTTTTAATTACTACGCATATGATATTTTTGAAATACAAAATTAAATTAATTCAAAAAGGAGAAAGACTATGTATAGATCTACAAAACTATTATTTAGTAAACTTATTTTTTTGTCAGTTTATATAGTTTACGTTGATGTCAAGATATTATATAAAGAACACAATTTTTAAAAGTATTTTGAGATTAAATGAGACGAGACCGGACAGGACGAGACGAAAAAAACTGAACGAGAGAAGACGAGAATTTTGCCTACTTATTATATTAAGTGACGAGGCAGAATGTAAAGAAATGTAAAGAGACGAGATAGGACAAGACGGGAATTTCATTACCTCAAATTATATTTAGGGACGGAACATGAAGAAACGAAAGGAACATGATGAGATAAGACAAGGCAAAAAGAAATAGACTGGAATAGGATAGGACAGGACGGGATGAGATTGACAGATTGGACAGGACGAGAAAAAAAAAAGGGAATGAGATGGGAATAGACGGGACGGGATGAAAAGGATATAATAGGACAAGAAGGGACAAGATGAAATTTTTGCCTACCTATAATTATATTAGGGACAGGACAGAGACACGACAAAACGAAAAAAAAAAAATATAATAAGATAGGATAGGACTGGACAGGCGAACATGACGGACAGGACAAACATGACGGGGAAAGAACGGGAAAAGATGAAAAGGAACGAAATAGGACTAGGCGGGAATTTTGTCTACCCTTAGTTATATTTAGGGAACGGGACGAGAAGAAACTGAAAAACAAGATGGGACATAACAAAATGGAAAAGAGCATAATAAAATAGGATGAAATAGGACAGGACGGGAAAGAACGGACATGATGAAAATGAACGAAATAGGACGAGATAGGACATGATGGAACTTTAATTTTGCCTAACCCTAACTATATTTAATTAATATATGTATAATATTTTTAAAATAATAATAAACCATAAAATTATATAAAAAATTAAATTAACACAACAATATAAATTCCCGCATGAAGCGTGGGTCACCTCCTAGTAAACATATATTAGTAACCTAAAAAAAGCGAAATCAACTTCCAGACTCGACAAAGTGAATTAAAATATATCACATTAGGTGTATAGATGATTACCTTATCATCACATTAAAGATTAAATGAAGAAATTCTTTTAGTGAGATTACTTAGAAACGGTGTAGCTATGGCATAAGCATGTGTATGACCCAACAGTCTCCATCTTCTCATTTAGCAAAGGAAATGTAGCTGATTAGATATCACTGTGTCACCGGTTGTTGACAGATTTGAACATATTTTTTGTTTGCTTCTCTTTCTACTAGACTGGATTAGAGAAAATAAGTTGTATTGTGCACTGTGTGGCTTGTTTCAACAGGGAAGAACAATAATATCTTAAATCTCTATAACTGTTATTGATTTGGTCACAAACTCTGATTATGAGACAACACAAAGTGACAAAACTATTCCAGGATTATGTGCCTAGCTCTTTGCATATAGTATCTATCCAGGATTTACTGCAAGTGCAACAGATTGAAAAGCTGAAAAAAGAAACGGACTTTGATTTCACACAGAAACTATTCAAAATCGTTTTGAAATTCATGGGTCAGTTCAATTGATGGGTAAATTGGGTTGGGTTAAAATGGTTAAAATTATATTGATTTGATGAATTGAGATGGTTAACCTATTATAATTTTTTACTTTACCAAAATCAGAAACTGGCCCGGTTCTAGGGGTGGTCCAGTGGTATGTGGGCTATGAGTCCATCTTAAATTTTCGAATTTCTCAAAGGAAAAAAGCACAGTTTTTTTTGTTTTTTTTTTTCAAAAAAAAATTCCATGAAAAGGACAATTTTTTTTATTTTTATTTTTACAAAAAAATTCCCTATAAAAGACCCATAATATTTTTTTGCCTAAGGCTTTCTAAAGACTTGAGTCGGGCCTGATCAGAAACCACATATTTCTCTTTTCTTCTTTGATCTCTTTCTCCTTCCTTCAGAACACGATTTGATCTCTCCTCTCCTTCGATCTCGATCTTATCTCTCCTCTCCTTAATCAGAACACGATTTGATCTCTCCTCTCATTCGATTGCGATCTTATCTCTCCTCTCCTTAATCAGAACACAATTGGTTTAGGGTTTAGGGTTCTCTCCTCTCCTCAATCAGAACACGATTTGATCTCTCCTCTCCTTCGATATCTCTATCACTCTAGACTCTCTCGCAAATCTCTATCTCGCTGGACTCACTCGCCATCTCCGTCTCTTTCTCCTTGTATCTCTATCGTTCTCACACTCCCTCTCAGACCAGAAGCCGGAGTTCATGCTTTCATAGGTACTGTGAAAATGGATTGTAATTGTTTCTCTGGAATTGGGGATTATCCAATTGAAATTTCTGAGTGCAATGGTGTTCTATTAATGGCGAAAATAGAATTGGATTTGA